TAACAAATCATTAAGTATAGGCTTTATTCTACGTTAAGGATAATTAGACTTAATCGTAACATTATTTAACTTAATATAGTTATATACTATCCGTAGTCCTCCCTTCTCCTTTAGAGGATATATTATTCTCGATATATATAGCGAATTATATCTTACAATAATACTATACCTTAATAGAAGTAAAAGATTCTTCTACTACCACGCCAACTTAGCTTCACTATATAGTAATAACTTCACTACTCTAGGAATATAGTCTAGAAAGGTAGATATACGGTATTTAACTAAATTGATCTTCGATATACTTATCACCTTAGTAATAAAGAGATCTCTCTAAGTATACAGTAGAAGGGCTATACGCTATCTTTCCTCTTTAGACCTAATAAGATCTTCTATTAGATATAGGCTTAACTCGACCTATATAGTAGTCTATTCTTACACTACATTTAGTTCCAATCCACGGCGATAAGAATATAGTCTCCTTTCCGTTGGGAATCCTAACTTTAGTCCAGAGAATTCCTCATCTAGCCAGTTCTTAGCCTTAATTTATTTAGGTACTTAGTTCCTAATTATCGCCTTAATTATATTTACTTCTACGATCCTAGTAGTAGTTAGTAGCTACGGGGTATCGCCCCTAATTTTTATCCTAGTGGACTATAATATTATCTCTTCGCCGGCATCGATCTCTAAGTTCGTAGCCATCGTAGCGCTATAGGCTATAGCTCTAATCTCTAGTTTTAGTGATTCTTGGCCCTTAGTTATACAATTATATATAGTGCGAGACTAAGGCTTAGGTAAGTTATATATCTTACCCCCGTTTGTTTATCTCGCACCCGTCCGTTCGAACCTTATAATTCTATCGAATATATAATATTTCTTTAATTTCGGCACAATTTCGAATCTATTCCTCTCGAGTGGTACCACCCGTAGACGTCTTCGAATTCTTTTCCTACACTTCCTATCCAATGGCTACACTATATCTTATATTACCACTTTAAGTAAGAGTCTTAACCGTTGTAACCTAGAGCTACATTTATCACTCCTAGCCTAGCTCACCAAAACGTCGGGGTCGTCACTTATCGTATCACTCTTACCTAGTTATTAACTACCACTATTAAGGTCTAAGTCCTTTAATAGTGGTTATCTTTTAGCTTATCGATATTATTATCTAATTCTTCTAACTACTTCATTTCATTATCTTCGCTATCTTCGTTAGTGCTCTAATTAGTTTCCTTACTTTTAGCAATAAACTTATTAATTATATCATCAAGGATATCTTTAGAGTCGTCAACCAACAATCCCTTTACAATACAATCGAGTTATTCAATCATTCTTATCGAAGTCGCAGATCCCTTTAACACTTCAATTACGGTTCGACTTAACTATTTATATCGATTCAAGTATATATCGAAAAGCTTCGTAGTTATACTCGACTTAGTATCTAGCTATCTTTCGATTATTATGTAGCTTCTAGATATAGGGTTCAGTATTTAATACTAATCCTTCCTATATAGACCAATTAACTTTATAGACTATATCTAGCTCTAGCTTAGAAGGAGAGTATAACTCGTTCTTACTCTCGATAAGATATATACCAGAATATTACTCTTTACTCCTATAATCTTAATCTATATTTAAATATACCTAGGTAATAATAAGGTTCTACTATCGTATCTACGAACACTAAGTAATTGATTAGGGATTATAGTTATATTCATTTTTTTAGCAACCTATTCCGGAATTAAGTTAACTATAGCGCCACCATCGAGAAGGACTCGTTCGATTTTATAATTATTACCACCGTCTCTTAGAGAAATAATAGCCCTAGTGTAAAAGTTTAGGATTAGGTTAGGGACCTTACGTCGTACTTCTATTAGTGTAGCCTCAATCTTCGGGAGACTCTACACTATATATTATTCTACATCAGTAGCATTAACTCTCGTTTTTTTATTTACAGTAGTAGATAGCTTCTTCTTTGCTAGCCTACCCTTCTTCGCCTTCTACTTTTCGCTAGGCTAGAGTTTAAAGGACTTTAAGATTTATACCTTAATCTTAGTATTTATATTTACTAGCTACAAAAGCGAATATTTTAGAATAGAGATATTAAGAATCTCTACTATATTCGAAAGTCTCTTACCCTAAAGACTAACTAAGCTACGCTTCGCTAGTTTAACTTCACTATTCTTTACTGATTCTAAGCCAATATTAATAATAGTATAAGATATAGATCTAGTCTAAGTAGACACCTCCCGCCCTAGCGTAAAAGCATCATCAAGCCTAGCTTTATCTACTTTCCTCTTATACTTAAGTATAAGGATATTATTTACATTGACATCGAACTTATTATTTAGAATAATTTCTTAGAAGTGCGTATTAGCTACACTATAGCGAGAATCCTATAATTACTAAATTAGATACACCTAACTATCGTAGTCTTTATTATACTAGTTTTAAGTAACGTAGCTATTATAATCACCGGCCAGTTAAGTAAGTAACGCTCTAATAGACTACCCCGCAACGCCAGGATTCGTCGGATTGTTCGGGCCTAAGAAATTATTATAGTTATTCCGAGTAAAAGGGTTAGTTAAGTTACGGCGTTTCGCTTATTTTGACCGTAGCTGTTGTTGCAATTCCTTTAGCAAGTGTTGGTTCGAGCATTGTGGCGCTATATAGCCGTCTTATCTTCTACAACGGAAGTACACTAGTAGTATACGGCCGTTTATAACCTAGACTATATCTTTCAATGCTATTCCACTTACCGGTTAAGAGAATCCCGTTAGTTAAGCTGGACGCTACCACTAATTTTGGCCTTATTGGTTAGAATCTCGCGCCGGATCCAATCCTACTCGTTATCCATTTTTTATACTAAAGTCTTAATACTGTTTGTTTAGACCTCGTCCCTATTGGCTTCTGAGATTTAGATTTCCTAGTGTAGTAGTTATCTTCTCTATTACCTTATAGAAGGCTTAGTCTCTAGGAGTAAGGTCTAGATAACTTTTATAGCCCATAAATTTATTAGTCTAGTCTATACCTTCTCGCTTAATACGCGTCGCGCCTTTTAGAACATTAATAGCCTAGTTAAGTGTAATGTATTTATCTCTACCAACTATAGTACCTATAACTAAGCGAATCTAGGGGTTAGATAATCCATCAATTATAGTATCTATAAGGTCTCTCTTAATCTACCTATCCTTATTAGAAAGATAGCGTTATAGATCACGGACCTTATCTAAATAGCTAGGGACTAATAGATTTCCTTATACCAACTATCCTAAGTCTCGGTATACCGAGCGCCTCGCCGTCGTCTTTAGTCGTCTTAGAAATCTCTTCAATAGAGCCTTAGATAGTTTATCGTAGTCGTCAACAATTTTATTATTAAGACCCGAGAACCAGCGGAAAGTAGTCGAGCTATATACAATATATCCAGTCAACTCCGTAGCTCGGGCTTAAGAGAACTCTACGGTAGCGTCTTCACTAGTAAATAAAGACTTTCTCGTTAGCTATATATTTCGGACTTATCTTACGAATATCACTAAATCAACAATATTATCCTCCCTAGAGAATATACTAATCTAAGTTAACCCTATTTCGAGATCGTACTCGAGGCGAGATTGTAAGCTAAATAGAGAATTAGAAGTAAGTGTTAACTTTATCTCCTACGGTATATTCGTCTTAATTAATAATCCTATAGTCGTCTTAGTCTACGAATCTATATTATCACCTTTCTAGAAGGAATCTTTCAAAGTATTCGATTTTAAGAATAGATCGTACGTAATACTCGTAGTTTCGAATCTTAGCTGTTCAATCGGACTAGTGGACTCGTAACTTTTAGTGCTCGAATCGTCTAAGAACTGTAAAAGAGGCCTAGTTTTCTTTCTTAGCTTTAGTGTTGTATCAAAATCTTGCATCGATAACAATTAGTGTTAAGTAGAAGTGGGTGCCTCCCACTACGTAGGCAGATATTTTGGGTTAATCTCCTCTAGGATAATACTGGACTTACTCTAGGAGTTTAATATAGTACGAGACTCGTGGCTATTTAGCTTCACTATACAAACCAAAGCCGTTAACTAATGGTAAGTCTTTCGATAACTCTTAATTCTCTATTAGCAGTCGAAAGCGTATTCTCGTCTCTATCGCTAGGGATCACCCAAGCCACCAGTAGGTCGAGGTAGGGGTTAGTGCTGCCTAGCGAGATAGGCTAATTTATGTAGTTTTGTTTTAGGTAGGTACGGGGTTGTCTATTATAGCGTAGGATAGTCCAAATTTACCACCTCGTATTGTAGTGATAATCCGGTGTAGATTAATAACAATGCTCTTTCAAGGTGATGCAGGTAAGGGCTTAGAGATTTCAGGGAGGTCTAGAGGACTCGTTTCTATGGTGTAGGGCCGTACTCGAAGGAGGATCGTCTATCAACCAGAACGATAGACGACGGAGACAAAACAACGCCCACAGACTCGTCAAACTCGTCTAGAAGACTCTCACATCTCTCAAGGGATCTCACAACCAATCAGAAAGGTGTCGGGAGGGGTTCACCATTTGTTGGAATGACTCAGAGCGCTCAATGTAACGTGGGGGTAAGCATGGTATTGTGTAAATCTGAGGGAGCGTCTGGCAGACAGATGTAGGCCTGCGCCAAGCTATCTAATAGGGAAGGTGCGGCGATGGCCCAACAGCGTAGGTTCGAGCACCACCTCGTGGGCAGAATCCATGCCGATGAATGGTGATTTGCTCGACGAACCCCAAGACCAACAAAGACACCGACATGTTTCCAAGACTTGCTGGCTCGTGCATTCGCAGCATGTATCCCATCGGGGCCTAGAACAAATTCCACGCAGCCGTTGTGGCCCAGCGCAGTTCTTGCGCCTGGAGGCTGTGCTTGATCGTTTCTGGCCTAGTGAGATTCAACGTCATCTCAATCTCGCCAGGAACACTCGTTTGGGGCCTTTAATATTGGGGCCATCGCCTAAGGGGATCGAAGACCTGGTACTCCGTAGATTTTTCTGTTTTACTCATTCTCAGTCTTCATTTTCTACGCCTACACCTCCATTTCCATTCTCAAGAAACCCATTCACATACAAGTTCTAGTTTTTCGCCGACATTTCTTTCGTTCTCGATTCGTCTTCGACTTTAATCATATGGCGGCGAGATTCTCCAGATCGGGAGCCTGCCAAATCCACTCTCTCCCCACTCCCCGCAAATCATGAATTCCAACTGTCTGCAATACCACCAAGAATATGAACTGTCAAGAACGAGTACAAACGTCACCGAAGAGCAAGACGTTGACCTTCCTTACTACGAGCACGAAACCTCCCACGACGACCCCCAATCTCACCTCCTCACCGGCAACACCGTACAAGGGATTGCGAAACTAGATGCATCCCGACTCGCATGCCTGACTCCAACATGGCTTCGCAACCAATACCTACCACGACGCCCACGGACGCGAACGAAGCGTCGCTCCCGCCGATGTACATGCTCCCCTAGATCTTTTGCTCGAAAGTTCGCGTTGTTCTGCTATACCCTTATTACGACGATTGTGGTCATCGTGGTTGCTGGCGGCGTCTTCTTCCCCGGCTACACGAAACTTCCACCTCACTACCAAGCCTTGAAGCGACAGGTGTTGGCCTCTGATGCTCCGGGGCGCGCCAATCAGCAGCAACAAAAGGTGTTCATTGCAGCGAGTCTCTCCGATAAAGAGGGCAAGTTGTTCTCCGGGGACTGGGGGAAGAATGTCTTGGAGTTAATACGGATATTGGGACCAGAAAACGCGTTCTTGTCAATATATGTGAATGACTCCGGGCCCGAGTCGAAAAGGACATTCGAAGAGTTCGGACAGCATGTTCCTTGTGACCACGCTCTGGTTTTCGAGGACTATCTGGACTGGGACCAACTGGAACATCTCAAACTGCCAGGTGGTTCAAAGCGTGTCAAACGCATCGAATACCTGTCCGAAGTTCGCAACAGAGCTTTGCGGCCACTCGAAACATCAACTACCATGTTCGACAAACTGTTGTACCTAAACGACGTCTATTTCCACCCGGTGGACGCTGCACAACTATTATTCTCGACACATACCGTGGCGGAAGGGAGGACCGATTACCGAGCGGCATGCGCCGTGGATTTCATCAACCCTTTCAAGTTCTACGATACCTATGCCACCAGGGATCTCGAAGGCTACGGCATGGGGTTGCCATTTTTCCCTTGGTTTTCCGCTAATGGTGACGAACAAAGCCATCAGGATGTCCTGGATGGCACAGATGCGGTTCGAGTCAGGAGTTGCTGGGGAGGTATGGTGGCATTCGATGCGGGCTTTTTCCAGAAACAACCAGGATCGGAATACATACCAACGGCTGGAAACCAAAGTCCTAGCAATCTCACTGCGCCATACCGATTCCGCGCCGAGAAGGACACCTTCTGGGATGCCTCGGAATGCTGCCTTATCCAGGCGGATATTCAGGATCCGGAACCCGGCCAGTCAGGTATCTACATGAACCCGTTTGTCCGAGTCGCGTACGACACCAGGACACTATCCTGGTTGGGCTTCACTCGACGGTTTGAGCGCCTGTATACTCCTGTTCACTGGCTGTTGGATTTTGTGACCAACACACCAAGGTACAACCCAAGAAGACATGAGCAGCCGTGGCAGCAAGTCTCGGAAACTACTTGGATTCCTGATGAAACGTTGGAGCAGGGTGGCTCTTTTCAAGAGGTCACTAGGATAGCTACCCACGCGGGTTATTGTGGCCGCCGAGGTCTTGCTGTTATGAAAGAGGATGGTGATATTGTCGAAGGGGAACATAACTGGGAAAGTGTACCAGTTCCTTCTTGAGATGCATAGCGACGGCGTTCCGGTGGGCTGACTTTTGGGTCAACAATGGATAGAAACAACAATGAAGGGTCGTTGTTACAGGCTGGACTTCCGTATCGGCGTGGAATCGAATTGATGGTTGTCGACCGTCAGCCCAAAAGGTGATCAATATGAAAAGAAGCATTGAAGTCCCTCAAAGCCAAGTTGGACTTGATGGCAGTTGGGTCGCCGTCATGTTCACTTCAACATTTTATTTCCCAGTTCGTACCGCCTTCGGTTTATGATTTCACTACGAGCGGCCGCTAAGACCTGCCGGCTGCCCTGCTCTCAGGTTCTGTTGTTGTCTATGTTGTGGTGGCTTCTCGCGCGTTTTTCATCTCACTTCACTCTTTCACCTACCTTACCTTTGTGAAATCGCGACTCAACTCACTTCAAATCATCCTGCACTTCTTTCATTCCTGTGATCGCTGAGACATTTTCATCAACATGGCGCGTCGTATTGACGACCCCAACAATCTCAACGCTTTTCTGCGTCTGATAAACGGCACTCCGCTGTCTGCGAGTCCAAACGCACGCCCGGCTGCGGCTACTCAGGTACGTCTCACGTTCACCTTATATATATATCACCGCGAAGGATCGTCACTGACTATGCTAAAGACCTTGCTTCCTACTGCCCCCCTCAACGACACGCGCGATCAGACTGAACATGAATCAGAGCATGTTGAGACCACGACTGCTCCTGGCAGCACCGCTCCATCTGTTGAGGCAAGCCCTGCTGCCGGATCTCGTGCTCCACCACCAACACCCGAGACTCAGATGGGCAATGCGGATAAGATCGCTCCTCTCGACCCCATCCGGGAAGATGATGGTGATGGGTTGAGTGAGGAAAGAGGTACGCCAGTCAAGGCACCTGCTCAGCAATCGCCTCAAGTTCCCTATTCACCTGAGAGAATGGCTACTCCAAGCAGGGCTACTCCAGCCAGATCCGTCCTTGGTGAAATGCCAACGAATTTGACGCCAACCCAACGAAGACTCCTTGTGAAGACGCGAACCGACATTGGCGAGGAGGACAAGATGAGAATCATACAGAAGATGCAGAGCCAAGCTCAGAACTACATGGAGGAGACTGTTGAGAGATTCCGCCAGACAAAGGAAGTCATGCTCGCTCAGGCCCAACGACAAGCCGCAGAGAAGGCGTTATACAATATTTCAGGTATGCCCAAGCCGCTTGCCGTCACCCGAGTCCCCTACTGATGCGATTTCTAGCGAAGCAAGCTGGGGGAGAAGCCGCGGCTGTTCCATTTCCAGATTTCCAGGACGCTCCAGTGACTCCGGCATCAGTTGGTGGGGTGCAATTGTGGGACGCAGATGCTCCTGTCACTCCAACCGAGAATCCTTCTTTCATTGTGGCCTCTACTGCACCGGTTGAGAAGTCCACCCCAGAGAACGTGACCAAGGAACAGCCCGACAATAGCGACAATCTCACACCAGCTCCAAAGGGTGACAACCATGACAGTCCGTTCAAGGCAGCCACTTCTCCGACTATTGTGGTCACCGCAAGCACTGATACTGGCGGAAGTATCAGAGGTACAGATAGCGGCGAAGAGACGCACAGCGAGGGCGAAGACGCAGACACCGGAGATGAGAGCGGCGACGAAGATCGAGAACATCGCACTCACTTCAAGTCCTGGGGAACACCTGCCGCTCGCAATAAGCCAAGTAAGTGAGCATTCACAAGTCCGCGGCGCCACTAATAATTTCAGAATCTCGCGTTCGAATGGTAATACTCACGGGGCTCCCAGCCACTGCAGATTTGACCCTTGTCCAATCCCTTGTTCATGGCGGTGTTGTTGAGTCTATGAGATTGTCTTCTGCCAGTTCTGAGAGCTGCACAGTCAAGGCCCATGTCATCTTCACCTCTGCTGATGCATGTGATAAGTACTACGACAAATATCCCAATGGCTTTGAGGTTCGCTTCCAAGGCAAGAGATACCCGGTGCTTGTCAACAAAGGGGAGAACGTCGACGTGATCAGCGGCATGATGCAGGGATACCTTGACTGCGGAGCCACACGTGTCATCAAGGTCTCTCAGGTCGACGAGGAATGGGGTATCGTGGCATTGAACAAATTGGCAGAAGGCAAGAACAAGGTCCGTCAAGTGGAAGCCGTCCTTGACGCTTATCGCAATGGGGTAAGATCATTCCTTTTGGAGTTTCGAACAGCCGGACTGACTTTGGCAGGAACGTACTATTCATTTCCGCTTCGCCAACATCTCTGACGCCGTCCGATTCAAAGGCATTCTGATCCGAAGCTTTGATTGGGAAGGATGCTCTGTCGACTTTGCTGAGGATCCTTGCTCAAAGGCCACTGGCATCCACTATGATTGAGTGTTGAGAATTCCTCCGGCCTCCGAAGATGTCGTCCATCATATCACAGGTCCAAGTCAAGACTTGATTACGACACGAAGCGAGTGTTATCGAAGTCGGTGCGACAGAATGTGAAAGCGAACAGAGCAATAGGTCTTGCCGTGCTGTCATTAGGATATGTGAATCTGTGTTGAAGAGGGGAGGAAATATTTTCCCGCTGGACAAAGCCGTCACAGCACCCTACGGCTGTGGACTTGTACTGTAGTGCAAGCCAATGAGGCGAGAAACGTCTTTTCTCATCAGAAGAGTACTCACAGTGTCAGAGTAGCTCGTAGCTGTGCGGCAAATAGCCAAGGCGAGAACAAGCAATGCGACATGAATCCACCATCAACCGATCGATTTGGGATTTTCATTTTGCGCATTCCCCCACATTGAACTTTTGCTGTGGACCTTCAGCCTTTTCTTTTCTACCCCTCCAACATCAACAGAACTACTTTTGTTCAAGTTACAGCACTTTGTCTAGGTCTCTTGTACCTAGGTAGGCAGCAGAAAATGGGTCAACCATCCCACCAGGCGTCCAACGCCGTTATTTATACCACCTATGCAGCATTTCTGTGCGCCACATCCTGACTGTCCGCTGCGACCAGTGACTGACCGGATCTCATAGTGCTTTCGGGCTCTTCGTCGCATGGACACTGCGCCATCAGACCAAAGGCGAATACCTTGCATCGTTGCGAACACAGAAGGGTTAGAAATCATACCAAGCCAACACGCTTCTGCACCCAGTAGCTGCAAGTCCTCGTGCTAACGCAGTGGCAGGCATACCTCTGGCCTTCAACTTTATCGCCTCGGGTGAGTGCGCTCGACGGGCGTCGTGTCCCTGAAGCGGCAGCAAAAAGGAGCTTCCGCAGGTGACGCGGAGCGGATACGAAACCCAAACGCAGAACACAATAGACAAACAACATCGAGTTTGAAGGTCTTGCAAAAGATACAATGTTGAAACAGACACTATCTGAGGTTCGTACGGCTTGCATCAACGGCATTGCGCTTCTTCCCGCGCCTCTTCTGGCGAAAAGGGAAAACATTGCAATGTCTTGTATCTGAACGAGCAGGATTCTACAACATTGAAATTGTTTCCTTCGACGCCAGAAAGAGGGTGCAGGAAGAAGCCAATGTGCAGCACTACGGGCGCTTGTGTGAGAGCATTTCCTCGCTTTCTCATCCACCTGTACACATCGCATCGTGTACAGAGATGAGGAGGGAGTGTGAAATGCCTAAAAAAGCACAATGCTGAGATTGTACCGTTAAAACTCGATCAAGTTAATGCTTGCGTGGGAAACGTGCTGCCGCTTCTCCCCCTCTTGTCTCCCCCTTCCTAGCACAAAAGTTCGGACATACTAACAGCACCTTTTCCCCCTGGTGTACAGCTCTAGGATCAGGGATCCTGTTCTCATATCCTCAGATCTCGACCATCGCCGGTGTCCAGGGTCTGGTGGTGTATGCTCTGGCCTCGGCACTGCCGTTGTTGGTCTTTGCATACCTCGGACCGATCATCAGACGAAAATGCCCTGAGGGCTTTGTCCTCACGGAGTGGACGCGACAGCGTTATGGCGCGGCCACAAGCCTCTACCTCTCGGCACTCACGTAGGTCCTACCGTTCCTGACTGATGTCTGCTCTCATCAAAAAGTCGGTGCGCGATGGCTGACCTAAACGAAATGCAGGTTGATCACCCTGTTCTTGTACATGGTTGCGGAACTCTCGGCGCTCCAGCAAATCATCACCGCCCTCACGGGCCTCAACGGCCTCCCCGCCGTCATCGTTGAATGCGCCGTCACGACCATCTACACCTCCCTCGGCGGGTTCAAAGTCAGCTTCATAACCGACAACGTCCAAGGCGCCATGGTGGTGGGGCTGATTATAATCGGCTGCATCACCGTCGGCGTCAAGACGGAAATCAACCACGACCTGATCGAGCGCTCTCACTACCTCGACGCGAGCCTTTTGGGCTGGCAGCTCGTGTACATCTTGCCCGTTGCCATTCTCACGAACGACTTCTTCATCTCGGGATTCTGGATGCGCACGTTCGCCGCGAAGACCGACCGCGACTTGTGGATCGGCGTCAGCATCGCCACCGTCGCCGTCGCCATTATCCTGACTGTGGTCGGCGTGTCGGGCTTGCTCGCGGGCTGGTCCGGCGCACTGGGCGATCCGCCCGAGCAATCTTCCATCGCCTTCTTCTTGCTGCTTGAGCAACTGCCCGCCTGGGTCGTGGGCATCGTGCTCGTCATGACCGTGTCGTTGTCGACCGCGGCGTTCGACAGCTTCCAGTCCGCCATGGTGAGCACGGGGAGCAACGACATTTTCCGGAACCGGCTGAATTTCTGGTACATCCGCATCGCCGTCGTGCTGATCATTTTCCCCGTCGTCGTGGTCGCGCTCAAGTCGCCGAGCGTGCTGCAGATCTATTTGATCAGCGACCTAATCAGCGCGAGCAGCATCCCCGTGCTCGTCATCGGTCTGAGCGAGCGCTGCTACGCGTGGCGCGGCTTCGAAGTCGTCGTCGGCGGCCTCGGTGGCATCTTTACCGTCTTCCTGTTCGGCCTGGTCTATTATGACGGCGACACTAGACTGGCGGGCAATCTGCTCTTGTTGGAACAGGGCCTGTACGGGAACGATTGGAGCGCGTTCGGCGCGTTTGTCGCGGCGCCCGTGGGCGGGGCGCTTTGGGCGCTGGCTGCGTTCGGGTTCAGGCTTGCCATGCAGTGGGCCTGGGCCAAGAAGAACGGTATGAGGTTCGACGCGTTGGATAAGCCGAGTGCGCCGAGTGCGAGCTTTTATACGGGCAATGCGAGTGGACTGGTCGCGGATGGCGAAACGGACAGACAGACAGAGAGGAGCCTGTATACGGATGCGGACGGCGTGGAGAGGAGTGAAGTTGCGGTCAAGGGCAAGTTCTTCTAGTGGTGGGAGAGAAAAAGAATGGGGTATCATTGCTGGGACCACAGTACAGAGGGGTTCAGAACTTGTGGTTATGGACGTCAAAGGTGGAATCAACCTTGTTGGCGAGGGTGAGAGTGAGAGTGAGAGTCAGGAAAAAGCAGTACTGGGGATTCTGGAGCGGTACGGAGTATGTGCTCGCCATTCTGTGTGAATATCAGACTGTGTCTCCGGCATTTCGAGAGTGGCATCATGGCATCCTGTGTGGCATCGAAAAAGGTTCTTCCAGGGACAGGGCGTTATTTACAACTAGTATATCAGTCACTCATTTGCGCATACTTAGGTACATAATTTAATACACAGTCATTCAACATGCCCGCTTGAAGAAGAATGTTTCATGTATTGTTCGTTCGTCTTCGTTTTCATGCTCATGCTTCATATTTCGTATCAATAGTAGAACGCCTACAGTCTCCCATATCCTCTCTAAGGCCGAGGGGGCCACACCAAAGGATCAGAGTCTCCCCGAGAACGCAAAAAGCACCAGGCTTAAACGCTTGCAAAAGTCTACAGGAAAGACAGAACAGACGCGGGATTGACGATAACCCGAGTCCAGAATGCCTCATCGTCACTAATTGATCTGCGAGATATATCATCCCTCCCCATCGCCTCCCTTTCTTCTCCCTCTCCACCCTCCTTTCCACAAACAACACACGCCGTTCTGCTCACACCAGGTCCGGACTACAATTGCGTTGACCTCTCGATCTTCGTTAATCGCCTTGAACCCCTCGGTGTTGAGCCACCGCGTCAAATCTTCCAGCACGATTGGGTCGTACATCAAGATCTTTTCGTGCCACGTTGGGTTGGTGACATGAATTCTCGTGTCTGCAGTCGAAGCTGCCGAGTGAAGCTTACTCTCAAACTCAATAGCAGCAGCAATTTGAATGTTGATATCGGGCAAAGGTGGCGTTTGGCTCGGCGTGAGGGTGACATCTGGATCGGCCAGAGAATCGTCTATATCCTGCAGACGAGAAGACTCGCTTCCTGCTACTATCAGTTCTTGAGCAGGTGGCTTGGATTCGACGGTCTCAAAAGCTGGCGGAGAAGATACACTGATCAAAGGCAGTGTCGGTGGAGGTGTTGCTGGTTTCTTCGTCTCTTCCTTTGCTTTTGCTTTCTTCTTCGGGGTCCTCTTCTTCTTTACTGCAGGCTCAGGAGCATCTTCTGGTGGTTTGCTGGGAACATTCGCCTTAGCGTTCGAATCGTCAATGTCGTCTACGTCCATGACGAACTCTTCAGACAAAGATTTCGTCGTTTGCTTCGGCTTTCGAGATGGTTTAGCCTTCGTTGCTTTCTCGGCAGGGTCTTTGGCCTTTGGTGATGCTTTCTTTCGCTTCTTTGGCTCCTTAGGGGTCTTGGTTCCAGCATCTTCCGATTTTCGTTTCCGTGTTTTCTTCACCCTCGGAACTGGTCGCGCAGCAATATCGTGGACTTTGCTAAGGAAGTCACCATGTGTCAGGGTCTCGGCAGGCACCTCGTTGGTGTCATGGTCGGGTGAAGGACCATGTTTGTCTTCCCAACACTGGTTGAGCAATTCTATCATCTTGTCACGATTCTTGACAGCCTTGAATCCGTACGCTGATATCTGCTTTTGTAAGTCATGGGTCGAGAATCCAGCATAGGATGGTCTAGGAGGTGCAGTCTTTGCCTTGGTCAGGTTCGGCTTTGGTGGATTAGCTGGCGGTGGATTAGCTGGCGGTGGTGCGACGTCCTCCACAGGCGGAGTCTGTCTTCGGGGTTGTTGCACAGATGTCGACGTATGGAAGGACCTGGCCTGAGGAAGTGAACACAATGAGCCGCTAGTTCGTAACCCGGGCGTGATAATTTCATCTATATCGAGCAATGTGCCGCCTCTGTTGATGATGGGAGTCTGTTGCATCTGAAAACTGGTAGATTCTTGCTGAATACCACCGATACCTGGGGGCATGGGTCCACCTGGTTGTACAAGCACATCCTTTCCCGCAAGAGCTTCGCGCACTGCGGGAGACTCAACAAGATTGATGGTTTCGACATGCAAGAGGGCGTTGTCTTCATCACGTCCTGCAGCGTTCCACAGATTTCTTTTTCTGACAAACCGTACTGTGCCTTGACGAGCTTGAGGTGAGGTGGACTCTATCGAGAATGGCTGCGTGCGCTGTGGAGATATTGGGTCGGAAGACAGACAAACTTCCGACTGTTTGATGGCCTCTAAGGTGTCTCGAAGCAGTGTAGGAGACTCTTCCCGAGCCAGTTGGCTTGCCGAACCAAAGAGAAACTCCTGGCTCTCAACGGTTTTCATAACAGAGTTCGGAGATTGTAATCGACTCTTCTGGACAGCCTTTTTGGCCGTTCGAGGTTTCTTTGCCAGTGCTTTCGATGCCTTGTTAGTAGGCATCTCAACGACAGTCTCTGGCTCCCGCCCAGCATTGGCTTGTGTTGAAGCGAGATATTCCATCATAGGCGCTAGCTTTCGACCTGTCCGATGCTCTTCGCCATAATGCGAGGTAGCCAATCCAGTAATCGTTAGAGGCTTTTTGGCTGGAGACTTCTTTCTCTTTCTGCTCCCACCCTTTGCAGAATCTTTGGTCTGATCTGCCTTAAGTGGTGGTAATATAGGTTCTCCATGTGGCTGATTGGTCGCAACGAGCTCAATGCGTCTCCGCTTCATCGCCTCGCCATTGACATCGACCTTCGTGGCTACATTCTGAAGCCCAACATCGGCCTTCCCACCAGGGAAGGTGAAGGTTTGGAGGCTTTTAGAGAAGTTTGTAGGCTGGATTGCGGAATCTTGAGTGGCCGTCAAAGCCGTGGGACTGGACCTCGTCGGAGTCCAGTCCATTCGCCGGGGTATGGCCTTTTCCAAGGGCAATGGGCTCACATCTCCTTTCGCCTCAGGTAATTCCATATCAAGGGCTTCCTCGTCATGGTCATCCTCAGGGAAGTCGAATATATTGTTAAGCTCTTGGACATTTGGCTTGGGCAAAGGGGCCTGGGCCTTTCGCATCAGCCCCACAGACTTTGCAGTGTTGTCATGCTGCGAGCTCTTTTTCTCTCCTACGAACCTCAACCGGGGAGGAGTAGCGTTCTTTGTCAGGGAAGGAGAAGAGGCTGGTGGCTTAAATTTGTCTTTTCCGGGAGAAGACCGCAATGGTAGATTCTCCGCGCCAACTTTTGTAGCCAGAAGAGATCGTGCACTGGTGAAACCGCTCGAGAAGCTATCTCGTGCCTTGTCGGCGGACTTGAACCTCTTAAAGCCATCATCTCGGAAAAGAGCGCTTGGCGAAGGTAGAGGAGATGAGGACTCAGCAGGAGAGGGAGAGCGGGCGAAGGCGCGAGGTGGAGAGGAGGAAGTGAGCACGATTGCAGCCATCCTGTGAAGACCACTGGAGGGCCATTGGAGCAGGTTATACAGAGCCAATGCGAAAAGAGAACTTCATTGCAGTGCAGCTATTTCTAGCACACCACATCTGCTTGGTGGCGATTCAGGGTGAGAGCCTGACAGGATCAATGCGCACCATCTCAATCGTCAACAAAGCGCCGCATCCACAGCCTTGCCTTGGCGATACGCGATGGCACGTGACCTAATAAGGCTGAGCTTATGAAAGTCTATTCTACAATGGCACTGAACGGACACGATGCATTTTGATCAATCGTTTATTTTATCAGTCGCCCTAACTGGTGTGGGAGCCTGGACAATGAAGGAATGCATTTATTCCCATCTCGTCGATGTCTACTGACAAACGCAAAAGAGACCCAACTCCGGCAAAGGATTGACATTTTTACCATGCCTGGAAGTCTGGCCATTTGAGAATTCACCACCAACTACTCCGTACTGGGAAGCGTCTTGAAACCCTTGACTAATTGGGGGCCATATTCTGATAACCGGGAAAGGGAGGCTCCTGGAATCGATCGCCTATGCCACGAATGTCCCTGGTATTGCTGGGATCAAGTGGCGGAGGTGGTGAACCGGGTGGTGAAAACGTTGGTGAAGTGCGGCCAGTGCGGTTCGTTACCATACTTAAGTCGGAAGATCCAGAAGAAGGCGACACGATGTCATCTTGGGGAATGGGAAGCTGTGTAGTCGTACGTCGTCGGACCCCTGAGATAAGGTTAGAAAAACGAGAGTCATTGCCTAAGCGAACAACGCAAACTCACAAAGTATCGGATGGGCTAGGAAGTGCCCACAGGCTTGCAGTCCATTGAGCAAGGCGTAGGTCAAAGATAAAAAACCGGTGAAGACATGGTCCCAGATGGTAGCAATGCCGCTGACTACGGCTCTGAATGGACTCATCGAAGCAAACCAATCTCACGCAGCTAGCTTGAACTGTGTAGTGAGGGCAGAGGCAGCCACTGGGGCGTGTCGATTGATATACAACGAGTTGTCTCGACATGACCGGCATCAAATTGTCTTCGAGACCAGCACTTGTCCAAATCACCTGCGATAAATCGCGCAACATCGCGATACTTAGCTTGGAGAGCTGCCCAACTGTGCGATGCACCAGGCGCAGGTAGGAGGACGAGATTGTGGCCGTGCGGCTCTCAATTGAACAAGGCTAAGCAGACAAAGTAGAGTCAAGGGTCGTGCCGATGTCATGATCGGAGGAACGGGACGGAGCCATTATGGGCAGGTTATCGAAAACAAGTAACACGCCAGGCAGCAGTGGCCCTGGTGCCCTGCCCCGGAAGATGACTGGTTAAGGTAGAGCGATAGGAATCTTTGTAGAGGAATTGGGATCTGTGGAATTGGTCTACGTGGGCGATTTGCGGATATGGCGCTTGTGGTTGAACGTGCCGTCGAGCCGCGTACCGTCAAGCCCGTACCGTTGCTATACGGTCGACCAAAGGGTCAAATCATGAGGAAATCCCCAGCCACCCACCCACCCCGTGCGTGCCTTGACTTTGGCACCACCACGCACTCAGTGGTTCAGCTGAAGGCTAACTAGGCCTGGATCGTGCCCGGAATCAAGCTCACCAATAGCCTCACTAGCCCGTCTCGCACGCCAATATATCAGCCGCAAGCCCCGCTGTAACTGACGATTGGGGGCTGTATTGCGACTACTTATTACACCTGGGCAGAGTGAAACAACTAGGGCCTTGTTTCCTGCCGGCACTGTGGTTGCGACATCATTGATAAGATGCTGATTTACAATCCTGATCCTTCTTGAGCTTCTTTTCGCTCGCCAACAAGATTTGCCTGTCGTTCTTGGAGTCCTGAAGTCGTCCGCGACTCTTGTCCACTTGCGGCTGACTAAAAGCTTACGCAGAGCCTGACTTGATCAGGCTGAGAAGCGACAACCTTTCGCAGATCGTCGCCCTTCAAGCTGCTGGCCGCCAGAATGGCATCCGAAGACGAGTCGCAAACCTCTGATCATCATCACGATGAAAAGGATTGGGAAGCTCATAAGGAGGCTTTTCGATCATGTTACATCGATCAGAATATGACCCGGAAAGACGCTGCGCGATATCTGAAAGATCACTTCGGCTTCGATGCTACTCCGCGACAATGGGAGCGCAAGATCAAGCAGTGGACCTTTTCAAAGTATTCAAGTCGCGAGGAGCGACTCAGCCAAATTGCGCAGACCGGCAAGACCATTTATGAAGTCGGCCGACCTGGTCGAAGGCCTCGAGGACACACAGACGAACATGGCAGACTTCATCCACCTGAAGACCGAAACCTACGTCGCTTTGCACGCCGGGAAGCTAGTCGCTCGAGGTCTCGATCAAGGTCCACATCTTTCACCGAAAGGACACGTCCACAAGTTCAACAGCATTTTTCAGACCCATCATCACATGCAATCACCGACCAGACGTTCAATCTCCATCTCGGGAACCCGACAGCATTTCATCCACCAAGCAATGGATTCACTGTCGCTGCGATGCCAGCCGCGGGGCAGCCTGAGCAACCTGTGCAACTACACCTACTTCACGAGCAAAACTCCACTGCGTTTGGTGAACTTGAGGACCCTGACCTATTTCTCACCGTCGACAACAGCCAATATGGCCCTTCAAGTGGACACGAGCAGTTCCCGGCCTTCACCGACGAGATGATGCAGGCGGGCCCGCTAGGAGGAAATGTGCACAACACAAATATGCAGTTTCCACTGGACCAGCATAACTCTATCAACTACCCGCTGACAAACCAGGCGATAAATGTACCTGCCGAGTTCGACCAGTTTGCTATATCTGGCAATGAGCTGTCGATGAATGCAGGCTTGCTGGATAACAGCTTGATGGGCGAACAGCAGATGTTTGACGATGCGCCACAAACCACGCACGGAGTGAACGAAATGGGACAGTCAATACTGGATACTATACCGGTCCTGACATTCGATGTGGCAGATACAGATGCCACGAACACGCTGGCTACAGGTAGCCAGACCGAGTTTGATGAGATGGGAGACTTGACTGGCGACCTTCCTTCTGATACTCTAGACAACAGTGGCCCGTTGCAGACTGACGTGATGCCACTAGTCGAGGAATATACCAAAGCAGTACAATCTGCTGCTTTACGGTTCTTACGCAGCCATCAGTATGGTGATACATCTCTAGAAAAGCTTGCAGCCAATCTTGATCAACCAGGTAAGAGGAGTGCCCGCGTTTTGTGCGACAATGTCTGACTCTCTCTTAGGACAAATCTTCCAGGCCAGGATGGCAGTCATGCTTAACAACTTCGCCATGTCACAACAAAGAGCGCTGCAAGCGATGAGAGACAAGTGCAACAAGCTCAAGAAAAAGAATGAGACCTTGGAAGAATTCATTAATACAAGTGAGTGGGACACTCTGTTTGTTGGGATTGACATATTGAGCTGGCATAGGCACTCAGCTGCAATCGCCTTCTACGTTCGAGCCGCTGGCACATACCTCATTGCATCCATTGCAATCCCAAAGCTATGCAGTGCCCTACACAGGCAATTTCTGAAAACTGAGAGGGAAAATAGCAGATTCATCCGACGAGTGCCACTGGAAGGGCTGTCACGTGTATCTTCGGCTCCGGCTGAAATATAGTCCGGGGCTGGACGACTTTCTCAGCCGCATACTCTCCATAATCTTAGCTTCAGTCTATCTCGACGCCTCACAAACTCTTTTGCAACAGTGAGCCGACACGCTCGACCCCGATCAAGACCCTGCGCCAAACCTCTTGCCATGTTCGTCGCCAGGCAACAAATCATAGACATCTCCCAAGATGCTGGTGATCCTCTACGACCCTGACTGTCTTCTCCACAAGACCGTGGAATTATTAGGCTCGAAGCTCATACCTGCATTGGAGTCGCCTGCACGGCTCGAGGCGATTTTGGAAGCTTTACGTCTCTCCGAACACGAGATTCGCACGACTCAATTCAACCCGGTTCATAATGACAAGACGAGGACACGATTACTGAAGCTCACCTCAAATACGCACGACTCCGGCTATCTTCATCATCTTCAGACTGTCTACGATGAATGGTTATCAGCAGGGTTGATTCGGAAAAACGGCAATGTCCTACCTGAGTGTTTCTATCTTCCCACATCAACAGGCAAGCCGCCGCGACCGCCAAAAGATGCCTTTGCCCGAGCAGGATACTATGCCTTCGATATGAGCAGCGGAATCATGTCAGACAGCTACCGGGCAATCGTAGCGTCTGCCAATCTCGCATGTGAGGGCGCAGACATGCTGACCGGCCCATCGGTCGACACGGTTTTCGCGTTGTGTCGTCCACCGGGACATCACTGTGACGGTCGAAGGGCTGGGGGGTATTGCTATATCAACAACGCCGCGTTGGCTGTGAGTACGTGGCGGTCAGAAAGTCCCAATGCAAAGATTGGTGTTCTGGACATTGATTTCCATCATGGTAACGGCACCCAAGAGATCTTCTACTCCGACCCAAAAGTGCTGTACGTCAGCATTCATGGCGAAGATGAGTTTCCGTACTACACTGGCGCCGAGGACGAGAAGGGCTTGGGGAAGGGAGAAGGTACGAACGTCAATTTGCCGCTGAAAGTCGGCAGCCCGATTGAAGAGTATATGGCCAAACTCCAGTACGGGGTGAAGCGACTAGTCGACTACGAGACAGACTTCTTGATTATCAGTCTGGGCTTTGATACGTTCCACTCCGATCCTCTGGGTCATTTTCAGATTCACACCGAAGACTATGAGACGATTGCTAGGACGACCAGGCAAAGCTTGAAGAGCGTTCCAGCACTTATTCTTCTAGAGGGAGGTTATGTCATTGAACATCTGGGGAAGAATGTCTTGTCATTTCTTAAAGGATGGAAATCGGCCTGAACATGGTACATATCCATTCTGGCCTGCGATGCCTAGCAACACCTCTCGGTCAACAAGCCACAACGAGTGGGGTCAGCACACTGATGTCTGATATTCCAGCAAGGCTGCCACATTTTCCCGAAGGCTGTGGAGATTCGCGCCGGTGACATGACGTGGATAGCGTAGGATGTTTGGTTCAAACTTGGTCCGAGGCATCGGTATCTCGACGGCGCATTTCGAGGGAATCCTCTAGAGAGGCTGCGTCAGTCATTGCAGGGAAGTACAGCAGTGTCAACAGTACCCGATCCGTGAACCCGACCTCTATGGGTCTGCCAAAGGGCATACATGCCAATGCAGAACATGGCAAGCCCGAAAATTATATTGCTGAGGAGCTCGGCGGAGACCTGAGGGCTGTAGGAAGCCATGTTTGGGCCTCAGGCTAGTCCTGGGCACAACGAGGCTGAGAGCGAGATTCTTGCTGGCGAATATTTTCGTTTCTCGGTGAGGATAAGGATCGAAAGAGAGACATATAGGATAATAGGGAGACGAGCCATATACTTGTAGGTCCATCCCTTCCAGGTTCGATACTATTGCCTTGACATTTGACGGTTCTTGCATTGGAAGCTCGGCAGTGCAAATCACTTCTGGCCTTATGATATGGGTGAGCCGGCGCCACTAGTTGCTTGGCCTACGAGAATTCCCTGCTACCGCATTTTCGTACAATACATTCTCAGTACAAGACCACCCCTGCGAGATCGTGTAGTCGCAACTTTCCACACTAGGGTAATAAATGGCACACCAAAAATCGCTGTCTGACCACTGCATCTGGAAGACCTGTTACTTTCCACACTCATGATAGCGCAGGTATTTTTGGTGTCAAGATGCTGATAAAATTACATCATTCGATAGAGCATCTATTGAATAGCATATCTATGCTTTGACAATGATATGTTCTCATGCAAAAGTTGTTGATTCAGGCTTTAGGTACTGTGTTACCATGTATTTTGATGTGCCACTTATTTTTGTCACGGGCTCGCTGCCCAAGGTGTGGGCTTTCAGGGATCTTGTCACTTGTCTCTTCCAGGCGAGATGTTCTTAGGCTTAGCCTAAAGGGGCTACCACCGGCAACACGGCGACCGAACCCCAGCACCAGCACTCTACTCGAGACTCTACCACGTGAACCGCGAGCCCGGTAACGCTGTGACCTATACTTTGACTCCGTTTGGTGGATTCTGGATGGCTATCTCCAGCCAAGTCATTCACTCCAATACGAGTCCCGGCACATCTGACTTGAGGACAAAGAAAGAAAGTATACACGGTCCAGCGAGTTTAGCAGCAGAGATCGAGACTCCCGATGTCGCACAAGAGCAACATACAGAATCAGCAAGAGATAGTATGAATCATCGGCTTGAGGAGTGGAATTAATACATTTTCAACTGTTTTTCTGCTACATTTTCACAGCTTGATTTAGATTGATCCAAGATGTGCCGCCTCGCTGAACATTTGCTTTCCGTGGTAGAGCATACGTCCTGAAATGACCGCTTTCCTCCTCGTCATCTTTTCAATCGGACTTCATCTCCGGTTATTGCTGCGCATGCTCAAGATCTGAACCATACGGATGAAGATGTTCAAGAAGTCCAACTCAAGACTGACGCTCTCATTGACAACATCTTTTCTGACGAGGCCGCGCTCGCTCATCCGAGCGTGGTGAAGAATCTTCTGGACATCGTACAAGGTGAATCCACCAAACACAGCTAGACCGCCATAGAGCCAGATGTTCTCAGACCAGGCTAGAGTTCGAACCGCGGTGGCGGGCAAGACGAGCGGGGCAAAGCCAGAGATGGCAACGATGGCGACACCAGCAAGCAAAGGACCACCAAGGTATAGATACTTCTCTTGCTTGGCAGTAGCACCAACGAACGCAATGCTGCCCATCATGCCGACCGTATAGAGACCTGCGCGAGCCAGGATTGCCGGAGACATGAACATCAGCGGAGTGAGGATGGCAGCTTGCGTCACGTTGAAGGCAGTCCAGAGGGCGTACTTCTGCACGTAGCTGTTCTCTGTTAGTACCTGTCGCAGGATTGAAGTGTTTGGAAAGACTTACTTGTCAGGATGAGTGTAGAACGTTCCGTACATTGTACCGATGCTGGCTGCGAGACCCACACCAATGACCAACCAAGGGTTTGTGGCCATCAGTCTATAGCTCCAACCACTTGCATGCAAAGTGCGGGCGGCAATACCAATGATACCGACGCCCAAACCTGTGTGCATGAAGGTCTGGTTCAAGTATTCTCGTTCGTAGTCAGGCATGCCACCATCTTCTCTTGTTTCGCGGTTGAAGATCATGTTCGTTGCGACAATGGTGCCTCCGAGCAATGCAGCGCCGTATAGAAGCCGTGTTGTCAAGTTGCCGCTCGAAGTTGGGTTCGCAGGTTGATAGGATGGGGTCTGATAGCCGCGCTTGAAGCCATTGCGAAGAGCTGCGGACTTGAGGAGTGACTGAGGATTGACAGTGGTCGTCCGAGGGGTAAAGAATGAGTTCGATGACTTGGGGCTAGAATGAAAACTGCGGAGCAAGGTGGAAGGCTTGCTGAACTGTTTAAAGGCGTTGGAGGAGACCGCAAAGGGTCTCCTGAGAACGAAAGACATATTGTGCGTCCACCTGAGGTAATGCGAGTGACTGGGAGATGGTGAGGTTGATGATGGCGGCGAAGACGAGAAATATATATGTCCGGCGCAGGCAGTAGTAGAAGATTCGCGGAGGTCGTTACGAGAGTGCCACTCATCCTTGTCATCCACCGTAGAATGACGTCGAACACTAACAACCATTAGCGCAGCATTAGCTCATCACGTGGATCCGGATCTAGAAAGCCGACGTTCCTCGCCTCATCCAAATGATCCAACCACTTCCATGTACTCCTACTGTCTACTCATCACCGCAACCATGGATTCAAGTATTTGGATATCAGCAATTCTCTGAGATTCTTTGCAAGAATGTGCTTCGGACTGTCTTTAATGTCATTAACGAGTAGCGAAACGCGTAGACTAACTTGTTTGGAGCTTCTCTTGAGTTATTCCATTCTTCCTCATCACCATGCTTATTCGCTTCAGCCCATCTCCAAAAGGGTAAGCGAGGAGGTCGATCGGAAGCACATGCATCAAATGCGTTCAACGTTGATACCCCAGTCAGTCCATCTTAGAGGCTCATCGCCCCTAACTTGTCTCCATTGATTCGTTGATCGAATCAAGTCTTCGCAGTTGTCTTTGAGCATCCATCCCCACTTCTTGATGAACCCTTCCTCAACCTCCCAAGAATCAACATGCCATGGTTCTCCCCAGACCACCACACCCTTTCGGTCATCATTAGCTCCTTCGTTGCCATTGGAGTACCCCTCAACTTGCGGACTGCTGATCGAACCAAGTAAGTCAAGGCAAAGCTCGCAGTCGTCGTACGTTCCTTCTGCCTGGATTAGCGTGTCACGCAGACCGGCCAACGGAAAGAGATCGACGTATGGCGCATGAGGGACCTGACGCTGAAGAGCGGTGGGCTCAAGAGATGGTGGGACGGCAGCAGGCAGCGGCAGCTGTGAGATGCGCATCTGCTCTGACACCTCCTTTTCGCACTCGAACAAGTGAGTGATCCGAAGAGTAAACATATTCGTCAGCATCGCGCGGAAGACGTTGAATTGGATCAAGTGAATGAGGTGGTCAGATGACAGTGGGAAACGGCCTGCAGAAAGCTCCAGCACGACAGGTTTGATTGCTGGCAAAGGATGTAACTTTTGGACTGAAAGCGCGTGCTGGCTTGATGTGGATGTAGATGGTGGGGCGACCTGATGTCCATGAGCAATATCCTCGATCTTCGATCGCAGAGGGGTCCATTTCTCGGGGGCTTTCCGTCGCCCTAGGGTGATTGTCAGCATCGAGCATATGAGCCGTCTGATCAAGGTAACCGGTTCCTCGGGAGTGCTGGGCAGGACTCTTATTCTACGAGCGCTGGACCCGAATAGGCACCTTGAAGACGCGTGGGGGAACGAGAGAAGACTTGCGTCGGGCCCTCTGATTCAACCGATTCTGTATCTTCCGCCTGACTATGGGATCCGAAAGCCCCGTCCAATCATCTTTCTGGTCAACAGCCTGTCAACACCGAGTCAGTTCAGTGCGTGAGACATCTCGGATGGGCGACTGGTGGAAGCCTAGACTCACATCAACCGGACGCTGGATAGGGTGCACAACAACAGCCATATCCTACGCTACCTTGGGTAGAATACGAACCGAGTCTGTTCTCGATGTCTTCCCTCAGAGACTCGACCGTGACAGGAAGAGGAGGGAAGTCGTTGAGAATGGGCCAGAAAGCCCAGAAAGAAGTCGGGCGTCCAATTAGGCCGCTTCTCCGCCGGACGGAGTTTCGTATACGACGTGCCGCTAATGCTGTTTGTGATCTAGTGCCATGCAGGATGCTGATGCGCCAAACCTGTTCTGGACGCAAGACTCCAGCAAGGCTGTACTATCCAAACATGCAGCCTCTATGTTGAAGTCTTCCTGCAAGTATAAAAGGCTCATCAAGACGGCCGAAACCCGAGAAGAGAGCTTTCTTCTTGAAATCAGCTTCTTCACCTCATCCATTGTCATTATGGCCGGCAAAACCATCTTGATCACCGGCTGCTCCGCTGGAGGCATTGGCTATGCCCTCGCTGCAGAGTGCCAACGTCGAGGCCTCACAGTCTTCGCGACTGCTCGCACGACTTCCAAGATGTCCGCCCTCGAAAAGCTACCCAACATGACCCTTCTCCCACTGGACGTCACTTCGCCTTCGTCGATCGCTGACGCTGTCCAACAAGTGAAGAGCCGTACGGGTGGCAAGCTCGACTACCTCCTCAACAACTCTGGCCAGAACATCATCATGCCAGCACTCGATCTTGACATCGACGACGCCAAAAGGATGTTCGAGGTCAACTTCTGGGGCGTCTTGCGCATGATTCAGGCCTTTGCCCCTTTGCTTATCGAGGCCGAAGGTACAATTGTCAACATCGGCTCGATCGTGGCGTATTTGCATGCGCCGTATACCGGTATGTCACATCGTTCATTCTAGCCATGTTGCAGATGAGATGAAGCCGCCCGTGTCTTTGCAGAGACAGCAAATTGACGAATGTTTGTCTGTGTAGCTGTATACAATGCCTCCAAAGCCGCCGTCCACATGCTCGACGAGACACTACGCATCGAGTTGGCGCCGCTGAACGTTAAGGTTTTGACCGTCGTGACCGGTGCGATCAAGACGAATATCCATCAAAACTCACCAAAACCTCAATTTCCGCCGACATCGAGGTATCGGGCGGTGGAGAAGTATTTGGAGAAGAGCTGGAACGATGAAATTGACCGCAACGCGAGCACTCCCGAATCGTTCGCCCAGAAAGTGGTGGGAGACGTCCTCGGGGGCGCGACGGGAAAGATCTGGAGAGGGATGTATGCCAGTATGACGCGGTATGGGAGATACTTCATACCCATGTGGATGCAAGTAAGTTTCGGCCATACACTGTAGGGACGAAGCGAACCTCGCTAACAGAGAGCAATAGGATAGCATCTTGACCAGGGGCACGGATCTGGACAAAGTGGGGACAGGAGGATCGTGATATGCACGTCGCGATGGCTGGTGAAGCCATACCAAACAAAAGATTACTGCCGCCATATTACCCTATATGGCAATTCAACTCCCCGATCCGGCTGACCGCTTTTGTTTTGTTCAGCCAGCATTGATGGATATTCAGGTATATAATTTCTCTTCCCAGTCACGTGTCATCTCAATTTCTCTTTTGTATTGTATCCTGCTCTCTCCCTTCGATTTCTTCGCTATCTGCCAGCTAGCTGGGGAGGCATCGTGGCGCTCTCGATCGTTGATGGTGATGCGTGCCGCCTCACTTACCTTCCCTCCATCTCCACCTTGGTGCAATGCCACTCGGGGCTTCACGAGAACTTACTCACCAGCGTAAACTCCTTCACTGCCTGTACTGCCGGCCTTGCCCACCACATCGCCGCCGTAAGTGAAATACCTGTCGAGGTTCCCGTCCACCGGCGCCGCGTTCGCCACGATTTCCTCGGGCGTGCCAAACACCCACACCGTCTGCTGGCCCATGATCATATGCTGCAATATGTGGCAATGCATCATCCACACGCCGATGTTGGCGGTGGTGACTTGGACACGCCACACGCGCCAGCCGTTGACTTGAGTTTCACCGTCTTCGCCCTCACCTTCGCCGTCACCCGCGCCGGTCGCCGTTGATGCAGCGTCCTTGTAGGTGTACAGCATGGTCGTGTCGCGGCGCGAGCCCGTCCATCCAGCGACGTTCTGGGCCTGAGCCTGAGCCAACAACGCCTCGTGTGCCTCGGGGCTGTAGACGCCAGGACCGCTGCCCATGTCCCAGTACGGTCCGCCGTGCGCGTGCATGGGATGGACACCGTAGACGCCGGCCGGTTGGGAAGCGCTGTTCTGCCATACGATTTCGAGGACGTCGCCTATGGATGCCGGGTACGTGTGGCTGATCGGGTCGAAGCCGGGGTTGGCCTGGTTCGCAAGCGCACGGCCCAGGTCCGGCGGGGTGTCGTTGATCGTGCCGTTGCCCAGGATCTCGACGAGGTATGGGATGGTTGTGGTCGGGCCAAGTGGCGGACTTGGGCTGTCGAGCCAGACTTCGTTGTTGGAGGGGAACAGCGTGTGTCCGGTGGTTTGGTTGAGGATTTGGCCTGTCGAGATTATTACTCTGCGGGTGACGGCGGAAGAGGGCGGTGCGGTGCCGTAGCGCGAGAGGGTGCGGAAGGTGTATTCGAGCCAGGATGATATCGAGGTGGGGAGGGCGATGAGGGGGGATGAGGGCACGGAGTTAGGGTTAGAGTTGGCGGTCTGGGTTGACAATGGTATCGGTGATGGTGATGGTGATGGTGATAGCAATGCTAAGCTTGACGGACTTGGAGACTGTGGTTGCGGTTGTGGTTGTGGCTGTGATTGTGGGTTGGAGTTGGGAGAAGTATGAGGCTGGTCCCGTCGCAAGACGGGACCGGCTTCACTGTTGGGCGTGTTGTAGTTCAGCTTTGCCCACGCCGTGACGACGCCTTCGCCTGCGCGAGTCTCGAATTGGATCCAGGAGGACGTCTTGCCCTGCAGGTCGGATGTACTCTTGGTGTGTAGGATGAAGCTGAATCTCTGCCCGGAGTCCACCTGGATGTGGTCGGTTTCGACTGGATAGACGTATGAACTGTCCGTCTCGATGATGGTGAGATTGTCGTAGTCTTCAACGGCAAACGTGACGAGCGAGATGGCCGTGGCTCCGATGACTCGGACGCGATACGTGGTGTCGGGCTCGACGTCGAACTCGTGAGGTTGGCAGGATGTGTCCGAGGGATTCGGGGTCTGTGGACTGGGAGCGTTTCCGCTTTGCCCGTTGATCTGGAGAGCTAGCGGGTCGCCTGTCCAGATGTATGGAACGGCGGTCAATTTGGCTTCGATGGTCTCGTCTTCGTCTGGGTAGAAATCACCAATAAAAAGCATGAGTTCGTCATCATAGGCATATGGTGGGGGTTGGGCGTCCTTCACGATAAGAGGTCCAGTCGCTGTCGTGGCTTGGAAGCCGACGTGAGAATGGTAGAACAAGGTGCCTGCAAGGTCGGAAGGAGGATAGAGCTCGTAGTCGAAGAAATGACCGGGCGGTATAGGCCACTGCGAGACCTCTGGAGATCCATCGGAGAAGGGGAAGAGATTCTGGCTCAGACCGTGCCAGTGCTGCGTCAAATCGTCAATTCTTTTCGGCTGACCGGGATCAAGCTTGGCTAGAGTCTTCCGGGGGAAAGGTTCACTTACAATTGTGGTGTTGACGTCGGCGTCGTTGTATACGCGAATCCAAGTGGTCTGCTCTGGCTCCAGGTAGATGGGCGGGCCGGGGTATGTCCCATTGACGAGAGTCGAGAGACGTTGCTGACAGTTTAGATTGATGGTATCAACGGTCACTCGAAGGACGATATCAGGGAGAAAATGGACGTCGTGCTTGACCAGCCTCGTGGAGCTGACGAGGGCAATGGAGGCTAGGAAAGACAGCCACACGCCGAGCGGGCGGGTGGGAGACGGAGTCCAGACTTTGCAGAGCATATTGCATCAACACATCCTCTGTGAAGATCACACTGATCATGGGATGGGTGCTCAGCCATATTTCAAGTTGCTCTGGCTGTGACAGCCCGGTCGTGATTGAGTTCCACAAATGCGAGATCCCGAGCCGTGTTCGCTAGGTATTTGTCTCCGAGCCATGCACAGGCACAGGTACGCTTGCAAGCTCGCTTTTAGAGAGACAACCAGTGTGGTGGTAGTACACACCGGATGAGACACGGGGTTGTATTTTTGGACGTGATGGGCATGTCACTTTTAAGGCGTACATACAAGGCTGACGAGGGTGGGCCGTCCCATCATCTTGCGGAGGTCCGTACCCGCTGGAGACCCGTTGGCAGATTTGACGAGCATCTTTGTACGACCTCGGAACATAACTGGGGGGTACCGTTGTCTGCATCGGATCAGGGTAATCCTTTCGATACAACAAATCGGGGCCGCGAGGCTGTGCGAAGGATTCGGCTTTTGGTTGGTGTCAAATCAACTCGCCGAGTTCGCTTACTCACTTTCCAGCAGACCAATGAAGGCAGCTTCCGACTGGACCTAGCATATGCAAGGTGCCAGACGAAGGCGGATGAGCCTCATCTCACTCGCCTATTTGTAATGCTTTGTGCAAATGCAGTCGGGCTTTGCGCCGGATGAGTTTGTCCGGGTCATCAACGGTTCGAGGACTTCTGAGAGGACATCTGCTGATCCCGCGGACATGAATGAAGGGATGGAAGGGCTGTGTAAACCAAGAAAGATAGAAGATAGCCCTTTCGGGTCCGTGGATTGTTGCGATATCTCACCTACCAACTGTCCGTTTGATCTGAGTGACCTCATAGCTATAAAGTCTTGAGGAGGTGTGCTTTGAATCGTAACTCCGCCGCCAGCCTTTCGCTACCAGATTTGATCGCAATACCGCTTTGCCAGTGAAGTCAGGCAGTCATCACCATCACCAGTCGAATTCGATCTTTCTGCCACACCTGACCCTCAGTAATTCATCATTTAAAGTCCCCGAATCTTCCTCTAAATTGGACCGATGGTAGAGGCCTCTGTCACACTCCGCTTAGACTCACCCAGGTGGTCTAGCGGTATGTGTCTGGGATTCCCCCTCGAAGGTAGGCCGATTTGGGTTGGCGGGTGGGGCCTCGTCTCCTACTGACAGAGATTGGGAATCCTGGGGTAGAGTAGCAGGTATGCTAGCAGACTGGTCCGCGAGACGCCCGTTGACTTTTTGCTTCTTTGATATAATGGATTCTGTACTTTTTTGTGGGTGATTCTGCGGTCGACTTTCGTGCAGTGCGGCAGAAGGGAAGCAGGACTCCCTCTTGAGTGGCCGCCTCGTTTATCACTATATCACAGACTGCGAGACGGCCTTCACAACTTGGGAAACCTCACTCTCAAGAATTGACTAGGCCACGCGACATCGACGTTTAGCTTCCAGGCCACCTTCAATACCCATTCAGGTTCTCTCATGAATTGCCTCGCAACGAGGATCACGTCGGCCATTGGCTCTTTGCCGCCCTTTGCGTCGGTCATTTCTTTGGCAGCATTGGCTTCTTCCCCTATGCTCCTGTCAGGCCCTTCTTCAACGATGTCTCGCGCCTGCTCGGCTTCTGTGATCAGGCCCACGGCACCGATGAGAAGTTTGAGGTTGTTCGTCTTGGCCATTTGCCGGATCTGGTTGGCAATCTTGGTTTGGTAGTCCTTGGACGAAAACATATTGATCCGTTGTAGTGGATGGTTGCCGCCACTGCTGACATCGAGCAGATCAACCCCCAGAGCCGGCAGGAGACGAGCCAACCTCATGGTACTCTCGACGTCCCAGCTACCATATTTCTTACCAAGCTCAGACTCCTCCATCCATTCCGTCGAGCTGACACGGAGGAACAACGGCATATCTGTCGGGATCTGGGCACGCACAGCTTCGACGACTTCGACCAGCAAGCGGGTCCGGTTTTCAAAACTACCGCCATATTGATCCGTACGTCGGTTGGTGATGGGGCTTAGGAATTGATGAATCAGATACCCATGGGCAGCGTGAATTTCAATGACATCAATGCCCGCCTCGACCGCGCGTCTGGCGCTTTGGGCAAATGCCATGACAGTCTCTTGGATGTCGGAAATGGTCAACTGCCTTGGAGGGTAGAACCCGCCATCTTCAGCTAGGCCTTTGCCATCCCAGGAGTTTTCGTCCCCACCCATTGGTCCGACGACGTCTTCGGGCCATCCACCAGCCTCTTTCGATGCACGAAGAGAGGGCTTTTTCAGGGACGCTGCAATCCACGGCGGGACGGTGCTCGACTTGCGACCGGCATGTGCGAGTTGAACGCCAGACAAGGCCCCCTGCGCCTTGATGAAGTCCGACACGCGCTTGAAGCTCTCGGTCTGAGCGTCGCTCCAGATTCCAGGGCAGTGGGGAGTGATGCGGCCGTTGGGTTGGACGCCGGTCGCTTCGATGAACACCAGTGCGGCGCCTTTGAGTGCATAATGTCCAAGTGTGGCGACATGGTAGTCGGTAAGTTTTCCGATATCAGGGCCTTCGGCAGCCGTGGAGTATTGACACATCGGCGCGACGACGATGCGGTTCCGCATGGTTTTCGAGCGGATCTTGAGTGGTGTGAAGAGTGTCGGAGTACTGGAGGAAGGTTGGAAGGGCGCGCCAGGGTCAGCAACATGTCGAGGAGTGTAATATGGTAAATTTGGCACAGCCGGATTGGCCTCTTTGGGAAGTAATGTCGAAGACATCGTTGACTCGAGTAGGTATGCTAGGAAACCTGGATGATGCGAAGGATAATTCTGTTAGGATAGCGAAAGCGAGTATCTAGCTGCAGAGAGAACTATAGTATAGTCTAGGGGCAAAACCGGACCATAGCAGAAGTTCTATAAAAATTCAGATGCAAAAGAAAGATCAGTACACGGAAGTAGAGGCATTACTTGAAGAAAGATGATGCGAGCATTGATTTCTAAGACGATTGATAGAGATTTGGAGATGGAGCTCATAAGCCGGAGGACACACCGACTCTGTGCCGAGGTTGGATTCCGGGTTCAAGATTCATAAGCTGTTCTCCACCACCCACTTGACAGGACGGTGTGAAAGGTAGTGGTGGATAGAGAATATCTGCCAGAACGAGTGGCAGGTATAGATATACCTAGGTAGTTACCAAGGCAGCTCGAATCCCTCACGGTGCCAGAATTTGCCGGTATCCTCCATTCCTTTCTTGCTCACGATATTATGCCACAACTTCCTCGCAGCTTCATCAGCCTCGACTGCCTCAGGTGGCATGGATTCTTTGGGTAAGATATTGGTCCTTACGAAGCCGGGGTGAAGAAGCATGACAACAACTCCCTTGTCCTTCAGGTCCATGGCCATACTCTTGCCAATCGAGTTGACCGCAGCTTTCGATGAGCGATATGCGTAGTGTCCGCCAGTGCTGTTGTCGCCGATTGATCCCACACGGCTGGAAACAATGCCTATCTTGGGACTGGTCGACTTCAACACATTCGGTAAAAGGGCTTGGGTCAAGAGCAAAGGCCCATAGGTGTTGACAGCAAATGTGCGCTGAAGGATATCGAGGTTGGTCGTGGTAAGACTGTCCGCTTGTGGCCCCGAGGCAACACCTGGCACGATATTTGGTTACCTTTTGAAAACAGTCGCAACGGGTTCCTGAATTTTATCTGACCTGCGACATTGAGCAATATGTCAACCGTCACGTCTCCAAGCGACTCTTTGAACTGCTGAATGGATTCTGGTGAAGTCACATCGACGACCGCAGTGTGAACCTTCGACTCAAGGCTCTTCAGGCCTTCGCCATGGTCTCGATCCACAGCATATACGGTGTAGCCCTACCTGGAGAGTCATTTCTTTAGGCTGTGACGGAGGCTGCTTCAAATGCTGACCTCGTCGCACAGTAGGTTTGCAAAGGCATAGCCAATGCCGACTTCTGAGTTGGCTCCTGTAACGACCACCGTAGGCATTTCGATAGTGGAGTTCACTTCGTCTGAAGCTGAAAAGTAGATCAGGGGAGTGTCTCTTATGGTGAGATCAGTCTGATTTCTCTTACTGCTTGGCAGTGTCAGGCCTTTGCTATTTGCTAGAGGATGGAACTGATGATGCCGCATTGGTGAGGGAATGCTCACAATGCTAAACCTTTGTTGCTTGACCTTGACTGTGGCCCTGACTTTGACCTTTGCTTAAAGCTGAATGACGTGATTGATGTGCCGGATTGCGCATTGATAAAAAGCGAAAGGCTAACTAGATGATGAGTACGGAGTACGCGTGGTCGAAAAGGGTGTGAAGTACGGAATACACGGAATATCATGGTAAAATTGGGAAGGAGGAAAGGCAATTTGCCAAGCTATTAGGGCTGCACCGGGCGTGATAGGCCCCTCAAGGAGGCTGAACTGGAGGCCACCACCGGGGCACTTAATCGATGTGGGACTAGAATAGGCATGATGGCCGCAAAGGATGGGGGGCGAAGGGGAGCTTGTGGGAGCTGCAACGCAACCCGAGACCCTGTTGACGTCTTCCATGCTCCGTTTAGCCTCAATCGTGGGCCCCTAGCCGCCTAGCCGCTCATGGTAAATGCCTTATCATTTGCTTGGACTGCATACAAGCACTCTAACTGCTCCAAATGCTACGTGAAGGTCCTTGCCTGCGGCTCTCGAGGCAAAAGTGGCTGCCGAAGAGGATTGCGCATCCTTCTCCTCTCTTTCCATCATTCACTACTTGTCCCGTAATCTGTACATATCTTGCTTGGTGTTCCTTCACGATTTCATGAGTTGAAATCTCCGAGCCTCGGATCTTTAGCAGGATTAAATGGACGCCCTGGCAGTTCCAGATCACCAATCGCTTATTCTTGCCCCCCTCGGTGTCCAGCTCGCACGGGTACGCCTGTCAGCTTGTCAGCGCTGCACGTGGGATGATTGACCTGATTCCCGAGTCCGTCAAGGACAAGTTCAACAATACCATTGTCGCAATTCACAGGCGCGACCCCAGCAGCGACTCTTCCAGCAGTGGTTTGCTCAGTCCCGTGGGAACACCTCGATTGCGACTGGGTCACAAGCGACAGTTGAGCCTATCAAGTTTCAACCCTAGAAAGTCATCATGGACGGCAGCAGCGATTACTTTGTTGACCATTATCAGCCTTTGGTGGTCCTTCGGTCCGGTAAGACGAGTCGGGCTTCAAGCGCCAGAGCAGCAAGATGACAATGGGCCAATACCGCTCGGTCAATCCCGATACCTGCAGGGAAGAGAAGTCTTCTGGTGGGAGCAGTTCCCTAGGTGAGTCGGCTGTTCATGGTGAGCGCGCGATTCATCCGCTGATTCTTTTTCAGACTGCACGGCTTGTACCGCGGGCGCAAGAATACCGTTCCCTTCTCTCAATACGTTCCCGAACAGCAAGCTGAATCTCCTAATCCTTTCGAATTCGGTTCTCATTTCAATGACGAGCCCGTCGAGTTGCCCTCTTCCCTACCTGTCGAATTGAAGCATTGCTACATAAACGAAGAAGACAAAATTCTCCCACCCAGGATCAAAGCATACAATGGTCTGCCGCAGGGGATGTCAGAGCCTCTGTTTGGCTCCCGGAAAGAGCTTGGATTGAATGATGAAGTATGCTATGATCGCATCAACCGCTTTGCGCCCTATGGCTATGGATTTTCGAAAGAGGAGGGCGGCTTGGGTCTAGAGGTGGAAGGAGATACTGAAGGACTGAGCAATGTTCAACCCATCAACTGGAGCAATATAACCTTGGGCGCTGCGCAACAACGCTGTTACGAGAAGAACGCTGGCAGCATCAAATCGCGGGCTGCGTTCATTATCCGAACTTGGAACACCTTCGTCTACACCGAGTACCATATCATGATGCTCCGAGCCATGATCAGCGAGCTCTCCCTAGCTTCAGGGGGTCAATACACCGTTCATTTCCTCATCCACGTCCAGGATGATAATCTGCCCATCTGGGCCGATGACGATCTCTACAACCGAGTCCTGAAAGAAAGCCTCCCTGACGAATTTCAAGGCATGGGCACACTCTGGTCCGTTGCTGAAATGAAAGTCGTGTACCCTGCCCCGTTTCCCGAGAGCATCGAAAACTTCTCAGGAGGCGACATCTACCAAGCCTACCGCTCATTACATTTCCCTCTGCAAAACTTTGCATCTCAGCACCCGGAGTTCGACTATTTCTGGCAATGGGAAATGGATATTCGGATCACAGGACACTACCGCGAATTAATTTCCCAGATCACGTCCTGGGCAGAAGCTCAGCCGCGCGAATACGCTTGGGAGCGTTCGTCGAAATTCTTCATCCCGTCCCTACATAACTACTCGTACGCAAATTACGCCGAGTCTATCGTGCAAGAGACCAAAAATCCTATCTCTGGCCCTCAACTACCCCTTTCGCAGCTCCTCGAAATTCCAGTACAAAAGCCTGCCTCCGACGGTACCGAAATCACAGACTTAATTACATTCAATCCCTTATTCGACCCCTCCAGCACTCGCTGGGCCTTCCATAACGACATCACAGGCTACGGCGTCACTGAGAATGGCCGTCCACCCACACGGGCTGCATTGATCACAGCCTCCCGCATGTCTCGCCGCCTTCTCCTGCTCATGCACGAGGAAACCAAGCAGCACAAACATACCATGTTCCCCGAGATGTACCCGGCTAGCATCGCGCTACACTATGGCTTGAAGGCCATCTATGTCCCGTTGCCTCTATACTTTGACCGCGACTGGCCGTCAAAGCATGCCGACCACGTATTCAACAATGCTCCGCTGGGCACAAAAGACAAACAAGCCGGCATGGACCATGGAAAGGGGTATTTTCATGGTGAGGGCGGCAGCGTGTTCGGGCCGGGGGAGCATGTGTTCCGCGGCGCAAGCTATTATTCCAATGCAGGTTTTGCCGGCTATCTGTGGCGACGGTGGCTAGGTAAGGAGAATGGCAATGATGAAATCGCCTGGGAGAGCGAGGGTGGACCTGGTGGTGGCAGGATGTGTTTGCCTATGATGGTGTTACATCCGATCAAGTTTGAATGATTACGAGAATCATGTCAGCGACGGCGTCTTATGATGAAGGCCCCATGAAGAGGTGGTGGTTTGCTTGCTTTCACTTTTAATACCAAACCAGCGAGGCGTTACGGAGTTGTTGCACATAGAACATGTGCCATAATGGGTGTACTTGGGGAGGAGATTGCACGAATACTTAATCACATTGTTTATGAGAAGAGGTCGCAGATGCTGCCAGACTTGATCAGCCATAACACCAAAGTCTTACGACATTTCTTCCCTGATGCTTCCATGGCCAGGCCGTCAAACACATCAAGCGCTTAAGGCGTCCAAAGGGTCGTATGAGAAAAAAGTATCTACCAATGACCTTAGTGATGAAGTCCTCTGAGCCAGGACATCTCACGACAGCACCTTGAACAAGACTACTATCTTCTAGAAGCCCTCCACAATTGCGAAAACGCCGGCAGAATGCCACGAGCTAAGCTTCGACTCTACTTCGACATGAGATCAGGCTTCACCTACCTCGCATACGTAGTGACGCGGAGATCCAGCGTGTTTACAGAATGCGATATATCGTATGTTCCAGCCGATATGTACGCCTTGTGGAAGACCTGCGGCAATCCTGGGGCATGGACGACCAAAAGTGAGGTCTTGAACCCCTATTATCAGCAAGATGGCGCTGAACGGGCCAGACAAGCCAGAGTGGATCGTGAAGTCTTCTGCCCTTTGGGCTCGCAAGTTCAATATTCCAATGAATTTTCCGCCTGAAGGATTTCCCAAAGTCTCCACCACGCCGGTACAGCAGGCGTTGTGTGCAGTGGACGTTGAATGTCCTGAAAAGATGCCGGACGTTTTAGACGTCATTTTCGACCCGTTCTGGGTTCAGCAGAAGCCGGTCTTTGACATCCCAGTCTTTACCAGGACATTCGAGGAAGTACTTGGTGCTGAGTTGGCACGCAAGGTTCTGTCGACTGTAAGTTCGCTCCGGGGTCCCTTTACATGGCGCACGACTGAAGTACGGCCGAGGCGGGGACGGACGAAGTCAAAGGCATGTTGGAAGAGAACACAGCGTCTGCCTTCAAGGAAGGAGCGTTTGGCTTGCCATGGTGGGTTGCAGAAAATCCGGCTGGAGAAAAAGAAACCTTCTGGGGCATCGACCACATGGGCCTGGTCGTGGACCATTTGGGTCTGCAAAACCCAACTGCTGAATCGATGAGCGGAGGAGGATGGGGTGTCATGCTCTAGTCATGGACCAGGATAATCAGACTGCCCAAGTGCGCAGTTGAGGGTGCAGCAGAGCCAGCTTCGTGTACTGGTAGCATCCATGACTTGATATTAAATACATTGTTATGGGTAGAAGCCGCCTGAGTCAGGGAGACAGATCCTCCCCGGTCCTCTAATACTCGAGCGATGATGGCGGCGGCGGCGATGTTTCGGGAAGCAAACTAGGGTCCAGTCGGCAGTGTAAACCACGTTCCAGGGTGACGCACGCATCAATAGTCGCAGCCACATTCAGTACAAGTACCCGTGGTAATCGACATGTAAGTCTCCTACGAAGGACCTTACTCAGCTTACTCTCTTCAGCGCGTTGATCATGCTAGGTGCTACGAGTAATGGTACACTGCCTCGAATGGTTGAAAGGCACGCGAGGAAGCAATCCCCCTACGCACTCCACCTATGGAATGACGTTCCCTACTTACGCGTTCCACAGAGTAAAGACCAAATCAGGGTTCTGGTGGATTGATCGAGCTGAGAGCAAGGTAAGGAAGATCCTGTCTATGGCTATCGTATGTCTACTATATGATCCCTCCTGTCACTCACGCATCCTCCCGCCGTGATGCCCCCAACGCCACGCAATCGTCAAACCCATCTCGCCCTTGATTCCTCCCATAATGTTCCTCTTTCTTCTAGCCAGCTTCTGACGGAAAGTCCCGAGCGCATGGCTTTTCTTAGAGTTGGATGTCTACCCTGCATGAGTGGTAACCGACCAGGAGGACAAGAAGGAAAAAGGGTTGAGCCAATTCTCCAGGCCATTGATTGGTCATCTTCTGACTGGCCTGGAGGCGCCACATGAGTTGTCTGCGGAGCTGAATTGACAGTCTCTACACTATCTAGGTCGAACACACGGCCACCCAGAGGTGCATTTACACGTATCTGGAGAACCTTCCCCAGAGGCTACTTATATGTTTCTGTTCCATTCTATGATCCTCGGGCTTTAGCAGCCACATACAGTTGAAGAGCGACGTAGCAGCCCGCGCTCTAAATGTAACGACTATGTCCACCGACATCACCCGCGGAGGCCCATTCCCCAAAGGTACAAGACACGTATCCTGGAAAACGTTGGAAACGCCCTGCCACCACCGCCAGTGCCTTGCAGTACTGAAGGCCCGAATGCGCGACGTGGACAGAATGCCTGGACGCTGGACTCATCGCCTACTCCCTTTTGGTTGCATTTTGACTTGATCAGGTTAGTCTCACGAGTGTTCGTTCGGTTGAGGCACCAGCTAGCCTGACTGCACCTTCTGACCGTCAAGAAACACAGTCGGCCAAACGCAGAATTAGTCGGAACTGCAGAAATAGACCGGTGCGGGGTGTATGGCGCAGAGTCCGCCGAGTTAAGCAACGTACAGGCATGCTGGGTAGACCTCACTCCAGATCTCAAGCAAACAGCATCGGGAGTATATCAGATCCGGCACGACGCCATGCCGAAGACTTTGTGATATTCCGCACACACTCAACTACCTTCGACGAGGAAGACTAATCAGCGGTATTGACCCATACATGGTCTAAGGCAGCGAGAGTGGAAGAAGGGCGTCTTCGACCTTTGACGAGATGGTCCATTTACTCTACTACAGCCTTATCGCCACCGTGGCACTTGGAACAGTCCGCGAAATCCATCTACATGGGTGAAGACGTTGTCGTAACCCGTAGATCAGTAATCCACGATGCAACGAACAATTTTCACCCGTACTGGTCCTAGCTGTCAGCAATGATTTGAGTTTCTCTTCCATCTCGTTACTAACATCGACCGTATTTGTATCGGCCGTATCCCGAGTGGATCCTCGACCCTGTGTGAGTCGATCTCTACATTCCTATTCAGGACGAACACGGGGCTCCATGTATTGTGTATTGAGCACTGGGAAGCTACTGGTGACAGCCATCTGATCGGTACATGGAGAAGTCGATTTGTCGGCACTAGCTTTTGAATTCATGCTGACGAAGCTAAGCACCATCATCTCCAGCAAGAAGCATAAAGGGTGAGACAGACCAACGTTGAGCAATACAAAAGGCTGCTTTTATCTTGATACGGCTATCTATACACGATCCCTCTCTACACATCTATACTATCATCCAAACATCCAGCCATGGCTCCCTCCAGACTGGAGACGATCTCTTTCACCACCTTCTACAATATCGTCAATGCCGAGCCGCGCTACGCAAAGACAGAATATCATGGCGTCGACCCTACCACCGGAGACCCGAACTGGGATGTCCCTGTCGCTACTGCGATCGATGTTGAAGACGCTGTGGCCGCAGCCAACAAGGCGTTCGAGCAATGGAAAACCACGACGTGGGGATACCGGACTGAACGTATCGCCCGGTTCAAGGACGCGCTCGAAGCTTACAAGGAGGAAATGACAGACCTGCTGGCGAAAGAAACCGGCAAGCCCAGACAGTTCGCTGCCGCTGAAGTGGACAATTGTTTCAAGTTCATGGACTGGCATATCGGCCTGAAGGAACCTAAGGGCGAGACCTACGATCTGCCAGAGAAGTATGTCGTCAACAAGTTCGTCCCTCTCGGTGTCGCAGCAGCTATATGTCCTTGGAACTTTCCCTTGCTGCTTAGTCTGGGCAAAGTTTTACCGGCCGTGCAGATGGGCAATGCGGTCATCGTGAAGCCCAGTCCATTTACGCCGTGAGTGCTGAGTTTCACCTGACAGGCCCCCGGAGAACCAGGACGGTGCTAAACAGGGAACAGGTACACTGCATTGAAGATGGTTGAGATCGCCAATCAAGCCTTCCCACCCGGTCTGGTGCAAGCACTCGGTGGTGACGACAAGCTGGGCCCAATGCTCGTCGAGCACCCTGACATCCACAAGATTAGCTTCACCGGCTCGACTGCCACGGGAAAGAAGGTCATGGCGGCCGCAGCGAAGACTGTCAAGCGCGTAACGTTGGAGATGGGCGGCAACGATGCGTGCATCGTCCTGCCGGACGCCGACATTGCAAAAGTCGCGCCGTTGGTTGCTATGGTAAGTACCTATGAGTGATTTGACATTAGCCCCTTCGACAAATCGGGGGCAGATAATCACATGCTAATGACGGTCCTTTTTTTCGGTCTTAGGGCGCCTTTTTCAACACGGCGCAAGTGTGCATCGCGTCGAAGCGCATCTACGTGCACAGCTCTATGTACGAGCCTTTCCTGGCGGCGCTGACCGCAGTGACTCGGTCTCTCAAAGTCGGGTCTTCCAACGACGAGGGCGTCATGCTCGGACCTGTCCAGAACGTAATGCAGTACGACAAAGTCAAGTCGTTCTTCAGGGATGCTCAGGAGCAGGGGTATAAATTCGCTTTGGGGGGCTCGGGTGATGGCGACTCGTCCAAGGGCAAGGGCAAGGGCTACTTTATCAATCCCGCCATCATTGACAATCCTCCGGACGATAGCTACATTGTGCGCGAGGAGCCGTTTGGCCCGATCGTGCCGGTGCAGAAGTACGAGGACCTCGATGATGCGGTGAGGAGGGCGAACGACACGAAGCAGGGATTGGGGGCGACGGTGTTTGGCAAGGATGAGCAATTGTTGCAGGATGTTGCCGAGAGATTGGAGGCCGGGAGTGTCTGGGTGAATACGTTTCCTGACCCGGGGCCCGAGGCGCAGTTTGGTGGTGTCAAGGAGTCGGGGATTGGGACCGAGTTTGGCACCATGGGCGTGCTGGCGTATGCTAATGTCAAGTCTATCACGACTGTGAAGGGTTGAAAAGGTCGAGTCCGTCCTCTAGCTAGCCCTTGGTGGTGAGGGTGGAAGGTACATAGTAAGATGAGCTGAAGGGGGATGGAAATTGTAGGGGGTGAGCAATGGAATCTTCGCCAGATGCGGTCTACTGATGGGATTTACTAATCATGACAGTACATGGTACGGGTTTGCTTAGAATTCTGGAAGTGTCGTTCGTGAATTTCGCATTCTGCTAGCCAGATCTCCTGACGCTTACGAGCTTATAACTTGGAATCTCTGTCCTTCCTGTCGGTGATGTTGCCCATCTGGTCGTCACCACGGTCGCCCCTCTTGACCGGATCCTCGTCGGATGTCTCGGCCTTGAGGCTTACTGGGTCGCCTAGCATGGAACGATTGCCCTTCTTGGCTTCACTGAGGTCCTGCTGGGCGATGTCCTTGAGGCTCTGCTTGTCGCTGCCGGCCTTGTTCGGTCGATCTTGCTCCGTTGGTTCGTTGTTCGACTTTTCGGCCTTGAGAGACACCGGGTCTCCCAGGGCTGTTGGATTCGACTGGGCGGATTCTTTGAGTGATTTGCCGCCGGCCATGGTGAGGGATGGTGAGTTGGGTTTGAATAAAAGCACAAGATTCCTAGAAAAATGTCTGGATTGCTTGAGCTGGATTGCGCTTTAGTTGCGGTCTTTTTAAGTAGGTGGAATGTCAATGGAGGCAGTCCATGGTATTGATAGAGAGATGCTGTTATCATCTGCTACGAGTAGTAGAAAAACAAAGATCTGGGGGAAATGTCCGGCTCTGACGTCTTCCATTCTACTACGAGTCCTACCGTGTAGACATTCCCACCAATGGCACCGGGTGTAGGACAAGACCCTGGTCGGAGAATGATCCTACACAAGTAGGGCGCGTTTGCTCTCACTTTGAGGGATTTGGTGTATGCTTTGAAGCCTTTAGTACTATAAGTCGTTAGTTACAGCTGAGGACGTAGCCGAAAGGCATCTGGGAGATCTGAGGGAAGCCTGTACTATGTAGTAGGAGAGTTGGATCAATGTAATTCCGAAACCGATGACGGCTCGGCAGACTTTCTTTTCGTGGCACAGTATTGTTGTCGTGAGAGAATTCGTCCATGGACTGTAGTGACTGCTATTATCTCTACACAACCACACACCTCTAGTGGAAGGAGGAAATCCAAGGTGAGATGGGCAACGGAAGTGTCACGGGTTGATATGCGCTTATACACCCTATTACCGCCAAAACCTTCACATTCACAGTAAGCAAACGGAAACCAGAGAACGGAAAACCACCGCCCTCTCGCTGAGAAAACCAATGAGTTGAGTGAGAGATAAGCCCCGCTTCGGGCCATCCTGCGGAAGATGTGTCTTGCGAAACCAATACGAACAACCCGAGCCCTCGCTCTCGAGCCTCCCAGTCACTGTCAGAAGAGGCAAGTTCGCCAAAAAGGTGCTTAGCGGCCAGATAAGCAGGCCAACTAACCGACCGACCTTTACATCCTTACCTTGGACAATTGAGCTCTACATTAGGATTTGTCACTTTCCAGTGTCCATCTCGCCATTAATTCCAGTCCCTCACTGTTTCTCCGCGAGTCGGCTTATCTATCGTTGATATGGGAAGCGCACAAGCGACGACGACGTTGCGTATTGCAGCAGCTCAATATGAGCCAGAATGGCTTGATTTGCAAGCTTCAGTGAAGAAGACATGCTCGATCATCGATGAAGCTGGCCAGAAAGGTGTGAAAGTTCTAGGATTCGCCGAAGCTTTCATTCCAGGATATCCGGCGTGGATATGGTAAGATTTCCTTTTGGTCATGGAGGATGGATTTTAACGTTAAGTCTAGGCACCGACCGGTTGATCCAGGCTTGTCAACAAGATACATCCAGAATTCACTGGCTGTCGACTCTGAAGAGATGCGCACGATCCAGGCTTGTGCGAAGAAGAATGGCGTCGTGGTGGCGCTAGGTTTCTCGGAGAACGATCACAACTCGGTCTACATTGCACAAGCAATCATCGATAGCGACGGCAAATTACTGATGAAGCGTCGCAAGCTGAAGCCAACTCATATGGAGAGAACAATCTTTGGTGACGCTTCTGGCGATAGTCTGATGAATGTCGTCCCGACAAAAATTGGGAAACGCGTCGGATCACTTGCCTGTTGGGAGCATTGCCAGCCCCTCCTGAAATATCATACCGCCACTCAAAGGGAGGACATCCACTGCGCCGGGTGGCCCCCACTATCACCTCATGCGGGCCCAGAGTTGTGGTCAATGTCGAAAGAAGGTAATTTGATTTTTGGGACTTTACGTACTTACTCACTGTTCCAGGATGTCTCAGTCTTTCTCACACGTATGCGATCGAGACACAGACCTTCGTTCTACATGCAACCACCGTCATCGGCCAGAAGGGCATCGATGCCATGGGAACAGGCCAGTCAATGCTCATGAACACCCCCGGCGGCGGTTACTCAGCAGTCATAGGACCTGATGGCCGGATTCTGTCGGAACCCTTCGAGCCGAAGGCGGAAGGCTTGGTAATCGTGGATGTAGACCCTACGATGTCAATTATGGCACGGAGCTTCTTGGATATTTGTGGACATTATAGCAGACCGGATTTGCTCTGGCTGGGGTGCGACACGAGGGAGAAGAGACATAAGGTTGAAGCACCACGTCCCTTGTCGGAGGAGAAAGTGGTGAGTGAAGAATGAGCGTGAGCAGTCACGAAATATGAACCGAAGGGAGTGGCATGCTTCTCTGCTGTGCCGACCAGGTTTCCTCCAATGTTTTATCGCGTGGCTACCAAAACATCAACCCTATGGTGCCTATCACACTGACTCCCATGCCCAGCCATCCCGATATCCATACTTGCCTGTTTGTCAACATGGCTCCGGTATCCCATATCAAATGTTTGAGTGAGTGGACGATATGGAACACAAAAGGAAACCCGAAGAAGCCCTTAACCGCCAACCGGGTACCGTATGAGAGTTCTCCAAACCACTCAACAAGGCTGCCTGTGTCAAGATGCCAGCCCATGATCGGTGAAGCCAGGTAGGCAGCACCGAATATGTATATGGGTGCAGTTATGATCATCGCACTATTGCGGTTTATAGCGCCGGACACCCAGTGTATCTGTGGTTGATATATGGAGAGATGCGGTGAAACCGGCCTTGAACGGCGCTGAGAGGCAAGAAGCTCTTCATGCTCGGTTGGCTTCAGCGGCTGCAAGCTCGCTTTGGGACGCGAATTGGTAGTCGACAGCCTGCAAAGGTAATGGTCAGTATGGCTCAATTGCGTTGTCTCGTGAGTGATTGACCTGAACTGCAAGTTCGAAGACGCTACCATCCATGTAGCACGGTAATATGGACCAGCGTTTATCACCCTCCGACCCATGGACCTTCCGAGTCCTGCCCATTTGTGTTAGTCCTGGGCGAGGACGTTGCATTGGCGCTCTCTCCTCACCTGCCCCTTGGTAGACAGGTCTCAAGACCCTCAAAGCTGTAGCCGCGTACATTGTGGTCTTAGCAGGAAGCGATAAAGATTCAATCACGACCCAGAATAACAAGGTCTTACAGCCTCAGGGCGCAGGTGAACAACGAAGATTGATCTCCTGGCTACGAGGTATTTCGTCAGCCAATCAACCACCGCCATTTGCGGACAGGACTGTGCTTTTCCGTATCGGGACTGCTAAAAAAAACGGGGGTGTTGTTCTTCAAGTTCCCACCTATCCGATTCATTTCTTCATCTTCCGAGAATCTTTGACCCCATTATTTAGCGATCGATGCGAAGTCCCACCCCGAAGAGCCGCAGCTCAGGGTATTAAGTATTGGCATGAGGCAAAGATGCCGGCAAGCATGTGAGGCTTGTAGAGCACGCAAGTCACGCTGCCTGCCTGGCACTCGTGGGGGAATTTGCCAAAGGTAGATCTTTTCCCAATGTTTCGGTGACTTGGTGAGAGACAATGCTAAATGATCAAGATGCGAAGAGTTCCAGATCAGCTGTGTACCTCATAATCCTGTCAAGAGAAAGACACCCATTAGAAAGTGAGGAAGAAGAAATCTGTAGCATGCAACCGCTGATATGAGTCCCCAGGAAAAGACTCCCAAGAATTGACACGGCCGATCCAAGTCAGAATGCCTGGTCTTCTTCTTCTTCTTCGTCATCAGGACACTTGCTCTGCAGCAGTCATGCACCTTATTTTTGCTTGGGAAGGGTAGCACCAATTTCAAGAGTTTCAAGCGACTCGCTCGGCCGAATCTTGCTCACTGCCCTTGACCAGGAATTTCGGCCAGACAAGTGGCCGCGGTTCCAAGTCTTAAGCCCCGAAGAATGCCAGTCGTATTGCAACCACTACGACAAACTAGTCCAGGCTGTTCCTTTTGCAATCCGGCGACCTCAGTCATTGCAGGAGATGAAGTCTGCGTCACCTCTGTTGCTACTGTCGATGATTCTCAGCGCCAGCAGCTCGTGTCCGGATCTGGAAGCACAATGTGAAGATATCTTCCGACGTGTTCTTGCAGAGCGAGTGGTTCTCAAGGGACAGCGGAGTCTGGAGCTGTTGCAAAGCCTGCTGACATATCTACTCTGGCACCACCATCGCTATGATCCTGAAACTCAGCAGTATTTTCAGTTTCTCCAGCTGGCGCTCGGCATGGCGGCAGACCTTGGTTTGTACACGAGGTTCAAAAAGCCGGGAGGGATCTCCGTGCAATCGGCAGAAGATTTCAACGTCGTGCGAACATTTCTGCTGTGCTACTATCTCAGCTGCGGCACCGGCATTCTTGGCTATGACAGGCCGGATTCTATGCAAAGCATTCAAGAATTAAAGCATGCGGCCGGCCTTTTGGCTCAGGGATCGAAAGATGTCCTCGACAGACAGGCGCCAGCTATGCTTGCACTGATGCATGTCCTTGCGCAGCAACGTGACCATTTGAACCGTTCCGGAAGGACAGAGTCTCAGTCCGGCAGCTTCTCGACAGCACTGGAAAGCTGGGAGGCGTCTCAGCTCAGCTATGAGAGTCCGCCCATTGTCAGGTGCACCTATCACTTCGTCTACGCGTACGGCTTGCTGAAAGGTTCCGTTCCTAGCTCGTTGACGGCCAGGGTATACCAAACCTGTCTGGACCATCTTGTCGTTGTACTGTCCACTATCCTGGAGCAAGACGTGTCTCACCTCGTGCTGTTGGGAATCGCTGAGTGGGGACATTTGTTGACGACGCTCTTTCTCCTTCCACGTCTGGAGACCTCTCTGGCGGCAACAACGTCGAGTCACACATCTGGACACAAGGACACTCCGCTTACATTCCACTATATCGGCCGTTTTCGCGACGCTCTTCGAGAGATCAAGGTGAAAGCGCAGCATAATATTGTTCTCGGCACTCATACCTTCTTCGGCTGGCTGGACAAGATCCTGTCCGCGGTTGAAACGCAGACGACCTCTCGCGTGTCGTCTTCTTCTTCTGCCAAAGCAGACACCCGAGAACAGGGCGACACGTCGGCCTACGAGCTTGTCAACTCGTTTCTTGATGACCAAGATGGGGACGTGTCTGGCGCTGAGCATTTGCTAGCTAAGAACAGGGCTCACAACGAGGGTTCCAACACGGAAGACTTCTGGGTCGACTTTATGTCGGACTGGTTGAATTGGTGACCGACCGCAGCCGGTCAGATCCAGCCTGGGTGGACGGACGCCTCTTTCTCAAACGCTACATATTTTATGGGCGGCTCGTGGAATCACAGAACATCTTCAGACGCATCGGGGCACTGTTTAGCATTGAGAGAGTACGTCTGTATGTCACAATTAGCCTTCCCCTTTACGTTCTGGGGCAAGTCCTCAGCTCCAAACGCAGGAGGACTAAGGCCTTATACTGTCGGTGGTGGGCCCTAGTACCTTGAAAATACCCCATTGAGGCAGTCTTGTGCGATACGCATGAAGTATACGACGCCTGCGAACAACAAGAAGGGCGAGGGGGGCAATCCGTTTCGGGAAAGCTGAGATCAGCTAGTAGTTTTGCGACTCAACACGCTTTAAGACCTCAATATCTAGGTAGAAATAAGCGCTAGTCAAGATGAAATACTACAAGTACGAATCATTGAACCACGGTGGCAGGAACAAGGCGAGTCCGGGCTGTATAGATAGCATTATGTCTCGTGACGTCGAGGCGACGACGTTGGTCAATGGTCGTTGAAGAAGCAGTTGAGGATGGAGCTTAGAGCCCGAAAAAAGACGAGCTGCAACCCTCCGAAGCTGAAGTACCCTGGCAGATTTCACCAAATCTATCCAGAGCTGATACCCAGCCTGTTCGCCCCTCCCCCTTCATAGCTCGTTCCATAAACTTCCTATTTGTTTTGCCGCTATAATCGAACCAAGCCTGACCTTTTTCCACTGCCCTTTCGGGATTCCTCCTGTCTGCTTTATCGGTCCCAAAATCAGGCCCCGGCTCAGCTTTGGCTCGGCCTCGATCAGGGTGTACCGCCCCGGCTCAGGTGGCTCCCAGGGCCGCTCAGGCTGCATTCGTCTTTCGCCGTTTACCGTCTATGTACCTTACTCCGCCCGGGTAACCTTGTGACTGTTTCTATCAAGAGTTCCGAGTCCCTTCGGGAGGTCTAGGAGGAATTGATGTAGTGTTTCACATGCACAGTATCAGCACAGAAGGATCTCCTGTACTTGCATCGGTTCTTGCACTGTCAAAGAGGCTCCGTAGTACTGTACAAATCGTATATCGCATCATTTTCCCCGACTTAATAAACAATATGAATTTTCTTTTCGACGGATGTGGCATGGACCTCAGGTTCGTGAAAGAGGGAAGGGGGCGGGGTGAAGGTTGGCTTTTGAACGAATGAGACCCACTTTCCGTTCTCAATATGCAAGACCCAGTGACGTCCCAAGAGGTAGAGAAGCAATTCTTTACGCTCAGTGCAAGCCGGTGGATCTTCTGGTGATGGATACTGGGCAGTGATCACTACATAATTCTCGCTATCGAGGCTGTCGGCATCTGATTTGGTTGTCAACTTCCCATCGGTGAGATTCTGCCAGGTGTAACGTGCTGTACTAAGTGGACATTGATGTCACGGTTCCGGACAGCTTCTCGAGGTACACAACCGCGGCAAGAGGCTAATACCTTATTCACGACCCGATGTGCTGCCGGTTTCTCGCTTGCCCAAGGACAAACCACCTCTGAAGGCGGTTATTCCTTCGAGGAAGGGCTTGAATCCCGTCCCTACATGCTTGACGGGCGGCCTGTCTCTCCATCACAGTCTGCGAGAACGGCCGCATACTTGAATGTATCTTTGCTCCCGACACGCCAACCGTGGTTATACGGGAGTCGGACTGATGTGGGCCGCTTCGTTCGCCATGATCAATTAAGCTGAGCGTGGTCGGCCCCCGACTTCCTGAATTTGGAAAGTCTTTTTCGTGTGAGGATAGAGCCATAGATTGTCGCAAGCAAGGATACCAACGGTAACACAATAAACAGCCCAGTCACCAGGGCGCATAAAATCATAGCAAATACCGCGAATCCGTATGCCGCCTGTTGAAGATCAGGATCTGGACTTTTAGAATGCGCCGACAGTGACAGATTGAAAGCCGAGAGAATAATAACGATCACACCAAACGCTGACACCGCGTTGTTGTACTGGTCCATATAGGGCACGTAGCTTTCAGTCAGAGCATGGGGAAAGCCCTGAAGCATGCTGGATACGGAAAATTCCTGAGGTGAATATCGGTAGATGACGTCGAGTCGATTTAGGCGTAACTCGCCATACCGGAATCGTTTCTCCATGGTATCAAAGTCATTATGGTCAAGGATTGATAATATCGTCCGAGTAAATTCCGTCCAAGCTCGATAATCCAAATTCTCATTGATCAGATGATTTTCTTGTGCCAGCTGCAAATCATGACCAAAGCGAATGAGGCCACAATAAGAGTAGAGAAGCCCACACGCTGCTCGATGTAGCTGAGGTTCGCAGGATATATGGTTCTCCCAGAACTCGTAATTGAGCAGAAAATCTGGGAGCGGTTTGATGAAAATTCTTGACTTCGCCCAAACCAGATGGAGATCCAGTCGTTCTGCAATGACAATTTCACGGCGTAGGAGCTTCTGGTAGTACAAGGAGCGTGGAGCCCCAGGAACGCCGATCAGCCATAGCATCTTGCGTATGCTATTGAATCGAGAAATATCGAGAAAAGCACAGAGAAATCTTTGCACCTCGTTCCTCTCCTCGATTCTCAGTGGCAGGAGCTCCCTCGCTAGGGGAGACATATCGTTGAAGGCTGCCGGGAGGATAAGGTCCTTACGAGCAATCAAGGAAGATGTGCGTGGGAACGGGGGCTTATGTGCTGGTGGTCGCGATCCTTTTTCGGATGTATCCATGGAGAATGTAGCACCACGACGGGTGCGGGAACAATATAGAGGTACAGTCAGGATGGTCTGTCAAAAGCTCTTAGTTGAATTCGGAGGAGAGTGTTTATATGGGTTTTGATTTGGATCAGCAAATGATGTCAGTGCCACACCAATCTGGAGCCACGCACGAGCCAGGAGAAATGCTGTATGCAACATTGATTCTTTGTGACAGCATTTGTAAAGGTTGTGCATGGGTATATCGTATTTGCTCCGGCTGTACATGGTAAAGCCGCCTTGGCGTGATGGCAACAGTATTCCGGAAAAACATCCGAGTCTGTCGTCCTCAAAACACTTACAAGGACACCACTTGAAACGTAACCACGAGGCTGGTAAGGACACTTCGAATACGAGCACGATGTCAGCACGCGGGATCACCCTCCGACGAAGGATATCGCGCACCGATCGCACGATAACATGACGACATGATGAAAACATCACGGTGGGATGTGCGTTTGAAGTGATGGTGGTGGACAGGCTGGCGTATGATCGAATAAGCGTAGCAGCTGCAATGCGTAGTGAGCAACGAAGGCGGATCTTCCAAATGTCCTTGGTAGTGCCTTCTCTTTGTTCTGGTACATCGCCCAGGCTGCCCGCTTGGATTGCAGGAACAGATTGCGGCTGATCACCTTGTGGTCCTGGGGTGTCGGCCATCGTGTTGATCCCCTTGCAATTCTGGGGATTGCAGATACGCTTTCAAGAGATAAGCACAATCATCAATGGTAAGATGACAATATGAAAAGGCCTCTCTATTGAAGAGACACCGGATGAGAATGGAAATCTGGTATGGGTGGCAGGGAAAATTTGAAGTTCACGCAATATCACTTCACTGCCTGGTAAGCAAACATTATCCAACCTCTCATTCCATGCCTTTATTCACTCGACTTCTACCATCTCTTCATAACCTTTTTAATAGACCACATCCTTCTCCCAAGTCAGTATGGCAACATTGGCAGGTCTCTTCGATTTTGGAGAGATGTATAGACGTCTCTACGACTTCAGCATCGCTGACGGCGCCCTTGACTATCAAATCACGGTTGAAGAGTTCATGGCTTCGGTACGAACGACTCCCGGGGTGTTTCAGGCCGTGATCGAGAGATTGGCATATTCTGCGCATTTTTTGATAAAGACGCGGGTGGCAGCTTGCAGCGAGTGTGGTGCTTGAATTCTGTTTCTCCCAGTATGTGAAGCAATGCTTCAACAGCATCCTGCTACCGGAACAACCGACTGATAAACAATTCAGAGACTACAACACGGAACAAGACACTATTCTCAATGGTATCCTGCGAACTCTGAAGCACAAGCGACGTCCGATTCCCCACAATGATCCCACGATGGCTGTGGAGAAAGGCGTATTGAGGAAGAGACACCGTGATGCCATCGAATATCTCGAGACTTGCGGACGTGGATTGGCGGGTGCGACAAATCAGGAAGCTCAAACCGGGGAGAGTGTCGTTCGGAATCTGCTCGAAGTCTTGGAAGACTGAGTTTATAAGCCTTCTGAGCAAAAGAACAGGCGGCTGCAGTAGCTGGAAGCAACCAAATCATATCAAGGTCCAGCTAGTCTCATCATCTTCCAAAAGCTTCTCCGTTTCGTTATCGCGTGCCCAGGTGGCAATAACCAGCTCCTTCTCTTCTCTCAACAGCCACTGCCAATTTGTGTCTGACACCATGAAGCGTGAGACTTCCACCATTCCAGTATCAGCAGCACTGGTGTAGTCGCACAGTGCTTTTTTCATCCATTCTGGCCAAGTCTTTCTTGATTCCAGCAGATACGAAGCAGGCTGGGCTCGACCACGCTTCCTGCACTTGGCCTCTTCTCCCTCAACGTTCTCATTGATCCTGTCCAGACACGGTTAGATGCAACATATTAACATTCATTGCTGCCTTACCAGACGGGGTCGGTCAATTCGACCATGTCACCACGATGAACAGGCCCATCATGCACATTTTTGGTGAGAGTCGGAGAGCTTTCTTCCACGACCTTGCCCTTCGGCTGCCCCCACTTCACCGGTTTGTTGATGTCGATCACTAGAATGTCAGCAATGAGCGCAGGATGTGCTCGGTGAAATGTGCGGACACACCTTTTCCATTGGCCCACCATGGCCCAGACTTCTCTTGAGGTGCTGTAAGTTGTCAGTACACGTTCTCCCAGCCAGATTATATGCCTAACGTACATTGGTCCGACATCTTGTCTTCATGAAAGGGGGAAGTTGAAAGTTGAAAGGTCTCGGATCAAGCCACCCTCGCTTTTGTGTGATTGAGTAGTGCCGTATTCGACAACACAAGGCAGTCGCGCTCACATGTGGTTAGCCCAGTGAACCAGGCGACTTGCTTAATCTTTACTGATTCACAGCGACTTTCAGGTGCATTTTGTCCCTTCGGTAGTCATCCGTTCATGTCTTTGGAGGGCACGGGGGTCTCCCTTTGAGAGCAGCCGAATCAAAGGGTTAGACTGCCAAGCTTCCTCACCTCAATTGCGACTTGCTTCTTCCGTGTACGCATCTGAAGTTCCCATTTCTTTTGCATTTCGAGTCATTGATGTGTTGACCTCGATTGTTCTGCGCCATCCCTTGACGTTGGTCGCAAAAGGTACCCTCTTTTGAGGTGTGGCAGACAGTCTCGACTCCTCCAAGGTGCGCGTCGCCCAATTGGTTCGACATTTCTGCTGTCACCCAATTGCATATCGACACGAGTGGGCACGGTACCACACGCGACAAGCATGTTCGGCTTGGTTTCTTACTGCCGAACACCCTTCGCCTTTCTCATGCCCGTGTCGCCATTCACCGAACCCCACTGAAGAGGCCCACGGCGCGCCACTCAGACCGCTTCTCGGCCCTACCAATCTTCGCGCACCGCCCACATTTTATATATTTGCAACACTATTTTTTCAACACAAATCACACAGATTTCAAGGCCGCGTGGCCTAATGGTTAAGGCGTTGGTTTTCGGCTATCGATTTCTCTAGGAGATTTGGATGAAAAGCACCAAAGATTGGGAGTTCGAATCTTCCCGCGGTCGAAAGACCTTTTTTTTTTTAGATCTTTTTAAGACTCGATCTGCCATTTTTTGATTCTGGGATCTGAGGGGACTCCTGGCGTGTGCCCAGCTCTCTAGGATGAGGCGGAGAACAGCGGCATGAACCGGCGAGCAATTTGAGTGAAAGGTTGTTGAAACTCGCACAGAAAAAAGCACACTCGCGAACTAGTGATTGACTCCTCTGGGAGCTTCAACGGCAGCAGGTTGCCCATGGTGAGAGACATACCACGCTTGGACAGCCCCTAAGGGTCGAGGCGACCCTCAAAGACTGCCTAGATGGCCGTCCAAGCGGTATCATTTAATTGGCAGCAGTCTACGGATACAACAATATCGAATGTACGTCTCCTCTTAAAGCAGGACGATTCCTTCGGCTTGGATTCAGTATTTTATTCGTAAGTTAAGCTGCCAGCCGAACAGTGCGCCTGTATCGACTGCGGCTGTGCAGGTATTGACGCGGATATCGACGAAGCGGCTTCCTTTGCAGCAAATCTGGCCGCTTCGTCGGCCTGATCCTCTCGGATCTTTTTCAGCAATTCGGGATACTGCGTTGCGAGTTAGCACGGCACCATCTCATCGAACCTTGACTTACCCATCTTTCCCCGACATCTGGATGGCTTTTGATCCTGTTCATCAGCGTCGCCTCGCCGAGCCTGCTCCACAAGCCCTTGATGAAGGTGAACTCGATATCATCGAGCCTCTGCCCGCCTCTCCTCTCGAGGATGTCCGCTCTCAACTTCTTCACCGATTCCGGCACATCCATACTCTCGAACGTGGCGTCGTAACTGACGCCCTGGAAGAACGGTATACTATACCGTGCTCCTGATCCGCGCGCTGGACTCTGCACCCTGTGCGTCGTCGACTGGCACACGCCTTGTGTGAGTGCTTCCATTCCCTGGCCGATCGCCACGACAAATGTCCCGTCAATAGGCGGACAATCGACCCATTTGCCATCCGCGTTCTGCACCTGCAGGCCGCGATGGTGACTCGCTTGCAGAAGGTAGCTGGTCAGCATGCTATCTTTGTGTGGCCCTACGCCCTGGGCTTCGCCCTCAACACCCAATTCCGCAAGGTCCGGATACTTGACAATCTTGAGCTTGTGCTGCTGCGCCTCGTCAAAGAACTGTGCGAATGCGTCGGTGGGCAGTCCAATGGCCTCGGCGATGAGGCTGGTGAATTCCATGCTCATGTCCCCCATGCGGGTCATGTACTCCTCATAAACTTCCCTGAACCGGGGTAGGGCATCTGGGTCGGGCCATTGATTCGGAGCCAGCAAGTTACGATATAAAGGGTCGTTCGGGCCAGGGACAGGATGAGGCGTCGACAGATCGATCTGCTCGCGCCAGTCTGTCTTGAAGCGCGTGATTTCCATGCCCAGTTTGTTGTAGCCGAGGAAAGAGGGGGCGTTTTTCATTTCGATCTCGAGTTTCTTGTCCTCGGGCAGGTCGAAGAATGATTTGCCGAGTGAGATCACCTCCGAGATGAGGCTAGGTGGAATCCCTGTGTTTTTGATATAGAGGAAGCCGACTTCGAGAAGAGCATGGCGGAGGTCGGTTAGTAGTTGCGACTTTGTGGCGGGATCGCGGGCCAGGGAGAGATCTAGGATCGGGATGCTGGTGAATGACATCGTAGATATAGACTGTTTATACTAGTATTGATATTTTATGTCTCAAGGGAATGGCAACAGAATGAAAGGAAGTACGGATGAGCAGAGTGAGTAAGATGTTTAATGATGTTCCTCGGCCAATACTAGTATGGAGATCACGCAATGGCCGAACGCGGAGCGGCGGAGCAGCTGAATTTGAGGCTTGTCGAGGAAAGGAAAGCCACGCAGCTGTGGCTGATGGACAACCATCAATATCATTATTCTATCTATATTACTAGTCTCAGCTTCATGGCCTCATTTTGTTCCTTTCGGGCTTACATGCTAGCCATCGTAAACAAGGCACACAAGGGTTACCGGCAACCGACCTGTGCGCTGTTGAAGGGACTTGAACCATTTCAGACTCTCGATCCCGTTCTTGTTCGCTCTCTCGTTCCCTCTCCCGTTGCCTATCTTGCCTCTCTCGTTCCCTCTCCCTTTGCCGAACTTCAAGTTGTTCCCATTCTCGTTGCCAGGCTTCTCTTGCTCTTACCTGCAGAACTTCCCACTGCTGTCTGTTCGCCTCCTGCTGTATCTGCGACTGGGCCCTCTCTTGATTCCGCTCATGTTCCCAACGGTCTCTCTCCCGTTGTCTCTCCGTCTCCCACCGGTCCCTTTCCCGCAGTCTCTCCGTTTCCCATCGATCTCGCTCATTGGTAACACGTCTCTCCCACCGGTCCATCTCTACCCGGAATCCATGGATGCTGTCCACATCACCACTCCCAGGGTTTGCATTTGCCAGTTGACCCGGCGGTCCTGGCGATCCCGGCGGGTCAAAGTGGATCGTGACCGTCCACTCGGGCTGCAAAGTTGCCTCCCATACTCTTGGGAGGATAATTCTACCGCCTGGCCCTGATAAATCAAATGGACTTTGACGGAGATGGGCTACAGTTCGCCTACAAGCCGCGGCTATTAGGGCCTCCATGCCCTTTAGAGGGGGCAAAAAGTTATCAGCTTCTAACTTGGAGTACGGAGGTGGGAGGCAAAGATTTCGAAGGTGATGTGGGAAAAGTTTGAAAACAGAAACAGAAACACACCGGCCATGTCTGACAACTGCTATAGGGAAATGTGTAGGGTCGACCAGTATCGTTGATAAACGTGATATTTGCTGCTTCCCCTGTCATATATTTTGGAAACGAGGCACACGGGCACCGGGGTACTGTACATTTCCTTTACTTCCTTTCATTGCTGCGGTCAAAGCGGACTCCATAGTTTCTTTGTACTTCTGCGGCCGTTGACGTTCATAGGATTGAGCTTAATGGAATCACTTGCATGAACTGAACCCCCCCGCAGGACACCTGGTACGTGGTGGACTCTCATTCGCATTGTACCTGCGGAGTAGTGCATTAAGAGTGATACTAGTACCCCCCTGCAGCCGTCTGCATACCTGTATGGATGATCGGACGTGATATCTTCTTGGCTTGGGTCTGTGAAGCACTGGCGCCACCTTACCGAGGGTTTGCTGCCCGGCGCACACCATTGGCTCAAGCAGCTTGCCATTGACAAGTGTTCAAGAGTATAAGCGATGACCTCCTAGTGGTAGGAGCCGAGAACTACGAATACCATCCATGGATGTTACTAGCACCATTAATCCGTGATCCCTGATTAATGGTAAGTCCATCTCAGCGTCTGACTGCAGGAAGGAGTACCCTGATGATACTATCAGGCTCAGTGATCCAAGAAGATCAATTCGCCGTCATTGTTGCTGATGCGCTCATCCAGTCTGATGTGGTCTCTGTTCCAGCCACCACCACCGGTCCCAAGTTCGGCTTCCAGCACCCTGCCATTCTCGACGAGTCTCACATTCCTTGCACTGGCACCGAAATTGCCACCTCGAACCCAAGCAAAGTGTCCATGCTGGTTGGACAGACAGTTATTCAGCGACAGAGATGACAACTGGTGCTGACCGTGGACATTGGCGCACGAGGCGATCAGGTCATAGTCCCGGTCAAGGGTGATGCTGTTGGCAGAAGCGGAGAAATTGCCGCGCATGGGCGCCGGCCCTCGTGGTGGTTGTGGTTGTGGATGTGGTTGTTGCTGGTGTTGTTGGTACTGATGCATTCCGTAAGCACCGGCACCCGCGGCCGCGGCGGGTCCTGCCCAGCCATGCTTCTTCTTCTTTTTCTTCTCATCGTCCGAGGAACTGCTGCTTGATGAGGACGACGAGGATGACGAGTTGCGACGAAGACCAGGTGGACGTTGCAGTTTCTTCTTTTCTTTCTTGTGCTTCTTGTAGGCATCCTCGGCCATGGAGCCGGTGATCGCGCCACCGATAGCGCCTAAGAAGCCATGATTAACTTTGTGGCCGCCGTAACCCCCGAGAGCGCCGCCAGCGAGGGCACCCATCAGGCCGCGATCTTGAGAGTTGGGCTCATTCGGATCCAAGGGGACTCCCGGGGCGGGCTGTGGAGGGTAAGGAGCAGTATGGGAAGGTGGAGGGCCTGGAGGAGCAGTGTAGCCTTCATACTGAGATTGATGGCCGGGCTGAGGTGGGTATGGTGAGTGCCCTCGCTGGGTCGGACCTTGATCGTAGTCATAGCCATAGCCTTGGGTCTGCGGAGGGTAAGGCTGATGCTGCTGATCAGGCGGGGGCGGAGGGGAGCTATATTGGTCTGGATATTGATTGTATGGCTGCTGATATGAAGGTTGGGGGGAATGCTCATAGCCCTGCCGGTAGTCTTGGGTCAGTGGGCGATTGTGATCATATGGCCTGGTTTGCTCGTAGCTTTGATCGTAAGACTGGTTGTCGTAACCCGGCGGTGGTCCAGATTGCTGTTGCCATTGCTGCTGCTGATTATCTTCTCCACTGTTCCCTCCGTAGCCATAGTCGCTGGGACGTTGATCATTGTAGTAGCCTTGGTTCGACATATTGCCAAGTAATATCGTTTGCGACTACTTCAGACGAAGCTTCTGCGCAGCTCGAGGCAGTCCGCAGGTTGCCACCTCAAAGAGACAAAGGCTTTATAACTTCCACGCTGTGGAAAGATGGAAATTAGGCATCGCTGATTCAGGCCACTCACCTAGTGTTAGATTGGAAAGGCGTGAATGAATTGTGGCTGTGTTGGCAGTTATCACACAGCCACGACTAGGACGGAAGGCGTTGACTGGACGGAGAGTCTCCTGCTCCAGCCACATTCTCATGCCCTTGTGATGGTCAGGCAGACTGAGGAGGTAAAGTTGCGTGAACTGAGCTGCATGGATGACCAGTCAATATGGCACAACGTCATACGATAGTCCTCCAGGAACAAGGGTATATCAGCTGAAGTCGATGGCAGGCTGCATCCACCGTCCCTGCTTCGGCAAAAGTACAGAATCGACATATATGGGGGCCGCTTCACCATCAGGTCTTTCTTCAGTATTCGACAACTTTCACAGGCTGGCCCCAGAGGATGATTCTACCCTGTTTTGACCATGGATTTGACCAGTGGCAGCAAGCGACGTCCAGACAGCCTCAGCTCCCCTGGCAAGCCTTTGCTCGATAAGCCTTTAGCTGGCTTGGTGTCTCCACCATTTAATGCAGCCAGCACGTCTACCATAACAAACTTCTCGGCCTCGATCGATTCGCTCGAATGATATTTCCTTGGGTATCGCTCTGAACGTAGACTTTCTTTGGTCCTCCGCAAAAGCAAAGGTGTGCTGGCAAATCCAGTGGTCGCAAATGATCCCTTATATCAAGGGAAGGCAAGTCGTTGGGAAGGGACCGAGTCAGATCATCAAGCATACTATGTGATCAGCACAGGAGCGCGAGCAAGAAACAAGCATACAGGCTGTCGTCCCGGTCGTATATGTCAAATGGGACACCCTGCTTCCGTAAACACTGTGAAAGCGTCAAGCCGCCCAGGCCAATGCCCAAATGCTGACATGAGGATGTGGGAAATCGGGCAAGTCGGTCTTTTGATCATGGGCTGAGAGGACATGGTGAAAGAAATACAACGGAACCATCATGAACGAAACTGGAAGTAGAAGCCCGCTCCTTGTCTTTGCCCAAGATCACTCCATTGCGCACTTTTGAAGCATTGTCAACTCGTCAGGAGCCATGATGATGATGGCCGACATGACAGCCGCCAATGATACAAATAAACGACCTTATCGCTGTGCCTTACCTCGTGAATTGCCAACAGCATTAGCGCACTGTCGCTTTAGGCTTGCTAGTGTTCAGCTTAGATTCCTTACCGTCCATGACCATGAGATCAACAAGCCCACGTATTGGATAGGCTATTGCGATTGATGATTCGATATCGGACGATGAACAAGCCGTAGTCACCATAAAATTGTTGCAATCAAGAGCGACAGTGATGGAATGCAGCGCGGTCGATGGAGCTTGCTGAGGTGACACTGACCGACATGATCTCGAGGCCGGCGATCACCCCGGAGTGTTCGTACTGGGGTCAGCAACACTTCCATGAAGACACCAATGGGATCTACATATTCCAATACGACATCAGAAACTTGGTAGGCGGACAGATGAGATGCGAGGACAGAAGAAGAATAGTTAGAGAAGATTCGGCCTTCTCCTTCGTGCACAGGTCTTGGACTTTTGACATCGCTTAAAACTTCGGCAATAAGTCGTCATTTTATTCCCTCTCTCCGCACTTGATGCCGGCATCCTCAGCATCCTACCGGGCACTCAATGCGCCTGCAACTTCGCAGACACCGTTCATTGTCATAGATCAATCCTTTGTTCCGCCCTCGCGATTGAGAAGAAGCGAAGGCAGAGATGATCGCGTCGTAGGACCGTTCAGACACCATGAAGCATATTCTACAACTTGGCCGCCCGGCCACCTCATACCTGCGATGTATTGAGCAAACGAAGCAATGCCATTCCCCAATCCTACGATGCGCACCCGGCGCAAGGACATTCCACACTTCCCCGCAAAGGCGCGAGGAGCAAGGCAAAGAGAGCCGGTCCTTTCGAGGCCAGCTATATGAAAGCACAGCGGATCGACTGAAACGAGAAAGAGAAGAGCAGACGCAATATATTAAAGCTTCTGGTCAACGCAGAAGAGAGCCTAGGACGTTGGCTCTGAGTCTCGGTAAGTACTTTCAACGGGAAGAAATGATTCCTGCTGACAGGCATAGTCATTCTGTCTGTGGCAGGTGCTGCATACTGGCTAGGCACCAAGGGCGAGAAAGCACTAGACGTCACGTCCACCACTCCTTTGTCTCGAGCGCATCCTCCTCAGCTTGACACTCGAACCTCCGTCTTACAAGCAGCTTGGGTCGACTTTGCTCAAATTGTCGGGAAAGAGAATGTTTCAACTATACCAGATGATCTGCAAGCACACTCCGGTTCGGAATGGTCCTCCTACACCACCAAGCCTGAAGAGAGACCGTTCGCAATCGTCTACCCTGCTACCACCGAAGAAGTGTCCAAGGTCATGCAAGTATGCCACAAGCGACACATCCCGGTCACCGCGCTCTCCGGTGGGACCAGCCTCGAAGGACATTTCGCACCCACAAGAGGCGGCATATGTATCGACATGAGCAGAATGGACAAGATTCTACAATTCCATCCCGATGACCTCGATATTATTGTGCAGCCAGCCCTTGGATGGGAAGACTTGAATGAATACCTCCACGAGTCCGGCATGTTCTTCCCTCCAGATCCAGGTCCAGGTGCCAAGATTGGAGGCATGGTTGGAACGGGCTGTTCGGGAACAAACGCCTACAGATATGGTACAATGCGCGAGTGGGTGGTTTCACTGACAGTGGTACTCGCTGACGGGACAATCATCAAGACGAGACGTCGACCACGAAAATCCAGTGCTGGTTATAACCTGACTCAAATGTTCATTGGCAGCGAAGGCACTCTGGGCATTGTCACAGAAGCCACCTTAAAAGTCACTGTCCTTCCCAAAAGCCAGTCTGTCGCTGTGGCAACATTTCCAACAATTCATGCAGCCGCTGAATGTGTGGCAAAAGTGGTTGGCGAGGGTATCTTGCTTGCTGGTATGGAGATCCTCGACGATGTCCAGATGAAGTGCATCAACAAAAGCGGTATGACATCAAAGCAATGGCAGGAGGCACCGACCCTGTTTTTCAAGTTTGCTGGAACACCTCAAGGTATCAAAGAGCAGATCAACCTGGTACGAAGTCTGGCCAAAAGCACACAAAACAAGACCTTCGAATTTGCAAAGAACGATGATGAAGCCGCCGAACTCTGGAGTGCCCGGAAGGAGGCCCTTTGGAGTGTCATGGCCATGAAAAGAGACGACAGCGACCATGTGTGGACTACTGATGTGGTATGTGACATGTCAAACAATAGTTTCGCAGGCACTGCTAACAGTATACAGGCTGTGCCTATAAGCAGGCTAGCTGACATCATCTCAGAAACTCGAGACGACGTTGCCAGAAGCGGACTCATAGGAGGGATTTGTGGTCATGTTGGTGATGGAAATTTCCACAGTAGGTCTACCTGGGATAGACCTCTCCGTATGGACTAACAACGCATAGCCATATTACTGTACAACGATCGCGAAAAGCAAACGGCAGAGGATGTCGTGCATCGCATGATCAAACGAGCCATCGCCATGGACGGCACTGTCACTGGAGAGCATGGGGTTGGCTTGAAGAAGCGAGAATACATTCGTGAAGAACTTGGCGAAGATACCGTCGACGCCATGCGCAAGGTAAGTCATTCTTCCATCTCATCCTCGACGTCGACAAGTGCTGACTCGAAAATGTAGCTCAAGCAAGCATTTGATCCCCTTGGAATACTCAACTGTGACAAGATTGTGCAGCTGGAAGTCGGCCATTGATTTGAGCTGTATGTGCTTTCCTGCGGTGTATTTAGCGGACTTATATATACCGAGCGCAGCCGCGTGAAGCGCCTATTCCCCCCGAGCACCAAGTCTTTTAAGCGACCCCGCAGGCACCTCAGCACCTAGCTCGCTAGGTGGACACATCCACGGCACATCCCACCATTGAATCCATTTTCTCGTTATTAGGCTAAAAGGCCGCCATGCTACTTTCAATGTTTGTTCCGGTGGTCACGATGAAATCATTTGGTGGGCGCAATTCAAACACAATGGCCCATCGTCCTCCAGACACCTTGACGTTGCCAGCAGAGGAAAGCGGTCCGCCGGTCAATAGTCTTTGCTCAGTAGGTGATTGAATAGCAGCGCAAAAAGAACAAACACTTGATGTTATAATATTGTGTCTTCCTCCGCGCACTACCCCTCACTCTTAAGATCCTGATACCCCCAGAACAATGGCGACCGAAACGAAAGCAAGAGTCGGTATCCTCCCTGGACCTCGTACAACACCTACTGACCTGGTGTAGGAAAACAACTCTTTCGTCCTTCGAGGCGTCAAAGATGTCCTCTTCGAAGAGCGACCGATCCCCAAGCTCACCGGCCCCTACGATGTTCTCCTGCAAGTCAACTGCACAGGCATCTGCGGCTCAGATGTGCACTATTGGCAACATGGCAGGATAGGACACTTTGTGGTGAAGGAGCCGATGGTCCTGGGTCATGAGTCCGCGGGAACAGTTGCAGAGGTCGGATCAGGAGTCAAGAGCCTGAAAAAGGGTGACCGCGTTGCAATGGAACCTGGCATCCCTTGCAGGCGTTGCGTACGATGCAAAGAAGGCAAATACAATCTATGCTTTGACATGGCATTTGCAGCCACTCCCCCATATGACGGGACCCTAGCAAAATACTACGTTCTGCCCGAGGATTTCTGCTACAAGCTTCCCGAAAGCATGAGTCTAGAAGAGGGTGCCTTGATGGAGCCTCTGTCGGTGGCTGTGCACATCACCAAGCAGTCGGGACTGAAACAGGGAGATAGTTGCGTCGTCTTCGGTGCTGGTCCCGTCGGCCTGCTGTGCTGTGCGGTGGCAAAAGCATTTGGTGCAGCAAAGGTGGTCGCGGTGGACATCAACCGGGAAAGACTGGAATTTGCCAAGTCATACGCTGCGGATTCCTCTTTTGAGCCCTCGAAAGTATCGGCGGCTGAGAACGCGCAAAGATTGATCAGCGAGCACGACCTTGGGAGAGGCGCCGACGTCGCTATCGATGCTAGCGGCGCTGAGCCCAGTGTACAAACTGCAATTCACGCCCTCCGGGTAGGCGGCAGTTACGTCCAAGGCGGAATGGGTCGAGACGAAATCACGTTCCCGATCATGGCTGCATGTACAAAGGAGCTCACCGTGAAAGGAAGTTTTAGGTACGGTTCGGGTGATTACCAGACGGCTGTGGAATTGGTCAGCAGCGGCAAGGTTGATGTGAAGAAGTTGATCAGCAGGAAGGTCAGCTTTGACGACGCGGAACAGGCGTTTGAGGATGTGAAGAATGGAAAGGCCATTAAAGTCCTCATCGAAGGGCCGAAATAGATGGTGATTCTTAATTCCAAGCTAAATTCGAATCGTGCCTTGCAGTCTGGAATTGTATGTCTTTCACAAATAGTCTGTGACTTGCATGCCTGTGATGCTCTCGAGACCCTTAGGCCCCATCCCCTGTCCCCGTCCCGGCTTTTGACTCGGGTTTTTTATGGATGCAACTCGTGGCAACTCTACCGAAGCACATCACGTGCCGATAAGACATACGGCAGAGCACACCTAAATGAAGTGCACTTTCAACTATATTTTTGTCTGAAGCCATTCTTGTCCTCGTGAGACTCCTGCGAGATCTTTGAGCTTCATCCCTGAGACTCTCTTGCATACATATGTGGTCTAATCGTCAAGATGATGCCGGCGTGAAATCTCTGGCATAATCAGCGGCTTATGTCCAGGCTCGCCAGTAGACTCCCAGTGACCCTCCAGCAACTACAAAGCCAACTACTACTACCCATGGCACAGGCAACTTCTGCCGGCCAGAGCCAGGCTCCTGGCATGAAGCTGACTGGCAGAGCTTTTTACGAAAGCATTGGGAGTCCCAAAATGATTGTCGCACCTATGGTCGACCGCTCAGAGTTCGTCTGTTCCTCCTTCCTGATCCGTTCTCAAACTATATTGACTCGTTTGCCAGGCCTGGAGACTTCTTACTCGATCCTACCTAGATAAAGAGCGATCGAAATCCTTGTTGGCATATTCGCCAATGCTCCACGCGCGGCTCTTCAAAGAGAGCCCAAGATTCCGGGACGAACACTTCCAACCTACAAGAAGCAGCTTAGTTTCGAAAGAGAAGTCTTCTTCGCCTGCTTGGTTGGACGGAAATCCAGAGCACGACCGTCCGCTCTTTGTACAATTCTGTGCAAACAAGCCTGACGACCTGCTCGAAGCTGCGCAGTACGTAGCCCCGTACTGTGATGCGGTGGACTTGAACTTGGGGTGCCCTCAGGGCATTGCACGAAGTGGTAATTACGGAGCGTTTCTGCAAGAGGATTGGGATACCATCTACAAAATGATCAACAGGCTGCACAATGAACTGTCAGTGCCGGTCACTGCCAAGATGAGGATATTGGAAACGAGAGAGAAGACACTCGACTACGCAAAGATGATATTATCAGCTGGTGCTAGCATCCTGACCGTTCATGGTCGACGCCGCGAGCAAAAAGGGCACAATACCGGACTTGCAGACTGGTCGATGATACGCTACCTACGCGATAATTTGCCTGCTGAAACCGTCATCTTTGCCAACGGCAACATTCTCAATTCGGGCGATATCCAAGCTTGCCTAGCTGCCACGGGTGCCGACGGCATCATGAGCGCCGAAGGAAACCTCTCAGATCCAACTATTTTTGCCGCACCTCCGATAGAATACAGTCCCCGAGAATATTGGTACGGGCCTGAGGGTAAAGGTGGGTACCGCTTGGACGCCGTCTTTCGACGGTACATGGATATTATCTACAAATACACACTCGGTAGATCGCCTCCGGAGCGTCCGCCGCTTTATATCCCCGGCGACGACAAGCTTGAATGCCTCCAGGAGAGGAATACGACGTCATCAGAGAACCAGACATCCAACAGCAAGAAACGAAAACGAGACTACAAGCCCAAGGCGGATCCAAACCTGAAGCCGATGCAAGGGCATCTTTTCCAGCTGCTCAGACCCATCGTGTCAGTACACACCGACATCCGAGATGCATTGGGCCGGACCAGGTGCGGAGATATGGAAGGGTTCGAGCGAGTTCTCTCAATGGTCGAGCTGGCAGTTATGCAAGGTCTTGATGGAGAAGCAAGTCAAGCCACAACTGAAACACCGGCTTCACAAGAAGACCCTGTTGCTGAGGAAGACATGACGCCCAAGCAGATAACAGAACTGAAGTACAAGAGACCTTGGTGGGTCTGCCAGCCTTACGTGCGGCCGTTACCAGAAGAGGCTATCAAGCTGGGGTCACTTCAGCTCAGCAAGAAGGAAAAAGCTAAACTAGCTTTAAGCGAAGCAGCGGAGACGAAACAAGACCCGATTCAGCGAAGTGACGACAGCCCGGATGAGCCGTCTTCTCATAATACTACCGGCGAACTCCCCAAGGCCGCGTTGGTCTGTGGATAACGATGAGCGCAAATGGATGAGTTCGAAGACGAGTTCATATTCCAGACTACCCAGAATCTACCAGGACCTCGATACCCAGACAGACTGCCTGCTGGCTATACTACGCTGTCGTCCGTGAGACCAGCTCTCGGTATCAACATTGTCAGATATATACCCTGAGCAAGGCAGCCTCATGCGGAGTTTTACTCACCCTTGCGCTTCTTGCGCGCCTCATCGTCGTCAGAGTCTGTCCCGTCCTGACGTTTGCGCTTCTCTCCGTGCTGCTTCTTCTCCTCGTCGTCGTCATTGATGCTGCTGCCGACTTCCATCTGCTCATCGACGGCCGTAGAGCTATCGCGCTTCTGTCTCTTCTGACCTTCGTCGCCGTCCTCGGATTCTCCCACAGAGTCGTCGTGCGTGCGCTTCACACCAGCGCTCGAGACAGGGCCGACAGACGGTGCTTGACTGGCACGCCGTTCGTTGTCCATGGCTCGATACTGTTCCTGGATCAGTTGACGAATCGCATCTCGAAGCTCAGGAGCAATGCTGCCGTCTCGATAGTTTGCTTCCACATCCTGGATCAAAGCGTCTCGGAGAGTTTCAGGGAATTGTTGTTGACCGCGTCTGAACCCAAGTTGGTCCAAGTCTCTCTCGGTTGTGTCCACATGGTCATTGAAGTATGAAAAGGCCGCCGCCTGGAGACCTTCGGTGTCGATGGGTGATGCAGATGGTTCGGGAGACTTCGACTTGCGACGCACTGGAGAGCCTTTCGCAGGTGGTTCGGGGGTCCTCGACAGACGAGGCACCGGAGAGCTTCTCGCAGGTGGCGTTGCAGGGGAGTCTCCGTCTGTCTTGCCGCCCAATGTAACATCCGGCTCTTCTTCCTCTTCTTCGCCTGAAAGCGACCGAGCCTCGGGGCTCCCCACCTGTTTCTTAGCCTTTTCCTGCTTTCTCTTGGTAGATGCCTCCATTCTAGCGAAATAGCGTTTGTCCTCGGGGACCTTGAAGTCATCAACGATGGCTCTGGTACGACCCCGTTGAGTCATGAGAGCAGAAGCCTCGCGCGGCTTTCGTGGTTCCTTGGAGCCTGGCAGAATCTTGCCCACGAATTTGTCGTTCATTCGCGTCGCCCATTCTTTCTTCTTGTCGTTGGAAACTGTCAGAGGAAGGAGCTCGGCTTCGGTCTTGTTTGGGTGGGCCTTCTTCTCTTCCTCCAGGAGTTCCTTCATCAAGTCGTAAAGGAGGGCAAGTTCCTCTTCGGACCATTTCTGAGATTTGTCGCGCCTGGAGACGTTCAGGACCCTCGCCTGGTTTTGACGCCACCAGGAGTTCAACAAAGTCACATGTTTCTGGTTCTTCCAGTCAAAAAGGGTACGCTTCGAGTTCGGGCCAGGGGCTTGGTCACCACGCTCGGGCCAGTAGAAATCGGTCTCTTTCTTGAACATGTTGAAGTTGTACTTACCTTTGGAAATGTACTCCATGATAAATCTCCGAGGATTGGTCGCCGATGCCTTTGCAGTGTCTGGGTAGTCATCGATCATAAACCCGTCTGCACGATCTCTGGAAGGGGACGATGGTGTTGACGAGGATTTAGACGAGCCATCAGAGTCATCATCAGAGTCGGAGGGGAGAAAAGTGTCTCGCTCACTGCCCCAATTGCTGTCGGAGCTGGAGGAGCCGGAGGAGGAGGAGGAGAAGGAGGAGGAGGAAGAACAAGAAGAAGAGTCGGAATCGTCACCACCAGGATCCTTTCGTGGTACACAAGCTTCTGGTGTTGGCTTCTCCATTCTCTTACCGTCGGTGCCCATCCTCATCCCGTCAATCGCGACGTTGTTACGCCGTGGCTGGCCCGTGTAGGGGGGCACGCCATCGACATACCAATCGTAGACGGCTCTGATCAGGTCAAACTGGCGTTCTTCCAGGAAGACCAACAGGGAATACCAATCGGGTCGACCGGTTATATTTATAAATTCCGCCAGTCTCTCATCCCTAGCCGCCTGGTTCTTCTTGTCTTCGTCATCCATGTCCGCGGCTTTCTTGTTGGCAGCAGCCGGCAGCTTCTTTCGCATGTGGTCGAAGCGGCGAGCAAGTTCGCGCAGGACTCCGTCGGCCGTGAGTTTCTGGAAGCTGGCGGTAGCCAGGTCGAAATCCCAATGATTCTGGGTGAGCCACAGACTCGCTGCCGAGCGGTTGATGGTCCTGGTCTGCTGGCTTCGGTTCCTTACCCATTGTTGGAGTGCCAAGGCAGCGTCGCGACGCTCTTGCTCGGCGTTGGCGTTCCAGCGGACACGCGAGGCGTCGAAAAGGCCTCGGGCCGTGTCGTCGCCGGCGTTGCTGTCACCGTCGCCAGTCTCGAATGCGAGGTGGTTTGCTCGGACCGCGGTGTAGTCGGCCACGGCGGCGTCGATGTCCCAGTTGTGGATTTTCAGGAAGTATTCCAGGATGGGACGGTCGACAACATAGGGGTATAGACTTCGTCGGAAAGCGTCGATGCGGTCTCGCTGTTGGGTCGGTGTAGGAGTGGTTCGGGCCTGCCCGCTGTTAGTCCCATTGCCGCCTGCAGTGGATTGATTATTGGTGCCGGACGCTTTGCCGCCTTTTCTGGGAGCCATGTTTTCGCAAGAAGTTGTCAGTGTTTTGATTACTGTTTTTTCTGTACCGAGGATTCTCAATTAGTGGAAATGGCGACTTGACTGGTTTATTGTTGCGGGCGTTGGCACTTACCAATGTAACGTGGTATTGGGTTGTAGCTATAGATGATCACCAGGACCGTAGAGCTTTTAGAGGAGTTGTTGGTTGGAGTAGTGTGTTGGGAGAAGAAAGGTTCGAACACGTTGTGTGTGATGGGAAGGCTTCGAGTGAGGTGCGAGGTTCGCATAAAGGGTATATATATATGAGTTGACATAGTCGAACGTCCCCTTCGTCGGTTTTGCAATAAAGGAAGCAAGTGGCTGTGTCTCCTTTCAAGTCCAGCCTCGCACAAAGCGACAGGCCCGTCACGTGACTCGGTTTCCTTTGTGTCCATTGTCGAGGCGCGGCTGGTCAAACAATGAAACATGGAGAGCAAGTATTTTCGAAATAGTGCAATAGTGGAGGTTGGAAAGAACTCCAGGGTGCGCGGAGCCTTCGTTGTGAGGAAAATTGAAGATGTTGGAGAGGTTGCAAGAATTGGCCCCGGAGGTAGATGGGAAAGAGATAGTATCAAACGGCAGGGCTGGCAACTTGCGTTTCTCTGATATCTGCCAGTGGTATGTGTGGTAACGGGTCCAGTGTAGACGATTGAGAGAAGGACGGACAAAGAGAATCGTCCGTAAAGGGAGGTGGTGGATCCCCAAACAAAGACAGATAAAGACTTGAATACATCAGGCCAGTCGTGCGATGGTTGAGATTATCCCAAAGCACACTGGAAGAGCATGACTGGCCACCATGGCCATGCTTGAGGCCTCGGGCTTGGAGAAAATACGTAGGTGGGCCTCGTGGAGTTGTGAAAGAGAGCTCGCAGGCTTCTTTGAGAGCTGAAAGCGTTGGCGTAAGCCCTTCTCCCGTTGCGATGCAAGAGATTGCGTGTTGGCGAGGATTGTCTGTTCGATTTATGTTGCTTTTGCCAGTTTTGAGATAGCCGTAATCAGCCGTTGCGAGGAGGAGGAGGAGGAGCGGGAAAGCCAATGGGATTACCAAGGGGGAAGGAGAATCGATACCAACTGCGGCTCTCCCTCTTTCATCATTTCGTAGGGAGACGCCGGGGACATTCAAGTGTAACGAGAATGGCCAGCAGGTCCATGTCGAGAATGATATCGGGTTGGTAGATGCTTTCCAGCCCTTGCCCTAGGGTCCTTCCCGACTGCACTGGTGAAAATCTGTCCATATCCTCTTAGTTTGACCCGACCTGTACATCAGCCTGGTCGTCTGCCGAGCATCAGTGCAGCGTATTACGAGGGCGGTGACATCTCGTCAATGAGTTGCATGTTCTGGCCAAACGCCCTGGTCTTTTGGTTCCGGAGGGTGGTGCCAATTCATACTTTCAGCACGGCCGATCGTTCGATACGATCGTAGTAAAGGTATACAGCTTCGAGAACTCTTCGAACACACTGGACTCGTTCATCTCGCCAGTGATGCAGCTATTTGAACAAGCCTCTCAAGAATATTGAGGATGGACAACACTGAGATACGAAATGGTGGCTATATTGAAGTCATTTAAAGATCACGTGATTGTCATTTGACTTGAGCGGTCTACACGATGTGGACTTCACCTTTGTCTTGTGGTTGATTTTCAACGGCGATTCTGTCAACCTGTTTGACTAAGTCTACGTCTTCACAATGACTGACACCAAAGGATGGGCAGCTCTGCCGTTCGAGCTTCAACTCATTATTGCCAGTCTCCTTGACCGCAATGACCTCAAATGCTTGCGTAGCATCCACAGCCGCCGTGGGCTTGCAGCGACCGCGATTCTGTTCAGCACCGTGCATATCAGCCCCAATACTCGAAGCTTTGCTCGTGCTTTGCAGGTTGCTCAAGAACCACATTTGGCGAGTTATGTGCGACGGCTCGTATATCATATTGGTATTATCGAAGCCGTGTATGGAACGGACACTTACTACGGAGAAGAGGATAACTTCTACGAGCAAGTATACCAGTATGAATGTTATTTGGAGGAAATTGACGCCCAGGAAGCCTTCTTGGAGCTGGACGAGATTGAAGAATTGTCCCGCTTGACAAGCAGGCTTAACAACTTGGAATCGATAGCTACCATCCGAGATGAATACGACCCATTCCTACCACCACACGGATACATAGAACAACGTACCGGTCTGCCCGCCATAGGTTTCTTCGAAGGAAGACCTTTCGCGTCTCTTTTCGAGGCCACCGCCGGCTCGTCCATCAACAAGCTTCAAGGAGAAGCGCTGTCCTGGGGCGTTTTCGCCGACGTCAACGCTTTACCAGACACATCCTTACGACTCGGCCGTCTGAAGGAGCTATCATTGGGCCTTTACATCACGGAGCTAAGTAACTGCAATGACCCACGAGACACTTTGCAAGCCATGGGGCACTTTTTGGGTCACTGTACCAACCTCGAAGCTCTCTCCCTCGACTTTGACGAATTTCCCTTCGACATCCTCAGCAAATACTATGAATGTGTGTCCCGAGCATCCCTTTACAAATGTCGCTTTCCACGACTGACGCGACTTTCACTGCGGGGCCTCATCACTTACGAGGACAAGTTCATCTATTTCTTGGAAGCGCACAGTTCCACCCCAGTGGATCTTACGCTGGCAGACCTCATGGTTGTGGGGACCTCCAACGAGAAGGATTCGGTGTCGTCCACTTTGTCGGCTTCCATCGTTGGCGAGAAATACTCAAGCAGCACAGGATCCGTTGTGTCAGTATTTCAAAGAATCCACGATGTATGCAATCTGAAGCGAGTCCGACTCCGGGGGAATTTCACCAATCGTTTTGATGAGTCGTGGTATGTCTATGAGTCGATTTCGGAAGGCTTTGTGCCTCAGATACGACGCTTTTTGTGCCGGCAGGGACCATCGCCGTTTCCTGCACTAGGAGAGTATTGTCAGATGCAGGAGGACACTATGAAAGATTGGGATCCACCCCCCTACGATCCCGAAGATCTTGGACCCAATGGATTTGGTCCCCACCCAGCCGCGGAGCAGTTCTGCGACGATTCTTGGGAATGGTGTCCTGAACTATTATCTCGTTGACGAGACTGGAGTACGACCAGAAGCATGCCTGTTTTACCCTTTAGCAGATGCTCCCTGAAAACAGGGAAGATACAGGCCGTATACCCGGGGCATCAAGACCGATGGTAGCTCCCCAGTATACGTCGTAAGCGTATGGAAAAGCCTTACCAGCCTATAGAATAGCGTGGGCGAACGGCAGGGAGTGCAGCGGAATGAAGGGAGTCTCGATGGGTGACTTGAATACACGCTGCATGCATGGGTAGTATAGCACCGATTTTCCGAGTGGATTATACCCTTACCAGTAACACTATCATACCTTTCACAGCCGAGATCGATGCTATATCTAGAGCAAACGCCCTCTAGCGATATATCTGTGGGAGCCGCCATCTCAGACAGCCTCTAGACGAGTCGGTGCTGTGGGCTTACGACAGAGAGGTGATTTGAGTAGCAAAAGAGGTCCCGAAGAGGGCAAATACAGGCTACATTATGAAAGGGAGTTGGTCCCTATTAGTCCGGCGACGTACGCCGTTGCCATGGTGTCGTCTGCAACGGGAGCGAACCGGGAATTCAAGCAAGGGGGCAAACAATAACATTCTGATTAAGCATGGCGAACCTGCGCACGTGTATCTGGCTACTCCTACTCCTCCCCATCCGCTATCCCCCCCACCCCTATAAATCCGAGTCGGGCTCGCTCTCCAGACCATCACCCTCGTTCCCGTGCTCATACCTCAAGCCAAAATGCTTGCAGTGCGCCTTGATCCTCTTGCGCTGTTGGTTGATCATCTCCTCCGTCCGCTGGGGACGAGGCACCACACCGACGCGGCTCATGTCCTTGACCTTGGCCTCCCACATGATATTGTACCGCAACTGCTGTGAGCCGTCGGGTAGAGTGGTCTCCGGCCTCGTGTCCGCCGGATTGCGACGTGCGATCCACTTGAGGAACGTGTGCCTGCCGGCGAAGGTGTCATTGAAGCGCTCCACGAGCGACTCTCTCTCGGCGGCGGTGAGGGCAATAGGGAAGCTGGTGCCGTCTGCGAATTTGGTCTTCGCGTCGGCATACGCCGCCGGCGAGCTTTCGTTCGGGTCAAAACGGTTCTGTGACGCCCAGTCATAGAACCTCTCCTCGATCCGCATGGCTTCCTGCTCCGTGAGCCAGGCGAGCTCGTACTTGTTGAAGGGAGTGGTTTCATCCCGGACCTTTTCGCCGGTGATTGCTCGGAAACGCTCTGTGCGCCATCTGTTGAGCTTGGTGATGTCTGCGGAGTTGTTCCAGTCGAACTCGTTCAGAGACTGGTCGGGACTGTCTGAGAAGCTGTAGTTGTGTCTGTTCCGCCTGTCCTTCTGCCTTGGTTCGTCCTCGTGTTTGTCGCCCGGGCGGCCGAAGTAGATGGTGTGATACTCTCCCTTGCGGATGTATTCGATGCGCAGCTTGGATTCGTCGGGAGCACCTCTTCCAGCGGGGCGGCGGTCTTCGTCGATGACGTACCCTCTTCTGCCGGTGCGGCCTTCCATGGTGTCATAGTCGCGTCCTGGCATGTTATCTGCGTCACGACGAGGATTTCGCAAATCCGGAGCTGCAGCTGGTGTCTCGGTCCCTGGGACCATGGGTTCCGGGTGTTGTGGCAGCGGCACCTCGTCATCGTAGTGTTCGAACCTGCCGTTGATGACTCTGCGAGGTCTGTTCGGGTTCCATGATCGCATTACAGTGTCGTTGGCCTGGACCTGAAGTCCGCCACGCTGGATCCATTCATCAATGGCCAGTGCCAGATCCCACCGCCGTCTTTCCAGTACTCGTCGAGCTGCTTCCACGCTGTTGGTCGATGTGATGGTGAGGAACTCTGCCAATCTCTGATCTCGGCTAGGCTCCCCATCTGGTTGAGTCCGCATGCGAGCGATCTGCTCGGTAAGGTCGTCGAAGGGATCGCTGCGATTATTCGTCTGACCTGCGCCATCGTTGGCCGTGTCCGAGCCGCGCGCCCCAATGTCTCTCGAGGTTTCATCCAAGTCCCAGTTGTTCCGCTGAAGCAGTAAGGCCATGTTCGCATTTGAAGTGTGGAGCTGTGGTCGTTGGCGACTTCTGAGACCTTGTTGCATGTCGTGAAGGAGCCGCAATCTTTCTTGCTCGACGTTGTCGGCTGCTCGATTCCATATTGGTGTAGTGAGGCCCGTTGCTTGGTTATTATTTTGGCTCTCCCAGTAGACCGCGGCTGCACGGTTGACGTCCCAATTGGCCCAAGTGAGGAGCTCGCTGAGGGCGTAGTGTCCGCCCCCACGGGGGAATCGGATCTGGTTTCTGAGGGCTTCTATGCGTTGGTTTCGCTGAGCTCTGGTCGTAGGTAGAGGTGGTGGTGCCTGTCCATTAGGAGGGTATGCTTGGGGTCGGCTGACAGGCTGTGGTCTGCCCAAGACACCTTGCACCCATGGTGGAGCTGCTCGAGCTATCCCAACATCCTGTGCCTGTGGTGCCTGTGATGCTTCTGGTGCCTGTGATGCTGGTGGCGCTCGCGCTGCACGGCCAGTTCTGGCTCTCTTTGTCGGTTGTGGAGGTGGGTCCGGGCTGGTTGTTGCAGCACGCTTTCTCTTCGCAGGCTGGGCTCTGCCCCGAGGTGGCTGGTTTGTGTTGGCAGGTCCAGAAGATGGTGCAGCTTGTCCCGAAGTCGAGGGGGCTTGAGCTCCCTGCTGGTTCTGCTGTCCTCTTACTCCTGCATTTTGGCGAGTCGATCTTTTCGGAGGTTGCCTCTGGGGTTGCTTCTTGGGTTGCTTGTCGCCCATTGTGTCTCAGGAGAAATGTCCAACCTTTCAGCTATGGAAAAGAGAACAAAGAGAAGAGAAGAGAACTCTTGTGGGAGCCTTAAGGATGTTTGTACTCGCGAAGTCGCATTCTCTAGAGAGACGAGACAAAAACAAAATTCTGACCGCGGATGGCCATTGCCTGTTTTTGGCGCACATAACCGCGCTATGCCGTCTCGGTCACTGACTGGAATGCGCATATTCACTGGAAGCTCTGTCCAATGTTTACCGCCCGGCAGGAAAATTCTGTCAATTGGTATGTCATTGTCTGAATGTTGTGAATGAGCTCGGGAAACTTACCGTCGTTGGTTGAGGCCAGGCTCTGGACTCCCTGTCCCCATCGCTGCTGGCGCCGGCCCCAGGCCTTTTGATGTTGGCATTTCATATATACATAGTGATATGGAGAAGAGATGGCGAGATGAAGTGAGAAAGTGAAAAGGGAGTGAGTTTTGTATCTTGCAACCCCTCGCTTCCCCTCGCGCGATCCATGGTGTTTGACATGTTTGCACTGCAGTCTGCGTCCGCTTGATTCCGCGAGATTCCGCAGACAAGAAGGCAAGTGTGTGTCCTATGTTCAATTGTGGTTGCTTGATTGGCCAGCCAGACCAAGGAATGAGGACGCAGATAGTGTTGCTCTTGTGCCAATCAAACAGCAAACCGTCAGCGTCTTTGGTACGGCCAGGTTAGATGGAATGCTCGGGACATAGGGTGCTTGTCCATCGTCACCTACAGTAACCAAGGAAGCATCTTCCGCTCCTCGGCATGGCTGCAGCAAACATGTCTGCTTTAGGCAAACAAGGCTATGGAACAATCCCTGGCAACGCCATTTCCCCGGGCGTGGCAGCATGCCGGAGATTGGAGATTCCTGAACCTTTGTCCCGGAAAGGTGGCGCTATGCTGCATATGCTGCGAAGACCCCGAACAAAGACATTGTGCAGTTCTGCGTCGAATACCTAGGGTCAGCACGCTCAGGTAAGTATGTATCGTGGGTCGAAATAAGAATGTAACATGTCTTGGCGCCAGCCTTGCCCCTGAGAGATTGCCATCCAGGCCAGTCAAGGCCAATGCCAGAAGGACCCAACAACAGCCTCGGGGAAAGCCGAGGTCAGTCGCGTTGCTGGCATCTATTCGAGTTCTGCGAGTGCAGCTTTGACTCGCCGGTCGCCTTCAAAGCCTAGCAAGCTCTTGAGAAACATTTTCGACAGTCTCTCCAGCTTCACAGCTCTGCTAAGCAAATGGGCACCATGAGCCGTCCTGTTGCGACGAACGAACTTTGATGCTCCCTCCGACCATGCGGACTGATTCAGGGAAATAGACTGAAGTCCCCACTCCGAATCGAGAGACACTGACCAAATGCAGGTGTCTGCCCGTCATTGGCGATATGTGAGGCTGTGACTATGGCCAGGAGACATGCGCTTGGTGTCGCGCAGTTGCAAGAAGTCAGACAGAGTCATCGATCTATTTTTCTTCCTATGCTTCTTCAAGGACTATTGTGAGACACCTGGGCACTCATGATATCCTTCAAGCCCAATACCCGGAGCGAGGTTCGGAGTTGAGTCATCAGGGATGCAGCGAGTACATCTTTGATGACCTTTCGATATGGCCGATGCAGGAGCGAACTTCAATTCAAGACAGACGACTTTCACCATTGAGATGGTTTACGGAAAGCGGAAGCCTTTCAAACGGTGTCTCCATCTGGCACCGGCGGCCGACATCCCTGGTTGGCGCTTGTTATTCGGCTCTTGGGGTACTTCGACAGCTAGGCCTTCTAAGTCTAGTAGATGCCTGCATACTCTGCGATCTCTAGGGGTTCTAGCTGTCATCGTGAATCAAATCATCCTAAGGTTAGAGGCAGTGGCTTTCCGATGCCGGCGACGGGACGGACAGTCTCTTGCACATAGTCTCGGATCGGGCAGACTCGGGCACATTGGCGAACATTTAGGATACACCAAGGGCAGAAAACCACCTCAGTTCAAGGAGAAAAAGGGAGAAGAAAAGCAAAAAGAGTGAATGTGATACTGTTTCTCAATTTCGCTTTGAATTACATTTCGCACTCTACTGTGGTCAATTTCAGCGATAGTGACCTTGCATTCGAAGACCTCTTCGCCAAGATATTGCACTGCTTCCATTGGTCGTACTGAGTAGACATCCAATCCAGGTCCATCCAGTTTCGATGCTCCCATCCTCAGTTCGGTCCAGTCTTGCTTGCTGGTCTCCCGTCGCTCAATCTACCTCCATTGGCATGAGGTCCTCCTCCCCATCGTCAATGCCCGACACACGTGCTCCCGGGGCTCGTCTCGCATCGTACTCCACCTGCTCCTGCTGTCTGACAGCTTGGATTTTCAGCGCAGCGTGATAGTTGCCCAAGGTCTGGATTCGGTTCCCCTGGTCGTCCAACTTGAACTTGCGGTCGATGTAGGTAGTGATGAAGTTGCCCTTTCGCTCCGGGCAGGGGTTGATCTCGCCGGGAAGGTACCGACCCTGGAACACCTCGTTGTAGAAGCGTGTGATGGCTTGAGTGTTTGGCGGAGCACCTTGCTTGAACTCATCGATGTGCTCGCCAAACGCGTTGCGGACCAGTCGCTCTTCGAACTTCGTGTACCGCGTCCGCTTCACAGCTGCCGGGATATCCGGTGGCCCGTTGTAGTACCTCGAGATGTCGTTACGCCACTGATTCAATGCTCGCATATGATCTGCGTTGTTCGCATCAAATAACTCAGAACCGGGAAGTCGAACCACCCGGCTGCCCTTGCCATCACCAGACCGCGCCGGGATGGGAAAGGCTAGCATCGAAGGCTGGAAGGCTTGACTCGAGATAGCGTTCGCCTGTTGGTTCAATTGCTGATAGATCTGAGCAGCGTTGGCGGATCGCAGGCTCTCGTCAGATTCATACTGTTTGATCGCCTCCTTGACGTCCCATTCGTTGCCTTCCAAATACCACAAGGCTTCTTGCACGCAACTGCGGGTTGTCATGGCCTTCAGAACCGCCTCGATCTTATGCTCCGCTTCAACGTCAAGGGTGGAGGTCGCCAAACCTGCTTGAACGAAATTTCTCAGAGGGCGGTGGCGGAGAAGATTGCTGAACCAAGTTGATGGAGCTGGTGGATCTGCAATAGGTGGATTCTGGCGAAGCGAGACCAATATGTTGGCCGCCTCGATGGCCTCTGGATCTTCCTCGTTGCTCATGACATCGTCTAGTGAATTGGCGCTGTATTGAACTGGTGGCTGGGAGCCGAATAGTTCAATCAGGGCCTCTGCTGCAAGAAGCTCTTCTTCAGTTCTGTTCATGTAAGACATTTTGGTGTTAACGAGTTGAGAAGCTGCGGTGATCTGTTCTCGTGATCCAGTATTGAATTGCTTGGAGACTTCAAACCAGAACGGAGAATGGTGCGGTATATATATCGACAACAAGACGGCTCTCCACCGCCTTATTGTGAGGCAGTTGTCTCCGAAGCAGTGCATTGCGGCTTTGTGGTCGGTAAGGCTGTGTCCCATTTCTGCCGCTCCCTTTGTCATCGATGGTAAGGCATTGTACGGAAGACAGGCATTGTTACCAAAGAGCGCTTGTCGTTCAGAAAGCCAGGGCTCCTCAGTCGAAAATGCTGCCTGCCTGAGATGTGGGCATCGGCTTTTGTGGTAAACATCCACTCAAATGGTAGCATGTAGGCGATGCTCATTTCAATTCTGCCGCGTCGAGCCTTCTTGGACGGAGGTTGTAGCAGCTCTCATCTGCCCGGAGCACGCCGCCTTTCTAGGAGTCGGGAATCCTTGTGGGTCGAGGCAGGTGTACCACCATGAGGAACTCGTCGACACATTATTGTAGTCCATGGTGGCGCCTTCACGGCCAGAATTCACGTCGGAACCCCAGCCGAAGCAGAAGCTCGCCGAGAGCATCCTTTTCCGACCCATGTACCGAAGCCACGGCTTCGAAGTTCTAGATACTGATGTCAGGCGTTGTCGCAGAGTTTCAATGTCGAAAACACGTCTTACCAAGCCATATCGAGGAAGGGACCAGTCACGAAACAGAGATGCTTAGAGACCGCTCTCTGAAGCACATGATATGATATATATATCCACCTAGAGGCCTTCAGCATCAGCGCTGGTCCTCAATGTTCTGGGTGGGAGAAGGTAAAATATGAAGAGCTGCTCCAAGGCAAGATGCAAAGTTCGGAGATAATGATGGGAGAGTCGTGAATCCTGGGGACCCTTGCAGGCGAACAATAATCGTCATGATCATTCACAAACATGACAATGCTGCCAAAATGAAAACAATGGTTTCTTTCGCCACGTTTTGTGTTCAAACAATCCTTCTTTGTTCAAAGGGACCAACAATGCACAATAACCACACAAAGAATAGCATAAGCAAGCACAGCTCACCTCAAATTGATTGTTGAGGGATGCTGCGTTGACAACGCGCCTGTTTCAACGCCATGGCTCTGATGTCGCTTTCATTGGGCGAGCCGCGAGGCAACAACAATGATTCGTTCAACAAGGCATCGACACCGATTGCCACCAGGTTGTTTGACTCGTCCTTGTTCCTAATGACCGGTCGATATGCTCCGTCATTGCTCAGTATCCTCCTCGGCCGTCTTCGGCATTGTTGTCCCCTTGCCTTTTCGGCCTTGCAGAGGAACACGACATCATGCACTCCCAGTCTGATCAGACTGGAAAACAAGTAAGAAACCAGACGTCTGACTCCGCAATCACTACCATAGAAGTCCCCGATGTACATGATCGACAACAGACTCCAGTCAAGTCTCAAGGTCGGATGATTCTGTTCCTCATGGATAACTAGCTGACTGCAGCTGCCAACCATCCTCGGCAGCCTTGGGACGCAAAGCCACGGAGTACCAAGGAAGCGTCAGAGCCATGACAATTGCCATGAGCAGGGCATCGAGAGCATAAGCTGGCCACTCGTGCGCAAGAAGATATCCATCTTGTCCACCTTTATATTCTGCCAGGCGATAAATGTTTCGAGCTGTGATCAACACGCCCACGGCATAAAGTGACATTAACGTCCGACCCAAAGGTAGGCCTGCAGTCTCGCAAGATCGCCATAGAGGCAAAGACCGGACTCGAACGTGGAAGACCACGGCTGCCAGAATGAAAAGGGCGAAGAAGACGATTTGCAGGCCAAGACCGACAAGAATGATGTTTGAACCTCGGTCACTCTCGTCTTTAGTGTCGGCGTTGACCAACATTGCAGCGCCAAGAGCCTGAACCAGAAAGCACAACACATCGCCAATAACGAAGATCTTCGTTAACCAGGTGGTGCGGATGAGGGAGTATTGCTTTCCACCAGCGGCATTGATCAAGCGGCCTAGAAACATGTAGACCGATGCGGCGAAGAGAATTGGTGCGAGCAGGATGAGCAGCGTCTGAACAATAAAGGGACCCTTTTCATCGAGATGGTAGTGGGAGTATGCACGAGCGGCGAAGCCAAAGAGCTCGACTGCAAAAAATCAATCAGATCAGTATCCATGATGGTGACAATCCAACTCACAGAAGCCCCCAATAACAATGGCGGTTGCGAACCACTTCCTTGACTTGACCAGGAAGAAGACGTGGGCTGCAGTCAATATGCCGAACACCAGGGCTGCGATGACAGCAGCCGGGACAGAGGGAACATAGTGCTTGTAGGGGTTTTTCTCTTCAGCCATATTGTGCAGCAGGAGATGTAATCAAGTTGTGGAAGTCACTGGAGATGCTTACCAGATTTGGCTCATGTGTGTGGGCGGCACACACAGGTCTTATACATGTTGTATGGCCGGGCATTGAAAGCGCCGACTCCTGATTCTGATACTGCCGCCGAGCTTCATCTTTGTTGTTTGAGGCTGTGCACGAGCATGCAGAATCCTGACGGCTGGCAAGATACTGGAAGCGGGACTCGCTAAGGAGTTGTACTTGTGAATACTGTTTTGTGCTCCGTACTCCGTACGTACAGACAATTTCGCAAAGATTGCCGAGTGCTGCATGGCTCGCTTGCAGCACGTTCAACCGTTGCACGGACTTGTCTGAGACAAGCGTAGCCCCCTGATGTATCGATGCTCAAAGTAGAAAGGTGCCAGGTACGCGACCGGCGCGTTCTGTGGTTGGTCCAGAGCCTATTGTTTGCATATAAATAGTGAAATGTCTGAGAGCCGTGTATATCGCGCTCTTACTTGGGACAGTTCCTGCTTCTGAACGAAAAGGCTTGTCAAGCTTGTTTTGGGGGTAAAACCGACCGTTCTTGAAAGTAGAATCTCCAAAGCTTGGTTGAATTTGAAGTCCCCCATCCGTGTCAGGGCTGAGATTGTCGCAACAGATGGAGTAGCCGAGGAGCTCCGAGAACTGGGCAGGTCGCAAGGCACAAAATTGTGCCAGCATAAACCTGTCGACAGATCAATGAAAGCGACATTCCCACCACGGACCAGCAGGGACGTATCCGCATTATTGATGGCCAGAGAAAAGGTGACCTTCCCCTGAGTGAGGCTGAGCAACAGAATCGAAGTCTGCCTTGTCCTATCACAGTAGCGTCCGCGTATTCGGGTCTCTTTTAGGAAAAGTACGTCGGAATGTTCATTCTCAGGATATGCTCCGTGTCCGGAGCATGCTATTGAGATTGACGGTGGTGTTCTGCAGCGTCATACCGGTTGGAACGCATGGTCTCTACCAAACATGTGGAAACGAAAATTGGTTTGGATCATGGAGACGACAAACATGACGAGTACAAGCAATCATCCCAGTCCCTGAAATTGCTACGAAAGCAAACTCCAAGCATAAATGAAACGTGTCTCCTCATGACACCATTCTAGTATCGCTCCGGGAACATCTGGATAAATAAAGGCTCGCCGAATTGTTGTGTATCTGTGAATGAATCAAAGAGCCGCCAAGACTCAATATATATATATTCATCACGTGGACACGCTTTGAGACGCGTTGCTCCTTCACGCGTCTCCATTTTGACAATCACTGACAGACTTCAAGAATGAAAGAGCAAACACCGCCTTACGAAGCTGTCTTGCAGGGCAAGTAGGGCCGAGGTGATCACGACGGGGAGGTGCTGTTTGTACCGTGGATGGCAAACGAAGACATGGGAAAGAGTGAGAAAAGCCGTCAACAACAACACCCTTGTTTACCTTGTTTCATCCACCCTTTGCGCTCTAGACGGACACCATGCTGATCCGTGATATTGGTATAGCATTGCAGAGGCCTGTCCTCTCTCCAGATGGCAGGCTCCTGGCAGCCATCTCAACAGACCAGAAAATTCACCTCGTGGACCTCGCCGAGGCCACCAATGGCCGAAGAGCCATCTCGGCAATCAAAGTCCCCAAGGGGGCCCGGCCATTCTTGAAAGAATGCCACATCCTGCGGTGGTCTCCAGAGACACTGGTGCTGCCGGGAGAGGCGGACGAAATCCTCTCAAACACTACATCAGAATGCGATTTGGGCTTGACGTGGTTGTTGCTCTCGGACGGCGATCGTTTGATCGCGTTGAGCACCGATCTCAAATCACCAAGGATGATGCCCGGGGCGCCCGACAGCGAAGACAACACCAAATCAAACATACTCGCCGACTACGAGCTGGGAGCACATTTTGGGAAGCTCAGCCTTGCTGAGTTCGTCTTCAACCACCGACACGCCTTGGTGATTTTCGAGTTTGGAACCACCGCTGCGATACTCAGCCTCGTAAAACCACAAAGAGAAGATGTACCACATATCAAATTTCCAGACTCCCGGAGCTTCGCCAATGCGCCCGAAGCCAAACACTTTGCGCTGCTCAGACGCGAGAAAGGTCGGGACCGGGTGACGGTTTTCGAGATGGGACAGAGCAATAACATCACCTACCACTCGTTCGACACCAATACATCCGATGCCCAGAGTTTGACGTGGTGTCCGGCCAAAGATCCAATAATCGCGGTCTGCGACTCGGCTGCATATGGAGCCAAAGTCTCCTTTTTCACAGCACAAGGCCACGCCCTGAAGCAGCTGGACATTTCTTCTGAAACATTCACAAAGAGTATTGAACCACCAAGTCAGCCTCTGAACATTGACATGGAAAGCCTGGGTATCACACACTGGAAGTGGACGCGGGGCAGCAAGGAGGACAACAGAACCCTTCAAATAACCGTCAACGGACAAAAGCAAGTCCTGATCAGATCGCAGACCATCAAGAGCATGTCCACGCAGACAATCACAGCATTTACCCACAGAGACGTTGTCGACGGGTCTCAGACATTTGTATGGCAGGAAACGACGCACTTACCAGACACTTCCACCCCAGTCTTCATCCGCCAGACCGGCACATTCGATGCATCGGACACGCAGAGCGAAAAGCCATCAGACTCCACCAAACAATCCGGGCACACAGCACAAGCACACATCGACATCATCTCCCCGAATGCCAACCACACAATCATAGCCACACGTATCCGCACAAGCCCACAAACTCTGTTCCTCTGGAAACTATCCGAGATCAACAACGGCAACACTCAGCCTCACACGGTTCTCATCTTCACACACCCCATCAAACAAGTCCTCTGGCATCCGACCTTGGCCAACGTCCTCATCATCCTGACCACGACTAAAACACCACGCCTGTACGCATGGTACCAAGAGCCCCTCGCACCCATCACGGGCATCATCCCGATCGACGGCGCAACAACGACCCCCATTCCTAATCATTCAACGAACTACTCCGCCACCTGGCTTTTGGGTTGCACAAGACCAGACGACCATCGGTGTCCATTCATGCTCACATCCGCAACGGCGTATGAAGTCGGATATATCGCCAGCCACGAAGGACGTCTCGTGTTCGAAAGCATAATCAATCGCTCTGACAACATGTTCGATGGCCCTGGCGCTATGCCAGACGGTGACGACGAGACGACGAGCATGTTATTCGAAATAGACACGCCGAGCCGGCGGCCTACTGGCAAGGACCTTCTGAACCCAGACCGAGGCCAGAAGCAAAAGAAAGCGAGATTCGAAGTCGAGCCAAATCCGAGAACGGATAAAGAGGGTGAGGTGTTTGCAGAGGCCGGGTATGCTTATTCGCGCTGGTGATTGCGATTGCGATTGCGATTGCGAATCATCATTGTGTGGACACTACGATTGAGCTTGGAGAGAGAAAGAGAAAGAACAAGGGCTTTCAACCTGAGCCCATTTCCGCTAACCATGGGATATTCTATTCGACGTTGATGACGACGACGATGACGATGACGATGACGATGACGATGACGATGACGATTGCTATGGCTATCGAGTAGTGCGTCTCAAGAGATGGGCAATGGCAGCACAGGAAGTGCCCGGCTTGAGAATCTTTTATCTGTACGCAGTACAACTAGCGAAATGACCATGACAATCATAATGACACTGACAGTGACACTGAACCGAGTCCATGGAATACCAAGTTACTGTATTAAGAGTGAGACTGCGAGGCATCTGCAGCTGATGGCACCATCGACTTCGTCGTGATGAGACCGCTGCTAGAGATAAGAGAGTCGTTCTGAATCCTTGATGCCGTGGGTACTTCGTTTGTCAGACCTTTCGAGTGGACCAGTCAATCTATCATGCTCGTCTTTGTCGCTTGCCCATGCCCTTGAGGCCTAGCTGGCTTCCCCCCAGAAGTCTCACTTTCAAGATTCGATGACTCTAGCCCCAAGTTGTATCTCATCTCACTTCGACTCACTCTTCCGCAGAATCAGGGGGCTTGATGAAGGCGCGTCATCTACCTACATGGGCCTTCGGAAGACCTTCGATTGTTGACACCAGACGGATTTCACTCCTACCTCGAGCGCTCTGGTCAGGGGCAAGCACAATTCCCGGCGTTTTCCTTGCCTTTTGCATGAGGCATTCTATGTACAGCCTCAAAACTGTCGACAACTCGCCAACTCGACGCCAACACTAGTCACCAATATCGACACACCAACAAATACACTGCACTAAAACCCCTCCTCAATCTGCCCTGCCATCTGCGCCGGCGAACCCAGCCCATCAACCGGCTTGTCCAGATTCTGCCCACACTGGACCTTCCAATTCTTGGGCGTGTACCCATCGACGACCCTCTTGAACGCCTCAAACGTACACAACGTCTCGTCACCCTGATAATTGTTCCCGGGCTGCGCGCAAGCAGGCACCTTCATCACTTTATCGTTATACCGCACACGCACGTAATACCCGTCAAGCCGGCCCTTTTGCTTCTCCGACAACTCACTCCACGCGGACCGTGCAATCAAATCCTTGGGTGGGATCGATGTGGCTATGCCCGAGGAACCACGACTCAATTTCGGGGTCGACAATGGATCCGAGCCAGACACAGACCCGGATTGCAACTTCTCGGCCGGATCGGGGTGAGCTTTGGGCGATTTCAAGCCCAAGAACGACGCAAAAAGCCCTGGCTTCACCACCTCCTCTTCTTTCTGGCGCTTGGGCTCTGTGCTCGCCGGAGTTGTCGGCGTCAAGAAATCCGCATCAGCATGCTTCCCGTCACCGCCATCGGCACCGGCCTTGCGAAACAGCTCAAACGCAATGTGACTCGTATAAGGTGGCCACTTCTCGCCGTTGAACGCGCCCAGACTCGTCAACACACCGGCGAGCGTGGTGTCATGACATCCCGACATGGCGAATCTGATACCCATCTCGCCTCCTCTTCCTTTCCCCAGCCGTCCATTCTCACCGCCGATTTCATTGATACTCAACCCCGCGCCCTCGACCTTGGACGTCATACGTTCGACAATGTCGCCCATCAACCCGCCAATGCCCAGCATCCGGTACTCTCTGTTCTCATTGTATCCGTGAAACCACTCCTCGACGCCGATGCGGTCGATGATCTCTCGGGCCTTGCTGTCGTAGAACTCCCTAGGCAACCGGGTCTCGGGTCCATGCGCGAGCGTCGAGTTGATCGTGTCCATGATGCCCGACAGCCTCGGGTGCGAGTCGACCGCGACGGTCTTGTTGCTGCTCTCCGGCATCCACTTCCCGATCAACTTGGTCAGGTATTTCATGTCGTCCGTCTCGTTCCACCGGTCCGCCGCGCGCTGGGCAAAGGCCCGCGAGAGCTGTGCGAAGCGACGACAGTTGCCGTCGTTCGGGAACAGCGTCTCGTCGGCCGGCGTGCGCGTGACGATCGTGGGCGCCGGGAACGACGCCGTGCGTGCCGTCAGAGGGTACATGCCCCAGAAAGTCTGCTGCACGGACTCGAGGGCTCGCGGCAGAGGCGTGGCCCGAAGGTAGATCAGGTCGGCGTTGGCGATGAGTTTCGGCATGAATTGAAGCTGCTCGACGTACAAGTGGCGCAGGCGCCGGCCGAGTTCGTACGTTGTGTCGCGCCCTTTGTCTGTGAGTTCGCCGAACTGGCTGTATACAAGACACACAATCAGTCGTCAGTAACCCTACTCGGCTATACATGACTTCGGTATGATATGATTGTCGTAGGTGTTGGTGTTGGTGTTGGACTGGATTGGATTGGAATTGTGCATTATTACCATATCCCATCGACTTCACCAGCCGGGCCTGCAGCGACGAGCGGTCCATCGTCGTCGCCGAATGTTTCTAGTCTTCTTCTCCATTGTAGGGAATCCCATCTCGAGATGTCGTCGGTGGTCATGGTGACCGATCGCAGGCGTTGGGCGGCATTGCAGTACGGCCAATACGCGGGGAGGCCTGCCTGAAGGACGAAGCATGAGTTAACTTGCTGTATGCACAGAATTTCCGGTCGACTGTCACTTACATTGCCAAATCGTGCAGATACAGGCGCTCGTTCACCGTGTCGCAGGAGGACCTGGACTAAACGCAGCTCGAGGCCCTTAGGATAGAACTTGTCGAGCTCTTCCTGCGTGTAGGGTGAGCGGGGTGCGAGGGTCGTCATCTTGAGATATTCATAGCTTGGGCCACTGCCAGGTCCGTGGATAGCTATATCATTGGAATGCAGGCGATAGGAAACCAGGAAAAAAATAATCGTATCGGGATAAGGATATCTTGATGAGTAGCGAGGAGAAATTGTCGAGGGCGGTCGTTTACTTTCGTACACTAGGCATTCAATCGAAACCGGGGATCCGGGGGCGTGCATCTACGGATCTTAGTACGCACATACTACGAGTAGGGCCGGATACAGTGCCGAAGAACGTCGATCGAGGCAGATTTGTCCAACAGTTCAAATCAAATCCAATTCATCCGAACATACAGTACACGAGGGTATCTGATAGACAATTTCCAACGCTGACTGATCCTAGCATCTTGGTGCTCAAATACGCATGTCGTTCATCCGTCGTCCAATATTCTCCGACCCGTCGACCGGGCTCACAGGATTACTACCGTACGGACCATTGTGTTCTCTCTGCTCGCTTGCACTAGGAGGCGGACTGCTACCATGCATAGTCAAATGAGCGGCCGAAGAGTCCTGCCGCGCCATATAGCTTTGCGTTGGCTGATAGTTTGCATTGTACGGTCCTGGCCTGTGCTGCTCGCTGGACAATTCACTGATGAATTGATTTCCACTGGATTGCTGTGCTCGGCTAGGCGGCGTCTCATCGCTCAAGTCAATCAACCCATTCGACTGCTTTTGGTCTGGCCCGTTCCCAGCATCGTCGGTGAAAGGGTTCTCGGGCACTCCGTACGCAAAAGCTTGAGACTGAGGACGGACTCGTTGTGGGATTGGAGGTGCCTGCTCGGGTGCTGAATAGGCATCGGCGTAGTCGTAGTTCATCGGAGGGGATTGATTTCTGACTGCTCCACGAGCTCCCGGAGGCGGTCCTGGTGGTGGCGCAAAGTGTTCTGGCGTCTCTTCTCGTGGCGGGCTGACTGGACTTGGGATCGTGTCTTGTCGGCGTGGAGGTGAGGTGGGATACGGTCTGTTGTCGTGGAGGGAGCTGCTGCTGTAGACATTCTGTCCTAGATTGTGCTGTGGCAATTGTGAATGATTTTGTTCAGCTGGAGGCTCTCCAGAGGGTTGAGGGCTCGGCGTCGCCAATCCATTGGACTTTCGCGCTTGGAGGACCGTTCTCTGGTGTTTGGACATGGCAATATTCAGCTGATCATTCGTCTCAATCAACGTGAGCATGGTATCTGGATCGGGAGCTGGGTTCTGGCAATTCATGAAATTCTGAATGCTCCTCTGCGCATTTTTTGCCCGATCTGCAAACTCCGACACCAAATCGTTGGCCAACAGCTCGGACTGCGGAGTGGACTGGACCGTCTGAACAAGAAGTCGAGCAGTTGTTTTCGCCTCTTCGATTCTCGATACTAATTCCTCAGGAGGTGGAAGGGTTTCACGTCGTCGACCCGACCCGTGCTGCTGGTATTGGTATTGCCCGGACGGTGGAGGAGGAGGAACACGGTAATTCTGTTGGGGATCAGTGAGATGATCAGGCCCAACGGCTTCCATAGAAGCCCAACCTACCGAAGGACGGATTGTGTTTCGTTTGCCTTTCTCTTTCTTCCACATCTCCATCAATGGACCCAGAGTGTCATTGCCAGGCGCCTTCTCGAACTCGAAGTAGTCCAACGTCTCTCTCAGGATCTGTTGTACGCTTGTGTCCTTCCCGTCCCGAAGCAGTTCCTTGACTGTATGCACGAATTTGGTGTCGAAATTCTGCGTAAAGACGTGGCCAGGGTTGTCGGTCAGGATGCGGGCAAGCATGACAGCATTGTATTGGGCGAAGCCTCGCGTATAGTTCTCTTTCGACAGGTATCGGCGCAAAGTAGCAGCGGCTTCTTTCGCAGCAGTTGGACTTGACTCTGCGGCATCGACGATGGCTGGTAGATGGAGGTATTCTTCGCCGGCGGTCTCGGAGCCAGGTGCGCCTGATTCACAGAATGCAGACTGCATAAGGGTCAGATATTTGCCAGGCCAACAGTTCCCCGTGTGATGCATACCACTTCACGAACGACCACGGCTTCTGGCGAGTCGCCTTGCGGTAGAACGATTTGCGAGCTTCCACTTCGCTCTGGGCCTGCGCATAGGAGTCAGCCTGGCTCAGCGTCAATGAGACCACGGTAGGCGCATACTGTTACTCTTCTTCTTGATGTTTCCAAGAAACTTCTTCATCTTGATCACCCAAGTCTCCAAAAATGCAATCGATTTGCACTAAAGCAGGAAGCAGAGTAGGTAATGCCGGTCGATGGAGGTACGCCTGAAGAGGTCAGGCTGTTGGTAAACAGTGAGGTCAGGCGGGTATTCCGATCTGGTGAAGGAGGAATTGTGGAAACTTGCAGGGGGCACAGCGCAAGAGCTGGAGATCTCCCGCCCGCGCGTAAGGGTTCTGGGCCGGGGTTTCAGAATAACCAAGGTCCCGGGGGAGCTTGAGTGGTCGGGGTGGTCAATGCTGCAGAAAGGATGAGGATCTCGGTAAAACAGGGATCGCAGGAGTCAGAGAAATCAGATGCTTTATCATTCCGTTTCTTCACACCCATCCAGACTATCTCAAGATGGCAAACAGATGCCGCGTCAATGCGTTAGGTAGCAGTGAACTTGATCTTGGTCAGCCGCGCATACTTCGCTTGGCTGTCCACGCTGTCGAATGCCTCGTCGTCAGCTTCAGACCCGAGATTCTACTGTGTACTATCTAGGCACAGTAGAGTGTTCACATGCGTAAAGCGCTGGCCATTCGGCTTGCGATGCCTTCACTAGGCGAGGCTTATGCATGTTCGTCATCCGCCCAGACCGATGCATAACATCTTCTGTCATTATTCTATTCCTTCGGTGGCATTGCGTCGCGCAACGACAATATAGTGTCCCACTTTACCACCTAGACTACGTGGTCAACTAGGCGAAGCATTGGTTCACCCTCGCCACCAGAGCATCGCCTTCATGAACTAGGATACGAAGGAGACTCTCCGTATGGGATACTCAGATTGCGACTACCTATGAGTCCTGCTCACTATCCAATCTAGCCTAGCTCTTCCCGTTCACCACGTAAAGCTCTCCTCGTTCATCTCCATCGCTGCCAGATGAATTCTACTCCGTACCGCCGCTCTGACCTCGTCTGCCAATGCTCCTGGGCCGCAAACGCTGACCATAATAGCACCAATTCTGAGCGGTATCACTTCGTCAAGAATTGTTCCTGGGTCGACCCTACCTTTCACAATTTGCATCGTCGGTTTGCTCTTTTTGTGGTTGATTGGTTGCGTCGGCTTACTGACGTGGACAACAATCTTCAAAACCTCGCGTCGACCTTCCATATGCAGAATCTCATTCATCCACGGCTTCACCCACTCCATCTGCTCAGTGTCTCGAATAGACCAAATCAGGACCATCTTCCGCGTCGCCACGGTTTGCGATCGTGCACCTGCCAGCAGGTGTCGAATCTGGATGAGATGATGAGTGATTCCAGCTCCCCCAGCAAACATCACGACCGTACCATAACTCTCAAGTGAATCATGCCCAGCATATGGTCCTTCGAGGAAGCCTCTGAGCTGCAATTTCCCACCAATCTGTGCTCGAGCGGCTTGGTATAGCTGTCGTGTCATGCCGGTACGTGCTGCCATAATGAGGGAAATGCTCGTAGGTGCTAGCGACTTGCAGACTGAGGTTGGCAGTGATTGTCGTTCAAGTGAGTTTGGAGTTTTCGGGCTGCTGAGCGGAGGATAGTGTCCAATCTCCGGGTCCGTCTCAATGTTTGTCCAGCCTACCGAGAAGGGGTGCGACATCCAGAGCGAGATCGCCGGGAGGTAAGCGTAGACGTGACTTCCGGGTCGGATCGTGATATGTCGGGGCAGCTGGAACGTGACCCGGCATGCGTCTCCAGGTAAGGCCTCCACAAACGCCGTGGTGATACCGCCTTGCCGAGAGACATTCAGATGGATTAGTCGACTCAAACGCCACACACGCTCAAAAATCCACAACAATACTGTTGCCAGGATGCATGGATATGCAGGCAACTTGCCTATATCCAGGTGGACATAGACGCCCAGCAAAACCAAGAAAGCGCAGGCTTGATGCACATGCAAGAATGTCTCGTAAAAGGCGTGTCTCAGAACGGAGAATGAGTGGAAGGCCAGTACCAGCATTGCAAGCAGGCCGATAAGACCGTAAAGGAGAAAAGGATTGTGGTTGAAGATCTTTGGGCTTGCTTGATCGCCTTTAGCCTCGATATAGGCCACCATCCAAGCCAAGAGATGGACCGTGGCTTCGACCACGACAATCCTCCCAATCCAGCGATGAAACAGGTTGAAGGTGTCGAAACTGACCCGCAGAATTCGAATCGCAAGGTTGTTCCTCGAAGCGAGTACCACAAGCGGAATGAGGTTGACGGTTGCCAGGATGCCGCTTCGCCCACGGAGTTCGGCGAGCACGGCGCCTTTCTGGGGAGGATTGTAGTCCAACATCAAGCAGTATACCAGATTCGAGAGTGCGTACAAAAGCAGCAGTAGGGAGTGTATTCGCCCTGGAAGCGTGCCGTAGTTGTACGCACTTGATAGTTGGAATTCCCGGTTGTGTCGCTTTTTGCCGAGTGGAGCATAGACAATGTGCTTCTTCAGCCAAGGCCAGAGCGTGTTATGGTCGACTGCGTAGTATCTCTGCTGAGCAGGACTCGCGCTCATGCAAAAGATGTTGCGAATATATGACACAAACAGCTGTGCAAGTCGGAGCACGAAGACTGTGCCCACCGCAATGCAAATTGACAGCCAAAGCATCTGAACCATTTTGCCATCCATCACTAGATTGACGCCGTGAAGTCCAGTGTAGAAAGGAGGTGTTTTCGGTGGGTTGAAGGCAGTAAGGTTGTGGAGAGTGGCATTGTGTAGACTTCTTCCGAGTCGGTGATGGTGGTGGTGTAGGTGCTCATATAAGAACGAGCTGGAGTTTCGAAAAGTTTGATGAGCCGTGTCCAGCACGACAGAGTCAACTGAATCCATTTTGCCAGTCTCAAACACAATTGACTCGGATGATTTGGAAAGCATGCTCTTTCCTGCAGATGCCAAGGTCCACTTTCTAGACAGACAGTGCAGAGCCGTCAGGCGCTTTGTCTCGCCACAATGGTGATGAAACAAACGAAACCTTTACCCTCTTGAAGCCGTCAACAAAGAACTGGGCAAAGAACTGCATCTAGAACCAAGAATACTTTATTTCTTGAATCTTGTGTGCAAAGACAAAGGGAACCGTAGGAAAGAGGCGACAAGGTCAGAAGTATTTGGTCATGCAGAGGCGCAGAGTCTCAATAACAGATGCTGCTTCATCCCGATGCGGCATCAAATAAACAAGTCAATAAAACGCCCAAACCACGTGGTGCAATGAATAACGAAGGATGGCACGAGAAGGCGGTAAGTGGTGTTGAGGAGTACGTCTCATCGTTATTCAGCTGATTGAACGGTCTCTGGACAACGAAGGGTCAGCACTGTCACTGAGTGACCCTTCCATGTTAGCAAACCGGCTTTCTAAGCAGGATGTGGACAAAGATCAGATCGCTTGAGACTTTGCTTCGATATAGCCTCGAATAGTATGCTCATGATGGCTGTTCTTGTATGGACAGCCTTTCTGGCCAGCAGTTCATTTCTCACCGCACAGGCATCACCGGCAGGGGGACTTCGGGGCATAGCCTGTCATCGATGCGGCAAGTAGCTGCGAAGCCGGGATGGATATGAGAGTCATGCGCGTATCTGCTGGGAATCTAAAATAGGACGGTGGGAGGATTGTTTAGAACTTTGGAGGTAGTGCGAGATGAAGGTGAAAGTTCCGCCAGATCTGGCAATGTCCTTCAAATGACAATGTTTTCTCTTTCGTATTGTCTTTTTAATTCCTGCGCTTTTTCTCGATCGTATCCGTACTCTGTACTCAACAATGGGTACCTGGTAGGTACTTCGAACGAGCTCTTGCTCTTGAGGCAGGACAGTAACTGAGTCCTCGAGCTGCTAACCGGAAAACAGAACTCCTATTTACTCCCTTCTACCGACCCATCCAGCCTCCGTCTATCGTCAACACCTCTCCACTCACATACGCACTTGCATTGCTCGCCAGAAAGACGACTGCACCCTTGAAGTCCTCGGGCTTTCCCCATCGGCCGGCCGGTATTCTCTCCAGGATTTGCTTTGCCCTGGTCTCGTTCGCAATGAGAGCCTCGTTCATGTCGGTATCGATATATCCTGGCGCGATCGCATTGACCTGAATTCCCTTGCTCGCCCACTCGTTGCTCAATGCTTTGGTCAGCTGTCCGACACCACCTTTCGAAGCTGCATATGCTGGCACAGTGATTCCTCCTTGGAATGTGAGAAGAGAAGCGACATTGATGATGCTCCCTCGAGATCCTGAAGTGGGTTCTGGTTTAGACAAGAGATATGCTCCGAAATCGCGGCACAACGTGAACACCGTCGTAAGGTTGACCTGTAATACCGCGTTCCAATCTTCGAGGGGAAACTGGTGTGCCGGATGCCTCTTCTGGATCCCGGCACACGTCAAGAGAATATGCATGTCGTGTCCAGCTTTTGCCAGGCTGGGAATGATCTCAGCTACTGACGATTGATCCGAGAGGTCTGCTGTGATGATGGTCGCTTTCCTCCCGAGCTGCTGGATCTGGTTGTATGTTTTCTTGTTGCTTTCATCTCTCTACTCGTCCGCATCAGCATCAGCCATCTGCTTGCCCGTAGAGAAACCTGGTTCCGCGTAGTTGCTCCCTTACCTGAACGAGAATGATATCGGCACCAGCCTCTGCCAGTGCCAGCGCCATGGTTGCGCCTATTCCTCTTGTCCCACCTGAACATGCATCAGTTACCGGTAGATTGAGCCTCGCCTTAGGCAGAGTTACCTGTTACTACCGCCGTCTTGCCCGCGAGCGAGAACATTTTCGTTAAAGCATCCATTTTGATTATAAGTTCCAGGTAAAATAATCTTACACCACCCTGCTTCGACAAAGCAGAAACTGAGAACGATTTCCCTTGCCTTTTAAGAAGTCGACAGTCACCCTAGCATAGGTAGCAAGTATATCTACTACTCGATGCAGCAATTCCCGGCGAGGGGCCCCGAGCTGTGGGAAAATACTCAGTACTGACGGCAATTGATTTGTGCAAATACTCCGTACATCAATTGCCGATATGAGGGGTGGCCAGCCTCGGCCAGCCTTGTCGGATTCGGAGAGAATGGCGCTGGCAAAGGCCACCCCCTAGCTCCAAGTCCAGCTCGCTTTTGACTAGACATATTTCCTCTCTGAAGACTTCTTTGTGAAGGCCATGAAATTCGATATAGTGGATGGCATGGCCTCATGTGCAAGCAAAACAATTGTGCCCATCAGCATGTCAAGGATATCCAATACTTCACGCTGGGCTGGACTGGCTTCGCACACGATGGTATGACCGTTCTAAACGTACCCAAGCTGGACAGGAGGTTAATTGCGTTTTGCCCAAATATTTCAGCCTTGAACACCGTCGCAAGGATGAGGTAATCAGATTCCATCAACCTTGATGAAAAGATAGCAGCGTACGCGTACGCGTTGAAGGGCGAAGGGCGAGTCTAGCCTGAAGAAGACACCATCATACACCTTCGACGACTTCATTTTTGTACCCATCACCAGACACTCCTCCTGCATGTCATTGCCTCGGTCGTTCCAGGAAGTTCCTTTTAGCTTCCCCCGCTCGTTCATTCGACATTCAGCTGAAGGCCGCAGTCAGGCTGCCTGAACTTCTTATGCAGGTCAGCCAAATACGAGAATCGAACCAGGGTGCTATCTCAGCTCGGCTGTTTTCCGCCATGTCTCTTTCCCTCCTCGCGCCCGTCCGCCTGAACGTGTGTCTACAGATAAAATAACGATGAAAATTCCCACCAGAGATGTCGCGTGTCCCCTTTCCTATTGCAGGAAGACACTCATCAACGACTCTCATAAATCTCCCAGTCCAGATTGGAAAAAATGGTAAAGGCCAAGCTCATCAGTCGTTCTGATTTACTAGTATTCAACAGCCTAACAACCATCAGACACCCCAGTCTCGACCGCCGACAGTCTACCTTATCCGCCACGGCGAGAAACCACCCAAACTTCCCAACGGCGACGACCAAGACGGTCTGTCTACTCTGGGCGTTGATCGCTCCCAAGCGCTTGTCAAGGTCTTCGGCCGCAAGAGTAAGTATGATATCGGATACATCATCGCGCAGCATCCGAAGGACGGTAAGTGCAGATTCCCGGGCCCCTTCATCAGGTTTTTTTTTCTTCATGCGCCCAGCCTGAGCGCTTCTTCAGAGGACAACTATTGACTGAAAGGGGCCCAACAAAGATGGCGGCCAAGACCGTCCATATCTCACGATGCGCCCACTCGCCAAATCCCTCAAACCGGACGACGTCGACTTCAACCACAAGATCCACCGTGACGATGCCAGCGGAGTCGCTCAAGCCGTTCAGGAGTATAGTGGTCCTGGAAACGTGCTGATTTGCTGGGAGCATCACCGCCTTGGGGCTATTGCAAAGGCGATTGGCGTGAAGGTTGCGCCAGAGTATCCTGAGAATCGGTAAGTCTACTATCACACATATGCTAACAGCATCAAACTCCGCTGCTCTGCTCTATCGAATTAGCCCTGGCAAACTGTAAACTGACACTTTTCTTGGTGAACGGCCAGGTTCGATGTTATTTGGACGATTGAGGCGCCGTACGACAAAATCTCCACCATTACCTCGGAGCACTGTCCAGGATTGGATGATGAGTTCGCGAACGAGCCTTGAATGCTACTACGCATGGCATGTACCTCCCGAAAACCGCAGCGGTTCTCGTTGAGAAGTGCCCTTGACGTTGGATTAAAAGGAAGAGAACATAACTCCACACGGGTGCGAGTTTTGAGCTTGTCTTGAGATCTCAGAGAAGGTGTGAAAGAATGTATCAATAAAAGCTGGCGAGCACCCAGAAGAGGTCTACATGTTCGCTCATCACTCGCAACAAACACTACATTGTGAGACGTGTAATGGGTTAGTCGGAGCCTGCAGCAAGTTCAGGCAAGCTTCAATCATCCCACTGCTTGCAACCCTCCAAAGCACGCATCATGGCCCTGCTGATACTTTTCTCCTCGCACAATTTGGTCCACTCCTCCTTTCCTGTACCTTTCCCGTCGAGCCCGTAGGTCTTTCCGAAGTCCGACACAAAGTTATCGAATGTGGTCTCCTGCTTGTCCCGACAAAAACTACAGAGAATCTCGACCACCTGGTCGCTGAAGCCAAGGCGGGGGAAAGCCTTGACGATCTCCTTGTATTCTTCCACGGTGATCGGGTTGCCCGGAATGGGAATGTTTGGCCCAAGAAAATCGGCCGTAATACCCAGCTGCGTCGCAAAGACCTCGGGCTCCTTGTGGTGAGCGATCGAGGGCGTGGTGTGCAGAGCGATGGCATCCCACAGGAGCTGAAGGCGGTGCTTGTCCCAGCCATCAGCCCGGGATGCGGTTGAAGACTTGATAAAGTCCCGCGCGATGTTGGCTCCGTCGACTTCGAAACGTTTGTCGTTGGACAGGAGTGATTTGGTCGTTGCCCAGCCCATGTCATGTAGGATGCTGGCCAGCACAACAGCCTCGAGGTCGAGGTTTGCAGCTGCTAACGGTGGGAGCTTACGCGCGAGAAGCAGGGCAAACGCGGCGGCGCGCAGGCAGTGGTTAACGGTGCATTCACTGGTATGCTCCCTTGCGTATGCCAGGGCAGCGTTGATGAGTGGATTGGACGGAAGGGTGACCTGGCAGACAGGCAAAGCTGGGAAAGGTGACTGAGACATGTTTTAGACCCAGATGGCTTTTGTGGAGTTGGTATCGTTGTTGGTGTTAATGATTGTGAGTATGGCTGTTTCTGCTCCAGCACATTTACCACAACTTTATATTCGATCTCCGGCCCTAAGGGGCGGAAGAGACGACAAGGACTCTGGTTGTCAATTCCGCTCTCGGGGGCCTGAGCTGAAGTTCAAGTCTTCCACATACGGAGGCATAACAAGTCTGTGTGCGACACAACGACATCTCTGTTACCTGAAGAGGTCGTCGGGCAAACATTGGTGCCGTCTGACAGCCTCGCGGGCGAGAAATCGGGCAATCCTATGCGTGATTGGTCAGTTCCGCAGGAGACCGCTTGATGCTTGTGCGAGGGTGTCATCGACCCGATATGGATGTAGTTCTCTTTTGGGAAGTTAGCTGAATCCTTCCTAGTGAAGTTCACCTCTTGAAACGATGGGCAGAAAGTCGCTGGCACCTAACTGGAGTGAGACCTGGGCGGAATCAATATTTTTACAAGTCATGAAAAAGCTGGCGAAGGTTCCGTGAGCCTCGATGAGATAGTTCGAGGTCAATGAAGAGGATACCGGTGTCTTCTGAGTATGTCGGGTCAGTCTTATGCACCTCACACATACAGGTTTTTAATGCAGTATCCATACAAGAAGAACTGGAATATTTGAAGCAGAGATGGTTTTAATTGCTGCTGGAGTAACTCGAGAGTGACCGAAGTGACAGTCGCAGGGCCGGAAATGCGGCTGTTTTATTGGCGGGCACTTTTGTCCCGGACGTCTTCTCCGCATTGATCATCGACGCACCTCGGACCCTTGACCACTCCACACGTGACTCCACTACTGTAACTGACACCTCATCCGCTGCTCGCTTCGTCGCCCGTGACGACATTCTTGTTTCATGGGCCCAGATGCCATGCAAACATTCGCCAACACTTATCATCCCTATACACAGCACGATATACTGTACACGCCCGGCTCATCAGATTGAGCATCTTGAACGCTTGAAGACGGGACATGACTATCGTGCAACTTCATTAGGCCACTCAATTTAGTCGAAAGACAACATGCGTTTAGGAATACTACCCACTGTCACCCTACTGACGATCCTCCTAGCAGGACGAGTCTCAGCAGACCAAGTCCCCATCCAACCATCTAAAAAGGGCCTCGACATACCGCCCATTGGCCTCGGCCTATGGAATTCGAAGGACGAAGATGCAACCAAGGCCGTCGAGTACGCCTTCGAAGCCGGCTACATCCACCTCGACTCGGCCGCAGCATACAACAACGAAGAGTACGTCGGCCGCAGCCTCAATTCTTCCTCCTCGTCCTCTAGCCATCTTCCACCCCGACACAAATACTGGGTAACGTCCAAACTCTGGAACACAGCCCACCGACCCAAACTGGTTGCGCCTGCCCTGAACAAAACCCTCTCCGACCTAGCCATCCCTTATCTAGACCTCTACCTTATGCACTGGCCCGTAGCCTTTCTCCCGAACGAGGCTCCCGGGCGCACCGTCATCGACCAGGACACCAGCATCCTCGACACATGGCGCGCCATGGAAGACCTCGTTCGGGCCAATATGACTCGGTACATTGGCGTGAGCAACTTCTCTCCGCGCCAACTCGACGAGGTTCTCAAACACTGTGACATCTGCCCATACGCACACGAATTCGAGACGCACCCTTACCTTCAGCAGCAGGAGTTCGTGGACTGGCATGCGAAGAACAACCTCACCGTCATTGCCTACAGTCCACTCGCGAATATGAATCCCACTTACAAGGATAAGTACCCAAAGATCGATCCCATCCTAGACGATCCGTTCTGGAAAGAAATTGCCAGCGAGAAGAAATGTACGACTGCACAGGCGATTTTGGCGTGGGGAATACAGAGGGGAACAGTTGTGATCCCGAAAAGTGTACATGAGGAGAGGATCGTTGAGAACCTGGGAAGTCTGAATGTCACCTTTTCGAAGAAAGAAATGCGAAAGATCGAGATGCAAGATAAACGATCGCGCTTCAATAATCCTTCAAAGGGTTGGGGTGTCGAACTATTTGAAGGACTGGACGACGGCACCAATAGGTTCTTCTGGCCACAGGAAGAGCTATGATCAGCTGCAATGAAATCATGGGCTTAGCTGTTGGGAGGATGTAATAGCTGGGATATAAAGCGCAAAGGTAGAGAAATGATGCCATGTGTACGTTTCTTTCGGTAGGCGATACGCCAGGTAATGCGATACTGTCTGACTCGGTCTCCTCCTTGTCTCGAGGACGGTTTATGTTCTCTTTCGGCCCCAGGTAAAACACCGGCCAATAATGCCTCATCTACCAACGCCATCGCTCTCGGCCAATGCAGGTATGGTCATTGATGCCGTATCCAACCAGGAAACTCCAAGGGTATCATTCAATCATCAATGTCCTGGTGACGGGCCAAAACCTTCCGCTGGTATTCTTCGGGGTCTTTTTGGTGAAGTTGGGCGGCCTCATTGTTGAGAGGACTGGCACTGTACAGAGGATTAGCATTATGTCTTTTCCCAGAACGTGACTTCATACTTGTTTGGTTCACCAAGCAGACTTTGCAAGCTCAGTAGCACCGTTTGCACATTGTAAACTGCGCTCCACTTGTCTTTCAAGATATCAAGGCATATTCTTCCGCTGAAGTCGATATTGGGGTGGTAGATCGGCGTCTTGAACAAGACTGTAGGAGGAGCATAGGGATAGTTTCCAGGGAATTCGAAGCCGAGTTTGAGGTTCAGGTCTGAATACGGGGTATCTTTGGGTCCGATGATCGTGGCAGTCCAGTGTAGAAGGTTGCCATCTGCATCGGGAAACGCAGAAATGCCAGGGGTCGGAGACATCATTAGTGTCATTAATTCCGATTGAAGCCTATAGCAAAGTCAACACATGAATGGTCTCGATTGATGGGAGTTGTACCTCTTTGTTACGCTCTGAGTGTCGGCCTTCCTAGGGGCGACCGAGAGCTTGTGTTGCTCAGCCATGCTGGTTAGACCTGGGGCGGCGTTCTGAGTGTCCTCGAGGGAAAAGTCCATACTCATGGACTCGGGATTGAAATAGATCGGTGTTGGTGGAGTAGAAACCCGCTTGCGAAGGTTTGAGAATGTATGGGTTGGAATGCTGCAAACGGAACAATGTTCTAGGCAACGAAGAAAGTGGTCCGCTGTGACAGCACGCAAAAATGCAGAATGCAAGCAAGCAAATGTATTTTCAAAGAATCGGAAAAGGGATTGCTGACTATGAACAATTGAAAAACTCGTCGGGCGATATGTTGAGGCAAGGACGGGGAAAGTGAGTGTGATGAACGAGGATCTTGGAAGGCGATTTTGTTGATGGTTTGTGTATCACTGCAGTAACAGGACACGCTCCAGAAGTGACGTCGCGCTTCGACTGGATTTCTCGACCAACTCCAACACGGACGCGTTGGCCATTCAATTAAGTGAACCGAGAAGACTCTGATGCAAGATACTCGCACCCGTAGTCGATGCTTTCAAAGATGATCAGACGATATTGATCCCTGGCAATAGCACTCTCATTGAGCTTTCGTTATGAACGGCATTCCGCACTCGCAGTTGGCACCTCTGCCTTCCCAGGCGCCCTTTCGAATAGTCTCACCCACAATCGGCTCAGGAGCATATGCATGGTAATTCATACTTGTCCGCAAGAACTCTTTTTGTTTTCGGTCACTCACTGACCAAGATCAGCATCAAAAAAGCCGCTCCTCTCCAGACCGACAACCCTGTCTTTGCTGTCAAGTTCATCAATAAACTCTTCGCACAGAAATATGGCCGAATCAAACAAAAACAGTTGGAGATGGAGATCTCTCTACACAAACATCTTGGTCTGCATAAAAACATAGTCGAGTTCTTCGATCATGGCGCTGATCAGGACTGGGTCTGGATAGCCATGGAACTGGCAGAAGGTGGAGATTTATTCGACAAGATCGAAGCAGATGCTGGAGTACCACAAGATATCGCTCATGTCTATTTCACTCAGTTGATCAGTGCAATTGGCTATATGCACGCCAAAGGCGTAGCACACAGGGATATCAAGCCGGAAAATGTGCTCCTGTCTGCAGAGGGTGACCTCAAGATAGCAGATTTCGGAATGGCAACATTATTCGAGTATGCTGGCCGAAGGAAACTCGCAACCACTCTCTGCGGAAGTCCACCCTATGTCGCTCCCGAAGTCCTGTGCTGTAGTACACAATCAGGGACCAAAGGAACGGGCTATGCAGCAGACATGGCTGATATTTGGTCTTGTGGAGTCGTCCTTTTTGTTTTGCTGGCAGGAAATACACCTTGGAGCCGACCTGTTGAAGGGCGAGACGAGTATGGCAGACAAAATGAATACAGTGAATACATCTCAAGCAACGGGCGACCAAAGGATGAGCTATGGGATACCCTTCCTTCCGAGGTGCTCTCACTTCTTCGGGGAATGATGCGGGTAGATGTCAAATCGAGGTTCTCGCTTGAAGACGTCCGGAGACACCCTTGGTTCACAAGACCAAACAAATTCATGGACCAAAAGGGCAAACTCAGCGATCCCATTACCATGGCCACCAATATGTTTGAAGCACTACATGTCAGTTTCGATGCAGATCCCTTTGCCAGTACCCAGCGACATGTATCGGCGGATGACATGGATATCGATGGACCTGCGGCTAAGCTGGCGTCAACGCAGCCTGAGATACCGAGTGAGGATATGCTGTTCGACTGGAAACGACCGACGGATTTGGCGGGTTCCAACACCCAAATTGCATCCAGGGTGGGTGGTTTCGCAACACAGTCGATATCAACAACGAACTTTTTGTTCGATGAACCAGCAACTCAGCAGTTTTCACAAAAGCCGAGCGTACCATTAAGCAGAACGCAGATGGCGCGCAAATTCGGCGATATCCTACCGGCCCATGGCTTGACCAAGTTCTATTCCACTTGGGCACTGCACCTGCTGTTCCCCTATATGCTGGAGGCTTTGAGTCGGCTGGGAGTGCCAACGCCGAATACACCTCGGCCTACTGCTCAGGAGTCCGAATGCAGGATCAAAGTGAAAACGCAAGACAGTCGGGGGTGTCCTCTACGTGGGGAAATTGCAATTGAACTTGTCGATGACGGACTGGTAGAGGTGTGTTTTGTCAAGGCATCAGGAGATCCACTGGAATGGCGGAGATTCTTCAAACGAATGGCTGTTTTATGTCAGGACGCGGTGTTCAGGCCGGAGGTTTAGAGTATTGAAAAGCGGTATTGGAGATTGCGAACGGAAAGAGCAATATAGATACCCCTTGTCATATATGTACGGTCTACTAAAAGAATGCCCAAAAGATTTGTGGGATAGAGAAAGCCCAATCTGGAGAAATGAGGCTATACACAGTAAAACCATGTGCCCGTCGTGCTCATCAGCCTCGGCTGGGGCACTTTCACATGCATTTCCAGGGGTGACGTATTCTTTGTGAGATCTGCCTCGCTGCACCGTGTGTTTTGATGCCCGTGTGACCACTCTCGGCCCTTTAATGACCTATTTTAATATCCAGCAACTCGCCCATTGACTGCGCAACCCAGATTGTGTTCGAACCCTACTTTACCGTCGTCCAGTCTCTCCTTCGTACACTACAACCTCTAGAAAATGTCGCTCAAGAACGGTAAAGACCGTCGTACACTCGCTAGCAACACACTCTAATCCACGGCTTACAGATGCATTCCCTTCTTCGGAAGCCTTCGAGGCTATTAGTGCTGCGCTCTCCAACGATGCCGAGCGAAAAGACGCCATCAAAACTGGAGGCGCCGTGTTTGCTTTCGAGCTCACGAACGACAAGGGCGACAAAGAGTCCTGGTACCTGGACCTGAAAGAGAGCGGAAAGGTCGGCAAGGGGCAGCCTCCGAAAAAGGCTGATGGTACGTCGGACTCCTATCTAGGGCTACGTATTGGCGTGTACTGACGGAGCCGTGTCTAGTCACGCTCGTGCTGACCGACGAGAACTTTGGCAAATTGGTCGCCGGTAAATCGAAAGCCCAGACGCTATTTATGAGCGGGAAGCTAAAGGTCAAGGGCAACGTGATGAAAGGTGTGCATAAAATCCGGATTTACATAACGGCGTACGAAATGCTGACCCCAGACTTCGCAGCCACAAAACTCGAACCTATCCTGGCGAAGGCGAAGACACAGTCGAAGCTATAGAAAACATGTATTATAGTTATGAACAGCGATGCTTATTATACTATATCTGCCAGCCAGAGAGGGCGTTTCAGTGGTGTACAAGATCCATTCCGGGGGATTGCTGCTCTCAATCAAAATACACGTTGTTGGGCTTGTGCACAGAGGTCTTTCCAGAACTGTTGCTTTTCAGTACAATCCTCGGGTCATCCTTGGTTGCTTTGACCTGCTTGCCCTCGACGTCCTTCCTGGCTTTCAGAACTTCAACGACTTTGCCCTCCACCCAGCCGGTCGTCGATTTCCAATGCGCAGTTTGGCCTTTCTTGGGCACTCTTGCATTCGAGCCTTGGGCTGCAGGCGCTTCGTCCTTGTCATGCTTGGAGCTGACGGTGCCGTTCGTCTTGCCATTGCCTGTTTCGCTGCCTGAATTGGCTTTCTGTCTCTTGTTCCACTCTTGCTCCTCGTCGTGCTTGTCGTTCTTGCTGCGACTGCGTTTGTGGCCGGGCTGCTGTTCCTTGTTATCATCCTTCTGACCATTGGCTTTGGCGGGTTGCTCCTGCTTGTTGTCCTTCTTTTCTGGCTGTTCTGTCGATTCGTCTTTGGCCTGGTCCTTCTTCGTACTACTCCTCGTTTGTCTCCCGGACCGAGGCTTCTCTTGTTCCGTCTCCTTCTCGTATTTCGCATCTTCGGCCTCATTGGCATTCTTCCTCGCTGCTTTCGCTCGTGAGGTATTCTGCACGAACTGGTGTCCCTTCTTACCGCCTTCCTGCTTCTTTTGCTCTGTCTCTTCTTTCTCCTTCTCGTTCATCTCTTCCCATGCCTTCTTGGGCAGGTATCTTTTCCGGGTGCCATCGTCTTGTTTCGCATGCGCGCTACCTTCCTTTGTCTGCCATTGTTCTTCGCCCCATTTGCTCAGATGCTTTTGAGACTCATCCTGATCTTCTTTGGGAGTGGTGTAGTCTCCGCCCCGCTCCTTGTATTCCTTGGCCATCATTTGCGCCTGCGACCAATCTCAGAATCGCCATTGCCCCAGTATAGTTTATGTCATACCTTCCGTGCAGACCATTGTCCCGGCGCACCACCTTTGTCGGACTGCTTCAAGTCCTCCTGCACTTCTTCTCGAAGCTTGGGGTCGGTATATTTGTCTTTGGAAGGCATTTTGTACCGGGATGTGTGATCACGATCTTGAATATCACGACTGAAGGTTCGAGGCAGAGTGCCAGAGGAGAAACCAACCGGGCGACAACCTGAGCCTATTTAGCGATCACTTACCATACGGCGAGCTCAAGGATCCCTCGTCATATGCAAGGGCGCAGATCGAGCCCGCTTCTCTGCACCCATACGTCTGGGACACAGAACTATCGTCATTGATTTTGAGCATTCCTGGGCATCGCAGCCACCCAGCAGCTGTTGCGAGAACCGAAGGCTCGAGCACCAAAGTTGATCGATAATGATATCACGACTTCAATACTCCGTAATCAATTGCTGGTTTTAGGGCTTCGGCCCTCAAGTGCTGACTAAGGTGGAGAAGCAACTTCTCTCCAGAGCCTCGCCATTATCTCCTTGTTCCAACTTCCTACTCGTATCAAGTGCCCTTCTTGCAAGGCTAGTGCTTATTGCTTGCCGGTTACTTTGCAGGTTTGGAGTCTTTCATAAGCATCTTACAACCTGACTTCAAGCAGCCACTGGCAGGCAACTTTCCGACGGTCATACATCTGAAACTATTGGGCGTGATTGGGACAAGAACAAAGCTCTGACTACCAACACCAAAAGCTGTCAGTGGTACGAGTAACGGCAGCCAGAACGGCCGTCTCCTCAGGCTACAGTAATGCCCATATTGCCTCCTACCGCACCTATCAAAGTAGCCTAGAGCCTGCCCTCAGTCTGGTCGCACCTTGCACACCCCTCATGCCAAGGTCAGGCAGCCAGCCTATTTAATCCTGCATTCTAGATCCTAGGTACGTTACCTAGATAGATACGGAGTTCTGAAGCAATCACTACATGACCAATCCATCCTGGATCTCTGCCAGAACAGGTCGGATGCGTGCTTTTTGTACTATCTGGGGTTGCATCCTCCACACTGCCTCTCCAAACTGCCCACTTAGGCCCCATCATGGAAGGGCATTTGCTATGGATGTCAAGATGTCACTCACTATTGGTTCACCGTCTGAAAGCTTTAGCTGCGCGGAACGGCGCCGGGCTGTCGTTTCTAGCAACTAACCTGAGGAGCAACCTGTAAGATACAGGTGAGATACCTCGGATACCAGCTGTTGGAGGAGTGGATGACGATCATCCACATTATCAGCCCTGATCTGGTTACCGGTAAGCTGAACAAAAAACCGCACAGGATAGTGGAAGTGCCGTCGTGGGTACGTGAGGGAGGGTCACAACCTTGGTGATCTCTCGACCTTTAACCTTTGATTCGCTTTCAATCTTTGGCACTGCAGGATCGTATTTGTTCGACAGAACTCAGGACGTACTCATACTCTTCCATTGCGTGCCAGGGAGAGAACTCAACCACTTGCACGCACGGTTGACCTAACGAGCACTATCTGCCGCACAATTAGTCGTCATAATGGCCTCAGGAGGCAAAGTACAAGACCATTATATCCTGCAGAGGGACTACGATGCTTCGGTACGGTGTGTTTGGCTTCCTTATTTCTCTTGACCGGTAGTGTCTGAAGTAATATGCTGAGCGCGCCACTTTGAAGACTCTACGGCCAACATGTCCTGATGACTCAGAGGACTGGTTGGCTCATACATCCCAAAGCACAACCACTCGCTGAAGTGCCAGGGGCCAGAATTGCGGACGTTGGGACGGGAAATGCGTATGTTATGTCCACTCTACTGCCTACACAGCTGTCTCCTTCTACAAGCTGTTGCCCTGTTTGGCATTGTGCACCTCTTTTCCAGCCCACGACAGGCTAGATCCGACGTTGTTGATGTCTCTGGTCCTTTAGGATATGGGCGTCCGAACTCGCCGTTGGCTATCCGCATGCGCATATTATCGGCTTGGATATATCGGACCAACAGTACCCGCCGGCATGGACGTGTCCGACTAATCTGAGCTTCGATATGTACAATGCCCTGGAGCCGCCGCCTGACAAGCTTCGTGGAACGTTTGACATAGTCCACGTCCGATTGCTAGCGGGCGGGATGAGGAGTGAAACGGATTTTGAGAGGGCGATGAGCCATTTTGGGGAGTTGTTGAGTATGTCTTCGCCCCCTTTGCCCCCCTGAACATTTGGAAAAACATTCGTTGGCCACAACGACCGCTGCAGTTCACGCTAGACCGTCGATGCTGCGGTCTGTATGACTTCGGTGTAGTCCTTTTCCGGATAGCAAAGACGGGCAAAACATACTGGCTTTGGTATTCTCGTAGATATCACGTGGGGAGGGGGGATTTTCGAATGGCTCTATTCTGTTTGCGCGTCACTTCTCTTTTTGAAGAGCGTCCGATGGAAGTGCTAACAAGTATGGTGGGATGCAGAACCTGGAGGCTACCTCCAGTGGCAAGACGTGGTCCTACCAGCCTGGCAGTTGATCGATGAAACCCTTGAGGTTGACATGAATGATACGACTCTACCGCAGTTTGTCAAGACTTTCGATCAGGCGCTAGGCGGGATCATTGAGAAGCGTATGACGTTCCACCTGGATGAGCTTGCGAGAAAGGACAGGAATTTTGGTGAGGTTGAAAGCATTATGCCTGCAATTATACCGAGGCTGTTGAAGTATGTATTGTCTGTCACAATGCGGTCAATACTCAGTCGACACAGTGTTGTGGCAGGTTTCGGTCATGGGTAACCACTGGCAGTTGGCTGATAAAGTGAATAGGTACGAGACGGACTTTACTGCGAAGTCCTTCGAGGAGACGCTGAACGGGTCGAAGGCAATGTTGATGGCGACGGGCGGTATGACGGAGGAGAAGGGCAAATTGTTCGATGAGAGTCAAAGGCTCTTGGCTGAGTATATGGGCAACGGCGGGTTGATTTCGTACAAGAATGTGGTGGTGGTGGCGAGGAAGGTCGATTGAATCAGGGCTACAAAAACTTATGGAACGAAGCCCGGGCACGCAATCGAGTTAAGCCTGGAAGACCATGAAGGCACGTTCGTGGCTTGCCATTGAAAAAGATATGATACCGGTCAAGGGTCTGGTGTTTCTCTCTTGTGGTCTGGTGAGGACTGAGCTTATTTAAGGGATTTCAGAATGATTGTTATCAGAAAATCTTAGATCTAATCTCTAGCTCGACCGGTCGCCTAGAGATAATATAAATACTGTAAGTCTTTGTCGCTATTACCTAGACGAATACGCTAGAAAGATTACTCTAAGAGAAAGTATAAAACTATATATTACTTCGATATCGAGGGTATAACGAGTAACTACTCGCGGTCAATATAACCCGAATCAATAAAGAAGACTAGCGTTATCTAGCTTAGAATTTATTTACTAAATATTTATTACTAACTTAGACATATAAAGTATACGATATTTTTACGATAATATTTATATTATTCCAGCCAAGGCTAGCCAATCCCTGTGGAGCTGATGATGTCGTCCAGATCGAGCCGATGAAAAAGCCGAAGTAGGAGATGACGGTGCCATGATTCCGAAGATGCGTCGGCCAGATCTCCGGCCCGTAGACAAACGCGGCCGGTTCGATGGTGAACAGGAACCAAAATCCAAACATGAAGTAGATGGCAACGCCGGCTTGAGTACCCGATTGTTGTGACCATCCAAGTAGAACTTTTGCAGCGCCGCTTCCACAGAGAAGAGAATGACGCTGCCAAGTCCACCAAAAACTGTGCGCAGGTCAGTCGAGATTGCTTGTCTCAACGTGACACGAGACTAGAGCTCCATAACTTACCGAGGAGCGGACGGCGGCCGATTCTATCCAAGCTCACCATGCCGCAGAAGCAGCCTATAAGCAGGACAACACAGAAGACAAGGCCCAAGCTAAGCTGTAAGACCGAGCCGTACCCCAGGCCGGCAAAGAGGGTCGGCGTCAGGTTGGAGATGACAATGATGCCAGTGTTCATACCCATTGTCCATACCAACAAGGTGCATATCGCCCGTTTTCGAAGGTTCGGCTCTCGGAAGAGCTGGAGCCAGCTCACTGGGATCTTGGAGTCAGCTTCAATCTGAGCGACGAGTGAGGCCCCCGAGGCTGTCGTGAGGATAGTCCTACCATTCTCCTCCATCTCCGCACCCACAATGCACCAAAGCTTGGGACGCGGCATACTGGGTGGGTCAAATGTTGGGGTGCGCAAATCTTAAGCCGGTACCATGGGGCAACAGATCGCGCTTTCGGGTTTTAGCTGACAAGGGTACTGCTCCTCAGGATGATATGCTTAGGGGAAGCTTGCAGAAAGTGGTGATTGGCGTGAATCTGAGCTCTTTCCTGCTCAATGCATGGGACAGGCACACATATCGGTATACCCAGGATGCAGGGCACGAACACCATCAACACCGTGTTCGCGACGAGTTTACGAACGCCAGAGGACAATCGAGATGTGGGAATGTCCTTTTACTGTCAAACACCTTGCGTCACTTGAATGAGCGCCGCTCTCGTCGGCTAAACCCGACTCGGGTCGGCTGCGAGCTCGATACCGAGATGGGGGGAGAAAAGGAAAAGGAAGCAACGGCCGAAAGAAAGCTTTCAGGCATGCGATGAACCACCACGGCAGTGCCCGACACCTGAGACCACACTTGCACAATCTCTTGTTCTTGAGCATTGATGTGGCTGTATACTGGCCACCCAGAGCGGGCGTTCGATAGCGGTCCTCCTGTGCTCCCTCAAGCTTGTTTGTGTGTCATTGGTGAGTGTTCTTCTAGTGAAACTTGTTTCTTTGCCTTGATTTGCTTGCATGGCGAAAGACTGAAAGTTGTACGAGATCGTGCTTCTTGTCGTACCTTGCGGAAATGAGTAGATCAGAAAGGTCTATCAGGCCTACCATATTCACTAGTATGGTGGTCGTTCCATAGACAAGGCACAACGTCTTTCGAGAAACGAGCCTTTAGTTTCTCCCCGGATCATTGCTGGAGTGAAGATACTTTCCAGCTGGATTATACTGGAGTCGTAACGCTTTTGCTCACCGAGTGACGCGCATTTCATATCAATGTCTAACCAGAAAACGAAGTGTCTCGTCACTACAGTAGAGGGATGGGTAATGAGACTCCTCGATGCAGAACGACATCACCAAGAGCTAAGAAAGGTACTGTGTAGGTTTTGAATTGCCGTCTCATCCGAAGCCGGCCCAGGTCAATTGGCCCCGAATTTCCGCTTAGACACCGACGACAGTACGAACATACTCCGAACCAGACACCCCGCGAACAAGTCCCAATCATATGGCAGGACAGCTCGCGTGCGTGTTCTCTACCGAAGTCACTTAGTACTGTCCAGTCTCCGGACGACTGCTGTGCCGACAGGTTCAGAACACAATAACACTCAAAGCTGCACGCAGCGGCATTCGTTTGCTGAATTCCAAGGCCGCAGGAGACTTGGACAAGCGGAATTTACGATGGCGTCGCTGCGCGGTCAGGTGGTAGGTTTTCTCCGGTGTACCCAGGAAATTGGGTGAGTTCTCAACTTGGTTATGGCAGATTGCAATCACAGGAGCCGCAAGTGGGATTGACTTAGCGACAGCAACATTGCTGGCCGAACGGGGCGCTGTTCTATCTCTAGTGGACTCCCATCAGCAGAGACTGGATTCCGCACTGCAGTCCCTCACAGGCAATGGACATATCTCCACTGTAGTAGATGTATGCAATAGCTCGCAAGTCGATGGTTGGATCAGCAAAACCGTTCAAGAACTTGGGACACTAAATGGAGCCGTCAACCTTGCAGGTGTTGTAGGGCCGATGAAGCCTCTCCGAGATCTGACAGATGATGACTGGGATTTTGTGATAGGTTGGCCACCGTCTTCCCACTCAGCTTACACAAGTCCTTCCTAATTTGCTTTTGCAGGTGTCAATGGAAGAGGCGTTTTTAACTGCCTTCGTGCTCAACTCGGGTCCATCGCTGAAGGAGGTTCCATTGTCAGTCGCTTGCCACCAAACGAACATGACCCCTCATGTCCAAGCTCACTGACTTGTTCAGGTCAATGCTGCCAGCGTCGCAGGCCAGATGGGAATACCTGCCATGAGCCTCTACTCGGCCAGTAAGTATGCGGTCATTGGCCTCACCAAGAGTGCGGCAAAGGAGAACGGAAACAGAAACGTGAGAGTCAATTGCATTGCACCTGGTATGGCAGTTGCATTCTAGCTCTGTTGATGTTCAGTTTATTGTCGCGCGTTGAATGCATGAACTGAGAAGAAAACACCCTATAGGCACAATAGCAACCCCTATGGTGGCAGACATGATACTGCGGACCGGTCAGGAAATCGACACCAGCGCGCGGCCTTTAGCTCGAGCTGCAGATCCCAGGGAGGTTGCGACCGTCATTGAGTTCCTTCTGGGAGAAGGAGCCAGTTTTGTGACCGGCACCGTATACAATGGTACTACGGATCTCCATTTCCTGTCGGAAAGGAATAACAGCTAATTCATTCACGACTAGTTGACGGCGGCCACATGGCTTGATCCGGTATCGAAGCTGCATCGCGTGATAAGTCGCCCAAGGATCACGTATATCAATATTTGGAGACTCGTTCCTGAGGCTGATAGAGGTGGCAAGGACAGGCCCGTGAACAGCAAAAAGTCGATGAGTGCCTAGTATAGGGGATAGATATACCTCCCAAGGGATGAACTTCGCCACAATCAACGAACGCGACCCATAGTAAAGCATGTAAAGACCATGAATCCATTGTTTGCCGTCCATGTAGATCCTTCTTTCCATGTTGGCATATCACATCACTCTGGCATGGGGAGCAACCACTATATCAAAGCCAAAAGCAAAACAGCGAGCCCATCAACTCGGAAAAGAGAATTCAAGCAATTGTAGTAGATTCGACTCTTCAAATGCTCTGTTCCACCACATACCCATCGTATTTGTACAATCTGGATATATACCTTCAAATGCACCAAGGCGCTGCCGTCGAAGCTGTTGTCATCACAATGGATTTTTGGAGTAGCAATTTCTTTGCTAACTCTGCAGTTCGACCTTATGCCGCCGCGTATCTCAGTGCCTCTGGCTTCGCCGAGACCTGGTCGCCCAAGTCAGACAAGACGCATGCACAGGTCGGGTTTTGCGGCTTCAGGCCTTGTCGTTGCGACTTCGGTGGTCCGGCTGTGCCTCGGAGTGTTTTTGGGTGAAGGCACGGGGGTTACGAGGGTGCACGACAAGCCGGCTCGAGAATAACATAAGAAGCAGTTCCACTTCAATTTTCTCAGGATTAATCCGTTAGCATTCAGAATTACTGTAGGCCACGAGAAGCCGCGAACATCTTCCCCGGAGACTCCAGCTCACCTTGCCACGAACAAAACCTCTCTCGTCCCACACTGTTTCATTCTGACCATGGTCAACTCTGAGGCAACGATTGCACGCTTATAGGAGCGGCTGCAAGTTCTTGAGGAAAAAGAGGGACTTAGAAGCTTGCTTCATGCTTACTGCCTAAGACCCGACAACTACGACTTTGAAGGTTACGCCAATACATTTACGGAGGATGGCTCCATGGAATTCGAAAAGTGGCCTAAGGTGGTAGGCCGGGAGGCGATTACGAAGGCTTCCAGTGTCGAAAGGCGGTTCCAAGGCCTTCAACATACCATGACCAATATCGAATTTTCAATCACTGGCCCAGACACGGCTATCGGAACGTCCTATCTTTGGTTTGCAGCGACGCCGGATGTCAGCAAACCAGAAATTCACTATGCCTTTGGCGGCCCCTACACATTCGACTTCAAGCGGACCTCTGAAGGGTGGAGAATCTCTAGAATGCGCTTAAGGAAAATATGGGCACAGGGTGAGGACACCGAAAAAGCTTTTGGAGCAGGTTCTTGAGAGTGCAGCATTACCTCGTTGTGGAGGAAGAAGTTTGTCAGCGGCAAGAGTTGATCAGTCATCGAGATTAACATCAGACAGGACTGAATGTTGTCTTGGTTGAACTTTGTATTCGAGACATTCCCATTTAGGCGACCTGGCATAAAGTCCTATACATTCCACTCACAGTAAGTGTTGAGGTCTTCCGCTCATGGGTCATTGAAGAAGCAAGATATCAACGTTCATAGGTAATTAGACCACAAGAACAAGAATATTCGAAGTACAGGCCATCTCTTCAATCGTTGCCCGCACAAGTCATGAAAAGCCTATGGCACATATGGTCCTGAAAGCAAGTCACCTAGGAAGTTTGGAGTAAACATGCTTCCGTACATATCACAGTCCGGATTGTATGGAAGTCGGTTGGGAAATCGGCTGACAACGAATGCGGTTGCTCTTCCGCAGACAGTAGTTGCATCGAGAGGTCGACCTGAGAAAAAGGCCCCGCGAAGTTCCTTTCGTATGAGATGCCTGCTGAATAGTCGTGTGTAGACGACATTGCTGTGGCAGCGGCGGACGATGGTTGGGGTGGTCCCATTTGGTGCGTCGTGGACTCTGGCTCTCGAAGAAGCTCCGGCATGGTCGACAAATTCGAGGGTGGACCCAAGGCATTATAGTTGGGCGCATTTGTGCCTGTGCCACACCTTCCGCACTTGAGCGTTTGTCTCTCTGTGCCAGTTTGATGCTGGCCGGAAATCAGGATTGGCCGACCTAAGTGATATTAGCAGCAGGCTCTCCAAACTATTCGACATGTTGATCACTGAACCGTGTTGAAGACAGCTTGCTTGGTTCAGATATTGTTGTGGCAGCTGCGTACCTTGATTTGCTTCTGGATTAGAACTGTGCAGGCCACAAATTTGAGCCAGCGACTGGCGATTCGATCCTGCGCTTCCTTGGTCTTGGTCCTCGTGCCGGAAGCTTCCCATTCGTTTCTGAGCGCGTCGATGTCTTTGCGCAACGATGTCAACGTGTTCCAATGTTGAGCAGATTGGTTCTGTTGTATTTGCGATACAGGATTTCGTAGCTTGGATAGGCCAAATCTTTCTCGACTTCGGTTTGAGCCACCTCGCAGTGGATCAGCTGCGCGACCGCGGCAAGCCAGACGGTACTTGAAAGGAAGGGATTGACAAATCTGTGGTGGTTTTCGCTGCTGCGGTGCACGATTGTCATGATCTGGTCGGCAGCTTCGAAATACTGTTCCAGGTAAGGAGAGTCTCTCATCATGCCTAGCGTCGTGTCTAGTTGTTGTTTTGGTGTCGCTTCTCCTTGAAGAGGAACCTGTTTCGCGCTTCGGGCATCAGACAAAGACATGGGCGATCCCCTTCCCTCATCGAAGACATAATATTTGTACGCCACAAGTCTGACTAACTGCACCATCAGGTGGATGCTGTATATCACACAATGTTGCAACCTCTGAGCCAAAGCAGAAGTAGGGTCTTTCATCCTTCTGCCGAAGCTATCAGCCTGGCGATCGTTCCCACAAGTCGGGCCTTGGAATTTAAGGAGACGGTCTCTTCTCACTACGAAAGGACTGGAAGCATTCTGCGCGTCTTTCATCATGGAGTTGATGACGATGAACCAAGCCTTCGGAGACTGGTTGCAGGAAGCCTGGAGAAGATGGCAGCGGTCAACAGTCCTCTTTGCGAGCAGACAGCTTCTCTGCGGTTCGTCTTGGTACCACTCCGCGTCCTCTGCTGGCAACCATGTCTCGTTATGGTACAAGTCGATTGCGGGCGGGTAACTACGCATGATAGTTGCGAAGACATCCATCTCCCATATTGCCCACCACACGCGACGCCGCTCTTCATCATCTTGCCATTGAACCGGATTGGCCAGGATGTCTTCCCATGTACGGCCAGAGTCAACAAGATGCAAATTCAGCTCATACGCAGACCGTACGCAAAGCCCGAGGTACCTCCACGCTCGTCCACAGGCCCCCTGTGGCAGCAGCCAATGAGTGATAAGGGTCAAAGCCTGTAATAACGGCAAAGGCACTGCTTCAGATTGGCATTCATTGACGGCTTGCTCCTGGTATTAGATGGCCAGCTTCGCAAAGTGGCCATCCAGATTTTCTTGAACTGGCATCTCCCCGTCTAACAAAGGCATTGCCATACGAGTCTTGCCCGTTAAAAACAAAGGCTAGCATAGCACAAACAAGTGCGTTTACTCGCGCCACCGACTCTAAATTTTGGAGTTTATTTAGAAGTAAAGGCTCCCGGAAGAGTTGGAACGCCGTGTAGTAGTTGAAGAACTGGTTTATTCTTTGAATCCATTAGCGGAAAGTAAAAGAGTCGCAAGAAAAATGGGATTCCTGGAAAGGCTCTTTCAATTTCCCATGGAATTCTCATCGAACTTACAGCATATCAAAGCACTCATATCTTACACCCAAGATGGAACAACTGGTCGCAATGATTCTGCGTTCGTCGCATGACTGGCAGGGTGAAGCGGACACAGGTGAGGCTGGTTGTTCAGGGGCGTACGATTCGTACCACGGATGAATGATCAATGCATACTCTGTCTTCCTGGCGTGCTCGAAGGGGTTTCAGATTGTGTAAAGGCTGGGGCTCCGTGTGGGCTCGGACATTGTCGCTGGCAACGTTTAAGGGGCTTGTTTTTGTCTTTTTGGTTCGTTGGTCTTATGAAGCTCATGTGTCCTCTTCCGTGATGCCACTACATTGCCTATCTTTGGGCCAGGACGCCTCGCACTCTCTAGATATCGGCATTCCTGAGCCGAGCATTGGCACACCATGCAATGAGACAACTCGCGACTGCATTTCACCTTGCGCCTGCGGCGCATGTGGCACGCAAATGTAGAGTGGAAGGGGCCGGTTCCTTCGTTCATTGCAAGTCGAGATAGTCGCGATAGTCGCTAACGGACTTCAGCAGTGGCTGTCTTGACGGGATGGGCTTGGGCTGTGTCTGACTATGTACAATCGTTTAGAGTGGAAGTGGGAAGTGGGGAGCTTGAAGATTATGTGGACAAGGCAGGAGCTTGGTGCCCTCCCACCAAAGCTCGGACTTCTCCCTCAAGCTCTATACGCTTTGTGGAGCATTTCCGGGGGCGCTCGTCGTTAGCTCCTTTCCCGCCAAAGGTTACAATGGTCTTAACGTCGGCCAATCGCCTGGATCCTAAAACGACCTTGCCAACGACCAGTCTCGAGAGGGCGAAATACGACCCGTGACAACGCATGCCTCGTACGATCTTCGGTGCAAGACGTTCGGGTCCTGCAGCCAGCAAAGACCCCCGCCATCCCCGGACTCGCGCAGTTTCTGCTTGGCCGCAAGAGCCAGCTTTTCACCAAATTACCTTGACGTAGGGGTCAAGACAAAACCTGGGTCCTATTTCCAAAGGCGAGATGGCCAGAATGATCTATTTACAGCCATGTGAGAGTGGTTGACTGGTAGACTTTGGGGATTCGGAACAGTAAACGTCGTTGGGTGACAGTCTATTGTGGGTGTCTATGTGTTCTCTAAATATTGCTCAAGTTGGCATGCTTCTCCAAAGTCTCCAGGGCTCACTCATGATAGACCTTGTTGATCAGAGTGCCGATGTTCTCGATCATTACGCGCATCTCGGCGCGGTGGGTTAGCCCGATTCTAGGCTTGCGCATAAACCCAATACCAGGACCGGTCCCGGTTAGAATAACGGTTCCCTTTTCTAGTGTGGTTCCCTGTGAGAGGTGGGCAATGGTTTTGGCGACGTCGAAAATCATCTCACTATCGATCTGGTCAATAGCTGTCGCCAGTGCTGGGTAAAAAGGGGAGGACCACCGACCTAGTGTTCGAGTCTTCGACAACTCGACCATTGTATATGCCCTGAATCCGGAGTCCCTGGCCGTCCTTAAGTATCACTGGTGATACAATCACCGGTCCTAAGGGCGCAGCTCCGTCAAGACCTGTAAGTGCGTCAGAAAATCTCCCTCCAAGCACTACAACCCTAACTAGCCTTTGGCAAAGCACCACTGGGTGTTTTGAATTGCGCGGTGCGGGCACTGATATCGTTTCCACAAGTGTAGCCTAAGACGTAATCTAGAGCTTCATCTTCTGTAATGTGTCTCCCGTCCTTGGCGATAATAACGGCCATTTCAGCCTCGTAGTCAAAAGAACCGTCTTGGGCAAACTTGGGCACATTGATTGCTGCTGGAAAAGGCCCATTCAGGGATGTTCGTGGTTTGATGAAGAGCACTGGAGTAGTTGGAATTGGCCATTAGCTTCATGCGCATGATATCGGTAGTTCAATCCGGGGCATCGGATGATCGGAACTTCGTGTGTTCCCACTAATGGGAGGATCTTTTGAATCATAATCAGCCGAGAATCCAGGAGTCCGCGTGGTCGAGAGTTGTCCAAGGGTAATGGCCAGAGAGCTTCCTTACAGTCTTGACATGCATGACTTTCTCTGTCACAATCCCGTCGAAGATCGAGCCACTGACGATGTTCGCTGCGACCGAGTCACCATTGAATATTGATAGTCCAACATCAGGGTACGCTTTTGGATCAATATTTCCGAGATGGAGTTGTCCATATTCTTCCGCAATGAAGCGAATCAGATGCGTCCAACGCCGACACATGGCGTGTGTGAAGTCCTTGCCAATCAAGGAAACATGGCGGTATAAGACTCCTTCATATATCTATACAGGTGCTCAGTCTAGGATCTGCGGCGATTTTGAGATATCCGCCGTGTCCATATCTGTGCGCTTACGGACGGAGGATCCTCGCTGTACTAGTCAGCCCGATAGCGTCGATTACGGGGCAAGAACCTATTCGACCAAGACCGAATTCATCGGAGGACGTGTCGCCGACTCCGAATCGTCTCCTTCTGCGCACTCTGGCGTCATCTTCGATGTTTTCTCCATCATTCGAGTATTTCCAGTCAGCTCTCTCCCCTCGAGATCTTCAATAACACGTGTTGTGCAGTACCGAAAAGTATGAAGAGAAGAACCAGGGCTTGCGAAAGTTGGCTGCTGTAAGGCGGACTCAAGACCTGCAGCTACCTGGTCTCTGGAAAGGAAAAGGAAGAGATGTTAAGCGACAGGCGGCTATTTCGTGTTCATTTCTGTTCCGATATCTATGTGGTGATCCACGGTATGATTATTCTTTGCATCTTTCGAAGGACAGAAACCCCTTGTCGTTCTTCAGGTTGTTCAGCCCCTCGAAACTGTTCAGCACTCCATCCGCAGGAAACTATTAGAGTTCGTCGCGCGCTACTCCAAAAACGTAGCTGGAACCCTCGGGTCCTGGATCGCAATTACTACGTGTTTTTGGATGCTTTAACATAGAATTTGTTGGGATTAGTAGTCAGTAAGATTGCCGACACTTGCATACAAGTTTCCTAACCAGTAGTCAAAAATCTGGGTCCCGATGACATGCCTTCCCACACCCACATGTTCTCGTACCCCTTCTCACGCAGCCAGTCATGGCTCAGGACCTGTGTGTTGAAGTCATGGGTCTCGAAAGACGAATGATGGACATGAGCCATTTTGCCCTGGAAAAAGAAAAAGGAATGGTGATCGACCAGTTCTTCGCGTCGGAGGAGTCTGTTACAGACGATTACGCCTTTTCCGTTCTCATCTTTGCTGAGGTATTGAGCACAAGTCATCAATCAGTCTAGAAACACCTGTGGGTCGCAGGAAGAGGCTCCGAGCGGTTAGAGTCGCTTACTTCACTAGGGTAGAGATTGAAGCGACTCGTATAGAAATCGTGGCCGAATCCGTATTCGGACTGTCATCATATGAGCTCTCCCAAAAGATGTAAGTCGATGTAAAGGCAAGTCATCATTTGGAGAAATACTGACTCGAGACGTATAGTAAGGGCGAAGAGGGCGGCGAATGGAATGGTTGCGGGAGCCTCAGTTCAGCTGGCATTCTGTAACATTCGCATAAATGGGGTTGCCCCAAGATTCCCAAAAGCCAGTGTCCTCACGTCATCAAATGATGCAGAGAAGGGAGCAGAGTACAGGAACGATCAGAGGCCAGAAAAGGTCCAGAAAAATCATGGGTGGTTCTTTGAACAATCGCTGAAGGCTCCTGAATATTATTCCAACCGCATGGCTGATGCTAACGAGATTGAAAACATCCAATTTTTCCTGGCATCTGACTTGGTTTCCTCTATCAACGTCCATGTCGTTCTCACGGAATAACTATTAATTTCGCCGAGAGTGTCTGGGGTGGGCGTCGCTCATCTGGTCAGTCGAAGGGTCTCACGGTGCTAATTGGAGAGGTATCAGAGGCTCTCGAACGCCCCATTCAGAGTCCATTTGCGGCCAGACCGAGCACTTACCCCCATCCATGTCATCGGCGCGGTAGATGCTTCTCGGAACATGTTCGGACCCCAGAGTTGGTCCGGGGACGTCCTCAGCTTTTTGCGGGGAAATCCCAACTCCAGACCTGAGTCTGGGGATCTCCTGGTAGACCGGGGGGTTTTTCCTTCTGGCTTACTGTTCTGCCACAGCAGACCACATATATACACCCTCAGCCCAAGTTTCACATCTAAACACTACTACCTCAAGACTACTGTTTTGTTTCCTTCCATATCTCAAGGAGACGTCCATCATCTTATGCAGTCATGGAAGAGCAAAAGGCAGCCATGGCCCACGACGACATCACGCCGATACCGGCTCGGCACACCCCTCGCGACCAAACAGATGGAGATCATCTCAGATCAGAAGCGCTCTCCACCGATCTCGACCATATCGCTCCCGGCTACTTCAAGAGTGCCAGAGTGATCGGGACCTATGTCGGCATCGCGTTCACCCTGACGGCTACCTATTTCTATTTTGAGGCGTCGGCTGCTGTCTTGACATTCATCAATGCAGACATCGGCCCCAGCGAGAACTCTGCCCTCTTCTCCATTGTCTGGACTGTGGCTCAGCCGATCAGTATTCTTCTTTTTGGCCGCTTGACGGATCGCTTTGGATGACGAAATTTTGCCTTGGCTGGCAATATCCTTTCAATAATCGGGGGGATTGTCGCCTGCACAGCCAAGTCAATGAACACCCTTATAGGTGCCATGGTAATCTTAGGCATTGCCTCGGGTCCCATCGCGTCCTACCCACTGTTGACGGGAGAACTGGCGAGCAATAAGGACAAATTTTTGGCCACCGTTTGCGTTGTCATTCCAAAATATTATTGCCACGGGCTTTGCCCCCTACATTGGTCAGCGTCTGGTCTATGTTGCCAACTGGCGATGGATCTTCTACATCCACATCATCATAATATGTAAGCAAACTCTATCCTGGTCGCGCAAGTGGGAAGCGGAGCTACCACGAATCTTTCGATCCCTCCCAGGCGTTAGCTGATCTTTTTTAATAGCTTGTGGAACGGTGATCTGGTACTTCACTTACTTTCCGCCATCATACGTTCAACTACACGGCAAAGAAGTCAGCAAAATGGACGAACTCAAGAAGACAGATTTCCTGGGCATCTTTCTCCTCGTGTCTGGTCTCACCCTCTTCCTCTTGGGCGTCTCCAGGGGTGGTACGAGTACAGCCACTGCATGGAACTCTGCCCGAATCTTGGGACTCCTGATCTCGGGCTTCATCGCATGTGTGGCGTTTGTGCTGTACGAGTGCTTCGGCAATGTCAAGCAGCCGGTCATCCCAATGCGCTTCTTTAAAGATGTTCGCGGCTTCGCGTGCATCAATGTCATCTCGGCCATTACCGGCTGCATCAATGTGGCCCTTTTCATCATCTGGCCATCTCAGGTCATCCACATCTTCGGCACGTCCAACAAGGATTGGGAGCAGACGGCTTGGATGTCTTGTACCATCAATTTTGGCTTGTGGACTGGCATCATCATTGTCGGACCCCTCTTCGGCATCATCAAACACGTGAAATATCAACTGATTTGGGGAAGCGTGTGGATGACCGTGTTTCTGGGTATCATGTCAACGTTCAACAGTGGACACAGGTCCGAAGCTATTGCGATTTCCTTCCTAGCCTGCCTACCGATCGGTTGGGGCGAGATTATCACCATGCTGCTGGCTCAATGCTTGGTCGATGACCAGGATCTGGGAGTGGGATTTGGTAAGTCTCCCTCTGTACACTGTATTATTTCCATCACCCTTACTGACGATGCCCTTTACAGCCGTGACCTCGGCCAACAGAACCATCGTTGGATCCATTTTCACGGCCATCTTCCTTGCTATTCTGAATAACAAGCTTCCCGGAGAATTGCAGAAGCATCTCGTGCCGCAGGTATTGCAGGCTGGTCTACCTGCCAAATCCATTCCGACTCTCCTCACCGCTGTCAGCACCGGCACACAGTCAGCGCTCGAAGCTGTTCCGGGCATGACCAGCAAAATCTTAGCCGTGGCTAATGCCGGTGCCTCCACCAGCTTTGCTGCAGCATACGCCTACGTGTATTACACGGCCGTGGCGTTGGGCATCGTGTCCTGCTTGGCGGCTTTGTCCACCCGCGACTTTGATCAATATCTGACTAACCACGTCTCGCGCCAGATTTACCACAAGAAAGAGACGAAGGAGGACATTCTGGACCTGATTACGAAAACCCAGGTTCAACCGCAGGCTGAAGGGATTGAGATGGCCTAAGGAAGTGTGGCACTTTGCTGCTCGGCTAGGGTGTATATGTATTGCGGTCTAACACGTAAAAAGTTGCAGGAGGGTGACCTCCTGCAGGTAAAGTCGGGTCATGGAAGTGTCAATTTGCTAGCACTGGATGGTCATTTCCCCGGGTGATGGTTATTTACTGAATTACTTGGCTATCTTACATGCTATTAGTAATGCGGTAAGGACCGCCCGTGAATTGCTCGAGAGACTATTCAACTAGGGAACATTAAGCCTTATTGGTAATACCATCCAAAAATATCTCCCAAAGACTATATTGATCCTCTCTGAAAAGCGACACTGACGAAACAATCCCGCAAATGCACCCTATTCTTTTCACCGTGTATACACCGTAGCTCGTATGCAAACATTGGATACTCTCTCGATCGAGGATCAAATATCATGTCGGGCAAACTTCGATGCCAAGCCTGAGTGCGTGGTTAGCAACTTTCAAAAAAGGGTTACGGAAGAAGCGAAAAGACATACGAATCTTGCGTCCCCACACGTAAAGCATGACCGGAATGGGGATGAAAGCGATCGAAAGAAATCCCAGCAACGAGCAGCCCCAGTTCAAGCCGAGATTTCTGAACATGGCGCCCGCGAAGACGGGGAACCCGGCTCCCATGGCAGACCGTGCGAGATCATTGCCGGCGTAGACGGAGCCAATGTATCTGCTCTGACGGTTAGCGGGAGTTCCCTGTGAGGGCTGGACTGGTTTGGGGGCTCACTTTGGATACGCATCGCCCTGATAATTGAGAATGGCATTGAACAGCAACAACCCGCCGATCGAGAAGAAGCTCGACCCTATGATCGGCACGATCCAATGCACGCTCTCCCTCGCTGTCCAGCCAAACCAGAACAGAGAGATCGGCAAGAAAATCGAGCCCACGATCGCGGGTGGAAGCCTTGCCTCAGGCGTCAGTGTCCCGTCCTCGAACTGCTTCTCCTGCACGAAGTATAGGAACCCGAAGTAAAGCGCCAGACACACCAGCGCACCGACCAAGATGCCCAAATACGCCAGGCCGGCGGTCCCGAGACTGAAGTTGTAAATACCCCTAAAGGTCAGCGGGAACGCCTCGAACCAGCAGTACAGCACCGCGTAGACGAGGCCGAGGTACACGTCCGTGAACAGCAGGATTGGCTCGCAGAAGGTGAGTTTGAAGGGCAGCCACAGCGCGGCCCGGGCGATCTCGCTCTTTGGCATGCCCTGCGCTTCGATCTCCGCCTCCGTCTTGAGCGCCGGATTATCCAGTGCCTTTCGCAGGCGGCGGGCGCGGTGGTACAATATCGTCGCAGAGCTGGTCTCGGGAAGGCAAAACGCAAGCAGCACAAAGACAAAGCCGTTGAGCCAGATAAGTTCCCAGATCGTCCATTTCCAGCCCTTCGCTTCGGCAGCGAAGCCACCGATCAATGGGCCCAGTACGGGCCCGCAGACCGCAAAGATGCCCCACGTCCCGATGGGGTAGCCACGCTTCTTGGGTGACCAGATGTCGGCCATGCTGGCACCTCCCGTGGCAAGCACGGGCGAACCGACAAAGCCGGTCAGGAACCGGAAGGCCAATAACATGCCCAAGTTGCGAGCGTAAACGACGCCAAAGTTCAAGCAGATGAAGCAGAAGATGCTGAGGATGTAGACGGGAGAGCGTCCGATGGGAGGAGCTTCGGCGAATGGGGCAATAAACATCGGACCTTGGGGACAGTTGGTGTTAGAATTTTGTTGAACACCTTTCATGGAGTTGAGGCATAAGGTGGGTACTCACCAGTCCCATACCCAAGTACGAAAGTCGTAAGGCCCAACACTGCAGCAACCTCGCTAATACCGAAATATTGTTCAATATCCCTTACCCCGGCCGTATAGATTGCGGAGCCAATGTAGATCGAGAGCGTGAGTAAGCACACCTGAGCCGTGGTCACACACTTCTTAAAGAAGGACCAGTTTTGCGGATTCGCGGGGTCGAAGTCATTGATCCACGTCACGATCTTGGTATCGGTGTCGTCAGCTTGAGTCTCGAGCTTTGTGAGGTCAGGGTCCGCTTCGGGCGGAGGTGTCGAAGTGTTCGTCGCAGTATCTCTCGAGCCGACGCTGAAGATGCTTGCCATGGTTGAGTGCCGGCTCGTTAGTGGTCGGATGGCGGAACGCTCTCCACTTTCTAGTATATTTGTATTGCGCGTTGTGGTCCATGATTGCAACGACTGCGCCTGTGTGAGGGTCCGGTCGGTGCTGATTGCTTGTCGGTAGGCTTCCGGGTGGATCTCATCAGGGTACTGTAGGATCTTGTTGCACGTTATTAGACGTAGAAATTGACCAACGCAGGTGTCGCGAAAGTTGTCCATTGCGGCGGACGCTAAGGGCTTTGATGGATGGGATGGACTGTGGCGAGTTGGCTGGATCTGAATCAGTTGAAGAGATTCTCTGCATCCTGGCCAGGGATAAACCAATATATATGTCCTTGCCTATGATGAAAACCTGCGAGCTCTTGAAGTGGTCTCGGTACAACAAGAGGGCATTTCATCATAGTCATCGTGGGAAATGCCCCAGGATTACGAGTTGGATGACCGGGATGGACGGAGCAAGGTCCTTCCCACCCCTCGAAAAGACACCAAATTGAAGTCATCGAAGGCCGACATTTGCTCGGGGTGCGAACTTGCTGTCCTCCAAGCGGTACGGCTACATCGATAGATGGTCTTTTCTGGACGCAATCGCTGGGTTCGGGCGAAAATTGATGCTTAGGTGGCTTTGGCATCGGCAAGATACCGAGGTGGATCTCCCGAAGTGGATCTCCCGAGGTGGATCCTCCGCGGGATGAATTCCTGGGGCAACCGCTTTGGGTCTCCATTGTCGTATTTCGTAGCCAATGAGTTGAATACCACAGTCAGAAGAGCGGGATGAGGCCATGCATGGTGCAGCCCTTGAGAAGTCGGTTATCGTTGCAGAACATTCTGGAGAGATTCTAGCGTAGTTACATCTCGCAGAAATCGGAAATCGTGTTTCGGAAGAACACAATCGGCTCGTTCCGTCTACGTTTGCATCTCGCCTTCGCCTAGCGATATGGCAGGCGAAGGTTACAGCTTCTTCCGATAGAGGGAGGAAATCATATGATTGCTCCTGTTCTCGTTACGTTCAACACTATCTCTCTTCGACAATCATCAGCCGACGTGTCGTCCCCCCCTGAGTAGGAAAGGATGTCCCATCATAAAGACGCAGTTCAACAACCCGCCTGACTTGAAGATCAACCATCCTCAAACCATTTTCAGCCTCATCACATTCCATCAATCAACCTTAAGGTATATCAGAGGTTTCGGTCAATCTGAGCAAAGGACGACATGTCACTAGCCGCTGCTTCTGCCAGGCCCAAGTACGAGGTCGAAATTGCTCCTAGGAGGAGGCAAAAATTGAACCTCCTGCAAACCGCCTTTCTGGCTCATAAAGCTCAGGACAAACTATTCAAGGAGGCTGCAAAAGGTGACCATGACCTCAGGCTCCTAGTCGGACATGCAAGCATGCTCAACTTTATCACACTCGACCTCGCCAACGCCGAAAAAGAGCAGACGAGGTGGCTGAGCAGATCGCCTCACAGTGCGCGAGGCGACGAGAAGCCCGAACAAGAGCACATCGAGACCATTGTGGAGGATCCTGAAGGGGAGTGGGAAGCAATGTACACCAATAGCTTCGACGGAGATTCAGAATCCGACGAGGAGGAACAACTCAGATCAACCACCGTCCCTACTCATGAAATCGACGCCAATCTGGAGGGCTATGGCGGGCCTTATGCCGACAATGCGCTGGAAAGGACTGCCACGAGAGACCACTACTAGAGCTGACGGGCAAATCCAAATCAGACTTAAACGACGACGAAACGGCACCGTCGCCGCCAAATCCAAACATCGACGCTATGAAGCCGACGGCAAAATCATTTCTATCAGTCCGTCTTACGATTGAAGGTAGCGTCGATCATTCGTTATCTATCTTGAAGAGAAGGGACTTTATCGCCCCCCGGTGAGAAATGTTGCATATTCAAGTAGCTGTGGTTGAGCACATTGTCTGGGGGATATTACAAACATAGATGATTCGCTTTGAGTGGTTCTTGATACAATAAAACTGAACGATGTAATCATAACTGGATGGCTCTACCTTTGAATTCTGATTCTAGCCTGTCACGGTGAATACAAGCTTCATCATGATGCGTGACATTGAACGGTGACTAGTCAAGGAAAAGTAACTGTCTCCCAATAGTGATGGTTAAAATATGCCAGCCTGGGAAGTGAAGGCGGACTTTACCATCTGATCTTTCATCTCTCCAGTTGATATTCAGACTACAAACAAATCATCTACAATACGCTTGTATGCTTTAGACGACTCTCACTTATGACTATGGGGGTTCCCAAGAATAATTACATCTTTGCCACAGGTTAAGTCCAAGGCCACGTGCGATCTCAATCCCGCGTCTCGTTACGCTCGGTAGAGAATGATTCAGGAAGGATCAGGCCACCTCAGGGGATTATTCGAAAAGGACCAGAGTTTAAGCGTTGCCGCGTCTCGAACATTTTCGTATTCAAAGTTCCTCCGATAGGCATTGCTGTGGAGCCGAACTTGGAGTTACATCACTCGGGCGCAGCCACCGGTCGTGGCAACGCCTACCGAGTTAGCACTGATTCGCTGTAGGCGTACGCTCGGAGGGCCGTAATTTAATAATCGGGTTCAAAAGCCGACTGGTGTGGTGTTCAATGGCCGAGAACTAGTGATCCTCCCATGACACGATTCAAACAAGTGGCCAGCCGCGGAGGAACGTGGTCGCAACAACTGCAATGTATTTAGAAGTGAGTACCCTCGCACGGCATGCTCATGGTATTCCTCTTAGAACCCAGCAACAGCGCGAGAGTAGAAGTCTCGAGGCTTGAAATCATAATACTTGATCCCGAGTTGTCAATAAGATGGAGGACTACGACACACCTTCCTCCGATCAATCTGGATCGTTTACGCCCTTCATGTGGAATCCATCCCAAGAGATGCAAATGGCTACCAACTACAACCAGGTGTGCTTGCACTTTACCTTTGGTCCACACTGGGGCTCTTTCCTAACGATGACAGAGTTTGCGACCAATATCAGGCTTCTATTCCAGCTTCCAAACTTCCAACCCATTTTTGGACTTTTGCTCAGGATACACTGCCAGTGGGAGAATATCGGGGGTAATTACGAAGGCTGATAGCCGTACCCAGACTACGATCAAGGTTGGTCTCTGTCCATAAGTTATTCGGACCGCTCGGACAGGACGCTAATGAGATACTAGTCAATGAGACGGCGAGAGCAAAACAGGGCATCCCAACGCGCTTACCGCGAACGCCAAAAGAGGACGCAACACGAGTTGGAGCAGCAGATTTCCGAATGGGAACAGAAACACAAAGCCCTGTTGGAGTCTCACTCAACGCTCACAGGAGAACTCGACTGGCTGAAGGCGTACATTGAAGTCCTTATCTCCTATATAATGGCCCAGCAGATCGGCCTGCCACAATGTAGGACCGACCTTGCCCTATCCCCCGAGGAATTTGCCTCTAGGGCCATGTGTTCAAACAGCCCTGCGTCCGAAACACAAGATTCGTGCAGGTTATTGGGCTCTTCTGGAATAGCTGCATGGTGAGGAGGTTTTCTCTCGCTCAACGTGCACAACTCTCTGCAATTCTCAGCTCCGAAATATCCTCTGAGCTTATTGTGTCAAAATATGTAGGATTATCTTGATAATGCAGACGCATGCCTTTTTAAGACACGGCGAGTTCGTGATACGAGTACAGGAATGCGAGCATAGGAAAAGGACTTATGTAACCCGAGATTTCGCCCACCACGGCCTTTGACGAGGTGGAAAGTCCAGATGTTTCCCTCCCTCAAATCCCGACTTAATCCTGTGGTAGTCCGGCTTTCGGATGCATGCCTATAGACCCCTTGTCATGTTACTCCAGTTCGCAGCATCAGTCACCGTCTCCCAGTTGTTGAAATCCCATTCATGCGAAGAAAGACTTGGATAGATGGTAGTATCCTCTTGCATATTGAGGTCCTCGAAGGCAGAGGTAAGGGAAAGAAAATTAAGCCATCTTGGATGTAAGTGCCCTTCAAATTGTCTGAGAATACGCTCCACATCATCCGGCGACAACGGTGCGAACACCAGCTGTGAGAATTTCTTGAATGCCACTGTGCCATTGCCGGTCAAACATAGTACGTGCCAAGAATGGTTTCAGGAGCTGGACGACTTACTTATGAGGAATCGGGGCAGGCTCCATACCGATGCGAATTGCTCCAGGAAGAGCAGAAGCACATCCTTGTACGTCAGCAGCTTCATCTGCAAGCCCGGCGACGAATCCAAACAGCAATGCAAATGCAAAATTATCAGCGTGCCTGAAATAATAAAGCAAACGGCTGGGTCGACGCTGGGGAAATATTGGCTATCCCACTGTTGGACGATTGACGTGATATCCTGGCAGTACTCGAGAGTCTGTTGCCAGCCGTTTAACCATTCGCGCCCGCTCCTGTTCGGGTCCGAAGGAAAGCATAGCAGGATACTAGCAGCGTGAAGGTGGAGGACGGAAATGAGTCTGGTATGGTGTTCAGAGCCCGACTCGTCAATGAGAGCGTTGCGTCCAGGGTTCAGATACCGCACAGGCAGGGCTAGACGCACGGCAGAGAGGTGATCCTTGAGAGCCATAAGACGTGTTTGTAGACGTGAGGATGGATTTTGCATCTGTAGGCGATTAATAGTTGCTGCCTGCCTCAGAAGTGTGGTTGTAACTATGTGCATATTGAAAGCGAAATCGCCAGGGGCGTCGATAATCTCCTTGGTAGTCTTCCAGAGCATGCTTGTTTCTGTGGGAAGGAAAATTGTCTTTGTAAGCTCCATTGGGGTGCCGGCTGGGTTCGATAGAGGAGTGGTTACCAAGGCCGTTTTCACACTGTCGTTTTCCACGACAGACGGCGTCGCAACCGCGATGTTTGAGTATGAATCAAGACAATAGATGAACCACCAAACCCGTCTCCACTCGTCGAGCTTGTCCTCGCTCATGGAATCGCCCTCAAACGCCGAAAATCGATCATTGTTGTCGATTTGGTGGAGGCCGCACTGATATGCTTTGCGCGTCAGCTGGCCTATCCTCGTCCATGCTTCATTGCCAGGGTATTGGTGAAATGCGTAGAAGGCAAGCAGGCAGGCCTGACGGAAATTATCCAGTGATATCCTCTTGGTAGGGCATTCCTTGTCAATGAGTTTTGCTTCCAGTAGACGTCTCACGCAGGTTTCTAAGCCGTCGTTGGTCCAGAATTTCGGCGGGCCCAGAATCTTCGCGGACACCACAAAGATGGTGAGAAGCAGGCTCCGGCTCAAGGTTCCAGACCCATATCGTCGTAAAAGCGTCTCTTGGCGGAACAAAGGTATAGATGGATGTACATGCGTGAAAAAGTTGCTGAGTCTGGTGCAGTACATGCTGCGTTAGGCCTGGGAACTTTGAGTGGGTCTAGCATTTCCACTTACTGTTCTCTCTCCTGGTCTGGCTCTAATTGTAGGCCAAAATTGCTGGCGGTATCGTCTGCTAAGACCCCAAAATGTATCATTGGATCCAAGGGCCATGGGCCGCATGCAGGATGCAGAGGTCCCGCGTTAGGGTCATCGAACTGCTGTACGTAAGGCTGAGAAGGCACGTTTCCTTGCGGGGGGAAAAGCAATTCCTGAGGGTCGGCAAGTGTTCTTGATAGGGTCAGAGAGTCTGCAAAAACTTCTTGAGTACCTACAGTACCTCCACAAGATAATGGGTTAGCTTGGCAGGGGCGGCAGGGGAGGCCGGAAGAAGGTCACTAGGCTTGACTGACCGGGAGTTGAGAGAGCCGATGTACTAGCGCTAGTCGCCACTCTTCGCCGCGAGCCTCTGACCGGGCCAGGCTTTCTCTTTGCGGATGAGTAAATGCAGCGCCAGCCTCCTTCGAGGCAACGAGAGCAAGTGGGCCGCTGTAAATCACCTAGATCGCAGGTAAGCCACCGTGGAGATGTCCAACAGGACCGGCCTCGTACACTTGACTTTCTTTCTGGGAAATGTTAGCTTGGCTGAGGGAGCCTCGCAAGCTCTTGGAGACGAACAAGATGCATCGATCGCAGACTCGAGTGCTTGAAATCTGGGCCGACGGAACCCTACGCTCCGTGGAACAACCACTGGTGTCATCAATGGATCCATCAACAACTGGAGCCTCGAGAGTTCCGTATGCATGGATTAAGTCGGTGGAATGGGGGTAGTCCAACGGATTCATCATGGAAAGCTAGGCAAGTGGATATATGATTGCTAACACTGTTCTGGTGCCGCATGCAGGTATTGATGGTTGCAAATGCTACGTAGATGCAGCCCCGGAGAAGAGGACAGAGGTGATGATACTGGTACCATATGTTATGCGGTGGTGATTGAGTTGCAATCGAAGGAATCTGGTCGGTAAATGCCGCAACTGCACCTTGTACGCTCGTATTGACATCCTCATTCATTCGACGCTGGGCAGCCGGTTCAATCCATCGAGTGGTTTGGCCTCCAACTTTATCTGCTTGCTTTCTGAACAGTTGCACGCAAATGCCCAATCACAGCCGGGCTGCCTCGTGTGCCCTAATCGACATTGCGGCGCGGTGACAAGCCCTACGTGGTGAGATACGGGATGGTTCCGGGGACGCAAACTGACCCGCAAACTCGGCAACATGCGGACTTGGCGCTTATGCGAATCGCCAAACACTTGTTAGCGATTGACACACCATTTTTTGACGTAGAGCATGTATCTTGAATCTCGATATCACCACGTTTGATTTTAGAAAAAACCTATTGAGGGAGTCACGTGGGGAGTGCTGGGTACATTCCCGTATCGTGCCAAGGCACTAAACGTGGAAGCTAAATATTAGGGCCGCAGGCTGATTTTGTGCGCCGCCTTCGTGGGGCAGCTACTCTTCCACCAGGCAACTCGAGCGAAGTAGGTAGAAATCCATCATTGCTGTGCCAGAGAGCACCACAGGAGGAGCCCAACCGAGCAGCCCACGTAGATTGGGAGGAGGGCAGGATTGGGATCCCCCAGCGTCCCAAACAGATTCCATCGTCTAAAGCTGACCAAGGTTGGTGTCCTGACCGGAGGGGAACGCCCAGACTCAGGGAGGGCACCGGAGCGCTCAGAGAGCAAAGACTCTTGGCCGAGTATATGGGCAGCGGCGGGTCGATTTCGCACAAGAATGTGGTGGTGGTGGCGAGGAAGGTCGATTGAAAAGGGCTACAAAAATTTATGGAACGAAACCTGGGCAAGCAATCGAGTTAAGCCTGGAAGAGATGATGAAAACATTGGTGGCTTGTTATTGAGCAAGGATATGATGCCTGTCACTGTCGGTTGTTAGGTTCTACGACCAACTTCAAGTTATTGGACAGGTTCTATTCCCCCTAATAGGCATAATATACAGTACCGCCACCACCCCTGTGGAGCTTTTTGTTTGTCGCCTGCAACCAAAACCGTAGAGCCCAGGTGCTGAGAATCGTGGCGACGGCAAAGGCTGCGTTGCTCGCCATGCCGACAAGGTAATGCGGCCCATCACTCTTCGGGTAGAGATACGGCGTGTAGAGGTAGGAGACATTGGCGAAAATGTCCACAATCGACAGTGCTACCGCTTTCTTCTCCGTGGTCTGGCCCAGGGTCGCGCTCACCCAGCCCAGGATCATTGAATTGACCGCATACGCACCGCAGGCGAACATGAAGCACGAGACGTAGCGGGCGGCGATGTTGAGGGTCGCGCAGGAGATGATGAAGCCCACCAGCGCCAGGCCCATGCAGCCAGTGATGTGCCATGTGCGTTCATTGAACTTGCCCGACAAAAGGCCCGCCGCGATGCCGAAGCCGCCGGAGACCAGGTATGGTGGACAGGTCAGGACCAGCGTCACGGTGCGGTTGAAACCGAGCCCGCCAACGACGGTCGGGAAGAAGTTGTTGAAGCTGCACGCGCTGATATGCATGTTCTGGATGAAGCAGAGCAGATACAGACGCGGGTCTTTGATGGCCTGGACGAACCCTGCTCGCGCACCTCGGCTGGGCGCTATACCCACGGTGTCGCGAGCGATCCGGCCGTGCGCCAGTTGTCGCTCATCCGGAGTGAGCCACCGGGTCGTCAAGGGGAAGTCAGGCAGGATCCAGGCGGCAGCGACGGAGCAGCCTAGCGTGACACAGCCGTCGATGATGAACAGCCACTTCCAGCCAGCAATGCCGTGTGCTCCGTCGAGCGTGCCGAAGGTGGCTGCGGCGATCAAGCCCGCGAAAGCTGTGGCGTAAATGTTCCCCGTGTAGAGAATGGAGAGGCGAGTCGCAATCTCCTTGCGCGTGTAGAACATGGACAGGAACAACAGCGCGCCCGGGTAGTAGGGGGCTTCCACCATGCCAATAAAGAACCGACAAAGCATCATTCCGGTGTAGTTCTGGACAAGAGCCGTGCAGCCAGAAAGCACGGCCCAGGTTGACATGCACACGCTCATGTACAGCGACGGTCGGACCCGGCGCGACGACATCAACATGTTGGACGGCACCTGCATCAGGAGGTATCCGACGTAGAGGATGCTGATGCACGTGTTGTACTGAGTGCCCACCAAGCCAATGTCGTCTTCGAGGCCGTCCAATCTCGCGGTCGTGATGGCGTTGCGGTCGAGGTAGTTCCTAAGTTAGTCTTTCGTCAGCCGAGCAGCCCCGAAGATAGTAAAGATCTAGGTACAGGTCCAGGTCAAGACTCTTTGCAAGGCCCCAATTGGACCCATGTCCAGCAGGACTGGTATGAAGTACATGACCCAAAGAACGGGCATGATGTGTATATCCAGCTTTCGCACTAGTGCAATTGCTTTCGGGTCGGCCTTGGATACACCGCCTGCATAGTCGCCTGCAGCGGGACTGGATGCCGGGTGCTGATCTTGACCCTGATCCTTATCATGATCATGTATAGCGAATTGGAGCTGTTCGACTTTGTATCCCTCATCTTGAATGGTCTCGGCGTCGGTACTGTTCATCTTGGTGGTGTTGGGATTTGAGGCAAGGTGATGTAGGTAATTTTGTAGAGGCTTTAGCTCGTTCTGATCCAAATACAATCTCGCAACTGTCTTCAGAAGGTATGCTTCGAGCTCCTCTAACGTAGGCTGTGTCAAGCCATCATGATGGTATATTACTTGACCCCTTATATATCATTTCGACGCACACGAGGCCTCTGGCTGTATACCTCCTTTTCGACGAGAAGTGGGAAGTTCCCCATGACCAACCAGAAACTATCTTACCCTCCACGCTTTCAGATCCCTTGCCGGTGTTGGCCATCTGATAATATCACTAGGAGGATATTCTTCGCGGTAGAAGCGTTGTGATATCCGAGTTTTCGGGTGAAGCTGCGACGCAAAAGACGAGGCGGAAACGCTCCTCCGCCGCCTCGGTATGGTCTTCCGAGGTCCTTTCTCAAGACTATCTTTGAGAACCGACCTAATGGTCGGCAAGTCGTACAATCCTCAGGAAATATGATCCATTATCAGGCGTAAGAACGCCTCCGAAGAGGTTGGCGTGATCTGTTAACGGAAGCAGGATCCGAAACTCTTAGAGTCTTAGATTGCACGTGAGATGGATATTTTCTGTGATTAGACACAAGAACACAACCTATAGAGCTCAGCAAGTCGAGCAGTCATGAATTTGAAAAGGGCAATCAACCCAAAGCATCGCCTCAAGAACCTCCTTGACCATAACGAGGTCGCTTTCGCCACATTCGCAACCTTAACACGGGTCAAGACTGGCCCAGGTCCTGGCTCGCACTGGTGTCGATGTAGGTTAGAACCGCAGGTTGGAGTGAAAATTGCTAATCTGCCTCGATAGGCGGTCATCATCGACCAAGAACATGGTATGCATGACTGTTACTAGACTTTGTCCAGCCTTGTGGTTCCATTTGGGCTGCACATGTCGTCGAGGCTTGCTCGTCAGGAGCAAACCAGCAGCTTTACACCTGCATATATCATCTAGTCTAATGAAGCATCATAGGTCATGTCGATGATGCGCAGATGCACGACATGGTTGTTGCGGTTTCCGGGTCGGATGTCTCCCCTATTGTCCGGATACCTGGGAATAGTGGCACGCTCATCAAGCGAGCATTAGACACTGGAGCCCAGTGAGTTTCGCCTCTACATATAAACTCGGCAGAAAAGAGCACTCACATCCAAAAGTGGCATCGTGGTCCCCTCGATCAACACCGCGTCGGAAGCCCGGTCTGTGGTGCGCCTGGCCAAGTTTCCTCCGTTAGAGTATGTGGCCCGGGCCAATGGGACTCTGATCACGATGATTCAGGTCGAGACCAAAGCTGGAGTCGAATATGTCGACGAGATCAGCCAGGTAGAGGGTGTTGGTGAGTAACAACAGCCTTTAGGCAACCCCCTCGGTCTCTCCGGCCATGTTGGCATTGTTGACAAGACTGAAGACCTTCTGTTCATTGGACCAAATGATTTGTCACTGGATATATTGGGCTACACGCCTGCCAAGTTCACCGAGACGGCTTTTCTCGAAGCGATCGACAAGGTCGTCGAAACCGCCCACAAACATGGCAAAAAGGTCGGCATTCTGGTTGTCGACGGAGAGGCAGCCAAGAAGGCGAAGGAACGGTTCGACATGGTCTTGGTGAGCAATGACGTGAGGTCGCTGCAAGCATGGTATGGGAACGAGTTGGAAATTGCACGGTCTTGACATAGCTAGACGCCCGTGAGTGATGCATACATAAGCGATACTGGTACCCTCACTGGTGGGTTTCGATGCTACGGGATACTATCGTACCATGTCCTATTGTATTTGGTCGCAATGCCTTTCCAAAACTACCGCAGCGTCAGTAGAACAGGACTTTCCGCTCGCTGAGTCATAGTTTAAGCCTGATTCCGGTTCCTTAGCCCCGAAGAATTTTCAACTGTGTCTAACAATCCATGGCTATCACCCTACTCTATCTCTGGGCGGTTTGCCATCTATCAGTTCCTTCATATGGTCAACCATGCTCATACAGGTTGCAATCTGGACCTCGGCAGGCGAGCCGCCTATATGAGGACTCATAACTAAGTTCTCTAAATCCAGAATATCTCCATAAACTTCCTTTGTCGGTGGTTCGCTCATCCAAGCGTCTACACCAGCAGACGCAATGACCCCTTCTCTCAAAGCTTGCCACAGGTCATCCTCTTTCACAACTCCTCCTCGTGCTACATTGATGAGAATGGCGGTGGGCTTCATCTTTTCCAGCACCGCCAACGTGATCATGTTGCGGGTTGCTGGCAGAAGTGGCACATGCAGAGACATCACGTCGACCAGAGGTGCCATTGCCTCCACTGAAGGTACCCGTACGTGAGGGATCGAATCCCAGTCTGAGCCGCTTTCCGGAATATAGGGATCATACCTGGCAGTCAGCAAGATTTAGGTTGGGGCACATGAACGATTTCGTACAAAATAATCTTCCCTTCAAAAGCACCGATGCTGTGGCCGTGTCAGCAATGCGCCTGTTGTCACGGCCCTCGATTGTGGAGAAACGAACTATTTCTTTGCCGTGAGTTGTCCGATGCGACCACCGCCGACAATTCCAAAAGACTTTCCCGTTAGTAAACTAGCCGAGTAGAGGCTCTTGAATCGTTTGTTTAGCTGTTCGCCAGCTCTGATCTGTCTTGATACTTGAACGAGATTCTTCGCACATGCGCCCGTCAATGCGAGGGCCAACTCGGCAACGCTCATAGCCTTTCCGTGGTGAGCATAGCCTATAAACTTCTAGGGGACTGGGACACCTACGCTGATTCCTGGAAGGTTACATAGCACTATGCCTTTCTCCTTGCAAGCGCCTGCGTCGATATTGTCGTATCCGGTACCATGCCGGACAATAAACTTGAGCTTCTTCGTGCTGTGGATTATGTCTGCCGTCACTTGACTCTTCGCAACAAAGAGTCCGACAGCATGTTCAGGCCAAGTCTTATGCAGAGGGTGGCCAGCTTCGACTACGTCTGGAAAGATCTCACGCATGTATCTGGAACCCACTTGGTCAAAGGCATCGAGGGCGACAACTCCAGACATTTTGACTTCAAATTGTTGCAATGGACGTAAAGCCCATAGACACGCACCTGAAAGAGAATGGTAGGAAACAACAGGGCCTAGAAATTGCAGAGAAGCCTCGCCTAGGCTTGATGTGTTGTTGTTCTCCTTTTCAACTCGTTCAGATCGAAGAAGACTAAAGACAGCAGACAACATAAACCCAAGAGGCTACAGTAGGTACCTTCAGCGGAAATGGTGTCCCGCGGGCCGAGCATACCGAAGCATTCGACCATGGGCTGGAAGGAACCTCCTGCAAATGTTTATTGGTCCTTGGACACAAACGAAGATGCCAGTCTCGTCGAGCCTTTGGAGCCCGTGCAGACCTTACCTGGTGATTACTAGCAACTGACCAATTGACCCGTCGAATTGTCAAGAATCTGCCAAGGATTTGGTTAGGCACTCCGAGGCCGCTTTTTTCCGCAGGACGACGACAACGAAGCTCCTTCGTATGACACCCAAGACTCGGGACGACCTCAGATGAGAGCCCTTGGTCTTTGAACTGCTCATGGCTGACTCAACACATGAAGAAGGGAGAACTCCGAGGCCAAGAGCCTTCAATGCGTAAATATGCTGCAATTCCGTATGATCCTGCCCGGTGCTCACGCAAACAGGTGCCGAAGATGTCGGCAGCGAAAAGTGAGATGCATGGGACCAGCCCCGTGCCAAAATTGCAGCAGACGTGGACAACCCTGTGTATTTGACGATCCAGAAAGAAAGGTGGTTGTCTCCGAGAGGTGGGTGATTTGTTCCTGTGAAATCACCTCGGCCTGCCGACTGACGTCTGGTCCTTGCAAGGCGGTTCCGTGACCTTCAACGGCGAGCAAGAGCCTCTCATAGCTTTTCACCTCGCCGAGAGCCTCCAGTCTCACCTCATCTCTCGACGGAGAGAAACGAAATCGAGCGGATCGACTCGCCGGTTGCTGCAACAGTACCGGCACCTGAAGCCACCGCCGATCAAGGCCAACCCTACAGTTTCCAGAGCAGCGCTTCACTGGCGGTATCCTATGACAGCATCCCGAATGCTCAGAGTACTAAGATCTCAGATGTGTCGACACAATCAATCTGTATGGCGGACCCCATTAGCTTGGAGCTCATCTGACCAAGAAGTGCAACCTCCACAGGCATCTGTCTGGGCTTTCAGCTATGACGTGCGTCAAATGTTGGGCCAAGCCTCAAGGGAATATTCAGGCCCTGGCGAGCAGTGTAGAGTGACCTATACTATCTCGATACCCGACGATACCTCCACGAGTCTCTTTATACCACCAAAAGCCCATGTTAGCCACCTAGCACAGATTACCGATTTTCATCTGAATGCAAACCATTATTTTTTCGACTACTCAACCCTTGACGAGCAATGGGGTCGAGCTTCGTCTCAAGCTGCGCAAAGTCGCCCTAATATATGGCATGTCAAAATCTTAATGATCATTGCGTTTGGGAAACTTTTCCTCGAAAAGGGAGGAACCCATCATGGTCCACCCGGAATTCAGGAGTTTCTTCAGTGCGTCAAGACCATCTCGACAGTCACCAGCATCTCTCAAGATCCGTTGCCGACCATGGAAACGCTTTGCCTCATGGCATACTATGCTCAGGCAGCGGATATGCACACCGCAGCGAACCTATATGTGAGTGTCTTGTTAAAGCGGCGAACGCAACAGACTGCTTACGACAATCAGATAGGTCAAGCATCCAGACTAGCCCGCAGCTTCAGGCTCGACCAGACTTTGTCAGGGCCTCGAGACACCAGCAATTCCGTGGCTTTCTCTCACCTTCGCCTGCAAAAGCTGTGGTGGAACATATGTGTGCTTGACCAAAGGCTGGCGGCCACCATTGATGCAACTCCCGATGTATGCTTCGACAAACAACTCAATCAGGTTGGGTTAGACAAAACTCATGAGTCTAGCTCTGATTTCGGATTACGAGCAACCCTCTCGATCGCCACGGTCTTAATGAGAGTGACAGCCGGTATTGGCCTCTGGGCGAACCTGAAATGCGCCGTGCTGATTTGGTGGACAGTGATCTCCAGCTATCGTGGCAAGAATATAGATATGGTGCTGGTGAAGACAGTATCTCAACAATTTGCTTTTCTGTCCCGTGTGGGAAAGAGAATCAATGCCACGGAACCTCTTTGCTACGGCCAATCCCTAACGACGATTTCCAGGTCAGCAGCGAGCTTGTACCTGTCGTATTGCCATGTGGGTGCCTCGTTTAGTCTTGCGAGTTGCAAGGTCAAGGCTAATTATTCTCAAAGTGCATTATGGTCGCCACCAAACCATTCCTTCTACAACTCGCTAAGGGTTCGGGCTCTGATGAGGCCACGAGTCTGGCCACCTCAGACATAGGCTTACCCCCGGAGCTTACAATACCCATGGTGAAGGCTTCCATCCACGCAGCTGTTATCAGCCTCAGCATCATCTCTGCCCTCCGAGAACAGAGCATTCTAGGTGTGTATTATGGATGGTGCTAATACTATGCCCTGGTTCTGACGTCGCATAGAAAACTTCATGTTCATGGATGGCGAGATTACTTTTTTAGCAGCCTTGTCGCTCCTGCTTGCCAACATGGTCCTCCCGAACAGTACAGCCTCGTCGTTCTTGGATCTCGCAAAAGGAATTCTCCAGGAAATGGGCGACAAAGGCAACTTGCCAGTGGCGGCACTCAAAGACGAACTGCACGACATTTGCGAGCTTGCCGCCACCGCTTGCGCCTCTAATACTAACCTAGGGATTTCTTTTCAGCAGTTTGCCAGGCCACTTAGCGTCATATCTGATGCGGAGACGCTCAACAACGCCATTCTGATTGTGCTCGAGGCTATGGAATGCAGTCTCGATTCACCCAGTGATGCTCATGAGTCGCATGTTCCAAACCATGCACTGGCTGGCCAGGACAGACGCCCACCAGTCCAACAATTGTCAGATTCGCAACCAGCCTTCAATCCATTAATACCTGCGACATTACCATCCCATGACAGTTTGGTGGCATCGCAATCGACTGAGCTCTACCTCGATCAGGTCCACCTTCAAGGAGTGGACAGCCAATTCGACTCCAGCATGGTCGACATCGACTGGTTAGACTTTGTTTGATTCAATATCAACAAGCGACAATATTTTATAATTTATTTGCGCTTCTACCCGCTACACTCGATAGGGTTTCATGAATCATTGCGGAGACCAGTTCTACCGACCTTGAACTTTCCGCGCCTTCGGCTGTGGGACTCCGTGCGTATGGAGCAACCAATTATCTCGCCAACACACTTCGGAGACGTCCTTCCGAGCCTCGACTCAATTTCCACTGAGTCGTTTCTCCCCGCTGCTTCATAACAACATTGTTCATTCTGATCCATCCTCTCATCGAACACACCTTAGCCAAACAACACTACACGTGCGCAGAATTGACCCCAATAGCCATCCTGCTCAACGTACTCTTCGGATGTTGACTACGACTGACTAGCAACAAATAAAACGGCATCCGTCCTGTTACTGTCATCAAATCTTGTCCCGCGCTATACGTGATGCCTCGCAACAACTTTCTCGAGGTCGTATCCCAAGGTCGAGTGTGCACTGTAAGATGAATGACGAGGCTGGAGGAGGACACAAGTCGCATCGCTGATTGATGATTCTAGGCTCTAGGAATCAAAGTCATCAACAGCAACGAGGTGATTTCTCTCGCAAAGTCGGCCGGCTACGACACAATCTTTATCGATCTCGAGCATTCTGTCTTCACCGAGAGGGACTCAAGTCGCTTATGTTCGGCAGCACTTCTGGGAGGCATCACTCCGTTTGTACGGGTGCCGTATGAGTGCGGCCACGGCTACATCCAAAGGGTGCTCGACGGAGGAGCCATGGGAATTGTTTTCCCACACATAAGTTCCGCTGGTATGTATGGACATGCCTCCCGTGCCTCTGGTCAGGCCTATAGAATGTAAGCCGACTGACGGATACCACTCAGATGAGGCAAGAAGAGCAGTATCATCCACCAAATTCCCGCCTCGGGGTAAACGGAGTCTGACGGCGGCACTGCCGCACTTCGACTTCCAGCGAATTGCCGCGTCCGAGGTGGTCCAGCAGCTCGACAACACCGGCTCCACCGTCTTGATATTGGTCGAAACACGCGAGTGTCTCGAGAACATCGACGCCGTCGCCGCGGTGGACGGCGTGGACGTCTTGCTCGTCGGCGCGAACGATCTGTCCCTGGAACTTGGAGTGCTCGGCGAGTGGGAGCACCCAACGTTCCAAATGGCCCTGGAGAAAGTCGCCGCCGCCGCGAACAGGGCCCACAAGGTCTTCGGCATCTGTGGTCTCTACACCCGGCCGGATATCTATAAGCGCATCGCCAGAGAAATGGGCGCCAGGTACGTCCTCGGCAATTTCGACATCGGCCTGCTGGCCGTGGCCATGAACAAGAACGTCGAGTTGCTCCGAGAGGTGGGCGCCGGCCTCTGAGCGGTTTCAATCGATTTGTTCTCCTATGGTGATGCGGCAATGATGCCTGCCAGGATTGCTTTTGAGACGACTACAAGACGTAAGTTGCATAGATATTCAATCTCTGCCATGCCATCCCTGTTGCTGTTGCCAGCTCTGACAATCAAGACCTGACAGACTCAGTTCGTGTCGGCGCTGTGCGAGTCGACCCAGTCATAAGTCCCGACGAGCCTATTTCATGTTATATACACATCAGCAGGACCACTACCACCACCTTTCGATTCGTACTCGGCCAGGCTCAGACCGCCGAGAAGTCTGTCACGTGGAAGGTTGGAAGTGGTGAGTTGGAAGTTGGAAGCCATGATGGAACTTGTATGGGCCCATCAATCTCTTGCGCTTCGTTCCTTCTGCTGATGGCTCGTCCAAAGCCCGCTAGCATCCTTCACTTGCAACATGCCGACGAGCTGGATATCTTCTCGTGCGCTGAATCCCTTGTGCACTCGGATTCCCGAACCCAGCCTGCCTGACTTGGTTCTCTAAGACAAGCACATTCCGAAGATCTCCGACACCTTTATGACATGACTGCTTTAAATCGTCGTTGGACAGGTCAGCATTATGATCAACTCGGGATATCTCCGTCAACCATTGAGTCAAGAACTGTGTACATACCCTCGGTCGGTAGAAGGTAAAAGCGCTGCGTCATGTATCTGACTTTGGAAGCCAAATCGCACCCGATTTCAGACAAGTACGGAGATGGAGCACTGTACTTCGCCATGCTGTCTGGGGCGTGCTGCCCGTCCTCTATGTCTGGCTCGGCAAATCCTCCAGAGTGAGGAATGGACCACTTGGGGGGGCTAGGCCCGTGACTCCGAGGGTGGAATTTTGTTCGTTAGAGGTAGCGGTGTTAGGGATCAGCCGGCTAGTCATCGTGAAGCACAATCGGGGAGTTTGGACAAATACGTTATTATGTACCCTACACGTATGTGTACGACGAAAGGGGATCTTTATAACTCACCTTAGCTGGTTCCCAGGTACCTGGTAAATACTAGTACTTGCGGTAGTCGTCGCGATAGGATTGCCATTATTCTTGCGGTGGCCCTCACCATCGCACTGCCTATCTGTCCTGTCAATGGGAGCGCCAATACGCGACACACCCTGGCGTGCCTGGCACCCAGCCTTGCAACTGTTGGTAAGTACATCCCTAAGCTAAGCCTAGTGCAGCCCAACTACCTAGGTACACGGACAAATGCCGCAAAGCAATAATACGAGCCCTTCTCGGCGGGAATACGAGCAGGACTTTAGCTTTTCTACGGCGGTCCCCCGTACCGATAGTACGCACCAAAGCCTTTCTACTGTGGGTGAAGCGCGTCCTGGGCATTACTCCGCCGCCGCGCAGACTTTCCTGAACTATTACGAGCATGAACATGTCAAAATCGTCCATTTGCTTGGATGACCGGCTTTTCTCCAAGCCTTGTGATCAAACAAATCCCTTACCTTTTTCGAGCCAGCCAACCTACCAGTGGTTCGTGGCTTGCCTTGCACCCGCGCTCGAGGCCGCTTGTACTACGTATTGGGCATTATCAAACAAGGAGCTTTCCTCACCACACCACCGGATTCGCCACGGGCCCCAAACGCTCGCGATGACAGCCAAGGCCTCTCCTACTGGTTAGGCTGGATGGAGTGTGGCTGGAAGGATTCGTTCAGGAGGGTTTGTCTTGGAGATGTGTTTCCGAACCGTTTCATCCACCCTCACCACCTTTACGAGCCACAGGAGAGAAGCCGGCCAAGCGAGCCATCCCCAAGCTCGCCTCTTGTCGCAAGCGGTTTCCGGAAAATGCGCGGCACAGCCTCAATAATAGCTCCAGTATCACCACACCTTATGGGCTAGACTGTCTACCCCCTTCACTCCCCTTGACCTGATCAATTCCTTGGCTGAATAGATTGCTCAAACGTGGTCAGTCTCGGATCGTGACGAAAACGGTCTACGCGAGATCTCACGCTGCTGGATTCGCAGATGCCCGCCATGACCAGGTGTGACAGGTCTACTATGCACGAACTATGGGTACGGGGTCAGACATTTGGCGTTTTGGCCTAATTTTGGCACAACATAGGATCCTTCCATTGAGCATTCTCCCCCTTTTTGGAGGTTCGTATAAATGCGAGAAACTCCACGGCCGTTGAGACGGGCCTTCCATTCAGAAATCATTTCTCACGGCAAAAGGCACGCAGCATACTTCTTCATTCTTGAACCCTGGTGGTCTATACTTCGTACTCTGTACATTCCCCAAGCTTTCACATACCAGCCTATTCCCCTATTCTTAATCAAAAGAAAACAAGACAACACACGGACACACCACCACCAAAAATGCATTCAGCACTCACATCAACAACATTTCTCCTCGCAGCCCTGACCACCTCGGTCCTCGCCTCGCCCCAATATGGTGACGATTCCAGCTCCTCCACAATGTCCATGGACATGTCCTCGTCGACCATGACTGCTTCCGGGTCCTCGGCGACCGGCGTGCACAGCGTCCAAGTCGGTCCCGGGCTCAGCTTCACGCCGGATAGCGTCAAGGCCGCCGTCGGCGACTGGGTGGAATTCACCTTCGGCTCGGGCCACTCGGTTGCGTCGAGCACCTTCGGCGCACCCTGCATGCCCATGGCCGACGGCTCCAGTGTCTACTCGGGCTTCCCGAATGACGGCGACGTCTGGCGCATCCAGATCAACAGCACCGATCCTCTCTGGCTGTACTGCTCCGCCACGGGCCACTGTGAAGGCGGCATGGCTATGGTCGTCAACCCTCCGTAAGTCGATTCCCTTCCAACTATCCGATTCCTCCAAACTTGGGGACACGAGAGATAATGTGGCTGACCTCTTTTTGTTTTCTGTGTCTAGATCAAGTGACAAGACCCTCGACGCGTACAAGTCGGCCGCCCAGAATGCTCAGGGTTCTTCTCCTGCGACTGTGCAGGGTGGTGTCTTTGGCGCGGCCAGTGATAGTACTTCCGGCTCTTCCAGTTCCGGTTCTGGTTCGTCCGAAACCGCCAGCTCGACGGGCTCAAGTGCCAGTGCAACTTCGTCTTCGGACTCGGGCAACGGCGCTGGGTCCATTTCCGTCAAGAACGGTCTGATGCTCGCTGGGGCGATCGCTGCTGGTGTCGCTGCTATCTTGTAAATACTAGAAATCTAGTACCTATTCCTGTACTGCGAGGTGGATTGATATACAGTAAGTAGTATCATGAAGCCAGTCTGAGACTGGCGGTATGCAGCACGATAGATTTGGTCGCGAATGAATATCATTGTTGAAGACACCGTTTTACGGGTTTGGTTGAGTCTCACTCGATTCACTCATTGGTTTTAGTTTTCATGTCGCTCGATTCACCTGCCCGCTGGTTGTAGCTCGCGCAAGTTGATACACTTCCTCGCGAAGGTCGAGTCTGGAGCAAAAGCAGGACTCCTTACGAGTACCAAAAGCAACAACCATGCTTAGGTCACTAGGCTCATGTGGAGGGTGTGCCAGACACAATTACATTAGCCCACTCTCATGCAACGGAAGGTACTACTAGTGGTACCCAAGCGATACGACCAATAGTCTGCATCATTTTAATGTTTCGAGCATTTCAAATTTCGCATATTGATGGCAATAAGAAGTATTTTCCAACCACGAGCTGCTCCAGGCATCGAATTTCTCACTTCACTTACGGAGTACCGCGAACGAAGCTTTCTCCCTGCCACCAGCTGTAGCACCTGACCGAGGCTCATACAGCAGGCCCATGGCGGTCTCGCTTGGTGTGCAACTCCTCAATCGGTGCATCGACGTGGTAATCCATCGTCTCTCTCAAGTCGCCGAGAAACCAGCAGGCGATACAGGCGACCACTCCAAATGGCGCTCCGATGATGAAGACAACGCGAAGCGAGTCGGCAAAGGCCTGCTGTAAAGCACGTGCCCCTTGTGCAATGATTGTGGGACTGATGCCTGGAATATTTGCCAACGCCTCGGCGTCGTCACCTTCGCTCAGGGCTTGGATGAAAGCTGGAAGGGAGGTGGCGGGAAGTCCAGCAGCCGACGCCGCCTTTGCAATGTATTTGGGCAAGTAGTCCTTGAGGCGGGTGTTGAAGGCCGCTGCGTAGATGGCCGAGAAGACGGCACCGGCTACGGCCCGCGAAGAGGTGGTGCAAGCCGTGGCCGTGGCAATTAAGCTATGCGGTGTAGACAATTGAACACCCGTGACGACAAGAATGAGTGGAGCACCAAAGCCGATACCGGTGAGACAAGAGAAGGCGATGGCACTCGCGGGTTGGCCTGGTTGGATTGTGGCTAGTCCGATCAAGCCGACCGTGAGGAAAATAAAGCCGATCAGCAAGGGCTCTCGAATGGTCCGGAAGCGAGTACTGATGTATCCCCAGACAATCGTGGAGAAAATGGCTGGGATCCAGCATGCCTGTGAGCGAGCGACAATCAGGACGGGATCGGTCGTGAAGAGGATTTGTGAGCTGTTTCCTCGTCAGCAACGTCTTAAATGGGGTGAACGGAACGAGCACCGTACAGGACGGGGAAGAAGAGTGCATAGCTGAAGATCATGACGGCCTCTATGAATAGCAATGCGACACAGATGGCGAATGTTCGTCCCTTGTTACGCCCACCACGGAATAGATCATGGTTCAGGATGCCAGTCTTGGTACCCTTCCACTCATAGACGGCGAAAGTGATGAGCGTAACGAGGCCGATTATCATGGTCGATAGAGTGTGTGCGTTAGTCCAAGTGTATAGACTACCCCCAAGACTGAGCCCTACGATAAAGAGGGTCAATCCAGCAGTGAGAAGGAAGCTGCCGATCAGGTCGATATAGCCAAGCTTACGCCAGAAAGACAGATGGTCTAGTCTGGTATGTCGTGTTGGTGGACTGTAGCCCATGCAGAGCGCAATGGTGGTGGCGCCCCAGAGGGCAGCCTGGAACCACTGTTATAAGAACGAGTCAGCCTTGGACAGTACTTAAAGATTAGGCCATGCCCAACAACGTACGTAGAACAACCGCCAACCGGTATGTGTGTTGCGTTTTGTCAGAGCACCGATGGTGAAAGGGCCCGCAACAGTCGCAAGAAGGGCCGCAATGTTGACCCCGGCTTGCGCCACTAAAAGAAAAAAGGGCGCTTGTCAGAATTTTCCTGTCGCATGTGTAGATGCAATAAGTTCGTTAGATTCGTTGCTTACATGGTCGCCATCTGCGGGGCAGGATCTCGCTGGGCACGGCGTAAGCTATGGGTACTGATGCGAAGCCGACGCCGATCAGGACATTGGCACCGATAAGTCGGTTGATGGTGCTGGAGCCCGGAGCGATGCAAGCCCCAACAAAGGATATGGCGCAGGAACCGACAAGCAATGGCTTGCGGGCTTGAAAGGTGTCTGAAGCTGTGGAGAGGAGTGGTCCCAGGACTCCTTGCACCAGGGAAAGAACGACAACCACCCAGGCTTGAGTTTCCGTGTTGTGGAGATCGGTTCCAATGTAGGTCAGCTGAGGAAGAATCAAGTTCTCAGCCATGATCATCTGGAAAATGGATGGCAGCCTTTGTGGTGGTTTTCAAAGTCAACATGGTGCAGTAATACTTACAACAGAAGATGGTCCTTGCAGAGCCACCACCTGGGTGAAGTTCAACAAGAAAAAGGCTGCGAGAGCGATCCAGGTGCGCGCGTGCAGCTCCGGTTCCAGCTCCTGTTCGTCGAAGGTGAGATTTTGAGAGGACAGATCAATATGCTCCGCCTCCTGTAACTCATATTTGCCGTTGTCTTTCGTATTGAGATCTGTGGCCGGCTGAACCGTAGGATGGTCCATGTCACTCATAACTGGCAGTGGTGGTTCGTCGCAGGTTTCTGATATGGACGAGGTCTGAGGTCTTGCGACCTTATGGCTGCGGAGGAAATTGGATCACTGCTAGTACTTAACGGCACCCTGGCTGGAAAGGGTAGATCCCGCTACGGAATTCGACACGATGAGCATTCTGGAGAGAGGGATAGCATCCAATAGATAACTCCGCATAATATACCTTGTGGGTAGTCGTTGCTCGTAACCCCGTGGGGACAAACTTGGGCTGATGAGGTCCAGACAGACCTGATCGTAATGGCCACCCTCGGGTTATCCGCCGGCACTCGAGAAGCCGCCGGCTGCTTGATTAACAATCGTCCGTCCGACATCTCGACCGCTGACCAACAACTCCGCGTCAGACGACAGGTCCGGCCGAGAAGGCCAGTGATGTCGCAGGTCGAAGGCAAGTATTTAGACCCATTGTAGATTGGGTCAAGCCTCGTCGGTGTGTCATCTTTCGGCAAAGGACGTGATCGAGGTCTCATCCAGCAATAACATGGCTACCAATATCGGCGGCATCGGAGTCCTGTTCAAAGAAGCAAACCGTGACTTCAGTAAGCGATGGTGCCAATTTGGCCCATGCAAAGAGACACTTCCCAAAGGATGGCAGAAAGCAGAAGGACGACGGGCGTTGGACGAAGATTTGATCTTCGAGAGAGATGTTCCCCTCACTCTGCGAGACGGTGTCACAATCTGGGCAGATGTTTTCCGACCGGTCACCTCGGACCATCAGCCTGTGCCGGCCATCTTCGCATGGAGCCCTTATGGAAAGCAAGGCAATGGTACGTCCCTCCCAACCGCTCTCTGCTCCTCGGCGCGCGCTAAGTCATTCCTGTCCTCCAGGCTTTCAGAGCCTTGATAGGATCCCCTGGCGCGCCGGGATCCCCAGAGATTGGACCAGTGATCTCGAAAAATTCGAGGCTTTGGATCCGGCGGAATGGTGTCCTCGGGGCTATGCGATTGTCAATGTGGATTCCCGTGGCGTCTTTGATTCTGACGGAGACATGTACATGCTGGGAACGCAAGTGAGCATGGTCCTTCAGATCTGAGCACAACCCGTTGTGGGCTTAACAAGCTGACCTGAACAACGTACTTCGATCTAGGAGGGCCGTGATGGATATGATGCCGTCGAGTGCATCGCTGCTCAGCACTGGTGCAACGGAGCTGTCGCTTTTGCAGGCAACTCATACCTGGCTGCCGCTCAGTGGTATGTGCAAAGAGAAGGCCGATCTCCTGACTCTTTCCGGCCGACAGGGACTATTAATAATCCGTCTTGCAGGTTTATTGCTGCGGAGCGCCCTCCTCACTTGAAAGCCATTGCCCCCTGGGAGGGCTTTGCAAATTTTTATCATGAACTGCTCGGTAGAGGTGGCATTCCAAACCCTGCCTTTGTTGATTACCGTGGTAGCGGCTACTGTGGTGCGACTGATCCATTTTCTTCTGTCTCATACAAATTGCTGAAACCTCTCAAACTTCATAGGCAAGAACCGACAGGAAGATACAGGTGCCATGATCCGTCGATATCCGCTTTGGAACCAATACTGGGACGACAAGAGTGCCAAATTTGACCAGATCGACGTCCCGGTTTACGCTGTGGCGAGCTTCTCGACCATGCTACACACCGAGGGCACGATAAGAGGGTTCTTGTTCTCGTCATCAAAAGACAAGTGGTCCGTTGTTTTTCGGGCCTCGTGAGATCTGAACAGACTTTGCTGACTTGAAGGGGAATAGGTTACGGATTATCCACACCCAGGAGTGGCATGACATATACCAGAAATGGGCGAACGATGACCTGCAAAAGTTCTTCGATCGATACCTTTACGGAAAGGCCAGTGGCTGGGAGTCGACGCCCAAAGTACGCCACTGTTTACTCGGGTTTAACCGTAATTGTATCGTGAATAGGCCCGAGCCTGTATATCCACCCAGCTATGTTCAGCATCGGAGGTTCTTCTTGAACTGCCAGACCGCAACGCTGATTGAAGGAAGAGCTCCAGGCGAGGTCTCTTCGGTCGGCTACCAATCCGACTCCTGGGATGACGACGGGGTGCACTTCCGTCACAGATTCAGCGCCTATACCGAACTGATCGGGTTTTCCCAGGTCAAATTGTACATGTCTTGTGCCGAAACCGATGACCTAGATGTCTATGTCATTCTGCGTAAGCTCGATACAGACGGCCAGCCATTGCTGCAGATGAACATTCCGCTCGAGAGTCTCCCACCAGGGACTGCGTCTTCAGACGTTCCAGACCTGAACATTTTCAAATACGTGGGCCCCAATGGCAGACTTCGAGCTTCCCACCGGCGGCTGAGCGCTGATCCGACCCTGTCCAAGGAGCAAAGCTCGATGCTTGCTCCTGCTTTGGCCTGGCATTCTCACGAAGTAGAGGAAAAGATTCCGCCGGGTCAGACCGTTTGCCTTGACATCCCATTATGGCCGTCTGGCATCATTTTCGAACGCGGGGAGTCCATCCGGCTGGAGATAAAAGGACACGAGGTGACACTGCCAGAATTTCCTGCATTGGATCGCGTCCCAACAAACCTCAACCGCGGGAAGCATGTCGTCCACTCGGGGCCCGAATATCCATCCTCGATAGTGCTTTCTCTAGCATCTGGGGGCTCAGCGAAGTAGGAAATAGGCAGCATTAAGCCACAGCTTGATAGTGGCGCAAGCAACAGGAGGACAAGGTGTTCGCCAGGCAGAGTGGGCATGCCCTGGAAATAAATAAGTCTGAGAATATGTAGCGAATGCTATACTCCTTCCGTCCCAAGCTAGGTGCCAAGAGTGTTAAGCTCATGAGCCCACTCTGTCCAGAACAAAGACTGCTGGCCGTCATCGACAGGATATGCGTTGAGCCAGTCAAGGTCGTCCATAGTCTCAGCTACATCATTGACCATCCCCTGAGGCTGTAACAGGCTATCAAGGTTGTCCAGTTCTCTTTGCTGTTCCAAATCGATGGCAGGATGCAGGGCGCCACTCAGGTCTGCAATGTGGGACGCCGAGGGCTGCCGTCCATCCAAGGCCGGCTGGGGTACTTTTCTAGCTCGAGCGAGTGTCCGCTTGATGATGGCAGTAGCATTTCTGGCAACCAGACACTCATCCATGGCTTGGAGTACTACGATCGCACGGTCAATGTGGGCAAAGAGTTTCTCGAGTGCTTGTTGGGTTCTCGCAAGCTGGTGAAAGATCGCGGCGAGCAGTATGCTGACGGCAAACAAGGTATACGTTGAGTTATACCACCTGAAAGGTTCAGCAAGTGTCAGTTGCTGGTTTTAAAGGCAAGGCATTGATTCCTTAATGGGAGTATTCAGTCAGGTAGAGTGCGTACCATGTCTGGAAGAACTCATCGGTCCGAAATGTTTCATATATTAAGTCAATCGTACTTTCTGCAGTCTGCAGACACCGGCACTGCCGGTCTCGAATCAACCTGGCCTCGTCTGGCCTGATTTCCGTATGAGTCATAAAGACGGCATGGATTATCATGCGAAGGTTGAGGTAGCCTGGAGGGTTGTCAGAATGGATGATCGGAAGTGAGTTGTGCCCAATGCTTACGAAGTCGTAGCACGACTGATTGTTTTTTGATATAGCTGGCGGAGCGATTTGGTTTCAAGGGATGATTAGAGCGACTTTGTTGCTCGGATCGAAGATACAGGGGAACTTGTTCCAGCCAATACTCCAGGTCAGCGTCGAGCGCGTTTGCTCGGTGGAGCTTTTGTTCCATTTCGTACGGCACGGTGTACAAATCGAGGGCCACTTTCCGCATGATCCGTGACAGGTCAACCATGCACGGAACAATCTGTAAGACATGAGGGCTCGAGACTGACTCCCCTGAAATTGCCGTAGGAAGACACTGTGTATGGTATTGGTCTGGACCAAGGCTGTCAGGCCTTCCCAGGGCGAAGCTGGTCTGTCTATATGTTTCTCAGTGCTGCCCTTCCTGAGATATAACTCAACATACATATCAAGGCAGTAAACAGCCCTGCTAAGGCTTAGTAACATCGTCATAATCGAGACAAAGACCTAAGATATCTTACCACCACGTTTTTGATGCTGCCGCTGAAGCCTTTGGGTCAGCTGAATCTGGACTGATGGGTATTCGATTGAGACCGATTGCCAATGAGGTCCTTGCGGCTTGGCCGGAATATAAGTATGCGACTAGGAAAGCTGTTAGCGAGGACGACAAGGGCAAGTCAAAATCGGCATACCGTGAGGATTAAGCTCGTGCTGACATATTTTGCTCTTCAGCCAACCACCGTCAGTGCTCCGGGTCAAGTGCGGTTTCTGGAATGGCATACCATCATGTAGAAACACTGGACCATCTCCACGTCCGTTGCTATGCCGAGTCGTGTCAGTATAGCAGAAGCCTCATTGAACAATTTGCGACTCCATGTAAACCGATCTGCTCCAAACAACTTCGGGTCTTCGAAGGTCATGACGAGGCTGCCTAGGCTCAACGTGGCATAGTAAAGAGCGACAAAGGACAACGGTTGTTTCGCTGGTTTGTTGAACCACAAATCTTCGCAACGAGCGAGGAACTCATCTTCTTCAAACAAAGGCTGGATATGATGAATATTGGAGAAGTAGGCGTCCAGGAATCGCCTTGCCACGCGGAATTGGAAGCGGTCGGGATTTGGGACTGCTTCTTGTGTTGCAGGCGTACTCTGGGAAGTGTTGGGCTGGAAATCGGTGTTGTGCAAAAGTGAAGCCAGTGATCGTTCGGGTTCTTCACCGGCAGGACCCGTGGCTTGACGATTCGACAAAGTTTCCAGGTGGCGGATAAATGCGACAGATGAGGACGACCCATAGAATTCCAGGTTACTTGTGTGTAGATTGGTGTCGATCACGTCAGACGCGGCCTTACGAGATGTGATCGTCGATGGGCTACAGCTGTTCTCATCCGCGGCAGCTGGGGCGCATGCCGCATCTTGCTGCTTATCTGGACCAGCGACGATGCCCTGTGGTTGCTGAAAAGTGCGTCCGTGGTAGGTTATCGATTGGTTGACGTTATTGGGCCAGGACTCAATGCCGCCCTCAGCTATGCCCGCTATGAGCCGTTGAGCAAGGCGTGGAGTATCTATGCTCGTGATTTGTTGTTCGTTCTGTGAATCTGGCCTTTGCAGGAAGATCAGTAGGGCATATAGCTCGAGGAAAGAGCACTTGCTGTGGTCTCGGTCTCTTGTCACGGTGACTGCGCGAATAAGTGCACTCCAGATCATGCTCTGCTCGATTGAGTAAGCCACATGAAGTGGTGCAGATACCTTACAGAGCTTACCAACACAATAAGTGCATGGTCGGTCTTCGCTGCAGCGGTTTTTTCTGGTACGGCACACTTCGCATGCCTGAAGTGCTCTCGGCCGTTTTGGTCTTCCGGCTTTTTGCATCCTTGAGTCCATTAACCTCGGAGCGTAAGTACGGGAGGCGAATCGCTCGTATCGTATCCTGGGATCTGGACGATTGAGTCGGCAGTAACAGACATTTCATGCCAGCTACTGCGGCCGGGAAACAGAGGATTTAAGGGTGGAACAGTACTGCGGAGAGAGAGTTGAGTGGGAGAGAGAGATATTGGATCTAGCTAAATCAGCAAGTGCCTAGGTGAGTCCTTTCGCTGCCCAACACTCCATTCAGCCGCTCGATTTGTAAGCCAAAGCCCACTCTAATATGCAGTCATGGCTACATGGCTCCTTTCATCAGTGATCCAACTACGCCCCATTTGTCGTCCTAGGCGGCTTGAACTGATCTCGAAGTCCTCCCCAACTTTCCTCGGGATACTGGGACTGCAGTTTGGAGCATTTTGTCAGTCCCCAGTCAGTGATCCCAACCATGTAACAACTCTCGAACATGAACGCCATGCTCCCTACCCCCGCTTTGACAGGCACCAGCTCCTCGTTGGAGGCTTTATCAAATGCTGCAGCATCTGGGCCGTGGCTACTCATGCAGTTATGAAGGCTCGCCCCAGCTGCCTGGAAGCCCCCTTTGCCGCCCTCCTTGGCGATATAAGAACCTTGAATCAGGCCCATGAACTCGCTCATGCAATTACGGTGGTAAGAAGGAGGCCTAAATGTGTCCTCAGCCACGAGCCAGCGAGGCGGGAATATGACAAAGTCTGCGATGGCGGTTCCGGGATGTGCGTTAGAGGTGGCAGTGAGAACAGTATTCAGTGATGGGTCTGGGTGATCGTACGAAATGGTACCGATCGTGTTGAAGCGACCCAGATCGTACTTGTAAGGGTAATATCTCCCTTCCCAAGCAACTACATCAAACGGCGTATGATTTTGGCTAGCAGAGAAGAGCTGCGCCCGAAATTTGTTGTACATCGTCCACGTCGAGTTAGAATCGTGAGTGAATGCGGCGACGGGGATCTGGAAATCTCGGGCGTTTGCTAAGCAGTTCGAACCTATTGGTCCAAGTTCGGGAAGCTGAAAGTGGCCGTTGTAGATCTCCAGCACGTAACCCCTGATGTGCTGGCCGTCGACAAGATCAACCCGGTATCTAATACCACGGGGCAAGACACAAATCTCGCCCGGGCGAACGAGTAGCCGGCCCATCTCCGAACAGATGTCGAGCGCCCCCAGCTGCGGCACAACAAGCATGTCGCCGTCAGCATCATAAAAGGCAGTCTTTTCAGCCATTGACCGGGTAGCGCCATAGATATAGTAAGCGACGCCATTCTTGAGAGCAGGATCTCCCGACCCCGCGACCATATTCAAGCCTTGGACCCAGTCGACATCGGGGTTTACATCAAAAGGATCCCATCGGAGTTGGTCGGGAATGTAGTTGAACTTTGCTTCCAGTCTGCTGTCAGAAGGTAGAGCCTCAAATGCGGCGTGGGATGCTGATGGAATTATGCGATACACCCATGTCTGCTGATTCTCCCAACGCGGTGCCGTGAATGCAGTGCCCGAGATCTTCTCTGCGTAAAGGCCATAGGGACATTTTTGAGGCGAATTCTGCCCGATTGGCAATGCTCCTGGGATGGCCTCCGTTCTGGTCTCAGATTTAGCCCCGTTGCATTGATATCAACTATCATCACTCACTCCAAATTGGCAAGGAAACCAGTCTGGTACGCATATTTCTCTGGTATCTCGAATTTTGTAAAGGGCATCTTGAATGATCAACAGTCTGGCGCGGCGAAGTACTTGCTGTGCGTCGACTCAGTAGAAAGTCCCTCCGCTTTGTTCAGAATTGCTGGAAGCAATACAAAGAGCCCAAGTACACAAGGGCCGACCTGACCGAGGTGTCAATCTTTGTCATCTCCAAGCAGTGAGAGGTTCTTGACTATTTTCCCCACGTCCCATCGAAAGGGATTCGGTAAACTCCTGGGAGAGTGACCCCTCGATAACATCCGCCGGGAAACCCGATGATGCCCGCTTGTACCCGGTTCGATGAAAGCAGTATGCTCATCGACAGGATAGAAGCTGGCCATCGTCCGTCCCCCAAATCAATGCATGGCGACATGACATTCAGAAAGAGCAAATGGGAAGGATGGCGTCTGGCAGCTGGTTGAGCATACCGAAAGGGTCGCACTTCTCGTTGGCAAATATACCCTTTGGAATCATTACAACTCCACCTTCCATCGAGAAGCATGCGGCAATTGCTATCGGAGACCATGTCTTGGACCTGCATGAGTTTGCCAATCACAAGGGGTTCGCAGAGCTTCAGGATTTCCCTGCTGCTCATCTCGCAACCTTCTCGCAGCCTTCGCTGAACGATTTTGCTGCACTTGGCCAGGATGTTCATGCCAGGGTTCGCCAGTACCTCCAGGAAGTTTTTACTGCGGAAAGCGCATTCCCTGGCGTTTTGAAAAATAATAATGAAGCCCAATGCGCGAGTCTCTTTAGGAACGATCAAATCGAACTGCACCTGCCTATGAAGATTGGAGGCTATACCGATTTCTTCGCAGGCAAGCATCACGCACACAATTGTGGTTGCATATTCAGAGACCCTGCAAGGGCTTTGCAGCCAAACTATCTCCAACTCCCAGTCGCCTATAACTCACGAGCTTCATCGGTCGTGCTTTCAGGCACGCATATACACCGACCACTGGGACAATTCTTGAGCACGCCGGGTACGGCCGAGTCCAGCTTTGGGCCCAGTCGCCGGCTCGACATTGAGCTTGAGCTGGGCGCGCTGCTATGTAAGGGCAACAAGCTCGGCGAGCCGATCAATGTCAATCATGCCGAGAACAATATCTTTGGCTTTGTCCTGCTGAACGATTGGTCGGCTCGGGACATACAAGCCTGGGAGGCAGTCCCCTTAGGCCCTTTCAATGCGAAAACTTTTGCAACAAGCATCAGTCCCTGGATTGTGCTCAAAGGTGCTCTCGAACCGTTTCTTACAATGGGGATATCGAACGAGACGAAGCTGCATCCATATTTGCGGGAAGTGCGCAAGAGCAATGTGTATGACATCAAGCTGGAAGTCGAGTTGAAAAGTAAGTTGAGCCGCTGGTCTCGTAGCTGTAGCTCCATTGCTGACGGGCTCGCTCCAGCATCCAGCGGTGAAACGGCCCCTTTGTCGCGCACAAACGGCAGCAATCTCGTATATTCCTTTGCACAGATGATCGCTCATCACACAATAGGAGGGTGCCCCCTAGAAGTTGGTGATCTGATAGGGTCAGGGACCATCAGTGGCGTGGACCCTGGGACCCTGGGTTCCTTCCTTGAGGCTTCTGAAGGAGGCAAGCGGAGCTTTAATGTATCTCCGACGATTCAGCGCACGTTCTTGGAGGATGGAGACTGTGTTACCATACGAGGATGGTGTGGCGACGACGACTCAAACACTGTCGGGTTTGGTGAGTGCTCCGGAACAATCCTACCGGCACTCAAACCGTCGTGGTTAGAAATTTGAAGCACCAATCTCAAGCTAATCTTAGAGCTGTGTCGCGCTTCACAGCGTGTATGATTCTTTCCGCGCTCTGACATGGTCGTGATAAGCAGCTCGGATCCCTTCCACGCGACATGTTTTCGTCGTCGCTGGACAAATGGAACGCCGATACAACGTTCGAAGTTAACCAGCTTCGACAGATCCGCCGGATGTGCCGTCTCCAGTAAAGCACGCCTGGGATTTCCGGAAATGCTTCAGCATCTTTCACAAGAGCCATTGTGTTGCAGGCTCGCATGTGTTCTGCCTCGGCTGTGATTCTCTTCAAAAGCCTCATGGTTTCGGATTCTTCCTGGGGTCGAGAGAGCGAGCGGAAGCTGTCCAACACCTGCCAGCCATGAGCACCAAAACTCCAGAGGCACTGCTGGTTGCAGCAGCCAAGGTCCGATCAATAGCCTTCCTTGGAGGGACACCTAATTCGCTCTCGAGCTGGATGGTGCTTTGTGGTGGAGTTATCATCTTGTTCCTCATCCTGTGGCTGTCCGATAGCACGGATGTACCTTTCATTCAACACCTCCCCTCCATCCCCGGCCTTCCGATAGTGGGAAATCTTGTTCAGCTGGGCAATGAACAGCCAAGGCGTTTGGCAGAATTGTCCAAAAAGTATGGACCGGTTTTTCAGATCAGGCTCGGAAACAAGGTAAGCCGTCCCTACTACATGTTGATGTAAGCCGAGGAGGGTTTAACCTTGTCTAGCGATTCGTTGTCGCAAACAGCTTTCAATCCATCAAGCAACTTTGGATCAACAATCAATCGAGCCTGATATCCCGGCCTACGCTACACACATTTCACAACGTCCTGTCATCCTCGCAAGGCTTCACTATCGGCACCTCACCATGGGACGAATCTTGCAAGCGACGACGGAAGGCCGCTGCCGCTGCATTGAACAGGCCTTCCGTTGTATCTTACATGCCTTTTGCCGACCTAGAGTCTTATGTTAGTATCAAAGAGCTTGTGCAGCAACTTGACGACGACAGTAACACACAAGTGGACCTGGACCCATATCCGTTGTTCCAACGACTCGCCCTGAACCTGAGCTTGACTCTAGGCTATGGATTTCGCATTGACGGTTCCGTGGATAACGAGCTCCTGCGCGAGATCATCACGGTAGAACGCGGGATCAGTACCCTTCGCAGCACAAGCAATAACTGGCAGGACTTTGTTCCCTTGTTGAGGATCTTGTCCCGAAAAACAAACGAAGCTTCCGTCCTTCGACACCGGCGAGATGTTTATCTTGAACACCTCTTAGAGAGACTCAAGGATAGAATAGCGATGGGGACTCATATGCCTTGCATCACAGGCAATATCCTGCAAGATCCCGAATGCAAGCTCAGCCACGGTAAGAGAATTCTCACAATGCACATCTCTACCATCTGCTAACGAGTCCACCTAATGTAGCGGAGATAAACTCAATCTGCGTGACTATGATTGCAGGGGGCCTGGACACAACGCCGGCTTGCATCTTACTCGGTGTGGCCATCCTTTCAGGCCCTCAGGGTGCATCGCTCCAGGTGAGGCTACTGGATGACATTCAGAAAATGTATCCAGAAGGAGATGCGTGGGGAAAATGCTTGGAGGAAGAGAAGTGCGAGTATATGAAAGCCTTCTGCAAAGAGGTCCTCCGCTTCTGGACCGTCATTCCCATGTCTCTGCCACGTGTAAGCATCAAAGACATCGTGTGGCAAGGTGCGACTATACCCGCTGGCACTACATTCCTTATGGTAAGTGACTTACGAGATCACAATGGTGTGCATGGTGATGCTGACGGCTTTTGTGTGGATTAGAACGCTTGGGCGGCAGACTATGATCCAGACCATTTCAAGTGTCCCCATGAATTCAACCCAGAACGGTTTCTGAACGTTCCAGAGGGCTCGGGCACGCAACACTTTGCCTTTGGAGCTGGCTCGCGCATGTGTACTGGCTCACACTTGGCATACCGGGAGATGTACATCACCTTCATTCGCATAATCATTGCGCTCGAAGTGTTGCCGGCCAAGCAGCCCAACGAAAGACCAATTTTGACGGGTCCTCTCGAGTGCAACGCCAATCCATCGGGGTTGTCCATTGAACCAAAGGCCTTCAAAATCGGTTTCCGCGTGCGCGACAGAGATCGCCTTGAGAAATGGTTCGAGCAATCCGTCAACGCAACAAAACATATCGAAAGATAGACTGATCCTTGAGACCAGACCATCACAATGTCGTGTGTGCGCCCGGTTTTCCGGTGGAGCTCATTTGATTAGGTCTAGAAATATATATCTTGCGGATTAGACATGTTCGCTGTTCACAGCTCATGCTTCCTAGTTGACGCAGCGCTTACTTCGTTTTATACTATGTTCGTTTCTCTGCTGTATATACTTTAGAAGTCTGTTCCTGAACAGAGCTGAAGAAATCATTGCAACATCAAGGGGCGTCCTGACTCTCTTGTACCTTCTTGGCCACACTCAGAATCCACTCAATCGTCTCCTTCTCCGCGGTCAGGTTTGGACAATGACCGGCCTTGACACTTGTGACATCGACCTTGCGACCGCTCACTTGCTCGATCATCTCGATCCCGGCTCTTTGTACTTCCGGGGGACCGATCAAGTCTTCTTCACAAACCAAATACGACACTGGAATGTCCTTGTATCCAGCGTAGGTTAATTCGTTGACAAAACTAGTAGCCGAGTGCTTTGCAAAGTCCCTGACTATTGCCTCGCCCCCCTCGGGGGACATGTGCTGTAGAATGAGCCTGGCAGTCCCAGCCGGATCATCCTGCAGCGCCCAGCCATTTCCCTGAAGAAAGTGAAAATGTCAGCACATCAGCCTACGTCAAAGTTGGAGGGGCCTTAGTAAGAGAAGATTTATTTACATCAATACTGGTGGGAACCGGTTTCGCCTCGGGCATCGAGCTTAGCACGTCCCGAGCTGATTTTCCAATGGCAGGGACCAGGCAGGTCATGTAAGCAAGCCGAACGACGCCCCCAGGCTTGCCTTGCGCTTTCCTCTCAAGTTTTCCCAGTCCCCGGGGACTTTGGGAGACCGGAACACCACCGTACGAGTGCGCTATGATGATCACGTCTTTGCCTTGGTCGGCGAGTTTCTCGGCCTCCTGTGCGATCACGGTTGCATCGTCGTACATGGAAGGTGCGGGACCGTCTCTGCCTTGCCGACTGCTTGGGCCGACGCTGGGCGGGTGGATGCCCTTGATCTCATAGCCTGCCTCAGAGACGGCGTCGAAGATCGGCTGGTAGAGCGACACCAGAACGAACGAGCCCGGGAAAAAGAGGATTGAAGGTTTCGACATGATTACGCTGCGTCGAAAAGATCTCTGGAAGAGACAGTCCCAGGTGCACTCAGGCGTGCTGCTGGCATCTTAATCTTGTCTATATTCTCCAAAATTGGTGTAGTGCTGCTCCCGTGGTTTCAAGCAAGAAGGCTGGATCTTGAAGTCCTGCTTATTAATGGTAAGGGGAATTCAAGGGAGAATGATGCAACAGCCCGAGCTTGGAGGAATTAAGGCCGGCAGGCCCGCCGGATAGTTGATGACCAAAGTGGCCGGGATAAGACGATGCCCCTTGAGCTGGTTGCCAGGATGTAGTGTCCCTGCAGTCGAACCCTGCAAGGGTTGTATGTACTGGATTGGCCGAAGGCATCTGGCTTCTGAATTGCTTACTAAAAGACTCATCATCGTCTGGCCTGTCTGGAGACCTAGCAATACTTATCAAATCATAATGAGGCTACCAAGTAGCCAAGGTTTCATTCTTTTTGGTTGATATAAGTCACAGATATAGAATGAACGCGCACAATGTATGGTACCTCGACAGCCACAACAGAGGTGACAAACAGAGGAACGGACTAAAGATGTCAAAGGTATTATTTCAACCCCTAAAAGGCCTGGGCTCCAGCCTTGACAGTTTTGACGATGCCTTGTTGCGCCAACGCCGAGATCAGGTCCTGAATCATAAAATCACATCCTCGCGCCGCCATAATGTCCATACCCCAAGGCACCATCTCCTCTTTCAAGGTCGAATTCGAGAATACCGGCGAGGCACCCATTGCTATAGCAAAGTCAGGAAGGCCAGCTACAGATGCCAGACGACCTGGCGAAACAGTAACAGGGTCTGATGCTCCACTAGCCAGCGCCTCGAAATTTTCCTGCGCTTCTCGACAGGCCGTGGAAGCGGTGGTGTTACTGGAAGCGCTTGTGGTGTCGCATAAAAGTGTTGCATTCAACTCGGCGACTTGGATCGTCAGCCGTGTGGCTTGCTCTACCAATTGCTCGATATAGGGGTCCTCAGTAGCAGCTGAGACGTCGAGCTTGTATTGCTTAAAGGGTGGTTCGAAATATAGATAGATTGCGTCGGAGCAGGAGTCATTGTCCGGCTTTAGGAACTTGTCGGCAACCCATTGTCGAACGATCTGCATATCGTCGAGGTAGTTTTGGTGCATGTCTGCGGTGATTGAGGTATTCGCTGCCAGCCATCCTCGCCGTGTTGAAGGTGACATGTGCGGGAACTCTCCATCGTGTGTTTCCATCCATGCATTTACGTAGTCACGGCCGAACATGGTCCACTGTTCGTACGCATTGACGTTGCCGTACACTACGTTCACGACGTTTGCGATCTCGGTGCGGTTAAGTTTGCCTGGATGGTTGGTGCTGTTCCATATTTGGTCGATGGAAACGCTGCTGACATTGGTCCCTAGGAATGCAGAGATAGCTTTGATCACCGGCTGCACGTCTTGTTGCCACCATGTCGTGTAACTCGGGTCGTCGCTGATCAGAGAAGGATCGACATAGACCTTCTTTGGTAACGAGGGATATTCCTTTCCGAATCCGGAGTAGAGAACCTTGTTCATCCGCGACCAAAGCATGGGATCTCTGACAAGGAGGCCACTGGTATCCATGGCCTTGGACAAGGGAAGAGCACCAGAGAGGTCGACCGCACCCGTTGAAGGACGATTTCCCATGACCCCGTTCACCAGAGCAGGTCCGCGGATGCTGCCTCCAGTATCACTACCCATGCTGGCATCTAACCAGTCGTAGCTGGCCACTGCCGAACCCGAGCCGCCGGAGCTGTCGCCGGGGCTATTGGAGCCGTCGCCTCGAGGATTGAATGGTAATAAATAGTCGATGTGATCGACAACATACGAACCAGCATAGGCAAACTCGGAGAGTTTGTTCTTCCCGACAACCACGGCGCCGGCATCGATCAGCTTCTGCACGGCGACCGCTGTAGTGTTCTCGGGTTCGCTCATCTCAAACATGGCCCGATTGCCAAAACTCGTCTTCATGCCGTTCAAATGGTACAGATCTTTGACAGCAAGACGGAGGCCAGCCAATGGCTTGTCGGGCGTCTGAGTGTACCACAGCCGAGATGGCAAGGCAATTGTGAGTCCTGCTGCTGACGTAATTCCAGCTGCCAAGGTGTGATGGACATCATTATCGTCTTGATATGATGACTGTTTCCGCTGATCAGCGCAAGTGGCAGAGGCTTCTTGAACATAGACTGACCTGTATGAAAGCCTGATTGGTATCGGAAACGAGCTTGTACGCCCTGTACACTTTGCGAGTGGGTACATTGAGGAAGTATGGACCTTGGGGTGGCTGTGTGATATTGGGGGTTGTCGAATGACCAGTCAATATGCTGTCCACGCTGTACTCGGGTAGTAAGGCGCTCTGCATAGCAGGGCAGTCGGGTAGCTGAATAGCATCATTGCCAGGGAAAATCAACAAATCTGGTTCGCCATTTTAGTCCTTCCTCTATAGACGGGTGCCAAAGGAACATACGCTGCGTAAAGTCCGAGTTCCACACATCGTCGGTCTGGTTGAAACTCTCGAAAGCAGCTCTCAAATTGACTTCTGTCGCCCGTGTCGCACTGAAGCTGACAACAGTCAGAGGCACAAATTCGTCAGTGGAATTGACCAGATCTGAAGTCCATGGCGCCAACGAGAACGCCGCCTCCGGTGGCAAGAAGTACTCGTTGGCTCCCAAAGGGATCTGCCTGGAGACTAATGCAGCATTGCTCAATATTGCGAAAACTAGGCTGAGCAGAAGTACCCTGACTGGGGCGACCTTCATGGTGGTGGTGGTGCTGTCAACTGGCAACTCTCGCGAAAATTGCACCCTCGAAGAGCCATCTGGCCCTGGGATCCCTGACCATGCGGATATATAGTGCGCAGTCTCCGGAAGCTTGAACCTCTACCATGACTGGCGAGCACACAGATATTGAGAACCATGGTGAGAATTGGCGCATAAGATCCTGCTCCGACCACTGATCCTCGCTACCCATCCGGCAAAGCTTTGCGCCTCGCTCGTTGTTGTCGAGCTGAAACACACCTAAGTTGCAGGTATGGAAGGGCCGGATGGAACATGATATGGGATTCTAGGCCCGTTCGTGACAATAGACGCTTTTGACAAACCTTGTAGTCATGGAGATACAAGCCTGCATACTTTAATTAGACGTGAAAGAGAATAGTTTCCTTCTAGCTCGCGCTAGGACCATCGATAGTGGGATGTTTTGAAGTCAAGCAACCCAACTCAAACATCGTTGGCGATGAGCTTGAACCCCTGCCATGGTCGCTGGAGGGGTTCGACAGTCTCAAGCAAAAAAGTATAGGCATGCCAGGTATAGTGCAAGTAAAAGTGTAGTAAGTAGGTAGGTGAGAGCATCAGACGCACCACGTGACTATTAAGCACGTGACAGAGGTGTTTTGATATCTCACGTGCTCTATAGGCCATCTGAAAGAGGCAGGTACAGCGGTGGCCCAGTACCGCCAAGTGCAATGTTTCCCCACACTTTGGATGGGCATTCAGTCCTCAACGCCAGCATCCCCTTAGGGACATTGTCCAGCACGAGATGCAGTTGAGCCTCGTCTGAGCCGCAACAGATCCTTCCAAATACGAATCTGAAATCTCGCAAGGAGCGCTCAACCTACACATCAATATGTCGCACGCTCGTGTAGAAGAGCTTTCCGACTCAGATCCCGATATCGACGACCCTTCCGACTTCCTCCCACAATCCGACGACGTGATAATTCGCGCGGCAGATCAACCTTCTCAGTCCTCGTCCTCTTCCTCAAAACCCTCATCGATACCACCGCCAGGCCCTAACCCCACTCTTTTCCGCCCTCCTTCTCCGACACAGGCCCAACAACCCAACCGAGAAGCCATCAAGACCTTCCAATGCCTCTACCCAGTCTACTTCGACAGCACGCGGACAAAAGCGCAAGGCCGTCGCGTGAGCTCCAAGCTCGCAGTGCCGAACCCGCTCGCATTCAACCTGCTCATGGCTGCCAGAGCCACACTCGGCGACGGCAGCGTGCAATTCGCCCTGGAGCCGGACAAGACACATCCCAAGGACTGGGCGAACCCGGGCCGGATACGAATCCAGCTGTTCGATCGAGAGACACATAAGCCGCTACATCCACAGATCAAGAACAAAGCACACTTGTACAGTTTAATTGGACGCTGGCTGAAAGACCATCCGACGTCAAAGGACGATCCTCTACAGCTGCGGATTCAGGGTCTACCAATACCAGAAAACTTCGGCAAAGAAGATATCCCGAAACCGAGAGGCTGGAAGCTGGGCTCGATACTGCCCGTGCATTCTCCCGCGGTCAGTGGAGGTGGAGTCAGGGACGATTTCTTCAAGGAGGCCATGGAAGAGATCAGGCAGGCACAAAGTTCGGGCCAGTTACCGGCCGGTATGCCTGGCGGCGGCGGCGGTGGTGGAATGCCCGATATGAGCGCACTACAGAGCATGATGAGTGGAATGGGCGGAATGGGCGGAAAGCCAGGGCTCGGTGGAGGGGATATGGGCGGCGAGTCTAGCGGTGCTGGAAGAAAGAAGAAGGACAAGAGAAAAGGCTGATCTGTGCCACCGAGGATTGCATATGTCGATGCCTTACCTGGTGTTTTCTGGAACGGGCCAGAAGATCTCAATGAGCTATGGCACTCGATGCTAGTGCAAGGACGTTGGTGTTTTCAGCGCAAGGCATCGAACCAAAGCTGCTCTCATCCCGCACCGATATGTGCCTGCCTCAATCGTCTTTCTTGTGCGAGTTCCTTTGAGAGGTGCGATATATTCCGCAGGTCTCCTGCTGGTCCCTCCGCGGAACTTGACACTGGCCATCTTCATCTTCATCAAGGCATTTTCATCAGCACTAGTCCTCCCGCGTTCTACAATGTCATGATTTGCTTCATATCGAAGATTACAAAGTTAGCCGCAATCCCACTGAGTCTCATATTTCAGAGATGCAGCTCTGGCTTAACTCACCATCCCCGTTGTCGAGCATAGGATAATGTCGTGAACTGGAGACGGGGGGGTTTGTAGGTATGACTTGCCGGGGCTGAGAGACGAGAGGTGAGGCCAACTAAACCACCCCCTTTTCTCGAAATATTTACGAGTTAGATAACTACATTTCTTCTTACGCTTAGGGATATCTGCCTAACAAATTTCATGGTGCAACAATACATTTTCATTCACCGGTCTGGGTGGGGGGACGATCGAGATGGAATTATGAATCGAAAAGAGAAACGAAGAAAAAGGGTAAAAGAAGTAGTTTGTTTGAGATCTCTGGCGAGCCAACGCAAGCCATGTGGTTTTTGTATTTTGTGTGAATTTTGCATGATCTTGCAACGCCGGCAGATCATGTTTATGTTCCATGTTCCATGTTCCATGTTTCTTGTGCTGTATGATTCTGAATGGAGCTTCGCACTAATTTGGGTAGAGACATAGGTCATAGCAAATCAAATAGAAGAGAAATCCAGAAACGCCCCTGATGTCCAATATTCCCTCCTCATACTGTCAAAGCCCGATGGGGACTCCGCAGGTGCTCTTTTCGTTGGCCTGTTTTGTTTGTCTTTTAGTCAACGTTGATCTTGACGTACTCGCCTTCATCCTCCGACCCGTCCTTCTCCCAGTCACTCATCTCCGCATCATCTGGTCGCCCATGGTTGCTTGTGTCTTCAGCTTCATACCGCGGAAGAGTGTCGACCGTCTCATTCGGGTGTTCGTAGTCAAGGGTCGTGGACCGTTCTCGTTCTGCTTCTGCTGCCTTCTGCTTGCCCTTGGAAGCACTGCTCATGGAAGCCTTAGCTGGATATGGCTGGGCCGGAGCAGCATCTGGCTGAGCGTCTTCCATGTGTTCGTCTCCCTGTTCTTCCGCATCGAACAAGAGATCCCTTTCGTTTTCATACACTTCTTCTGGCCTCTCGATTGGGATTTCAGGTGAGGACGAGACGTGGACTGACTTGCGTTCGAATGTCTTTTCAACCTTGGGGACCCGCACAACGAGGACGCCATCCACCATCTTGGCTGTGATACCTTGGACGTCAACATCGGCGGGCTCCGTCTGAGTTCCGAGACGGATGTTCTTCTCGAAAACACCAGTCTCGCGCTTTCTTCCATCAACAACCAACCGTGTCATCATTTCTTCGTCGACACCCGGTCGGTGGACGACACCTGCAAGGCGGAGGACGGAATGCTCTCCATCCCATTCCACACCGACATCGGATTTCTTTGCGCCTGGCAGGGAGAGATGGATCGTATATTGCGACGCGGTGTCGAAAATGTCGGCTCTTGGCTCAAAGTCGGTGTCATTGGCACGGGGAGCCTTGAAGCCCAATCCTTCAGCTGCGGAAGAAAGATCAACACCAATACGTTCTCCCAGGTTGTTCAAGAAATTTCCCAAATCAAACCCGCCTCGGCCACGTCCGGGGCCGAATGCACCTTGTCTATGTCCAAATGGTCCGCCGTGAGGTGGCGATCGTGAATGAGGGCCGTGGTGACCTCCGCGTCCGCGAGGGCATCCTCCGCTGCCACGGGCCCCGCCAAAGCGGCCGGGGCCATGACCCTCTGGACCTTCAAATCCAGATGGCGGGCCGTGGCGCCCAAAGAAAGGTCCTCCACGGCCCGCAAACATGAATGGTGCCGGGCCAAAAGGAGGTCCGCCTCTCCAAGGACCGGAACGGTCGGGGTGATGGCGCCACCATTTACCGCCGCGATGGCCTTTGTCGCTCTCGCTAGAGCTGGAGCTGGAACTGGAAGAAGAGCTTGGGCTTCGGCGTCGACCCTTGCCATGATGGTGGCGATGGCCATGGCGACCTTTCCCATGACGGCCGTGCTTGCTGTCTTTGTCCTCGACATTGTCTCCTTCGAAAGCATTTCCGAAACGACCACGGCCACGAAATGGTATGCTGGAGTCTTTCTCCTTACCTTGGGGACGGATGGTAGAAGGATCGACTTCCGGAGGGTCTTCAGCGTTCTTGTCGGCGTGCTTGCCTTTGGCTTTTTCACTGGCCCCTGCGGTTGCTTGCGTTTGAGCCTGCTCCGTTCCTGAACCGGCTGGGTTCTGCGGTGCAGTGGGAGGGACTGGTCGTTGGTATTGTGCAAAGAATGGATGGTCTTCCATTCCAGCGACGAAATCCCAGAAGGGATTCGGTGGTGGATTGAGATAATAGATTGGAGGCATGTTTTTGTTCACTTACTGATTGATGTAAGGGAGTAAAGATGAAGATTTGATGGAGGAAGAACAGGAGGAAATCAGGAGGCTGCGTTCAAGCCACAGCACAGAATGTTGATCTTTATAGCATTGAACCCCGCGTCCAGGCAAACACATTTCGCAACAGGACGGCAGCCAAAGGCACGAATCAGCTTACGCAGGGATTCGGCTCGAAGCTGCTCGAAGCTGAAGATGCCACACTACTTTGCGTATCTGATAACAGGATTGGGTCGCGAAACAAGGCAAAACCTGAGCCACGCGGCCCAGGCCTAAATAGCCCATGCAATTGGTGACGATAGTTGTCGTTCATTCTGGGTGCCTGGGTGGGAGGCGAAAATGGTGGCCTCCTCGGCTCTATTTTGAATGTCCGGACCGAGATCACGTGCGGGGCCTTAGGAGCGCGAGAGCAGCACGCAAGGCTGGCTATCGAGGGGGCCAGCCCGAGCAACTCTACGGGGCCCGAGTTCTGGGGGCAGCAAGTAGCGAGCTCTGGGATAGCACTCTCATCTCCTCAAGCATTGCGTCTTAACGATCGAAACTATGGTCAGCTGACGCGTGCTACGCAGATACGTCCTAGCATAGATGGATGTACTAAACCCCCCTCCTGTATGGACGGCATCTTATGTTCTATGCCTCTGCAGGACACCACTGATGAGCAGCAGAAGTGCCTGTACTGCCCGGCAGCGGGTTCGCTACGAACGTCTACTCCCACATTGCCGGTCCATTTGCCGAAGCCACCTGCAAAAAGCTCGGCGTTTCACCACCCATCTCAAATATCCAAAAAGAAAAACAATGTCCTTACGAACGTGATGATGAGGGTGGGATTCGAACCCACGCGGCTAGGAACTGTTAGAATTACTCTCGTTTGTTAGATATGGATATTGACTGACTGTTACCCACAAGTAGGGTTCCTGAGAAGCAGAAGCTCCAGGCTGTCCTGAAACTTGCGCCATAACCACTCGGCCACCTCACCTCAAAATCGAAGCGATTTTCAAGGGTAATTTTGGCGTTTTTTCTTATATCATGAACATACTTTGTGTGGGGAAAATTAGGTTGGAGGCACCACTCAGCGGCGAGCTAGTTAGTGACACGGGCGAGATAAGCGGTGGCCTCAGTATCCACGCGGGTTCAAAAGTGCGCCACGATGCCCCGGTGTGGGGGGCGTCATTGCTAAAACAGTCCACAGAATTCCAAACCCCCAGTCAGCCATAACTACTGCGCAGTAATTCTTCACTCTCAACTAAAGGGAGAGCAAGGGAACGAAGATAGCGAGCATCCAGAAGCAAGGAGATTCCATAGACTATGTAACAAGCAAAGCGAATCGCCATGTACTTCTTAAGTTCCTCACTGACATTATGCTGAAGGGTAGGATACCTCAACTTAAGACTTAGATTTCCGACTTGATGTGCTGGGAAGATGTTTAAGTTGCAGAGTCGAACTGAAGTCGAGGACGAATTGAACTTGATGGTGACAATTGGCGCCGTCGTGAGTGATGTTTGCGGAGACAACTAAAGTTGAGATGAGGTCCAAGAAGGTAAACAAGTTGTATGGAGGCGGCAGAGGCAGTTAATAATCCGAAGTTGAGAATAAGGTAGAAGTGTCGGAGGAAGTTGTCAATTAGATGGAAGTGGCAGACGAAATTGAGAACTCGTGGGTGCCAAAGAACGGGACTCCGTTATAGTAACGTACCACCAGATGCTTGGGGTTTCCTGAGGAAGGTTCTCTTGCTGAGATCCAACCTATTTATTAGGCACAGGATAGATATCGGTGAACAATGATGCAGCATACAAACTGCGAATCTTAGGGTGCTGTGCTAGCTATTTTCTCGACGTGCCACCATCTCCTGAAGCTCCGATCTCGATGAAGGTCCAGAGTATCCGCTGTGGTTGGGGTTGTCCATGATGTTCTGCAAGTTTAAAACAATCATACTGTTTCATGACTCTGTCCTGACGCACATTGCTGAAGGGTTGGACCATCGGTGGAGCGTTGAAACTTGCCTGGCCAAATTGAGGGCTCGGCGGAAGGCTGTTCGGTTTCTGCCGGCTTGGTCGATCGAACAAGCACGGCCAAGACTGGCGAAGTCGAAAGCATCTGCGCCGGGTTGATGATATAGATATGTATATGGATATTGTGCACACCCATTGTTGCAGGGATCGCAAGACAGATGCCAATGGGATGTGTTTCCGTCTAAGGTCTACCGTAAAGTGATGACATGCTTCAATGTCTGCCGGGCTGCAACCGATCGTGCCTCCAATGTGCTTCCAGTCCGGTGACAATGCCCTCAGGACGAGGGTCGTTTGGCCACCTGATTTGGTACAGTGTACTGTACACAACATCTCTCTGTGGTGCAGCCACAGACACCCCGGACTTTACTGCCCGCTCGCCCAACTCTCGCAGTGGACTCCGAGGACATGGACTCTTGAGCACAGTGTATCGGCGGTCGAGGGATCGCCGTAGTAGTCAACGGTTTGTACCTTGGGTGGGAGAGTGCTCTTGGGGTTAGGGTTTACCGATATACATAGTGCGATGAGACACAACTCCTGCTGGAGATGGTCTCGGAAAGTGGTCTCCGGACTTGGCAGACAGCATGCAATAGCATCTTCAGCAGTTCACCCAGGTTGCAGAAACCCTTCTGCATCAGCCTGTGGATCACCGAAATAGTTCAACACATCCTGAGGTAAGTACTCAAGCCAGGGTATCATATCACCACCTGGAAAGTTGAAATTCAATTGCTGTCCGCTCATGTCGATATCCTGCGTCTCAATGAACATGTTGTTGAAGTTCTGACCCTGATTGTCAAAGTACTGCTGCTGCTGGATATTTGGCATGTTACCTTGCTGCTGAGGGTAGCCAAAGGCATTTGGTGTCTGGCCTGCAGCGGCGACGGACGGATTCGAAACACTCCTGGTGTAGGGAGAGTGCAGACCGAGCAGTAAGTCCGCCTCGGCGGTGGAAACTGGATCATACGGCAGTGAGGGCATTTTGTTTCTCGTTTCTGCCATAGATGGCTGGTACTGGCCCAGTTGGTCAAGATTAGGAGAGAATTGTTGAAGATTAGGTAGAATAGTATCTTGGCCGGGCACATTCTGTTGGTCTTCGTTTGGCAGAATCTGGGTGGCCGAAGTCGGCTGTATGCTCGATTTCATCGTAGAAGCCATGTCATGATCGTCTCCGCCGCCTGTATTAGGGTACAGGAAGCTAAGATTCGGCGCCGGTGAGTTGGCGGTCCCTGTCAGCGACCAGCCGATTGCGTGACTCAGGTCCATTTTCGGAGAAAGAGCCATGTGTCTGCGCAGAGCATTGCTATAGGCTCCCAATGAAGCTGCAAGCGAAGTGCTTCGCCGCCATCCAGGCGTCGTGAAAGACGGTTCAGTCGAGGGCATATCGCCGTCCACGTCTTCGGCAGTGAAAAGAAGAGGATCCATCAAACCCCTGGCTTTTTGGTCCAGAGCGGTCAGGATATAGCGACATCCGGCCCAGTATGAATCCAAGGTCTTCAGAGCTTTGTAACAACGCTGATAATTCTGGTTTGCCGCGGTTGCTAGCAGGGTATGCCGTGCGGAAACTGCTCTATGTTCCGACTGATTCTTCTGAGAGGCACCTTCTTGCTTCACCCTTGGCTGGAGCCCATTTGCAGGTGGCGATGCTGCCCGAGAGGGAGGTTGTGAATTATGCGCAGCAGCCTCTGCGAGAAAGGCGCACGCGGCAACGTACATTGGCTGACTCGTGAAAGGATTACCAATGAAGCTCTTGACATCGATGAGCTCTGCGAAGGCAAGTATGTCCGCAATTGTCTTTGCTGAAGACATAGACAACTCTCTGCTGTCGGGGAAGAGTTGTTGAATCCGTCCTTCGAAAGAATGCAACAGTGTCGGTTGATGAACCAGTACGATCAACGTATGGAACCAAAAATGTAGCAAGATGAAATTGGTGCCATGACCAGCCTTGACATAGTGCTGAAAATTCGTCGCGTTGAAGTGCAACTTTGGCGACAGACGTTGATAAATGCCTGTTTCAGTGAGTTATGTGAATTCTAAACACTTGTGTCACCTACCTGTAAGGTCTCTTTCCATGCTCGCCAAACGCTTCAGTACTTCTGGCGTTACTTGACTCACTTCCTTGATGTTGTTAAGCACATCGGCAACCCGTCCGTACATATGAACGATCTTGATCATGGCTGGAAATGGATCAGGGTAACCTTCAATCATTGACTCATTTGGCCGGTAAGGAAACGAGATTTCAATGTCTTTGTCTCGCAAAGTGACGGGTCGCCCGACACCGGACGACACAGCCCGGTCAAGGAAGAATATTGCCCAGAAGGTATCGATCCGCTCCCGCTCGCTTGCGCGCCTGTCATCGAGCTGCGCACCGTCTTTGTGAGAGAGATTCTGCGACAGCATTTGCTGTTGTTCGAACCTCCTCCCTTCCTCAGCTTTGCCTTCTTGACCATGCTTTGCGGTTTTGGGTGTAGGTCCGATTCGGCCTTCTAGTTGTAAGCCTTCAAGCTTCTGGATACCGAGATCTTGCGCCATCCTTATTGCAGTACCTAGGTACATCCATAGTCCGCTGTCGTGATCTGTACCAAACTCCTCGTAGGCTAGCAGCAAGCAAGCCTGAGCGACTGCCATAGTCGGGCATGAGAAAGTGTCAACGACAGCAGCCATAGCTCTTTGAGCAAAAGGGTGGCCACGAAAAGCTCTTCTCACATTGTTTTCGGCGTCCAGAGGGACCGACGTGTCGTTCGATTGGCAAAGCAGAGGACTAGGGGAGAATCGAGCAGCCACAGCACAGACAGCATCGACCAAGATAGCATCGACCTTCTTGTCTTCCAAGTCCTTCAAGAACCTCTCTCGCTGAAGGAAGGGATAATTGCAGCCCAAATGAGAGAAGAATGTCTCACAAAGATGAGTTACCAACGGAGCATTTGGTTCAGGATCCGTAGCATCATAGAATGGGATCTCCACAGGCGGGTTTTCCTGACCAACTGCTGAATTCGAGTCGGCCTGCTGTCCAGATGTCGGTGAATCTCCAGACACAGACGGCAAGCTTCTTCGGTGGTCTTTTACCTGGACGACCATCTGCTTGAAGCCAGGTACAATGGCGGTTGGACCAAAATAGCGAAAGTATGGGACTCGATTTCTCGCCGACGTCGAGCTGCTTCCGGTGTGACTGCTACCTGGGCTCTTGATCTCACCAGGGTCGCCCCTGTCTCCCGCTCCTATTACTGGAATGTTGCGCGCAGAACGATGATCATTTGCGCTCAGATGCGGATACATTGCAGTTTCTACATCCTTTGACGGCTTCTGAGGGGTTGAGAAACCCGGCGCGACTTCCTCCTCCCCATCATGTTCAGTCTTCTCACCTTCTGAATGACCCGACCGATGATCTGCATAGCCCGAACAGTCGTGCCCGTTCTCAGTGCACGTTTTGCATTCCGGGCGCTCGCCCGAGCAGCGTGTCTTTCTCTTGCGACATGTCAAACAAGCAGCATTTATGCGCCTCCTCTTGGTGTGCGGTTGGCCATCGGTCGAGACGAAACGAATCTGACGAGGGGGTGGAAGGAAGCTTCTCGAGCTCGTGTTTGACGTGGGCAGGTCGGGATTGGGAGTATTGCTGAAGCTCATGCTTCGCAGCAAGGGTTTACGATGCTGGCACTGTGCCGTAACATGGTAATCGACCCGTTCTGCGCAAGTGTTTCTGCGTGAGTGACAGAAAACAAGCAGGTAAATCTCGGGACAAGCGCCGCAACAACGGTGTTTGCGAGAGCAGATCAGCGAAGAAAGGACCAGGTTGCAGGATCTGATGTGTGGTCGTGCACAATGATTGATTTGATCTGAAGGAGATGGCTTTTACAGCCATCATCTACGGTATCTTCTCATGCACGATCGACACCGGGAAAACGAGAGACGCTGGGTCACCCAACATCTGCGGGGTCCAAGGGCATTACCGTAAGCCTTCGGTGGCCTGGTGAGCCCTATTAGGGGTGCTCATAGGTACGATCGGCGGTGGTCTGCGCCTGGGGAAATCAGGAGAGCTGTTCGACCCTCGTAACCGACTTCTTAGGTCGGGGTCCGCCAGGAACACCCATGTGTGCCATGTCCACAGCCGCATACACCTGCCTCGCTTGGCTCTTCGACAGATCCTCCCTAGGGGCCTAGGTACTGTAGCCCGTACACCCCGTAGTCCACGGCATACAGTACACCACACACCTGATCTACAACTTCTGATTCGGACGATTTGTTGTATTCTTTGACCACTTCTATAATCAAGCTTGCTGTATCTAACAAAACAACACAATGAGAGCGCTATTGTCCATCTACCTTCGGCTTGATCAGGCCATCGTTCAGAATGCCCTTCTTCTGCTCCTCTTTCAACACCGGCCTAGGAATCTCGAATCCTTCCAACACTCTTGCGTAAGTGATTCCTCCCAACCTGGCAATCGGTCTCAACACTTCCGGTGCAATCAGACTCCGATCCTCGTTAATCGCATCCTCCCTGACCCAGAAATGCACTCCCTCAATAACTGCCAGCACACCCGTCTTCTTCCCTGGCGTCGTTCTACTCTCAAACTCCTGCGTATTCACCAGCTTGCCTTCGATGCTAAACACGGCCTCTTTTACTCTTGAAGCCGCCACGACAGCACTATCCGCAGGCGTCAGCCCCGAGACCGACCATTCTGACTCTCCGTACGGCAAATCGATGCTACACGCATTGGCCGCCTCAAGGTAGTGCTCGCTAATGATGTTGATCACACACTCTCCCGTGTCGACCAGGTTCTTCAGCGTGTCCTTTGCATTGTCGAAACCACCACTGAACCCGACGCCAAAGATTGGAGGGTCGTGGTTGAACACCTGCGTGTAACTGAACGGTGCGAGATTCGTGGACGACTTGTCCTTGGACCTGGTTGACAAAAAGCCAATTGGACGCGGGATGATGCCGGATATGAGCAGTTTGTAGTTCAATACCGGCGGGCGTCCTTCGGCATACGGGTCGATTGAGACATGAGCTTTCGACAAGCCTGACTTATCGGATGCGCCATCACCGTACTTCCAGTCGGGATTGCGCGTCTTGGTAAAGTGCCATTGACGGTCTTCTTCCCAATCAGGTCGCGATGCTTGGACCTTGGAAAAGTCGCCGTGCGGGTTGCGCTTGACTGTGGATTCGGCATCGTGTTTCTCCTGGGCCTCTTGAGGCTTGGACTCCTTGGAAGACATCGTCCTTGCCCCCAGTCTTGATGTTCCTCGGGCGAGCGGTTGCAGAGGCCGCAACGCGAGTGTGGAACACAGTGTTCGGGGAAACACGCTTTTCATATACTATTATCGCCGCACCGGGTAGGTATCAGAAAGGAGTCTCGCCTGGCCTTGCTTGACGCTTTCCGCTAGTCCATGGCTCTCCCTAGGAGCAATTATGTCGTCTTGTCGGACTTCGAAGATCCTTTCTCTATGATCGAAATAGATAGGGAAAAGTTCGATCAGATATGTCGAGCAAGTCCCCATATTTGATCTCTTCAACTTTACGTCACCATCTGCGGGCAGACTGTACGATAGCCTCGTGTTGCACTTGATCTCCTACCCGGCCTCCAATGGAGATGCCCGTTTTGCGGGGTCGATTATCTATTCAACTCACCAGCTATCATGTCATGCTCCTCCTCGTTCCATTAACCCATACGAGAAGAGGGGATATCGACAACTTGAAGCTGTGAAAAGCCAGACTGAACTACAAAACAATAAAACAATCCGGGTTTTCTACGCAACTCACCCACACAGCGCAAGCCTGGAAGCCGACTACTTTCATATGCGCGTCTAAGAACCGCCCGTCTTCTCAAGAGCCTCCTCCTCGGGAGCTGATATCAAGCACTGCCCATCGTTACACACCTGTACACCCCTACAAGCCATCAAGCTGCCTGCTTCATACGAAATCCTTGTCTAGTGCGTTCATCAGAAAAAAGGTCTACAAAGTGCCCTCTCAATATGTCGGACTACTCGACCTTCTCCCTCGGCGACTTCACCCTACAATCCGGCTCGACCATCCCCGACGCCTTCATCGCCTACAAAACATATGGCTCCCCATCCAACCCGGCCATCCTGTATCCAACCTGGTACACAGGTCTGATCTCCGACAACGAATGGCTAATCGGATCGGACAAGGCCCTCGACCCGAACCGCTACTTCATCATCATACCCGCGCTCTTCGGCAACGGCCAATCCATTTCACCCTCCAATTCACCATCCACCGTCCCATTTCCCTACGTGACATTCTACGACAACGTGCGCGCCCAGCACACCCTACTGACTTCACACCTGGGCATCACGCACCTGCGCATGGTCACAGGCTGGTCCATGGGCGCGGGCCAAGCCTTCCAATGGGCCACGCAGTACCCGGACTTCATGGACATCGTCGTCCCCTTCTGCGGGTCCGCGCGGACCTCGATCCACAACCAGACCATGCTAGAGGGCGTCAAGTCAGCCCTCCTCGCAGCAAAACACACCTCCTCCGCGGGCCCGGCCGCTGAACGCATCGAAGGCAAAGACAAAGTCCGCACATGGACCGACGACGAACGCACCGCGGGCCTAAAAGCCTTCGGCCGCGTCTACGCGGGCTGGGGCTTCAGCCAGGCCTTTTACCGCGAAAAACTGCACGAAAAGGCGTACGGCGCCAAAGATCTCGAGGACTTTCTCAAATCCTTCTGGGAGACATGGGGCCTCAGCAAGGATCCCGAGAACTTGTTGACCATGTTATGGACGTGGACCAACGGCGATGTGAGCGCCCAGGAGCCGTACAATGGCAACTTTGAAAAGGCCATGGCCTCGATCAAGGCCAAGACGTTGGTGCTGCCGAGCAAGACGGATTTATATTTTCCGTGAGTACAGTATTGGTTTTGGCCTTGGTCCTACGGAGTACTTTCAGCTTCAAAGTTAGCTGACCCTTTCCCCTTTCCTCCACCCTATTAGACCCGAAGACTCCGAATACGAAGTCGCAAACATGTCCGCCGGTGTTGGCACCCTCGAGGTCTATCCTTCCATCTGGGGCCACTGGGCTGGAGGACCGCCGGGCAACCAGGACGATGCCAAATGGTTGGACGAACGGCTGGCCCGATTACTCGACGAGGCACCCAAGCTTGCGTGAAGACTACACATGTACCCTGCGTCATCTAGGTATACTCGGTACAGGTATACTCCCGTACAGATACCGAAGTACCTACCTTATGTGGCCGCACTGTCCAACCCCTGATATGAAAGACAGTGTCGACAGATGCCTGGTGAGCCGGAAAAAATGGGTTTCCGCCCGCGCAGGGCAGATGAGAGAGATAGCACATGCACATCGAAATGATACAGATGCAGAATGATTCGGCTCACGGCTGAATTGGAGGCAGTAATGACAACGGCACCGAGAAATGCACAATTTCATGACTTAAAAACGAAGTAATACTAATACACTCAGTACTTGGTACAACTCGCCACTCCTTAGGCCGTCAAGTGTTTACTGTACGGTCTACAGCGCAGGATTATTCAAGCGTCCATGGTAACCCACGCATGGACAAGGAACGGCGTTCCTTTGAGACCTCATTAGCTGTATCTGTATCTGCTCTGCGATGCTGGGTAAATGCCTGGTACGCATCTGTGCTCTGTGATCAAGTCGACCTATACCAGCCTGACCTCCCCAATTTCCTTTCGAAAAGCATACGTCAAGGGAGCCAGTGCATCCCGTATTGCACCGCCTGCGGTTCCATTCACCGTGGCAACCCGTTCAAGAGTTGGTCAAAGTATAGTATTCAACCCATAGCCCTAGTCGCGACAGTCCGCCGCCGATTCCTGTTTTCATGGTCGTGCAGTTCCGTTACGCCCAAAATGTATGTTCATCCAAGCCTTGTCCCTGTCAATGGGGACCGCATTTCTTTCCCATTCTCCCATGGTCCTGCCCTTCAAACGCCATGCCGGGACATCAAGTTCATATTCTTCGTTCGAACTGCTGTTCTCCAAAACATACCGCGACATCCGGGCTGGCCGCCGTCCGTACATCCAGTATAAGCTTCCTGCCCAATCACTAGTATGCCATTTGTTCACCCAGGCCTGCATTTTGATGCGCCTCCCAATGATCCAACAACTTTCCCACCTCCTTAAAACTGACCGGCTTCGTCATGTAGATGTCGCACCCAGAGTCGAATACCTCAGCCTGATCTTTCCCACTCGCCAAGCCCGTAAGGGCAATAATCATCGCGCCTGGATCACTGCCATCACCTTTCCCATGTTCAAACTCGCGGATCGCTCGGGTGGCTTCGAAGCCGTTCAGAACTGGCATTGAGATGTCCATGAAAATCACATCGAAGGGTTGTTGAGCACTTGTCACCGCATTGACAGCCTGCTCACCATCTTCGGCCTGGCAGATGCGCGTATACTTCCTCTTCGTGCGCAAATACGTCTCGAGCAGTCGCAAATTGATCTTGTTGTCGTCGACGAGCAGGACATGCGGATTCACAGGCTCGCCCTTTGGCGTGCCCACAAGATTAGTCGGTCTCGGCGTTTCCAACGGGGTGGTGCTGTTGCTCGGCGGATTTCGTTTCTGACTATTTGACGACAGGCTGCGGTTGCGCTCGCGGCGGACTCGAGATGCATCTTGGATCTGTATAGGGAACGGGAACGAATCGCCTTCACTGACGTGAGTTCTTGGCGTGCGCTGAGCTGTTAGAGGCTCGTGTAGAGCCATCTGCGCGTTCTGGCTAGCCTGTGACGCTGCGAATGTCTCGGTGGCTTGCACGACTTTGGCTTTGTCACTTTCGCCGGGCCGATTCAGGTCCATCTCGCGCAACTCCTCCGTCACCGGTTCCAGCGCTGTCCTTGATGCCCCAGGACTAGCAGCTGTATATCCGGGCGACATTAATTTCGATGGAGCTGTGAAGGTGATTTTCTGTGCTTGTTTCTTCTCCAGCGCCATCCGTATGCTGCGAGCGAGCTTGTGCGGGCCGCAAGGCGTAGATACGAACTCGAGCACACTGCTTATTCGTTCTTCGAGTGATCGTAACAGTGCAGCGCTGTGCTTGCTCGACACAGAACACATCACGACCAGGGCCGGACGGTTTCCAGGTGTACCGACCGGATCCTGAATCAAATTTTCCAAATGTTGTTCTCTCACAAGAACAACGGCACAGCTCTTGTAGAGTCGCGAATCCACAAACTGGAGATCGTACCAATTCCGTATATATGACTGAAGAACCTGCCCTAGCTGATTGTCTGCCTCAGTCTTCGGTTGATAGAATGTGACAGTGCCTTCATCTGAGTGGTTCTGCAGGAAAGTGATGCTATCATCTGGTCCCGAAGCTGTGGAGGATATCGTACCGCCAGACCAAGGAGTGGTCTGGGTCGACGTCTGGCCTGACAACGGTCTCTTCATTGGCAGGGCTACCTCGACTGTCGTGCCTTGATTGACAACGCTTTTCACGTCAATAGTGCCGCCGAGCATGAGAACAATACTCCGAACGATACTCATCCCGAGGCCAGTACCAGGAGCCAGAGAGTTTTCCTGGGCGAAGGGCACAAACAACCTGGAAGACAGAAATTCCTGCGAAATACCCTTCCCAGTGTCGGTCACTGTAAAGATCATCAAGTCGTTGCCATCAGGTTCGGTTGATTGCTTTAGTCTTAGTCGCACATGGATCGATCCCTGAGTGGTGTATTTGATGGCATTCCCAGTGATGTTCATGATGATCCGCCTGACTGCTCCAGGCTGTGTCAAGAAGTTCCAATCAGCTTCTTCAATATCTATGATAATGTCGACAGGCTCCGGACTCGCTCCGTCCTGTCTGCTCGTCTTAGTCGCTCCTCGCCCTCGTGCTTGACGAGACACGTCCGTTATATCGATGCCCGAATTGTAGGTGTGACCAAGTACTAGGCCATCAACCACTTCTTCCAGAACACAAGATACATCCGTGACGCCAAACAGCTGTAGAAGAGGCGGTGCGCCATGCGATAGTGATTTTGAAGAGTTGTCCGGGCCCAAGAAGTTGTTACGCTTCGAGCCGTGCGACTTCTTGTTTGATGCTTGCCAAACCCTCTGGAATGAGTTCACCTTTGAGAAGTCGAGAACGTGGTTAATTGTGTCCAATAAAGTCCGACCACAAGAATCAACGGTATCGATCAATGACTTCTGAAAGCCGGTGAGGTCAGTCTCAGTCAGGAACTCCACACTCGCCAAAAGTCCGTGTAAAGGTGACCGCATCTCGTGAGATATTGTACCAACAAAATCACTCTTTTGCTTGTCAGCGACCATAGTGTCCAGCCGGCTGCACTCCGCCATCAAAGTGCTGCAAAACGAGTTGAGGAAGGGCAGTTCAACGGTCGAGCTGAACGACCTTGTATCTAATGTTGTCGCCACAAAGCAGGCATGAGCGAATGTCCCAATCGTTGCATCCCATAGAGGTGCGTACAGCACTTGTAGTGCCAAAGGGAAAGCTCTTCGCAGTACATCCATCTCCATTTGTTTTCGACGGCTCCTTTTGCGTAAGCGAAGGGGCGGCCGAGGTATGGCTCTGTCATCTTCAGAGGATGATGAGCTGTTGATGTCAAACGACCACAGTTTTCCGCCAGGATACCGCTTCATCAGGCTCTGAAGCATTTCGTCGTCGATATCTTGCGCCTTTTGCTCCAAGTCCTTTTCTCCCATATAAGGTTCGCTTTCTGTTGAATAAGCCATGAACGAAGACTGGCTTGCTGTTGACCGAGCCTCCTCATCGCCGGCCTCTCCATCCCTCTGAGACACCTGGTTCGCAGGCTTTGTTGCGGGCAGAAAAGGCACCGATCGCCGTCTCTGCATGTTGATGGGACTCTTGCCGGATCGCGTGCTAATGCTCACAAATGTCACCGCCCCGTCCTCTCCAAGATCGCCGAAGCATTCCCGCAGGATATTCGCTGCTCTGCCGAATGTTTTCGTATGTGACCTGGATTCAGCGTCGTCGTCGGCCATGGTCCACCCATCGTCAGAGTCAGATGATTGCCCAGATGTACTAGCTTCATACTCAATAGAGTCTAGAGAATTAGATCTCTCGGCGTGAAGCTTATACTCACCAAGATACGCATGCTGTCCCTTGCTCTCGTCGGCGGCGGACGGCTCGGTGCCGTTTAATAGCTTCGACCTTCTTTTGATAGATTTCTCCAACAGATGCCCCTGCGGCTGAATTGCTCTTTTGCCGGCAATAAAAGCTTCAAGTCCTTCCGCCATACGACGACATCGCTGACCTTCAATCGCCTGTCTGTTGATCTCCAGGTGAAGCATTATCTGTCGGACAGAGTTGGCGAGAAAAAGTGATTCGGCTTTTGTCAGTCCGTTAGGACGAGGGCTGGTATCCATGACAGCAAGGCTTCCGATATTGATCCCTTCTCTTGTGGTGATGGGCACACCGGCGTAAAACCTGTAGTATGGGGGTCCCGTCACGATTTCCATTTGGGAGAAATCAGACTGCGTCAGATCCGGAATGACAAACATAGCTGTGGGCTGCGACCCAGCGGTGTTGTCCAGTCCGATTGTCATCTCGCATATTCTTCCCTTCAGCGGTACCGAGCTGCACCTCATAAGTATTGGGTCTTCCACAAATTCATATGCACTCTCTCCATCTCCTGCGGATTCTTTTGTTGCTTCGGCGAGGAAGTACATGACGTCGCGATCCATGACATTGAGCATCGATTTCCTGCACTTGCAGCGGAGGACGGCAAGCTGGCAGAAGGGTGCCAGAGCATTGCTGAGACTGGGAACATCGTCAGAGGAAACATCGATCGTCGAGTCGCGACGGCGGAGGTCAGGGTGGACTAGATTATCCGGTTGTAGGTAGTGGTAGAACTCTCGAGCCCGTCGTACATCGTTCAAGACAAAGTCCGCTGGCTGGACGGGGAATACACCAGCTGCGGCCGTGACGGTCATTGTGCTTTGTCAGGTATCCTATCTTGCGCCCAGTTTCGCTCGGAAGGTGTATGACGGGCGATTTCGCGGTACCAACGCAGGGACGATGAACGGCGCTCTCATTGCCTAGATAAGTATTGAAGAAGCACTGGCGAAGACTCTACCTACACGTTGCTGAGCACGAGCAGGATGGATAAGCAGCTGTTGGCGGTGGAGTGGGTTGCAAAACCAATCTTTGATTCTTTGAGGGGCCAGGCCCGAGCGGGATGTCCAGAGTATCTTGCCATTATGCAAGCCTTGCACTCCACCACCAAGAGCAGTGGGCTACGAGTAGGAGGTGGGTTTGTGTAGGAAATGGCCCGCGTCAATCAACAGTCACTGGGAAGAAGCTTGATCTTGAAGAATGCGTAATCATTGGGCCATGATGGGTCCCTCGACCTTGAAAATAACCAGCGAGCCTATTAAAGCCCATGTGCCTGGATTACTTTGTGTTCTAGACCTTTTCGACGGCAGCTTCGGGGGAAACAAGCAAGGGGTCCTTGTGGTGGCCCCCGAAAGCCACCTGGAAGCCACCTGGAAGCCACTTGGAAGCCACTTGGAAGCCCCCGATCCGACCGCCATCACACTTTGCCCTTTCTAACCACGGCGCCCGCTCTGTCCCCCCAGTCTGAATTCTGAGTGACCATTCAGTTTCACCATTTCGCATCATGCATGCATGCGAATACATCCTCCGTCATGCACTGAAGGAAGAATTTTCCCGCAAGAAGGGCTCTTCTGTGCCTTGCATCTGATAGAAGCTGCCACAACACGGCCTTCGCTGTCGATCGACTAGATATGCGATGGTGCGTACCATGTCCTGTTCTTTGACGGAGTGCGGCTGGGCAGCGACTGGCGACATTGTCACGGTGTTGAGTTGACGATCGGATAGTAGGGGAGATACGAGACGACCTCCTTTCCTCGTACTGTCGGCTTTTCAGTCAGCGGTTGTTTCTTCATCTTTTGTTCCAGCCTCATGATCCTTCTCGATCAATCCCTCTTGCTGCAATTTTTCCTTCTCCGCCTGCCTCAGAGCGGCAATCTTCTGCAGTCTGAACTTCTCCTTGACCTCGTTCAGCTTCATCTCCTTTGCGTCCTCGCTCAACCCATTCTCGACTGCGCGTTGTTCAGCATCCTTGACAGCCTCCCTTTGCAAGTCGTCCTGTTGACTGCCCACCCTCATTAAAATATGCCATCGCCGCCAATACGTATCTTGATTCTCCTTCTCTTTCCTAGCGTCGTTGGCCCAGAATTCGGTAACGTTCTTCATGTGGGCAGTATTTGCAAGAGGGATTTCGTACTTGGCATTTTCGTCGCGGACGCGATCGATCCATTCTTTCATCGTGTCGGGTCGGGCATCGCCGGTGCCAGGAAGGTGAACGAGAATATCGCCAGGCTCATAGTAACCGTGCTTCCATTCCCATTCAGGAGGGACGGTGTCGTCAGTACCATAGTCTTGATAGGCATTGAACCATCTCTGGGGGACGTGAGTCGTGTTCTTGCCCCATTTGTCCTGAATCAACCATTCCATGGCCGTCTGCTCCGAGTACCGCAGCTGCTTATCTGGGTTGTAGGTGGTGTATGACATAACCGCCGAGAGATACCACATCGACCACTCGTGCACCCGCAGGAAGAATACCCCTGCGTTCAGGCCGTTCAGATCATTGGCAACTAAGTGGTGGACGTGAGAGAATGCGTCTGGCGGAACGAACATCTCGAGCGGAAGTTGCGCATTCATAAGCACCAAGTCGGCGTCATGCCAAAACAACCATTCCAACCGATCACCCATTGGTTTCGCCAGCTCTTGCAACAGGATGGATAGGATGAATGCCTGTTTTGACCAAACATCGGGCACAATTTCGTGACGGAGGACGAAGTGTTTGTAGCCGAACCGTAGATTGTGGGCTTTGTGTCCGGCCAGTGCCTTTTCAAACCAGACGCTGTCTTTAGTGACTTTGTCATAGTAAAGCATGGTTATTTTCCCAATCTTGGAGTAAAGTGCTCCTTCACCAGTCGGGCTGAGGTCTTCATCGTGGTCGGTCAATGCCTTGGTAGGCACCGGCAGGGGAGTCGCAGTCGGTCGTTCTGATTCTATAAGGCTTGGAGATGGAGGCAGAGACACGATGATGCCCTTTGCAGAATCGGCTTCGTTCTCGACAAGTACGGGTGGATGATTGGGGGGTAGGGTTTCGATAACCTGGGTTACGGTGGACAATCGACTGGGATCTGGCGACTGCTCCCAACTGGATTTCGTGGCATAGATCAGCAGTATTACGAGGGCAACAGTGAGGAGGATAATTCTTCCGAGGCGATGAGGCCAACGGAAGGCCGGGTTGTGCGCCTGTGGCATTCTTAGTTGTGTCATACCATTTTACGACAACCACGAAGAAAAAGAAAGACAGAAATCAACATGGGACATGAATACGATGGGCTAGGGAAGAGCCATGTTGGTGGTTTGACTCTCTTTTGACCATTTGCCATGTCACCGAAAAATTAATACTACTTGTACTTGTATGTTCTCCGTACCTACTAAGGGGGATCCACATCAGCCCCTGATCGGGTTAATAATAGGCTCGCCTTGGACATAGTTGTGGACAACATGGTTAAACACAGGAGAGCGAACGGAAGAGGAGCTCCTATTCGAAGGCCCGAAGGCAGGGGATATTGTTCGCATTTCCGAGTTAGGCGAGATTTTAACCCTAACCCTGTCTGAGTGAGCACCGATGAGCCCAATAATCAGCCATAGTAGTATTGAACTTTCAGACCCGCAAAGACGGACAACGTGGTAGCAACAAGGAACAGCCCAGCACTGACCAGTTACTGGTAGTTGATCGGATACTACGGAGGCAGTACGCCGTATGTATGGATACTATGGATCCCAGAATCTCGGGATTGCGAAGGATGCTGAAAATAGATTGCACATGTCCCCGGCAGTCGAAGCCCTAGCTGAAGTAAGCAGAGCCTTGTCTACTGTATCATCACGTGGGTGATATATGGGAGGCGAGAGGGTCGCGGAGGGAGAATGTGAACACTGGGAAGACACCTATTTTGGTTTTAACATGCGTCTTGTTTCGAGTCAAGGTCCTTCGGACGAATATTACTTCATCAATCTCGACTCGCTGTGGCAGAATGTGGTATGGCATCTCGGACGAGGGTTCGATGGCAGACAGCATAGCTAATTGCGAGTGATGTCCATCGACGACATGATGAAAGGATTCGATGGTAATAGATAAGGATCATGTCGTCGATGGGATAAATTCAATATCATCAATATCTTCAGAATGTGTCTGTTTTCTTCTCAAAGTGGAAGAAAGGGAGGATGGCGGCGACAAGGGACCAGGCTTGGCACATCTGGGGAAGAGAGCCACCAGAGGCTGCGCTGTGCTGTTGTACCACAGGATTGCCTGCGAGTCGGGTATCTTTTGTTTTCCGACCAAGTCACTTCGCCTTCAATCAGACTTCACCTTTACTTGTCATCTTGTCTTGAATATTTCATCGTCATCTTTCATTTGGAGTTTGGGGACGATGCTGTTTTCCTTTCCACGCTTTCTTTTCAGCCCGCTCCCACACTAATCCTTCGTCTTGGTCCTCTTTCGCAACCATCTCAACGGTTGCCTGTCATCGAATTATCCCCTCTAACGGGTGTCGACACTTGACCCGTAGATCTCGGCACGGTCTGACATCGTCATTATGGCTGCGCCGCCTGCTCCTCCCAAGCAATGGGGCATCAGCGCTCCCATGTCTACTGCGCTGCCCGAGCCCATCGATAACGAAAAGACGGCCGAGTTGATCGAGGAGTTGAAGAGACAGAACAACTATGAGCCGCTGGAGGCCACTCAAAAGAGGATGTCCACTCTTGCGTTGCTCAACAGAGTTACTCAAGAGTTTGTGCGAGAAGTCAGTCGCAGACAGCGGCTACCGCCATCGCAAATCGACCAGTTCGGCGGTAAGATCTTGACCTACGGTAGTTATCGTCTTGGAGTATTTGGACCGGGTAAGTCGTGTACATGCTTTTGTGGCATGCGCCAGAGATTGACTTTCAAAGGATCCGATATCGATACTCTGGCGGTCGCCCCAAGACACGTAACCCGCGAGGACTTTTTTGAGTTGTTTCCCGCCATTCTCAAACATATGACCGAAGAAGGCGAGGTCACGTCCTTGACTCCTGTTCCAGACTCCTACGTCCCTATAATCAAACTGGAGATCAACGATATCGAGATCGATCTTATTTTTGCCTCGATTGCCAGTTTACACACCATTCCTAAAAACCTGACTCTGAACGACAACAATTTGCTCACGGGGCTGGATCAGGCAACTGTTCGAGCAGTCACAGGGCCACGCGTCACGGATGAGATTCTGAACTTGGTGCCGGAACAAAAGACTTTCCGGACGGCTTTGCGAGCGATCAAATTGTGGGCACAGAGAAGAGCCGTCTATGCGAACATTGTCGGATACCCAGGCGGAGTGGCTTGGGCAATGCTTGTTGCACGAGTTTGCCAATTATACCCTCACGCAGTCGGTGCCACGGTCGTCGACAAATTCTTCTTCATCATGAAGAGCTGGCCGTGGCCTACCCCGGTCATGCTGAAGGACATTGAACAGCCTAAAAATTCACAGGGCAACGAGTTCAAAGTTTGGAACCCTGCGATCTACAAGGGCGACGGTAAGATGCTGATGCCCATCATCACTCCAGCCTTTCCTAGCATGTCCGCCACGTACAATATCTCCAAATCTGGCAAAGCTATCATCCTGCGTGAGCTAGAGAGAGGAAGCCAGATCACCAACCGCATCTTTTCCGGAAAGGCCCGCTGGAGCGATCTTTTCAAAAAGCACACCTTCTTCACAGCCGACCACAAATACTACCTTGGCGTTACTGCCAGTACGCTGAATGCCGATTCGGCCAAGCAATGGGCAGGTCTTGTTGAGTCTAAAGTCCGAATTTTCGTCATGTTACTGGAAGGCATCAAGGATATCGCGCTTGCTCGTCCTTTCACCAAAGGCTTTAAGAGGGTCCACAGATGCACGGATGAAGGTCAGATTCGAGAGGTCCAGAAGGGCAGCATGAAGTACAAGGTGGAAGAGACCAAGACTGTTGAAACAACCGACCCAGAGCTTGTTATCAGCAACGGCGACGGCGCCGCTGTCCCGGCCGCGGTTGCTACTCAGCCAGAAAATGATCAAGGCGCTTACACCGTGTATACGTACACTTTCTATATCGGCATTGACACGACGGCCAAGGGAAGTCTCAACATTGCGCCATCTTTCCAGAACTTCAAGGACATCTGCGAGGGCTGGACAAGCTTCAATCGAGATGCACATTTTCTCACACTTGCGTCTATCAAGTGGTAAGTCTACCGAGCTCACCCAGTGATACAGTATTGGCTGACATAATCAGCTGGGATCTGCCTGATGATGTGTTCGACACCAAAGCCGGCGAAGTCAAGCCAAGTAAGCCGGTCAAGAAGGTCGTGAAGCCCTCCAAGGTCGAGACCAAGACGGGGGTTCGAAGGAGCATCAATGAAGTTGAGGTATGTTTGTCGTTTGCAACGAGTCATGCTATTCGTACTGATTCTGTACTTAGGGTGACGAAGCCAATGGCGCATCTGTCAAGCGACAACGATTGATGACACCCACACCAACGCCCACTCCGACAGCTACTGCAGCGCTCGCCTGAAAATGAGTGACAGCCTGACCAGTAGCCCTGCCCCTTCCCACGTGGGCATTTCTACGAGAGTGCCTGAACCGATGAGCAGACGCGATGCACAAAGCGTCCGTGTCGGTCTATATGACCACAGACCATGAATGCTCATCAATTGCCAAACATCATGAAACACCCAAAAAGGTGAAAAGACAAAAGAAGTGAAAAAAAAGTTGCAGCAAAAAAGCTGTCAACAATTTCCAGTGAGATGCCGTAGTTCTTGAAGAGACTAACCTGCGCACAGCACAATAAGCATCAGAGCACCGTGCAATAGCAGATTGGAATTCGGTTCGACGTCGAGGTTGGCAAAGCTATGTTTTAGACAAGCATCAGGTTTACGAGTGCGTTCTAACAGCGTTGAGTTGAAGATTGCACTCGATTTTGAATTCGACGGCGAACGGAGAATCATCAAAGCCAGGAAGGGCTTCATTGTTTCCAGGAGACCACAGAGGGCAAGCAGGCCCGGATTTGCTTCGTATGTACATAACCAGTCACTACTACAAGAGACAGCCAGACAGACATACACCAAAGACAATACCAAAAAAACAATTTAGGAGGTCTACGGATCTCGAGAAACAAGAAAAGGATGAGGGTTATTGCATAAGACCATCATGATTGCTATAAGCACCTCTTTCATTATTGATTTCATTGTTGATTCATACATGATACGAGCATCAACCCGTGACTCATTTTGACACATGGCTTGTGCGGCTGAAGAATTCCTCATTGTTTGCCTCTTGTCCCTTTCGCTGACTGTCCTCCTCTGCTTTCGCGAATGAAATCATGAACAGCGCCCACCAGTCCATCTTGGCCAGCCGTGGGTTGAGCAGAAGGCCTCGTTCGTATGCTGTGTCGCTTGGAGCTTGATCTTGGTTGGTTGCAACGATCACCATGCATATAAGCTGAGTTCAGGCCCGGATCGTAAGCGGGACTTTTCGTGCATGGATAGAGAATAGCTCGAAAACATGGCTCACCAGGCTGGAAAACGGGCGTAAGCTGAGCGAGAGTTGTCATCCTGCCCAGCTTCCACACCTCCACCGCCTGATCATATTATGCCTCATACAGCGATGGCACAAGCGAGGGCCCAGTCCGAATCTTGTCTACCGCCATTAGCTGGGCAAAGTTGTGCGCGAGTCGACTTTAAACGTGGCCGATTCCGACAACCTGCCAAAATCGGCAATCTGGAAAGGAGGCCTGAACAATCATCGAGCTTTAACAGCCTGATCACCCCCCGAGGAATTCGGACTCCCCCTAGGACAAGCTAAAGGGGTCACCGACGATGGCATCTGGAGAGCAAAAGAAACGCATCGTCATCTGCTGCGATGGCACCTGGATGGACAGTGACGGGGATTACCAGACCCCAAGCAATGTGACACGCATAGCGCGCGCCATACCTCCAGTAGGAGTTGACAAGACCAGCAATCCTCCTCAACCCATTCACCAAATTGTCTTTTATCAGAATGGGATAGGAACTGGAGACAAGTCATTGTACAACAGGTATGTCGGTGGTGCCACTGGGGAAGGGCTCGCCGAGCATATCCGCGAAGCGTACAGCTTCGTTTCTCTGAACTACAATCCTGGCGATGAGATCTTCATCATTGGCTTTTCACGGGGCGCATTCACGGCGCGCTCCATTTCAAGCTTGATCAATGCGGTTGGCCTGTTGACCTCAAAAGGTCTAGAATACTTTGTCCAAGTCTTCGAAGACTGGGAGTTCCAGCAGAAGAAGGATTTCGTGACCAAGTGGCCAAACCTCCCATTTGTCGGGCACAAGCCCCCTGTCACAGATCCACATTATCAGCAGCAGCTCATCGAGAAGAATCTCACCCGGCCGGGTATCAAGATCAAATGCGTCGCCGTGTGGGATACCGTAGGTGGCCTGGGCATTCCCATGATCGGCCTTCTCCCTCAGCCGCCTAGCAAAGACTTTGCATTTGTCGATACCCGAGTGGAATCAAACATCGAATATGCCATTCAAGCTCTGGCCCTTGACGAGCATCGTCGAGCATATTCCCCCACGATCTGGGACTGGCCGCGCGTCGAGCCCAACGACCTCCGGGTTCTTAAACAGGTTTGGTTTCCAGGGGTGCACAGCGATATAGGAGGAAGCTACGATGACACTGCACTCGCCAATCTCACTCTGGCGTGGATGGTCTCGCAGCTCGACCCCATTCTGACGATCAACCACTCATACATCTACTCTCTCATCGAGCCCGGGCATTCCGGGATCCGAGGCCACCTGACCTTCACGCGTGAAGGCATGCCGAAACGTGTCGAGAACACCAGACCGCACGCTCGTCCCTGGGGCTTGGGCAAAATCCATAACAGCATGACAACATTCTTCCTCCTCGGCGGCTCCCGCGTCCGCACACCAGGCGAGTACCGTGAACCCGAACTCGCAAGCCAACACGGGACTTTGCTCTGGATGTTCTGGAAAATTGGGCACAGAGTGTTAAGCAAGACTCAACATACCACGCCGAAACTGAACAGGACGAACGAGACCATTCACGCCAGCGTACGTATCCGCCGGGGGAAGAACGGATACGGGTACAACGACAAAGGCACGTACGATCCCCCGGCCTTGAAGGGCTGGGAAATGCACGGTGTGGAGACTAACCCGGACACGCCCATTGCAATTAACGCGCCTGGCCCAGTCGGGAAGATGACAGGCGTCGTGTACAAGAAGGCTGTGTCCCCTGAGACTGTGGAGAAAGGGCAGGTAAGAGTTCTCGAGCGCCAGGGCAAGAAAGACGTACTTGAACTACGTGAAGAGCCCTTGGGCGTGTTTGAGAGGCAGATTCTTCAGCTCTGGCCGGAGATCCAGAAGGACTTTGACACGATTGGGACGGAGGGCGCGCAGGTAGACCGCGTGCAGACCCATCCTGTCGGCGAGAGGGCGGCGGCGCCAGGAGCTGTGGGCGGAGTAAATGGGCTGAGTGTGCAGACCAAGCCACAGAGAAATGGGACGGCGTGAGCATGGAGGGTGTTCATGCCAGCGAGGCAGTATGCGCTGGTCTGGGGTCACACTGTTTTCGCATGGTTTGGGATGTGTCTGGGGTTCTACTTGATCAGGAAGGTGTCTTCATGTGCGATCTCTTTGGATACGGATAATGGTAATATCTAGCAAACAAGGCGGTCTTCATCGTGTCCCTTCTTCGCCTGTTTAACTTAGAGAAGGAGCTTCCAGAGTCGAACGAAGGAAAAGTCCGAAAAATGAATTGTACGGGCGAATAACTTGGCATGCGTGTGGCTGCCATGACCACTCGCCTTCACCATCTATTCATACCATACGGCACCCTATACTTAGCATCCCTCTTCCCTCGATCGACCAATTGTTCGGGCAAAGGGTAAAGACGTGATTTCCAAAAACCTCGTGCTCCATCGTATCCATCAACTAAAGCACCAGAGTGTCTCAGTTGTTTCGACAACATGAATCGAGGAAGACGAAGCCAAGACGACTTCCTCGTAACGCCTTTTCAGCTCTTCCTTCCACAATTTTCCTGCATGGGGCTATCACTATCACCTGCTCAACACTCGCATTCAACTGAAGTACTCATTGATCGATATTTCAGCAGCGGCGAGACCAGCTGGCTAGGGGGTGCAGCATCGAACAAGCAGGAGCCCTGCTGTGGTCTTGGCCAGCTGACCGTGACGGCGGCGGAAATGCATATGGCAGCGCGCGATGCCTCACGGACGCCCAATTCGAAACGCACGACACTGTGTTTGGCCTTTCCCTCGTGTTCGCAAAAGATATTGTCTTGGCTTATGGCTTCCTGGGACACCTGCGCGAGAAAGACAGGGGAGTCGAATGTCGTGGAGCTGAAAAACATGCACCAGGTTGACAGCATCTCTAGCCTGACTGAGCGATTGTCATGGCGGTTTGGGCTGAGCAGAAAGCTCACGATGTGAGGGTATATAAACACCTTCGGTGAGGCCAAACGGGTGTCCTGACACTATTAACTACGTTTTTCATATCGACAGGCTGTGTCTTGTTGTCATTCTACCCCCCTCAGAACCAAGACCAACCCCAGTCGACTCAAGATGTGTCTCGGATCAAACGATCATCCTGATGGCCCGTGTCTGGTGCCTCCTCATCCAATGCTCCGTGCCCATCTTGCCGAAGATAGGCTCAAAGGGCAGCCTCAACAGGCCCTTGGGCAGATAGTCCTCAGCGGCCCTACGGGAACATTCCATGGTCTGAACGATGGCACTATTTTCCCTAGATCACAATTCCAACAAATTCCCGTGCCATCCCTCGCCCGCATGCGCAGAGCTGCTCTGGAGAGGACCCCCTTGAGAGGCCCGATTCGGTATGTTTCACCCACCAGTCTTCCCAACGTTGGTATTCAAACCGGGACTCATCTCACATGACGGAATCTAGTGTTGCCATTGTGCTTGTCGATTTTTCGGACAAGCCCATGACGATGTCGAAGCAGCATTTCGAGGAGCTGTTCTTCTCTAAGGGCAAAATCCCTACCGGAAGCGTGACTGAATACTACGAGGATGTCAGTGGCGGCAAGGTCGAATTGACTGGGGAGGTGGTCGGCCCTTTTCGGATGCCTCTGAAACTGGCTCAATACGCACATGGCGCTTCTGGGCTTACTGAAGCTGAGCCCAACTTGCAGGACCTTGCCGCCCACGCTTTGGCATCGGCAGATGGGAGTATCGACCTGACACCATATGACAATGACCACAATGGCGTGGTCGACGCCTTCATCGTGGTCCATGCCGGTAAAGGTGCCGAAGAAATTCCTGACCGCGTTGAGAGGGCCAGCAATATCTGGTCTGCCAAGTGGATTCTCAGGAATAATACACAGGCAGATGGCACCAGGGTTTTTGGGTTCCTCACCGTTCCCGAATTTGCAAAAATCGGTGTCTGTGCCCATGAACTCGGCCATTTGTTGTTCGGTTGGCCGGACCTCTATGACATCGATCAGGATGGTGATGAGGAAAACATCGGCGTGCGGTCTGCGGGTGTCGGCGATTGGTGTCTGATGAGTGGTGGTTCGTGGGGCCATCTTGAAGGTAATGAAGCGGGCACGACGCCGTGCCACCCTTCAGCATGGTGCAAGGCAAACCAAGGCTGGATCAATCTGATCCCAGACCAGCAGAACCGCTCGATCGCTCTCAAGGATGTCAAGAAAGAGCCTCGAGAAGTGCACAGGCTATGGACGAATGGTAACATCGTCAGCCAGGAGTACTTCTTGATCGAGAATCGACAGCTGGATGGCTTTGACCGGTCACTCCCTGGTCAGGGGTTGTTGAGTAAGTACCTTAGTGCCATGACGTCCCGTGCTGTCCTTGTCGATCTATCGCAGGTCCCTTCAATGAATGCTAACGCACCATGAACAGTCTGGCATATCGATGATGCAAAGGAGACCAACAGGGACGAGAACCATTACAAGGTAGGCCTCGTGCAGAGTGACAACCGCCGAAATCTCGAGGCCGCCGAAAACGGTGCAGCCGGCAATCGAGGCGATGCAGGCGATCCTTACCCTGGGACTTCGAACAATTCGTCCTTTGGTGCCTTCACCAACCCCAACAGTCGAACTTATCGCGGCCGGGACAGCTTCGTGTCCATCAGGAATATCTCGGCGCCTTCCCAGACCATGACAATGGACATCGCAGTGAGAGCCGGCCTTCCACCAACTCAGGCGTCCAAACTGTGAAGTAATGCATCATTGGTTAGCAACGGGAACTTGGGGAAGACTGTCAGTGCAGAGCGATGACATAAGTATGGGGCATTCCAAGCGAGCACTGTTTTCATTGCAATGCCGTTTGAGTAAATGACCCAGTCCCTCATAGGGAGTGATGAATATATAATACCATGTCCATGCTCACAGCTTGGCCTTCACTTTCCCGGTTCCATTTTTACAAGCCTTGTCAACCCAGCCCATGACCTGGACCAGCTTCTCGTCCTGCAGCCTAGGCACGACGACCTGCACACTCAGCGGGGTGCCCAGATACACGCGCCGGTCGATTTTCTTTTCGTCCCACAACTCGCGATTCCTCTCGTCCCAACTTCCCAACGACGCCTTTCCCGCAGTGCTACTCTTCTGCGGCCTGCCGAGCTGCAGATCGCTCTCCGTGCACTCTCTCACGGGGACCGTACCCGCCGGATAATCCAGCAACACCCAACTACTCGTCATGCCGACGGCGTTGTACCCTTCGATCGGGGGCACCGGATGTGGCGCGACGGGACAGACAATGGCGTCCAGTTTCTGTGTCCGGCGGCCCTCCTCGTCATCCTCGACCCAAATCTTCAACATTTCACGCTCCAACTGCGCGCGCTGGGCCTGCAGCTCCGCGACCCGTGTGAGGGGCTGAGGCTTGCCCTTTCTAAACCGCGTGCTCATCCACGGGACGAGCGGCTCGCCCATTTTCTCAATCATGTCGGCCATGGTGACGCCTCCATCCACGCCCATCAACTTACTCATGACGGACTGACACTTGGTCCAGGCCCTGGGACATTGTAGGTCTACAACCTTGACGTTGTCCGTCGCAGCCAGCCCTGCAGACACTTCGTCCAGGACATTCTCCATAGGCGGTAGGATGGCGCAATTCCCATCGCTGCGCAGCACGCCGACGACCAACTCACCGTTTCTCCCGCTGCCATACGGTCTGGATGGCCCCGACCGGGACTCGGACCAGGACCCGGACCAGGAGAGCGGCATACAGTCCTCACCCCACAGGGCGGCGCGGGGGACGACTTCGCGCATGAAGACATCGATGTCCGTGACACTCCGGGCGATCGGTCCCGCAACAGCCTGGACGCTCGTGCGACTCATGCCTTCGATCCCCGTGAGCGCCTGCCCACCGTACGGGATGCGCCCGTTGGAGGGTTTGAAGCCGTACACGCCGTTGCACATGGCGGGGACCCTGATGCTCCCGCCGATGTCGGTGCCGATGCCGATCATAGACCCGCGCATGGCGACGAGCACGCCCTCGCCGCCCGAGGACCCGCCGGCCGTGCAGAGCCGGTTGATCGGGTTCATGGTCCGGCCGAAGATGTTGTTCACCGAGTCCAAGGACGCCAGGGTTTGTGGGACGTTCGTCTTCGCGATGATCACGCACCCGAGGCTCAGCAGGAGGTCGACCAGGGGCGCGTTGGACGGCGCGGGCTTGTGGCAAAGAAACGCTAGGCCGATGGAGCTGTCGACGCCGGCGATGTTGAAGGTATCCTTGACCGAGACGGGGAGGCCGTGTAGAGGGCCGATGGGTCGCTTGTGGCGTGCCAGGTACGAGTCCAGGTATCGCGCGCGCGTGATCGCCGAGTCAAAGAGTGGCTCGGTCAGGCAGTTGGTGAGCTGGTGTGCTATCGCGGCGCGGTGCGAGAAGGCCGTGGCTACTTCTTCGGCGGAAAGGATGCCGCCCAAAATGGCCTGCAAGAGGGAGGGGACCGTGTAGGATTCTGTGATGCGGATCTCGGACGTCGAGAGGCATTGGGCTGGGATGTGGAGGACGTTCTGGGCGCCGTGAGATGGGCTGGGAGGGTCGTGCGGGAGGAGGTGTGAAGGGATCTGCCAGTGCGAGGGAATGCGGGCGGCGCGCTCGGATTGTTTGCGGCGAGCGATGGGTTGCCAGGGCGCTTCCTGCGGTTGAGAGGACATGTTGGCCGGGTCTATTGTGTCCGACGCAGGGACGAGAAGGGGACTGAACAGATCAAAGAGGTGGGAGTCAGACTGTCGGTCATGGTAAGCGGAGGCAAGGAAGACGTGTGCTTTCTTTGTGAAAGATAAATGTCCAGGAATGATATCGAGGATCTCCGCAATTCAGCGCACCTGGAGTTGAACCTCGGCTCCAATATCAGCCTGGCCTTCTTCTTTCTCCTGAGAGCCTTAGCGGATAGCAGCCTCGTCACTTCATATCCTACCCTGCATTTGGAATACTGGGAGCAAGCTTGCGTACCAGGGCTGCTTCGTAATGTTGACCAAAGTAACCGGACATTTCAGGCGAGAATGCGAAAGATAAAAGCGGCGAAGATGTTATCTGGTCTGCAAGGCTGCACAAGGCTGCCACCTGGCTGCGGCCAGAGACTGGTCACGTGATCCGTGCGCGCGACGATGCGGTGGACGCCCTGCGCAAGACAAGATCATCGAGTTTACCCGGTATTTAGCCAGCGCAGTTCCCCGCCGAGCCGCGAATTGAACAGCGGCATTGATGTGTTCGAATATTAATCATTTGATCATTTATTATAATCACTTCAGCCAGCGACGAGTCTGAACTTGTGTAATTGTCCGATCCCTTATTTAAGTCTAGGAGCGTTTCTGGTCAATCATCATATCTCTAGATTAGAGCAAAAACCAGACCATCAAGATGGCCACCAACGGCACGCACTTCGTCGACACGGATGAAATTCCTCCTCCAGCGCAGTCCAACTCTCGTACAGAAGAACCGGACCTCCAGACCCTACGCATCTCTTCACTATCTCCCGCTACACAAGCCGTCCACGCCGACGATCCTCTCAATGTGGTTAACGACGTTGCTCCGCCGATCCACGTCAGTACGACCTTTCGCTACGACAAGGACCCTGAGCGACTACGCCCTTTCCATGAGCGTCCCACACCCATCAATGAGCAAGGAGAGCACTGCTACTCCCGACACACCACACACAGCACCTCAAGGCTTGAAGCCATCTTGGAAGTTCTCCTGCGCAACCCTTGCATGACATACTCCTCCGGCTTGGCGGCGTTCAATGCGCTGATCACGTTCCTCAACCCAAAAAGAGTAGCAGTTGGCGCTGGATACCACGGCTGTCATGGAGTCTTGAAGCTGCATCAGAGACTGTCGGGATGCAAGATCCTCCCGCTAGACTGCAAGCCCGAGGAGCTCGAAAAGGGTGACCTGGTACACCTGGAGACACCCGTCAACCCGACTGGTCTGGCATTCAATATCCAGCATTATGCAGACATTGCCCATTCAAGAGGAGCATATCTCAGCGTCGATGCCACCTTTGCACCGCCACCGCTGCAAGACCCTTTCAAGCACGGAGCTGATATTGTCATGCATTCTGGCACAAAATATATCGGCGGACACTCGGATATGCTCTGCGGAGTTCTGGCGGTCAAGAACAAGGACTGGATACCGCAAATGCTCGAGGACAGGTTATTTCTGGGTTCGGTAATGGGTGGTCTAGAAGGCTGGCTTGGAGTAAGAAGTGTGCGGACATTGGAATTGAGGGTCATGAGGCAAAGTCAAAGTGCGCAACGGCTTGTGGATGCCCTCGATGGCGCATTGACCGGAGCAACAGTCGGTACAGGACTTTCGCAGTCCGAGGTAGAGACCATCAAATCCGTATTGAAGAAGGTCCACCATGCCAGTCTTCAGACCCAGGACTACAAAACCTGGCTAAGGAAGCAGATGCCAAACGGCTATGGCCCGGTGTTCTCCATTGTCATGAAGACCCCAGAACTGGCTCGGGCATTGCCGAGCAAGTTGCACCTCTTCCACCATGCGACCAGCCTTGGTGGTGTGGAAAGCTTGATTGAATGGCGGACGATGACGGACTCGACGGTGGAGAAAGATCTTTTGCGGATAAGCGTGGGTATTGAGGACGACAGAGATCTGCTGGACGATCTCATTCAAGGCTTCAAAGCTCTGACAACGTCGGGTCCTTCCTGAGGTTAGTTGTCGGGATAGTGCATGAAGACATGCAATAGACATACAACTCAGTAGAGTAGCACAACGAGTGTGTGGGGGATCACACCCAGCCGAAACGATCCTCTTGTTGGTCAGGACTGACTTCTTTGCTGATGGCTGATGCCGAAGTCATCTCTTCAACATTGGGAGCATCAGGATCGTGGTGCATTCGTAGAACATCTCCTTCTCGAAAGCGATTCTTCAGATCGGTGCTTGATAATCCTGTCTTCTCCAGTTGAGACTCTGGTTTTTCGATCACGGCCGGCGGTGGCTGAGCCGGACGGACAGGTTTCGGGGCAATGATCTGGGGCGTTTGGGAAGTGTCTTGACCGTTGGACGAGCTCACGGGTGGTGCAAGCCGAAGGGTCATCTCGAATTCCCTGTCCAGGCCAGAAGCAGGGCTCCCTGGGGAAGGTGACATGCCGGTCTGAGCTCTCCGCAGCCCTCTAGGCTTCAGCACGTCGGGCGGTTCATGTCGGTTGGCTGGTGGTGGATGATGCCCTCGAGGACCATTTATGGGTGTGCTTCTGTCGTTCGTCGCGGCATCCCTTGGTCGACTCCGATATGACATGGGGGAAACAGATCTCGCGCGTGCCTTTGCCTTTGCCTTGGATATCTCAACCGGAGGTGTTGGGGCATCGTCGCCTCCTTCGCCTATAACCACAGGTGGGTCGTCGATGAAAGTGACACTCAATCCTCTTGCTCTTCCTTTCCTCTTCGTCAACGATGTAGCAGACTGGCTTCTTGAATGGTACTCTGGTCGTAAGAATGCGGGTTCGGATTCGCCTTGACGTCCTTGTTGACCGATCGGTTGTTGCCCGGGCCATCTCTGTGAACTCGAGACGTCGATCCGCGGCACCACAATCCTCCTGGGCGATTGTCTAGGTACCGTCGTCGAGTCGGACGTCGATGGCCGCGGTGAGGCCTGGTCCGGCGACGTGTCCAACGACGCATAGTCCTTCGGAGCGTCCGAGTGTGGTGTTTGTTTGCCCTCGGTCCAACTCGACGTCGACGTTCTCCCTGCGGCGAGGAAGTCGTTGACGTCGTCGCTCAGAACATCTGTGTCTTCACTCTTATTATCACTGTGTTTCTTGAATTTGGATTTTGTCCGCGCAAGGGCGCCCTTGAACCGGTCTCGCTTGGTTGTTCTGCCTTGAGCCTGCGCGGCCGCGCTTTCATCCCCGTCCATCGTCTCGGAGAGTAGTCGTTCTCGTCGGAACCATTGTCAGGAGAAGGGAAAGGCAATGGCGAGGAATTGTGTATGCGGTTTTGCAAAGCTGAAACAAGTGGAAACGAGGGTGGGTGGGTTCTGTTGGGTGTTGGCATCAGATGTCAAGGAGGTCAGAGGTAACGGTGGTAGCGGCAGCTAGGTGAGAGCGGCATATGGAATGCTTGCTGCCAAACGCGCGTTACACGCATTGCGATGCGAAATGGATGCAGCGAAACGCACTGGCCAAGATTGTTCACTGCGCTTTCATTTGTTGCGGGAGACACCTACATACTCGCTACCTAGTACCAAGGCTACCTATGTGGCTACAAGGCCAAGCGTGAAATGCTGACTGGGGCCCGCAGACTTGCACCTACTGCAAGTATGTACGCTTTTCGCTTTCGCTACCCACACTCGATTCGATCTGCAACTCGTCTGAGCACTCGGCGTGTCAGCGTAGAGCATGAGGCCGGCCCCGAACTCGGTACAACAAACACTCATGACCGATAAGCCCTTATCACCACGTGAAGGCCCCTGAAGTTGAACCTCGGCTCTTACTCTGACAGCAGTGCCACGGGTATGCCTCTCACTGCCTCTCACTGCCTCTCACTGCTTCTTTACCAACATTCCACAAAATCATCTTGAGTGAAGCATTCATTAATCTTCCCGGCTACCGCACTCTTTTTGACTTCTTAAGCATCATCTACGCGCTCTATACTATCCGTGGCCCGGAAGCCGAACAATCACAATCTCCTTCGTCCATCAACCATATCGTACCCGCCACATTTCCAGGCAATTCTCCGATAGAGGTCTCTCTAGACAAAGCAACTTGAGAACAATCAGGTTTACCAGACCAAGAATACACGTCCAAAGGCAACGTAGAACCACAACCACAACCACAACCACTATGTCCGGCCCAGGCTCCGGCTTCGGCTCAGGCTCAGAACGCAACCCTTCGCGCTTCGTCTGGCAAACAGGCGACTTCCTCAAACTCAGCATCCCCGACCGCGTCCTCGCCCTGCAAGCGCAGATCACAAAGGACCCCGAATTCTTCGGCTTCGACACGCACGCCCTGCAGGACACCAACATCACGCTCCTCACCGCCGAGCCCAACAGGACGGTCTGGGAAATGGACGTGCCCAGCCATCTATGCAACAAGTCCAGCAACCTCCACGGCGGCGCCGCAGCAACGCTCCTCGACAATCTCACCTCCACCGCGCTGATGACGATAGCCAAGCCGGGCTTCCTGGACGGCGGCCACGTCTCGCGCACCATCACCATGTCCTATCTGCGTCCCGTCCCCAAGGGCTCGCACGTCACGGTGGACTGTGAGGTGCAGGCCGCGGGGAGGAACACGGCGAATATCGTCGGCAAAGTGTATTTGAATGGGAAGTTGTGTGTCACCTGTGTGCACGACAAGGCTGTGTTTTCGAGCCGAGTGAAGGAGGCCACCGCGAAGCTATAACGTAACGCTTCAAGTGGGAGTGGAGTGGAGTGGAGTTCTAGAAGCGGGAGTGGTACCATTGGTACTGAATGCTATAGAGCTCCGGTAGGTGCCGGGGGTCTTTGGTGCCCATCGACTCAGATACGGCTAGGCAGGTCGCCGTCGATCCAGGATGCCATAGAGCCAGCGAGGTCGTCGTCGCCACTATCTGCGATGGAGTCGACGGGATATAGAGTATAGAGCCAGCTAGAACGCATTGATGCGCCTTCGGGAGGTTGCCATCTCGATCGACAGGACGAACTGCTTATTGTCCCAATGGTCTATACCCTGTCCAATAGGTCGAAACGCGCATGATGAGGGGGTCCAGGGACATCCAGGGCCAACAAATCGCACAATGGATGTACTTACCAGGAGAATTCCACATGCATCGCGCAGGACCCATACCCCCATGCGCACCAGGAGTTCAACGAGGCCCAAGACGACGAATACGCATGACGGGAAACTGGAGGATATGAGGTCTTCGAAAAAGCAATGCATTGAGTGCAGCGATACATGCTGCATTTCCTCTCTAAAACACCGAGCCAATGCACCCATGGTGCCCGTCTTCTCCAAGCAGGCCCGGCCAACCCCCGACCACAACCGCGACAAGCCGCAACCCCACCCCACCCCTTCATTCTTCAGCCTTGTCTCTTCCTCGCCTCCTCGAGTTGCTTCTTCAACTCCTCGTTCTCCCTCGCCAGGGCCACGACCAGCGCCTCATTCTGCTCCAAGACGGTCAGGATCGCACGATATGTGCGTCCAGTCGGCGTCGTCTTGTTCTCGTGCGTTGCCCGGTCGATGATGTCCTTGTCGACCTTTGCTAGAATGCGCTGGCGATAGTCCTCCTCGATCTTGCGGCGGCTGCGCTGGTCGACGGCTGTTTTTCCTGTGGACAGCTGGTCGTTGGGCTTTGTGGGTCTGCCAGCTGGGCCGCTGTTCCTCGCCCTATTCAACGACATGATGGGTGCAGCCGTGACCTCTCTGTTTGCGCGGTCTTCGTTGTCTGATGCTCGACGATTTGCTGCGGCACCGGAGGGTTCAGGAAAGGTGGATAAGCCGGTACTTGCACCAGCGCCGTTGTCTTCCCAGGCCATCTCTGGAGTGGTGGTTGAGGTAGCAGTGGCAGCGACAGGTTGTGTGTGAAGGGGCATGCCGGTGCTGGAGCTAGGCTGGTCATCGTTGGCAGTGGTGAGAAGGCGAGGATCAATAGGGATGTCGAGGTAGAGCATCTCATCGTCTTCGAAGGCCATTTCAGCGGTTCTCTTTGGTGCCATTGTCTCTGGAAGCCTGGAGAAAGAAGCTTGAAGATGTGGAATGTGTTGAATGGTTGGAATGTCTTGAGCAAGCAAGCGTTGAGAGGTGACTTTCTGTCGTGTCTGAGAAGAGTATGTGGTATGTAGTGTCAACGCGCTTGACAGGAACAAGGACGAAACAAAACATTCCGAACAAGTGCAAGTCTGTGAATAGAATATTTATATACACAGAGGCAGTGAGCGAAGCCTCTTTCGGCAAGGCGTTGTGCATTCATGTCACCGCCTTCGCCAAGTGGTGAAAGGAGACGGCAGTGGTGATAGAAAGGCGGACAGCCTTGAAGTTGGCAAAGGCAAGTCACTGGTGATCAGAGTGAAGGACCAGAGCGACCAGCCAGGACCAGTTGTCCGTCTAGACATTCATGGAACTGCCAGTAAATGGTGGTGTTTGATCCGGTTTGATCGTCCATGGAATGCAGTAGATATCTCCTTGTGGTGATGGGTGGTGTCGATATGAAATGTGCCAGCGCCAAAGACGAAGCAGCCAGTCCAATTAATAGCATGCCGTACAAGTAATGCTCACGGTAGCAGCAGGCCCACGACGCAAAGCCTCCTACGTCGCGACATCCAGAAGCCGTGATCACTTCAGAGCCTTCTCAACATTCGCCAACCTTCTTCTCAATTCTGCATTCTCAGTTCGCAGCCTGAGACCCTGGTCGATGGCAGCATCGTGCCAAACCCCCATCAAGCGTTCAATCATCTTTCTGCTCGCATCGAACATCCGCCCGTGCGGTGTAGTACCGGACGTGATTGGGTCGACGTGCTCGAGGATGCCGGCATCGATAAGTGCACGAAGGCGCTCTATCTGTGTCTTTTGCGTATCTCTCCGCATACGGTGGTCAACCGTGCCGCCTGATTCAGACCAGTCAGTATCGTGTAATTCTCCCAACCTCGTAGGATAAGTAAGCCAGCTGGGAAGGAAAGGGACGTACGTGTCATTGAGAGGATTCATCTGGCTGGAGAAACAGAGCTGGGGGACGTCGTAGCTTGTGTTGGAGCGTAGTCGTCATCTGATAGGTCGAGATCGCTCTCCGAGGAACGTCGTGATCGCGTGGTTGTACGAGTTTGATGCTGCATGGTGCTCGGAGACTCTTCGTTGTCGCTGTAAGTGGTCCAGTCACCTCCGCTGGCCACAGGCGTCGATGGCTTCTTACACGCCCTGGGAACAGACCGAGCAGCGCCAGCGATAGAAGCTCCCAAGTCCATGGCAGAAGGAACAAATGGTATACTGTGGATAGCAACCTCCCTTATTTCATGCTTGACCGTTTCTGTCTCTTCCACGTCAGACATGACAGCGGAGTTTGCTTCGCGCTTGATGTTGTCCATGACACCGTGATCAGAGCATGAGACGAAAGCCGCGCCTTGCTGACCGAGAGGGGTTGGAGGAGTGCTTGAGGGAGTGGGCCGGTGGTCCGTGAATCCCAGATATGTAAGTGTTGGAGGAGATAGGTACCACTGAGACATGTCTGCCGTCCAGGTGGCGTGTGACACAAGTACAGTGGATTTCCTGGAAAGACGGAAGTGGTTCGAGCGTGTCGAAGCGGGTGCAAGTTTGGAGATGTATCACAACAGACATGCTGGGATTTTGCAAAGATGAGGTCTTTAAAGCATTGCGACGTGGGATCTTTTGACGAAGCGGGCGTTTGCCCTAGAGAGTTACTGCCAATGGTCCGCCAAATGACACCGCATACCGTCAAGACATCATATCCCGGACTCACCATCCAGTAAGTGTAGATGCTGTCAATACAAGGCGTGAACAGAAGGCATGGGTAACGAGTGTGAGGGTTGTTTGGAACGGGCCACATTGGCGACAAAGGTAGCTCCGGTCCTAACGAAGTAGAGCAGTCAGATCGCGTCAGTCGCATCCCATAAGAGCAGTCCGAAAGAGTCTGTTGATGAGCGCGAATCCTTCTTCATTGGTATTGAGGTTGTGGATGGTTCGTGAATTCTCCGATTCACGCCATAGTGTTCTGTCCAGTCCACAAGGTATTCGGCCCCATCATGCCCCTTACTCCAAGTTTGCGTCGGCCAGCTTCTTCTTCAATGTCTCGTTCTCGGCCTTTAAGGCGTCCTTCTCGCGCCGCAGTTCCTCCATCATCCTCCTCAAGCTTCCGATCGCTCCTTGAGCGTCTCCCTCCACGCGATCTAGCATCGCCGCCGCAGCAACGAACACCTTCCCTGCTGGGGTCGTTTGTGTTATTGCTTCAGCATCCTCCCAGATGTCATCGTCGATCTTGCCCCGGAGTGTGTTCTTCTGGCCATCTTCGGCCGCCCGCCGGTTGCGGGTGTTGACGGCACCGGTCGTCATCGAGAGTTGTTGGTTGTTGGTGTTGTTTTGAGCCATGGTGTCTGTCGTCTTTGTGTTGGTATTGTGTGTTTGTGTTGATGGCTCCTGACAGACAGACAAGGTGTTCATCCAGGCTCAAAACGACCATTTTCAAGGCACAGCGCAGTTCCCATTCGGGTATCGCGTGCTTCCAATACATCTCGCCAAGCGGTGCAGACAGTTCGAACTGATATATATATGGGGTGGACGGTGATCCAGAGGACCGGTACGGTCCTACTGTAAGCTGAGGCGGACGCCATAGCCCCAAGAGCCAGCCCTGTCGTGTGAACATGCTGTCTGCATATTGACAATGCGATGCATTCTCTTGTTGTCTCTCTGGGTATCAAACAACCGTCCGGAGCAGAGCAAAAGGGGTCGTCGGATGCATCAGGGTGAACGCTGTTCCCATCTTGTGGCTTGTTGATTTGCTGACGTTCCAAGGTAAACAGACTTGCGCAGCCTTGTTGGCTATGTGCGTATCTGATCGGATGGCCGTTCTTACATCGTAGGCTTCGTTTGCATGGTTCAGCAAAAGCATCACTGTGTATTCCCTGGTCGACACGCAGTCAAGAAGGTGTCGTAACATCGGTGGACCGTGGACTTCGGATAGTGTTGAAGCGAGGGCCGGACCACTACAAGCTTCTCCGCAAAATCCCACCGAGCTTGTTCACGCCTCCGAAACTCTGGTATTTACCCACTTTCTGCATTTCCAAACACCCTTCAGAGTCCAAGGTCGTTGGTCAGGCCTCTGCGAGTCATGCACATCTGACTGGTCTTCAAGATGTGCCGAAGATAACCTGTATCCATGTGCAGTCCCTGCACTGGTTCTCGTCAAACTCCTGACACCTTCCCAAGTTCGCTTGACACTCAGATTGGCTGTCCCTGCCAAACCCCACACTCTTCATGCTCTGGGGTCCTTGCTTGTGGAAAAGACCACCCTCGGAAAGTGAGCGATGTTGTAGTCCAGATCAACTGCCGATAGTGGACTAAAATCTTGAGGCTCACTGGGCGTTACGGTCCGAGCAAGCATATAATCTGCTGGTGATCCTTCCGAGGTAGATGAATCTTGTCTGAATTCCTGATACTTTGGCTAGCAATCCAATTGTGCGACTAATTCATAATCGACAAGATGACGACTGAGAAAGAGCTCAATGAAACAACAGAGGTCATCGAAAATGCCCATGGTCAAGAACGAGCTCACGCCGTCGAATTCGAGGCTCCGATGCAACACATTCAGGAACTCAATGAGGCAGAGCACATCAACCTGAGTTGGCGGTCATGGCTGGTGGTGTTTGTTACCTGCTTTGCCATTATGGCTCAAGTATTTGTGGTCGTGGCTGCAGGCTCGGTCATTGCATTCATCATTCGAGATCTTGGTGATGGTGCAATTGCTGGCTGGATCATCCGTTGGTGACTCTTTCTTCCTTCCAGGTCTTATACTGACAACCATGGACAGAGGGACCACTGCTTATGCAAAGCGTGTTGTCCCCAATCATCGGCCGTCTCAGTGATGTCCTGGATCGGAAATACCTTGCCTCAATCCCTCCCTTGATCGCTTTTGTTGGCGCCGTCATTTCCGCAAAAGCAACTTCCATGTCCATGCTGATCGGTGGTGGTATCCTCATCGGTGTGACTTTGAGCACCATTGCTATCGTTCAGGCTATTCCGAGTGAGGTTCTGCCTTTGAAATTCCGGGCACTGGCAAATGGCTTCGCCTTCCTGGGAGGTGCTGTGGGCGGACTGTATGCAAGTAATTTTCCTTGAAGGCAAATTCGACTGACATGTCGCTACAGTGTCGGCGCCCTGGGTTCAGGGGCCGTTACAAATGCCAGTCCCTCTGGTTGGCGCGATATCTTTTGGATGCAAGCTGCATTCCATCTGGCCACCTTTCTCGGCTTGATCTTGTTCTACCATCCCGTTCGACGCTCGGACTATCCCAAAATGTCGTTCAAACAACTTGTCTGGGCTTGCGACCCTATCGGATCATTCCTTTTTATCGCTGCCTGTACCCTGCTTCTTTTGGCCCTTGATTGGGCCGGTGGTGCATATGCGTGGTCAGATGTTCATGTCGCTGCACCACTGGGCCTTGGATTAGGCTTTCTCGCCTTGTTTTGTGCATATGGTGAGTGGTTGTCTGCGTCGTCTTTTCGTGGCTCTGCTCAGACGACTGACTGGAATACAACAGAATGGAAGGCCCGCTCGGATGGTCTGGTCGCTCATGTGTTCTTCAAGGGCTCTCCCAATTTTGCATTATCGGTTTTCGCATTTGCAGTCGAAGGCTGGCTGTTTTACAGTGCTGTAAACAGCGTGACGCCACAGATTGTGCTGAACCTCGGTTTCGAGACCAGTGCTTGGAAGATTTCCATCCGACAGTTGTCGTACAATCTTGTGACACTCTTCGTCTCGATACCAATCATGTACGTGTCGATACTGAGATTGAACGCACCGCAACAGAACTGACATCGGCCCACAGGTTGTACGCCACAAAGTACAAGGACCTGAAATCTCCCTTGATCTTAACTTTCCTCATTTTCCTTATTGTGTAAGTAATTTTGCAAGGTTGTTGGATGATTGAGGGCGCGTCGCTGACCTAAGCCAGAACGATCTGCTATGCGGTGATCACCCCGAGCATGAACAGCGCCCAGATTGGTTTCAATGTGCTCTCGGGCATCGGACAATCTGGACCACTCACTCTCATCGTCGCCCTCATCCAGTTTACGGCGCCTCATGCGTTTCTGTCCACAGCGACTGGCCTTGGTTTCTCTGCTCGTGCAATTGGTGGCGCATTTGGCTCTGCTGTACTAGATGCCATCATCAACGGCAAACTCAAGTCCTATGCCACAGTCGTCGGCAATGCCGCTGTTGAAGCCGGACTGCCAAAGTCATCCCTGCCAGATTTGCTGAAAGCTCTGGCCACTGGAGCTGGATTTTCCGACGTTCCAGGGCTGAATGGAACAATCTTGGACAAGACCTTGAATGCGAGCCACTTGGAGTATGCTCACGCATACAGACTTGCTTGGGCCAGTATCATTCCATTTGTAGTCCTCGCATTGGTGGCGATCTGGTTCCTAAAAGGTGTGAAAGAGTTGATGACTGAAAAGGTTGAGGCGACGGTGGAACACGTCAAGACACCAGAGGCAAACAAGGCCTGAAAGTCCGGCATCATGAAGTAGTTGCTGATCATTGTCGGAATGAACTTATGGACAGGTTATGTGGATGCCCGTCATTTTGAAGGCACAATGCAATGCGGATGGGCTCGACCGCAGCGCACAATCAATGTGATGCCTTGCTTGGGACGCCGTTTGTTCGCACTTGGTCAAGCTCCCAGAAGTTTGAGCATGACAATATTCTTTCCACGTGTGGCAGGAAGGTGTTCCACAATCTGGCCTTCGCAGAGCTCTTTTATCTAGATCAAACAAGCAATCGTCTCACCTTCGAGGAGGGTGTCCCAGAGATGGGATATGCTGCTTGGTAGAAGGACAAACAAGTCGACGTCGGTAGAGATATGGCAAGCTTTGCCATGGTTAACAACATCATTGTCCATCATTAGTCCAAGATAGGAGCTGTATGAGGCACAAAGAAGTTTATCCACGCCTATCAAAGGACAAATTTGGCGAAACCATCGATGGCTACCAGCTATTGTGTGGTGTTGGTTGTTTGCTTGATTGCTGACTAAGGCATTTCTTGGCACGTGATGAGGCTGAGTTTCGGTGCACATGCCATTTGTTGACCTTGTCGGTTGTCAGTCACGCCCCGTCAAAATCTCTCGCTATGTTCTTGCCGGTGATTGAAGTGGCCGACTTTGATCATGGCAATTTCGCTAGGATCTCCACCTCGATCACCGCCGTCCTCTTCTCACCACTCCTGTCTCTGTTCTTGTGATCCATCTTCGCCAACGCGAATCTCTGGCCATGTCGATAGTCCACCATTGGACCCTTTCGGCAAGCCTCCTGTGTCTCTGGCATCTCCTCAATTCGGCATGGAGATTGTGACTTGGCCAATCGACGTTGATTGGCGTCGATGAGATTGTTTATCCCGACGCCCACTGTTTCTGAATGCTCATCCGAACCTTCCAGCTGGGAAGGCCTGGCCTTTGAAGCGCAAAGTGCCCACGCGACTCTCAGACATGTGGGCTTCGAGGTGAGGCTCCCAGCGAGGCTTGTATGAATCTAATCAGAGCAAACTCTTGGGTGCGGGAATGCTCCCTGAAAGAGCTATCTTTTGCATCCTGTATCATCCTACGTCTCGAAGCCCTGCAGCTCCTTCCTTCTTATCCTTGGATCCTTCTCGCAGCTCGAGGATGTGACCAGGTTGCTCCTGCGTAACGTTCCTTGCAGTGTGTTCTTTCTTTCATTTGCAGATCTGTTGCACTCACTCGTTCGTGCTTCAGCATCGTCCACTCGCTTGAAATCAGCTGTGCTTTCGTGCTTTTTCGGGCAAAAGTTCAAGAAGTTCTTCAAATCTCCAATACTATATTTCCGGCCTCGAGCTTCGACCTGCAATCCATTTGGAATTACGACTCTGAAAGCCCTCATAACGGCCGACCATGTCAGGTGTCCGCGACCCGGCCTTTTGGCGAAGATTCTCCATGGCAGTCCACCTGGATGAAGAGAAAGGAAACATATCCGACTCGAGGTCAACATCCACGGCATCTTCGAAGGCTGCCTTGAAACATGCGTATGTCCGGAATTCAGAGGAAAAGAGATGCAAATCGTGGCTAACAGAAGCATTAGGGATACTTGGCTTGAGCGGCACAGAAAAAAACAACGCCGGACGATGGTTGTAGGCTGGGTCATCGCTTTGGGACTTGTTCTTGTCGTCGCCGCGATCGTTCTTGTCCTGCTGTGGTTCTCCAAGGTCGGCCCGTTCAAGGATAAGGGAGCGTGACCAGCTCGAATTTTGGTCTTGGGCCTTCCCGAGAACAATGGGCTGCGCTATGGTCGACTCGACATTGCTTATCTGGACGAGGATCAAACAAGACACCGTCACCGACCGAATGGAAGGACTGACCTTTGGGTTGGCCAACAACTATTCATCATCAATTGACACAATGACAGTATTGTGGAAGATATTGGAATTACGGAGACGCCAGATGCGGTTGGCATATGGCAAGGCGGTTCTGTTGGGCATGGAAGGCTATAAGGAGAAAGACGAGTGTTTTGATGGAGGCTCGTCAGAGGAGAGGAAGGGTATCAGGGGGGACTGAATAACGACATAACGAGAACATGTTTAGCTATCGGCCCACGTGGACGGTTAATCTTATAGACATAGAGAGTTATTAAAATCAAACATTCAACATTCATTGGGATGCTTATCGACAGTGGTACATAGTGACCTTACAAGCTGGTTCGTAGTCAGAAGCAGCCTCATAGTATCAAAGCTATTTTGAAGCCATCTGCTTTGAGCGTTCCCTGAGTAGTATCATTCATACTGGATGTGCCAAACTATGACGAGCCCATTATGTGAGAGGTTTTCTGGCTGTCTGCCTCGTTAGACAGCTCATTCTCAACACTAGCAATAAGCAAGTGTGAGCCCCCGGAAGGCTGTTACACGACTGACACTGACACCCTTGGCCTAAATGTCCAAGATTTTGCTGTTCCTTGTGCTTGGACTGCGGGATGGGCATGGTCTGTTACAGCCATCCATCCTCATCCAGACACGGGGATGCTGTTTTCAACCGAGGTTCAGACACGGTTGCTGAGAGCATCTCAATTTGCAAGGGCAGCTTCTGGTGACATGTCCGTTCTCCAAGTCGTTGGGAAACTCAGGTGTTCGGTCGCACCCTCAAGAACAGCTCGTCCTTGCCTGATCGTCAAGTGCTCAGCCCGATATTAGATGTGTCAAGCAGCAATGTGTTTTTTTTGCGTCCTTCAAAATCTGCACTTCGAGTTTGCAATGTGCTGGTATCTTTGCCTCTGCTACCGAATCCCATGTGTGCACTCAAAACCTCTTCCTCGTCGGCTCTGGTGATGGACTGCGCGTAACGCTCCTCTCATCCCGACCCCTCTCCTTCAACCACTTCTTTGTACTCAACTCCAACTCGCGTTCCAGTTCTGGAGAGGGCTCCTTTCTGTGAATGAAATTGCAAAAGCCCCCTCTCACGCACCCTTCGCCTGAGTTCAGCCTGCAACACGCCTCTCTAAAATCGGTGACTGGACTGAGTTCGCAGTATATCGGCCTTGCCGAGTACCAGCGACTGTTCAGCGCGTCGCACGCCGCTTGGGCGCTGTCTTCGTACTTGAAACGCGCGTAGACGTTGCCGATCAAGTGGTCGTTGTTGTTGTCGCAGACCACGATCTCCTCAATCTCGCCGTACTTGCACATCTCGCACCAAAGGTCCTCGTAGAAGGCGTCAAAGTGGTTCTGGAGTTGTGAGGGATTCATCTTGTTCTTTGGATCGTAAGCAGGGTTCTGGTACAGGTTCGGCATGAGGATGGTCTGCGAGTATGAGGGCTTGACGTGCTTGCGAGAGCAGCGATCACCGTGGCGGCACGCGCCGATCTTGTAGTAGAACGAACAGTTGACTTTGTCCTGTTCCGTGCCGAAGATGGAGGCGAGGTAGTTCGCCATTGTGAGGAGGGGTTTGATGGATTCGCTGGATTTGTGGGAGATCACAAATTGTTCAGAGAGTAGTTTGCGCTCGGCGTAGCGATCAACGTCGAATGGCGCAAAGGTTATGATGTGCGGTTGTTGTCTGTGGCGATGTGAAGGTTGTGTATGGGAGGCTTTTAAATCAATTAATTGAGCTGCGCCAGGCGAAAAGAGCAGGGCTGGTCATGTGACCTGGGGAAAACGAGGCTGTCTGGAAATTTCGAAAGTTACATAAGCGAGGCTGTGGCGAGAGTGGCTATTCCAAATTCAATCATCTAGCAGGTATTTGGTACGATGCAAGCAGTAGGAGAACCTCCGCAGCTTTTGCTCATCGGTATACCGCCCCTATAAGCATGAAGTAGATATGAACACCGTTGTTGAGGCTCCTAGATGACCAGGTTAGAGTCATTAAGCTAGAACATTGAAATGAGAGAGACTCTGTAAGAGTGACAACCAAACCAGCCTTGCTGTTACATATCTGATCGCTCTGCATCTGCCTCACCTCTATCACCGTATTCTTGGCAAGGCAAGAAATCCCAAGGTGATATATTGAACAGCTCGAATTGTTCTTGACAATGGGTGAAATCCACTTCCTACTCCCTTCCAGTATTCGACCTCCTTGGTGCACCGGGCTTGACTCTTCGCCTTAAACATGGTCACTTAGTGTCGGAGAGGGTTAACTAGTGGTAGAGGACTAGCCTAACGTCAACTGGTGTGTATGTAAAAAAATCAGTCCGCCTGGTTTTCTAGTCCTGAGGTCCCTCTTCGAGGGACTGAATCGTGGCCAGGAATTAGTTTTTTGCAATTCTTTTTGATCTCGGTTACTATGTAATTTGATCCCTACTGACTGTATAGCGAGTGGTGGTGGTGGTGGTGGTGGTGGTGTGTAGGTGAATATTCTGGTCGCTTGGCTGAGATAAGTTCTGTCGCTCACCTTGAAAAGTAGTGAATGTCATGCGTGTTGGTTGCATCTTCAGTTCGGTCATGCCCCTTGTAGGCCTTCGTTAGCCATGGGAACTACCCAGTTAGCTGTAGTAAGGTATGATTGCTTTGAGTTGAAGCTCATCATCCGCTGCTGGTATTCCTGCAGCCTCGTCGTGGACTAATGTTGTCGCAAGGCTGACTTCAGTCGTCAGACCACCCTTCAGTGCCAAGACCTCAAGCTCGCAGCTTCGTTCGGGCCAATCATCAATAATCCTTCAAACTGCGTCTTTCAAACGACCTCCTGCTTCTACACGTCTTTTGCTGCCTTTCACCACTCTCGACACTCCACTCTCAAGTTGCTCACCATGTCGGCAGCACGCGCAGCCTTTTCTCTGGCCCGCCGTGTCCCTTTGAGATCAGTCTGCGTCGCTCCTCGATCATTCGCTACGGTCGCAGCTCGCCGTACGTCAATGGAACCTTCTGAAGCTCCCAAAGCAAACCACGCTAGACGCATGGGGGACTTTCGAGCTCTGCTAACGACGGCTGCTGTATAGGGGGGAAATGGGATCCCAAGCCAGGTGATCCGGATGCCAAACTTATGCCTTTCGACGGTGCGTCCCTTAGACAATGACCTGCGACAAGCTTTTAAGACCACGAGCTACTGCGGAACAAGTCGCGAAGACAATTGAAGCTGACGTTGGATATGACAACAGAAATCAAGACCGAGAAGGATCTTCTTCCACCTGGTGCCGAGCCTGGTACCGTCCCTACCGATCTCGAACAAGCTACCGGTCTTGAACGTCTCGAAATTCTCGGAAAGATGCAGGGCATTGACATTTTCGACATGTCACCCCTTCCGTCCGATAGAAAGGGTATGTGAGGGAGTGAGACGATCCGCTGTCCTGGCCAGGCAGAAGCTGAGCAGGTTCAAGAGGATCGTGAAATACAAGAGCTGACACATTTGCGGCACAGGTACTTTCGAAGACCCAATTATTGTCAAGTCGGCAGGAGACGAGATCCAAGCTGGTTGTACTGGCAGTCCTGCAGACTCACACATTGTTAAGTGGCTTGTGGTATGTTTCCGACTTGGATACCCTTTTTTCTACAAGCATGGTCTACACATGAAGTGACATCGATTTGCAAAAGAGCTCCACTGACGATTGGTGCTACCAGATGTCCCGCAAGCGACCATTCGAACGATGCCCTGAATGCGGTAGCTGCTACAGAATGGACTACGTCGGACCTCCGGATGACCCGCATCACCACCACCATGGCTATGAGGAACCCAAGACTATGGCAGACTTCGTCAAGCCCGAATACTGGTACAGATAAACAGGGGAATCATGTTGAGGTTGTTTGAAAGAGCATTGGGGAGCATTGTACATAAGGTGATACCGGGTCAGACTGACCTAGAGAGCAATTCAGTATGCATGGTGACCAACGAGCTTGCATCTGTCTCTTCCCATTCCTACCATGCAAATGAGGGGAATCAATGCTTGTCAAAGCTGCATTTAGCTCAGTGTCCATGCCTGACGCACCGATTTGATCCGTCACTAACCGTGACGACGTATGTGAGGAGTTAACAATTTGCTACAGGGCGAAATAACCACGGTAATCGGATAAAGATAGCGGCTAAACGCCACATTGTGCCGTTCAAAACCCCCCCAGACTATGATTTAGACAGCCAGACAAAAGCTCCTATTGATCCTTCACAACCACCAACTCGCGCTTCGGGCAAGAGACGGCACAACGGGCTTCTCCATCTCTTGGAATTGGAGATAAGTGAGGAGGGGGGCCCTTGGCGGATATGCGAGCCTTGTCTCCCCCATGATTGTTGAAGCTATATATACAATGATCTACCCTCGGGAACTCGTCATGAATTGACCAGAGCTTCACCAGTTCTTCTGCCGCCTCTTGCTCTGTTTTTCTTCGCAATGCCGCACGCGACTGTGCCAGGGTATCAACACATCCAAGTCACCGAGCTTGGGCCAACCTTTGGCGCCGAAGTCTCGGGTATTGACTTCAGCAAACCAGTCGAACCAGATGTGTTCAAGGAGATTCTAGACGCAACAATAAAGGTAATGTCTTGCCCTTGCCCCACGGGGTCAATGACCCCCCTCCCTCGTTGTCGCCCAAACTGACATATGTTCTGTTCCAAAGTATGCCGTCCTAGTCTTTCGCAACGCAGGCCTCGACGATGCCCGACACGTTGCATTCTCGCGCCTCTTTGGCGAACTTGACGACGTGAAGCCGTACCTCACGCTAGGCCGCAAGAACCGGTTCCCATTTGACGAACTGTTCGACGTCTCGAACCAAGAGGACGATGGCTCGATAGTGCAGATTGGCAGTAAGAGGGAGCAGACGGGTAGGGTATGGCATTTTCCCGTTTCTCAGTCGGGCTTTGGCTCGCAAGACGGTTTTTGTTCAGTGCTGAGTCCACACTTGCGCAGGGAAACTCCCTCTTCCATTGCGACTCGGCCTTCAACCCCCGCCGCGCCGGCTACTCGTTGCTTCGCGCGCACGAGCTCCCACCACCAGGCAACGGGGGTAACACCGACTTCGCCGACACCCGCACAGCTTTTGACGAACTGCCCGCGGACCTGAAAAGTGAGCTCCTCGAGAACGACTACATCGGAGCGAACAGTCTCTGGCACAGCCGGCGCAAGGCCTGCCCGGAGTCCGAGTTTCTCGCCTCGATCGACCCGGAAGCATACCCGTTCGGCCGCCACCGGATCGTCCAGCGCCACGAGCCGAGCGGCAGAATGAACCTGTACATCGCGCACCACCTGCACCACCTGGAGTATCCCGACGGGCGCAGGGTCGAGGAACCGAAGAGCACGGAGTTGATCGAGCGCTTGCTCGCGCACGCGACGCAGGATAAGTACCTGCTCAGCGTCGAGTGGAGGCAGAACGGGGATGTGGTGTGCTGGGATAATACGGCCGTCATGCACAGGGCGGGAGGGGGTACTTTCCAGGGCAGGTTCAAGAGGGATATGAGACGGACCACGGTGCACGATGGGAGTAGTACTGCGTGGGGGTTGAATGAGCGGACGACGAAACGGATGGGGTTGCCATGAGTTGGATTTGTGGTGCAGTTGCAGTTGCAGTTGCAGTTTTGGTGAGGGAATTCCCGAAGATGGCTTGCACAGCGATGCTGGGTGCAAGGTGCGAGGTTGATGGCAGTCTGAGATGGCGCGAGACACAAGTCTGGAAAAGCGAAAGGGAAAGAGCGAGTTCTGGATGTACGATTCGAGGACGTGAGATGTGAGTTTAGTTCTGTGATATAGTATGCAAATGTTCAGTCTGTTCCATTTTGTAGCCCCTTTCGCATCCAATCTGGCTTTCTCACCCCGTGGGGGAATGTATTGCAAGAGGGGTATGGTCCTCTCCTTCGAGGAACTCCATGGCAGGAATGCCCATCTGGGGCATGACGATCGCTCCTGTCAACATTGGATCCCTTCGACTTCGGGATGGTGTCCGCCTTGGTGTCGAGAATCCGGACAGTAGAGCGACCTTTAGCCTCAGACTTCGACCAAGTACGCCGACATATTTCCATGGCAGGATGCTCACCTGGGCATCAGGGCCACTCCCGTCTCGACATTCGACTTCGGAATGGTGTTCGCCTCGGTGTAAAGACTTGCCGTAGTAGAGCAGCCTTGAGCCACAGACCTTCGACCAATACAGGTGACATAATTCCATGGCAGAGTACTCGTCTGGGAACGAGGAGCCCTCCGATCTCAGTATGCTGGTTCCTCGAATCTCGGAATGGTGTTCGCCCCAGCGTAAAGAGTAGCCGTAGTAGAGCACACTTAAGCCATAGACTTCGACCAAGTACAGGCAGCATTATTCCATAGTAGAGCGCTCGTTCGGGGCTAAGGAGCACACCAATCTCGCCGTCTGGTTCCCTGAATTTTGGAATGGTGTTCGCCCGAGTGCGAACAATCCCTAGGAGTGCTAATTCTGGCTCACTGACGTCAGCTGAATACACGTTGCATTGTTCATGTAGAAGGCATCAATCCGGGATGCAGATGCACGTCTATTATATTCTGCCACTTGTCCAAAGGTCTGTTGTGCAGTGTTGTTAAGCCTCGTGTTTGGTGCCCAAATAAAGCATCCTGTTCCAAACGAAACAGCATCAATGGCCGTTGTCTGAAGTAAAAGCCTCTCCGGGAAAAGCAGCAGTATGTTCGCCCATGCTCCTTTATTTAGATATCACTGTGTTGTTCCTATGCTGTTGAGCAGCATTCAGTCCCTGGCCGCACCGGCGCAGACTTCTGAACATGCTATCGTCTTCGAAACGAGGACCGCAGGATTTGTTGCGTTCATTCCGTGGTATCTCGTGCTAGGTATTCCCTTCGCTTTTTGTTCCAACGGACATGCTGGTCTTTTGTCAGCCTTGTGCAGGACGAAAAGAAAAGGCATTCGGTTTTCGTCGCGACGGGGCAGTTTGTCACGTTCAGTGTTCAAGGAGCCATGCCCGACTGCGCTTGTTCGCGCGGCAAGCTGTTTCTTTCTGCGGACATGAGGCAGCAAACGCTCTCGCAGCGCCGAGGCAGTGCGTCGCGCGGTCAGTATACTCATAAAAGTAGCTCTCTCGTGAACTCTTCGATCAGATGTAGGTCTTTCTCCAATCCAACAAGACGTAGAGAAGCTTGATTTTCCTGCTTGATTCGTGTTCGTCTTTGTCAACATGAGTGGTCCAAGGGAGGTCCCGATGGGGACGAAGCAAAAATACACGCCAAGTGATCCAGGCCAAAAAGGCGGCGAAGGCTTCTCGGGAGGCAGCAACGCCTTCCCTGGCAAGGACCCCGCAGAGGACCATCAGTATGGCCATGGTAAGGAGGCGCTCCTTATCTCAGCTGTCCGTACTAACAATCTGCAGACGGAGACAAATCATCATTCCAGAAACCGGTCAGTTGGCCCTACACATCAGAAGGAGTGGTACGCAGCCAGCGAGGCATGCCATTGGAAGGGCGAGAAACTTGGGCTCTCCCCAGTCGCGGAGGCGGAGACTGGGAAACATGACTCCCTCATCCCCGATGGTTGAGCAGACCGAGATATGGCCAGACTGCGAAGAACTTCGATGCGAGGCTCTTACACCCCTGGCCGCACCTGTGGTAATTGGCGATAGACTGATTTGACGTTGCTGTAGGATCCACCACCAAGACAAGGCCCAGCCCCTGGCAACAATGGCTCGTCACAGCCAACCTCACCCCGTGCTGCTGCAAACCGTGACAAACTAGAGGGTACCAGACATGGTGGAGTCAACCCCAACGCGCCACAGGTAACAGGACATTTTTCGAACACGAAGGCTTTTGCTGACTTGCTGCAGAACACCAAGCCTTTCGAGCCTTCCAAGGAGAAGCACGACTCTGGAAAGAAGAAGGATGAGAAGAAGAATAAGGACTAGCAGGTCGACGTAGGACTTTCTCGGTGGCTAAGTCTCCAGAATAAAGAAGCATGGCAAAGATAAGGAGGCCGGCGTCGAGTATGACAGAAACAAGGAGAAACGTGCCCCCTGAAAGGCTGAGCTAGGAGCGAATGTGTGTGTATCATTATTGCGACAGTGTACTGGAAATATGGGTGGCTGATGTCGAGTCCTCTGGGGACGAAAAGCAGGCATCGAGGTCGTGCAAGGCGTTCCTCTCATCTCGAGTTTGTCATGTGTAACTACCGGTGTAACCATAATGCGGATGAGCTCTTAAACACAAAGGTCCCGCTGCAAACGGCGTTCTTCCACATTCTCAGTCGCCCCAACCAGATTATCGAGGGCCCGCTGGAACCGAGGACGCGGGAGGGCGTTTGCGTGCGCAATATGAAGACCGAAGTAGATATATCCGATGTGGAAAGGGGAAGCAGCGATAGTGGCCAGAAGGAGAGTCCCAAATGTAGGATCAAGGTCGTCAAGCCCAAGAACTGTTCGCTAACGGTTGTAGCTGGCTTCTTTTCGTTGTTCCTCACTCGCGAATGCAACAAGAAGCCCAATCCAAGTCCAGATGACGCTCAAAGCCAGGAGGAAATACTGGGGCAAGGAGATCACTGGCGAAGGACGGAAGTTCTGAAAGGTCAGCCTTAGCCTGTCGATTCAGTCGAGGCAGAGAAGGTTGGAACTAATATCGTTCCATACAGTCAAAGAGAATCATCCCGGCTGGCCCAGGTTGGCCGCGGTCATTGAAAGCGATGCGAATTTCTTGATATTCCGCAAGTTTGGATTCTTGCGGACTAGGTTAGTGGTGTGGCACCAAGACCGTCTGAGGGAGCTGGAGGAGAGGCTGAGAGATCTGGATGACGTGGACTTCAAGACAGATGAAAACACTCAAAGGGCACTTTGCGACCGCGAAGGGGACGACAGGAGAGAACCTGCATCGCGGAGGGAATTGTTTGAGAGGCTCAGCTACGAGCTCCAAAAGTATGGTCAGTATTCTGCACCTGCGTACGCACAGTCACTGGACTCATGTTTACAGATGACCTTTTGAGACGATACGCTGAGCTGCAGCAGTATGATGCGCCGAGCGAACGGGACCGGGAGTCTGTTGCTGGACTGATCTGGAACGATGGCCACCTGTGCCTTCGTGACAGAAGCTACATCAAACATGTCGACGACTTGATTGCTCTTTGTAGCAACAAGGAGACCAGTAAGATGCATGGCCTTCTCCTGGATCTTGTTGCAAAAGTCGGAAGAGGGCGGCCGTTATTTCGTGTAAGTCGCAGCCTAGACGTGGCAATGAAGGATCACGGCAGCTGAATTGTGACAGTACCTCTTCCGGAATAAACTGCAGCAAGAGAAACTTGATGGCGATACCGAATTGCACTTGGAACTGTTCGACAAAAGCCGGATTGACGCCTTTGTCGCGTTTCTCTTTACCATGGTGCTGGTATTCTTGATCATGGGACCAGTGACGGTGTTGTACAAGATGAGAGACAGTGACGGCTATCAACAATTGGCGATCGCATTAGCATCCACGACTATGTTCGCTGGGTTGGTTGCAATTGCCACAAGTGCAAGGAGGCATGAAATCTGCGGAGCCACAGCAGCGTAAGTTAGGCTTCTGGTGATCCTCGACTGCTAAAGCTAAGTTGATTAGGTATTGTGCCGTGCTGCTGGTATTCATGGGACAGAGTCATTGAGCCAAAAGCTGAAGGGATCAGTCGCCTTTTGATAATAAGACAGAGCAGTTTAATCATTGCTTGTCGTCGGATCCCAGCTGCAAGGCGCATATGAGTTGGGCAAGTCCAGGCTCTTCATGTCCCCCTCATCAAGCTCGAAATCATAGATGTTTGCATTCTCCTCGATCCTTGAAGGTGTAACGCTTTTCGGTAAAGGCACGTATCCCTTCTGCAAGCTCCAACGCAGTAGTATCTGTGCCCATGTCTTGCCGTGCTTCTGACTCAAGGTCTTGAGGACTTCTTCGTTCGACCGTTGGCCACGAATGATGGGACAATATGCTTCAATGACCACATTCCTCTTTCTTGCCCACTCCACTATGTCGTTACGTGGAAGCCAAGGGTGAATCTCCCACTGACCGACATCGATTGTGCCACCGACACCAGAAGTCTTGATGTATTCTTCTAGTTCATCGAGATGGTGGACGCCATAATTCGAGACACCGATAGAACGGATCTTGCCGGCTTTCTGAGCTTCTGCGAGGGCTTTCCACGCCCCACATCGACCTTCTTTGCCGCCATAAGGAGAGTGAATCAGGTAGAGATCAATGTAGTCGAGTCTTGTCTGGCTGAATGATGATTCGATGGACTTCATCGCCGCTTCGTAGCCCATCGCTCTCGGTGGGACTTTGCTGGTGAAGAAAATGTCTTCTCGTTTCAGGCCGGATGCCCGGATGGCGTCAGCACACGGCTGCTCGTTGCGATATGCCCTGGCAGAGTCGACGTGTCGATAACCGGTTTTGAATGCATGAAGAACGACCTCTTCGCAGGATGCAGCCGGTGTCTGGTACACGCCATAGCCTAAAGCAGGGATACGGTAACCGGAATTCATGGTGTAAGAGGTGTTAATGTCAAATTTGGTAGGAATCTGACTCGCCATGGTTCGCTTTTGATTGACGATCGAGCTCGAATTTGGGGATAGTTGACGCTGAAGAAGGAGAAGCCGCCTCGACAGTGACGAAGACCGCATATCAGACAGTCCGTGTCAAGATTTAGATGCAGTATGATACACCCAGGTTTGGAGGCTTCGATGACGAGCCTTCTTTCAACCGGGAAAGAGGTGAGGTCAAGAGTCAGGACGGAAGTCACGAAATGGAGCTAACTTGAATGGGACAAGCGTGGCACGTTTGGTGCTACTGCTCTACCGCTGAGATATGGGATATACGGAGAATCGTAAACTCGTTATGGAGCAAGAGGCTCCGATGACAAGTTATGCTACAAGTAAATGAGTAATGTACAACTGCATTATCCAGACCAGTTTGGTGTATTTATAAATGTCCACCGTTTTTGTTCCAACCTGTTCCCGCATGTATGCATATGGTGACGCCGCTCGCTTGAACGCTAGACAAATCCACCAGAAAAGATTCATGTGTAATAAGACAACCCATTAGAAGTGATGATGACTGGCATGGCTGTACACTCTGCCAAACTCCTCCAGGCGAGCACGCGAGGCACGCGAAGCACGCGTGCTCGTGCGACCCATACTGGGTCGACTAGCTCTGCTGGCCCGGGTGGTCTGGCGGCTCATGCCAGCATTAGCAGCCTGGCCATCTTTCTCAGTCTCCTCCTCTGCCGCTTCTTCCTGTTCTTCTTCCTCAACGTGCTTCTGTTCTGCGCGCATCTGAACCATGATCTCGTGGGCCTGCGCTGCGTACTTGCACTTCAACCTGATTGACTCGCCGTATTTGTAGAAGATAAACGGGAAAGGTGTGCAGGCCAGAGCCAAAAAGGCTGGAACCGAAGAGGCCCAATGAATCCCCAGGTTTTGGAACATGTAAGTGGTAAAGAGTGGGAAGACAGCGCCGAAGATGGATCGAAGGACCGAGTTTGCTGCCAGAACCGAGGCTGCATAAATCGTGTATGCGTCGATAAGATAGTTCATGCAACCCAAGAACACCAGCACCATGCCGAAACCAAATGGTGCTGTTGCGATAATGCTGACTATCCAGTGAACAGAAGGACCGTTTGTCTGTAACGTATATTAGTATAAGAGGTCAACCAGCCGGCCAGCGAATAGACTTACCCATGCAAACCAAAATAGACCGATCGGAAGAGCCACAGCCCCAGCCAGGGCCGGCGGAAGACGCGCTTCAGGAGGAGCTTCGCCATCATGTTCGTCTTCGACTCTCGCATAGCGCTTGTTATCGATGATGCTGTAAGTGACGCCAAGCAACATACCGACGGCCACACCAAGAAAGGCGAGCCCACCAATGCCTGGAGACCAGCCTCGTCCTTGCTGATACACAATCGGGAAGGCTCCGAAACATAGATAAAGGGTGCCGTAGATGATAGCCATGTATATGGATATCAACAACACAATGGGTTCGAGGAAAAGTAATGCCCAAGGTCGAGCCAGTGACTTTTGGAAAGCCGCCTTTGGTGTCGTCTTACCCTGTCTTCTTTCCAGAACGGAAATATAGACCTTGCCGGTCCGCTTGGAAAGTACAGCCGCTCGTCTCTTGAGTATGACAGGCGAATATGTTTCCGGGATCGTCAAGCTACCGAAAATCCACAAGACACCCGTGAAGCAAGCCATTACTCCTTCATTCCACCTCCAACCGATGGTCTCACCCACAAAACCACCCACGATCGGCCCGATAACCGGACCCAGAAACGGTGCTGCTGCAAAGATGGACATTCCTAGACCCCTTTGATTGGCAAGGAACATGTCGGCAATGACACCGCCAGCGTTCGTAAGGGGCGATGACCCGAATGTGCCAGCAAAGAATCTGAGAATAATAAGAGTGGCCATTGAGTTGGCGCCGGCTGCCCCGGCGTTAAAAGCAGTCAGAACCGCATATGTACCGAAGAACAGCACTTGTCGACCGTAGAGTTCACTAAGTGGTGCCCTGAAAACAAAGGATTCGCGTCAGTATATCTCTTCGAGCGCTGGACAGGGAGATGGGCCTTCTCGGAACTGGGGCAAATCGGGACGGAGAGTCACTCACCAAAGCAGTGGACCGATCGCAAATCCCAAGACAAACAAAGATATACCGAGTGTATAAACCTCTTGACTCACACCAAAGGTCGCAATGACTTCGTTGGCGCCGCCCGAATATGCGGACGAGACGAAGGCGACAGCAAGAGTGGCGATGGCGACAGTGAGAGTGATGAACCACTTCTTGACTTGCGAAAACTCCATGGGATTCCGGGGATCATTTGGTATGAATTCCACGACGTACGGATCGTCTTCGGTACCAGACCCGTTGTATGGATAATTGGCGACAGCATCTGTGATGAGTGACTGGCTGGCGACTAATCTCCAATGGGGGACTTTTTCCTTGTGGTGATGGTATCGTTGATCGTGTGCTTGCTTTTCGGGATCGAGGTTTGGTTGTTCATTTTGGGTACGAACCTCTTGCGCTGTTGTACCAGTGCTTGATGACTGAGTGGTTGATCGCGAGAGCGAGTCTGCAACTGGTGAAGTAGGCGAGGCCATATTGAGACGATGTCGACTTGCGGACTGTAGCTCAGCGCATGTCTTTGGGTCTTGCACGGTCCTGATATAGGAGGATGGCGAACATCGCAGAAAAATGGAATGCTACGTACCGTCATAACCGTATCGATTCTCCGTCCCACTCGGTTGAAAAGTCCTCGAGCCCTAGATTTGCATCATCCTGCATTAGCGCCGATCTAGCTTCACTTACGGTGTTTTGTGATCTTATCATTGGCCCAATGTTTGGCTTTGAGGCCTAATGCATTTTTGCTTGACATCATCAAGGAACTAAAGGACAAGCCCGATTCTTAATTTTTGCCGGATATGGAAAAGTCGGCAAAATCGGCATATAGGAGGATGCACAAATCCCTGCATTAAATTTTATTCACGTTTCTACTGTTTTCGATGTCGACACGGACTCTTTGTGCTGTGGTATTCAGTGGCAACAAGACCAAAACACCATATCTGGGTGACATCCATTTTTCAGAGTTTCGGTAGTCAATGCTATTCCGACCGATGCGCAGCCTGACAACATTATTATGCCAGCGATATACAAGGTGCACAGAAGTGTTGAATGAGGCTGAGCAGAGACAACAAGCCAAACTGCAACAACCATCCCACAAGTCCTCGAAGCCTACTCCGTATGTGACCAAGTGTTCCGCTCAGACTTTTGCCTCAGCCTTTCATCCATGGTCCAACAGGAGCATTCCGTTCCAAGGGCAGCTGTGCTGCAACATACTGTTGTACTGTGCTAGGTGACTGACTACTCAAATGTCATTGGCTGATTCTACTGCATCATACCAAATGTTGGTCCATATCCTCTACTGTCGGAGCAAAATGCCATGAGGGCCCCTCTGTCAGAAATCTCTTTTGGCAAGCCTTCAGTATATTCTAGTAGTATGTGGAGCCAAGTACTGGCGTGAACTGAAGGAGATCGAGTCCATCCAACCAATCTGCAAAGAAGGCTCGCCCAAAATCTATAGCTCTCAACGTTGTACACAGCATTCACCTGTTCGACGGTGAGCTGTCCCTCCACTCTTCGTTGCTGTTCAACACCTTCTTGCCTGGCTCGTCCAGTCGAGGCACATCGTCTTCTTCGTCCGCGAACTCGAACGATTCAGGATCTGGTTGGAAAGCGCCATCATCCAGCATTGGATTTGCTTCCTCGCCGCTGTCGTTGGCTGCTCTTTTGCCCTTGTCGTGCTCGTGCAGGGTATCATCTGCTGAAATTGAGATACCGCGCGGGCCCCATCGGTTTACTTTGGGTTGCGCGTGTCCGTTCGTCTGTACGTTGCCCGATTCAGGATCTTCTTCTTCTTCCGAAGGCTCTTGAGTGTGTTTAAAGACTTTGTTTACAAGCCATCCTTTTCTCAGATCTTCTGCGTCCACGACCCCACCTCCTCTCAGCTTGACTCTTTGTCTCGTCCAGTACACCCAGGCGAAGTCGACGTAGAATGCCGTCTGGATTATCCCGAAAATCACGGAGATTGCGTCAGGCTTCGAGGGTGTGAAGGCGCGATAAATCCAATTGAGAAGGTAGAATGCTCGGTAGGATCCAAGAGTGACCAGATAGAAGGAGTCAATCACTGTAGGTACGGTCGTCTGGCGGAGCAGGATAAGCTGCGGAAGAACACAAACGGATTCGAGGATAATGGAGAAGGTCCATAGCACTTCGCTAAAGGTACTGCGCGTCCATCCATTGAAGATGAGAGACACCAATGGAGCAGCGACAAGGGATGCGCCAGCTGCATATGCTCCCCATTTCCAAGCCTTCTCTTGCTCTCGTGTTCGGGCATACACCCTGGTCATTAACACGATGATATAGATCGAAGACCAGATATAGAAGTTCTTGAGAATGAAATTCCACCATGATAGCGTGGGCGGGACCCAGAAGAGGTCGAGGTAACGCGTGCAGAAGACGGCAATGTAGAGGATCTGAGTGAGCAGAGACACGCCTGTTCAGAATGCGTCAGCCTGCGCCTCACAACTTGACGAACCTGAGGAACATACCTTCAGCGCTTTTATTTGAATGAATAGCCCAGATGAGAATGCATTTCGAGGCGGTATGCGACACATCGCCCAGGATGCGGAAGATGTTTAAATTCATTGTCGCTGCGTAGACATCGCCAGTTGTATATTGGATACGATGTGTGGAGGATGATTCGTGGAAGATTTCGGCCTTATATGATTAGAGCCTCGAGACATCCATATTGTGCAGATAGAGATAGAGGAAACGGGAGTTGCTGAGAGGAATGTGAAGACAAGCAGTGGTTGCGCGGCCTGTCGCAGGTCATGAATTGCGCAGCCTGGATGGAATAGGAGAAATGCCACGTGAATGCTCTCTCATGTGGTTGTAGCGGCGGAAGAGATTGATTAACTAACTAATCTAAGAGGGAAAGACTGGCCGCTATATGTAGTTACTCGTAACTGAGCGCAAGGAGGGGGAATACTAGGCTGGGCAAGTATCCCGACGCTAATATCACATCCTCCTCTACTTCCTTACGAGCATCTACGAGTTATGTGTTCTTATTGTTCTATTAAGCCGTAGGGCTTATAACGTATTATATCTTCCCTTCTTTCCTTCTATCTTATTTCTCTCTCTTTTATAATATATAAAAGGTATATCGTCTTCTCTATTATATTATATTTTAAAGAGTAATAGTCTATTAAGGTTAAGAATAGCTTATAATAATAGCGATAATATTGTATAAGATATAGAAACCTTTAGACCCTAGTCCTTTTATAAAGTTTAGAAGTTTTTATTTTAGTCCTTTTATAGTCTCCTTAATTTATATTATTTATAACTAATAGATTTAATATACGATAATAACTTAAATCGTTATATATTCTTATAATTAAAAAAGAGTAGATATATCTCGTAAAAAAGATAGAAATAAGTAGTAATCTCTTAAGTTAACCCCTAATATCTTATCGATTAGTTAAATATTATAAATATCTTTATATCCTATAGAGAGTATCCCTCTTAGCTCGATATATATAAATTCGCGTAGGTCCTATAAAGTTTAAACCCTATTATCGTTAACCTTAGACCCTTTTTACGTATCCCTATAACTATACTAGTATAGTTTATTAATTAAACTCGCTAAATTCTAACTAATAATTAACTATTACGCTCGTCCCTTTATATTATACTATAATTTTAAGAAAATATACTAATTTATAATTATTATAAATCGTTTCGAGAGCTTTCGCTTCGAATTAATAAAATTCTTTCTTTAATCTTTAATTAATATTTTCGTAGTAATCTACAATAATTCGTAATAGCTAGTAATAATATATAATATAATATATCGACTAACTTTATTATTATCGCGACCTTATATCACTTAGGTTAATTAATTACTAACTATCCTAATATATAATTTATTGTATTCTAATATACCCTTAACTAAACTTAATCTATAATTAATCGTAAGTAAACTTCTTTCCTTTAGTTTAAAACTATTTATTAATATTTATAATAGACTATATTAATTATACTAAGATATACTATATATAATTAATCGAAATCGTTAATAATTTTAGTAAGTTTTCTCTTTATCTCTTATATATTTATTAGTAATTAATAATAATAAACTATATCTAATATAGAAATATATAGAGTCTCTTCTTCTTTTATTATTCGATTATTAATAAACTTAATAGTAGTAAATACTTTATATTTTTTCGTAATTATTTATAACTATACGAAATAGCTTATATATATTATTACTAGGGCTAATATATAGCTAACTACTCTCTTAACTAAAGTAAATACTATCTATTTCGCTTCGTTATATATATTAACGTACTAAAACACTACGATACTACTAAGTCGCGTAAATATACTAAATAAGTTTTCGTTAGTTTTTATATTAATTCGTAATTAATAGTAATTATAGAAAAGAGCGTAAAAATAAAGGTAAAGATAAATCGTAAGTACTCGTAATTTATATAAAATCTTTTGTAACTAATCGTAATAGTACGTCGACCGACGTAATCGATAACTACTTCTCGTCTATATTAGTAATAACCTAAAAAGATTTGTAAGGGCTTATAACCGCGTATATTTATTTATTACTATAGAGTAATCTCTTTTTTTCTTAGAAAGAGTATATATTTATATAAAATACGACGTAATAGATAGTAATAAAATAATTATATAAGATTTTCGTTTATAAGATATTATAAGATTTAATAATAACTATAATTTATATTTTTCTTACTCTTTATCCTCTAATCTTTTCTTTATAGATTAAGGTTATAATCTATAATAAGTTATATCTTATTAGTATTAAATAATATTTACTATTAATTTCTTTTATTATATTAAAATAAATATCGCTCTTTTAACGTTCTCTATACTATTAATTATAATAATAGATTTTAAATTAAAAGAGTCTATAACTAAAGAATTATAATAATTAGATTTAATATCTTCTACTAAAACCTTAAGAGAAGATTTAGATATTAGTTCTCTTTCTTTTAATATAATCTTATTTTCTTAATTCTAATTAATTTTAATTATATCTAACTATAAGAGCTAGAACTATAAAGTTAGAATCTTTTATTTGTCTTAGTTTTTCTTTTTTATCTAATCTAAATATACTTCTAGATATTTACTTAGATTAAAAGAAATAAAATGTATCGCGGTGCAGAGGCCTCGCTCTAGTATTGATGCGGTATGGCGCCGCTTTGATACCCTCCATTTAGTTTAGCCTTCACCCGATCGGGGAAAGCGCCACCCGTCTGGGTTTAGTGCTGACCCATCGGGCCTACCGCCGCTTTACCTCCGACCACTCTCGACCGTCCGTCTATAAAAGACCGGCGTCCCTCGCTGTTTTGTCGACTCTTCCCCCTCCTCCTACGCCTCACCCTCCTACCCCTTTCCTTCGTCCTTAACCTCGACCCTACACCATTCCGAAAACGGGAATCATCTACCCAGCACGGGAGCCCGGATATTGGCTTCGCTGTCGCTAGGGCCTTGCCCCGCCATCGCTCCTACAAAAGAATGACCTAAATTTACCTACCCACCTAGAGTCACACCTGAGACGTAAGAGTTTAGAGCTTAGAAGCGTCTACCTAATTCGAATCGATCGATTAGGTAGATACTCCGTCGGCTATTGGCTAATAGGCCTCTCTTCTTCTTCTGGCCCCCTCTCTATCTCTTAGCGTATAAGGTCTTAGACTCTATCGTAGCGTTTATCGTCGTTCCTTAAGAGTTGAGTAGTTACTTCTATCGCTCTATCTTTTAGTTAGCCTAGGGTCCCTTACGTACCTAAAATATACTTATACGAAGCCTATAGAGAATAATGAGCGGAGCTCCTTATAAGTAGGACGTCTAACTAGATACTCGCCTTAGATTCTTTCTATAAATATCTTAGATTCTAGACTTAGTGATTTTAATAACGCTTTTATAAACCCTCTACACTCGATACTCGAGGTATATATCTATAGTATCGTAATTAACGATTATATAAGGCCGATTTAGTACGCCAAGTAACTAAGTATTGCACTGATCTATCTCTAGCTAAGTTGCCTATTAATTATATATCCTAGAAGCGGTACTAGCTCCTTCTTCTTAGACTAAGCTAGCTAACCTTACGCACCCCTTCGGCTCGAGAAACTTTGGCTATAACTTATATAGGAAGTTATATTATAGGGGCCCCCTTAACGGAAAAAATAGCTACGATAACGATAGCGACTAAGATTTACGGGGCGCGGTAATCGAGACGGACGGGCTATCGACAGTAGTTAGGCTCCAATAAGGGCTAAATCACTCTTCCTTGCTCGACCTTATTATTCGCTAAGTTTTAGTCGAAGATCCCCTAGCTACTAGTGCTTTAGTAATATTTAGATTCGTATAACCTTTGTATATACGGTGTATATAAGGACTATACCTTTAAATAAACCTTAGACTCTTAAAGTATATTAGCCGCTCTAGAGGATCCGAAAGCGTCCGTAAAGGTTAGGAGTGCTGAAGCCTATTGGCTTAATTGTTGAACGATAGGGTAAAAATACCGCAATATATCGCCCCTTGGTAGAGGAAGGATAATCAACCGGATTCGACCTAGAACTAAGATCCTTTTAGGTTTCTAACTATATATTCTACCTATTCTATAGATCCGCCGTATATAATCGATCTCGAGAGACCTTAGTTACGTATTTTCTAGACGAAATCTTTCGGGATATTTAGGAGCTTTTAATAGGAGTAATAGCCCCTTCGATCTACGGAGTACACTACCGGGGAAAGCTAACGACGGTAAATGGCTGGCTTTTAACCTAACTAGGGGTGGCCTAGGTAGTATTTAACTACAAGGGCGAGATTACGTGCTAGCACTTAGCTTTTTAAACGCGGCGCCTTTCTTTCCTAATTCGTCGTTAGATTTAAAATCGCTTCTTAATTAGCCGTTAAGCGACGTAACCCCCTTTAAGCGTTAGGGACGTCTATAAGACCTATATTAGAGGGCTATTCCAATGTTTCCTACTAGGTTCTATCTCTTCTTCGCCCTCTATAATCTCTTAGCCTTAACGATATACAAAATCTCTCTATATTACCTATTTTCTACGCCTTCTCCGTATAAATAATATTATCTTCGAGGACCCTTCTAAACCTTAGGTCCGACCTTAGCGACTTATATATACCGCACTAGCTAGCTTCGGCGCTTCTTTCAATCGAGAATGTTCTTACGAGTTATAGCCGTAGGCCGAGATATCGGTGTCTAATATACGGCCGTAGGAACACTCTTATACAACCTCTATCGACTATTCTAGTAAGACTAAAAGGCCCCGTGCTACTTTAATTATACCGATGGTACGTTTACTAACAGCTAAACTCTAAAGTCAATAAGCCTAAAGGGCCGATACCACGAAATCTCGATTTACGAAATGTGGCGTAGCTCTCTACACGACGCTTAGGCTAAAGCTAATGAGCGTATTTTAGGAGCTACTTCTCTCTACGACGACTTCTCTCTAGCCTAGAATAACGACGATAATTAAGCTAAAGGTCTCGACGATAATTTATAGAGTCTCTTTTCTAGTGGACCATCGGATGTAGAGCCCTTATAAACTACTATATACGCCGAAAATCTCGACGGCCTTACTTAGAACAATACCTTATAGGGCATAGAGACTTACGATAACTTTATCATTACCTTACTAAGCGACGGACTTTCTTGTATCGGAACCCCTAGCCTAGGGACTAATATTGACGCTATAGACTTTGCTACCCAGTTAAACAATCTTTAGCTAAAGCTAATAGGGGTACCGCCTTCGTAGCGATACTACCTACTATCCTCGCGCTATAAACCTAGGTTAGAGGT